CTAAAATATACTATAAAAATAATAAAAGAAAGAAAAATAAAAGTTTTAATTTTAATCTAAAGATATTAAGTAAGATTTCTCTTATAAATATATATAATATCTATATAATAGTCTCTAATTACTTTTTATAATTTAAGTAAAATTATATATAAATAATTAATTAATTAATTAGATATTTATAAGAGTAATATATAGTAAAGATAATTCTTCTTCTTATTAAGAAGTAACTACTTATAATACTAAGCTAAGATTCTTATTAAGATATCTTCTTAGTAGATACGAAGATATAATAAAATCATATATCTATATAGTTAGATTTTTTCACTTTTTTTTTTTTTTATTTTTTATTTTTTTATTCTTTTTTCTTTTCTCTTATTTTCTTATTTTTTTTTTATATTATTTTTTTTTTAATATTCTTTCATTTTATAGATTTTTATTTTTTTATATATATTATAGGTTATACTAAAAAAATTTTATATATTTTATATTTATAAATTTTTACTTGAATTATTATTTAGGGTAATCAGCGTTTTTCAATATGGAACTATTTTTATATAGATATTATTAACATAAGTTACGATAGCTTACTATAATAATATTTCTTTTTTAAATAAGAATATAATTAATTAGTAATCTATAGTAATAAAAGTAAATTAAATATTATATAGAAAATAAATAAAGTTTAATTTAACTAAGAATTAAGACTTTTATTTTTTCTTTATTAATTTTATAATAATAGAAATAGATTAAGAGTATATAGTAAGCGATTAAAGCTTAATTTAACTTAGAGCTAACGCTAAAATTCGATTTAACTTAGAAAAATTTAACTTTATAAATTTAATTTATAAATCTTTACTTATAATAAAATAATTAAATATATTATAAGATAGTAAAGAAAAGAAAAATAGAAGTTTTTATTCTAATATAAAGAGACGAGTAAAGGTCTATGAATTAAATTCATAATTTTTTTTTAATTAAGTGAATTCTATGTCTTTAAAGAATTATAAGATTAAATTTCGTAATTTTTTTATTTTTAAAAAACGTAAGCTATAGGCTATAATTTAAAGAAGAAATCTTAAAATTTTAATAGAAAATAAAAAAGTTATTTTAAAATTAAATAATATATATCTATTTTTTTTATTAGAGCTATTAATAAATTTAATAAGCGAACTTTAATAAACGATATTTAAGCTTCTTACTTCTTAATAGTTATAAAATCAAATTTTATAATTTTTTTATCGTTAAATAGCGTAAACTACCCTTTATAATTTAAAAAAGAAATCTTAAAATTTTAATAAAAAATAAAAAAGTTATTCTATTTATAAATAACGTATATCTAATTTTTAATAAGAAGACGCGAAAGAGTTATTAAGCTAATTTAGTCGATTTAATTAAAGAGCGTAATAAATTTAAATTTATAATTAACTATATATATAAATTTAAGATTTTTTAACTTAATTCTATCTTATTCTTTTATATATATTAATTAAATAAGATTTTTTTTATAAGTATATAATATCTATATAGTAGTCTATAATTACTCTTTATAATTTAAATAAAAGCGTATATAAATAATTAATTAATAAAATTTAAATATATAAAAATTATAATTCTTATTATATAAATTATTTTATTTTATTAAAAATTAAATTATACTCTATTAATAATTTTTTTAAATATAATCTAATTTCTATAAGATATAGTATATTAGTTATACTCGATATCGTCTTATCGGCTTGTTGAATGATTCGAAATAATAGTGCATTAGACCCAGATGCCTTTTTTGGGCTCGATGTGAAAATCGCATTCGTTATTGCTATTGATGTGACCTCAAAGACCTGCTTGCAAGCCAGGGTGCTAATGATTGGAGTCGATTCGGAGGGGGGAGGGGTATATCTGTGGGCGTATGAACCAAACTGTCAGTCGGTAGACTCCCAGATTTTCTTTCTATGTTTAGTATAGTTGCGAAGTCAAGGTAATCGACTCCCAGAACTCTCTACATTGACGCCGACATAATGATTCGCTCGATGCTGCTCGCCTGCGCTTCTAGCGTACTAAATTTGGTTTAAAAATTCCACACATGAAGCCGTTCATTCAAAGCCATCATCTTGCAGCTGTGAGTCATCAAGGCTTGTGGAATGAATATGGCCAGCATCTTGAGGTGTGAAGCCTTCCGCGTCGGTACTGCTTAGAACGCTCGGACGGATAAACGCGTTGAGCTGCTCTTTCTCCTCAGTGGTGTCCGACTGGAAATCGGTATGAGCCACGCTCGTGTCAATCAAAGCTGCGTAGTCGTCTCCACCTGCATCCGTAAGAGCTGAGTTCAGTCTTTGCCACAGACCTTGCATGCTTGGAAACGGAAGTCCAGCACTGTCTTGGTTGTCAAGACCGTACAATGCGCTTGCTTCGCGTAGACGGACTCGAGCCTGATCCGGCCTGTCAAGCCTCAGCCAGGAATCTGATGCCAAGACAGTCCACAACGCGGCCTGTCTTTTACGAGTGCCTGCAGCAGCAGCAGCAAAATCCGGCCCCGTCCGAGACATATAGCACTCCGCAATGCGTTCTGTGGTCAAAGCTTGCGCGCTAAGAGTCAGTACACCAAATTCGAGCAGCTTTCCTCCCCACCTAGCGGCATCGTCCGCTGCGACGGGGCCACGGGTTTTGAGTAGCTCTATTGCAATGGTGAGACATCGATTAACGTTGAATGGCATGGAGCATCTTGTAAGATACGAGTACGCGGCATTTTCGAGCATTTGATCAAGTGATTCTGATCTGGACTTTGAATTGAAAGCATGTGGAATTAGCAGAGAGGTGATCGCAGCCATCTCGTTTGCTGCGGCATGATAACCCCATGCTTTGTCGTGGCCGAAATCTGCTCGCAAAAAATCATATGTGCTATAAGCCAACTTCCAATCTCTGAGCATAAAAGCGTAATCACCCAGTTGGCGCATGGTCGACTCGGGTGTTTCTGGTGGGTAGAAGCCCTGCTGATAATCGTAGTTGCTTCCAGACGGATTTGAGATACCCGCAAGGCCGAGTGTCGTACTCTTGGCCGTGCCAAAGCCTGTCCAGCGTTTGGACAATGATATAAAGCGGCCACCGATACCGCGTCGCCTGGAAGCAACCTGGTCATTCCATGTCATGACCCTACTCTCCATGAATGGTACGATGGATTGAGTCACCATCTCGCGGAGAAGATTCTTAATAGCGGTGGAATCCGACTCGAGAATGTATTTTTCCGAGAGCTCGACGTCGTCAGCGTCATCTTCGAACGTTAGTACTAAGCCAATGATAAAACTCATGCAAACGAGCCTACCTCCCATGCTAAGCTTTTCGATTTCTTCTTCTGCCGAAAGCCACTCGTATGAAGGAACCCTGGTGCTATCATCATCAGTTAAGACACATTGAGACCGTCTAAGCCTAAGCAAATGGCAGTGGAGGCCAAAGTGTCTTTTCATAAGGTCAAAAAGAGCGGTTGATTTGGTAATGTCGTCGTTCTCTTCATCATGAATGAGGACATAATAGCGTAAATACTCCATGCCCATCCATGCAGGTACCTTTTGGCTCCCGTGACCGGTATTTGAATATAGCTGGCGCAAAGCTTCAATTGGAGCCGGGTGGTGCGAGCTGACTGCAATCAGGCAAGCGACAGGATGCAAAAATGTCTCGTAGGGCGCAATGGATGCGCTTGAAAGCAGCTTGCGTAGATAAACCGGGTACAGAGGCGATAGGCCGGGTCGTGATCCATACGATGTTCCCTCAAGATCAACATAAGCCTTCCCTTGGCCTTCCGAAGCTGCGCTCGTGGTTCGAAGATAACGATCGAGTACCTTGTCAATGGATTTTACCGTCTCGTTACTGTGCGAGGATCTGGTATGTTCAGAGACGCGTTGAGAACCATTGACCAGGTTCCGAGCATCTTGATCCACCATCTCACCATCTGCACGATGTGTGCTGTTCGTCTGAAGCGCTTGAGAATTCATGATTCTAACGCCGAAGTCATCCCACCCTCTACTACCTCCCATGCTATCTCGAATAACGACCTTGCCGTGCAAATGTTCTCCGTACGGTCTGAGGAGACTATATAGCCCATCTTTGAAACCTTTTTGTCTGACAAAATCCTCGGTGTCTGATGATGCGAAGACGGCTACCCGAGGCGCAAAAGACCTCACGATAATCTGTCTGTGCGTTTCGTTACTATCATACGCCGAAGTCGTTGGCGATGACCCCCGGCTGCTACTGGAAGAGCGCTCATGGCTCTGCGATCGCAGGTTAGACGGTGACCTGGACTTGTATATTAACGACGGGCCCGCAATCAATGGTAGGCGAGACTCTGAACTAGACAGGGATGTTCTGGTTCTTATCTGAGACGAAGAGTTTGACGCTGTGTTGTTGGGCAGATCGCTTGATGTGAATTCTCTTGACGATCTCAATGCAAGCTCAGGTTGCGGGCGTTGGGAGATTCCACCAGGGCTCCCATTCTCATGCTCTAAAGGTGTCATAGATGGAGAGTTCCAATCTCTGTCGTCTGCCTCGGCCTAGTCGGCCTGTAATGAGCCCTGTGAGATCTCCTGTACTGGCGGCAATGAAGAGCTCCGGAGAAATAGGGCATGAAACATGGTATCATTCTATGTAGGGGCAAGTTGAGTTCGTTTGTGTTGTTCCTCTAAACTTGCGGATCGCCTCCCCAAGATCATGGCTTCATCAGCCTGCATAAAGATTTGATTATGAACGCGAGTGACGGAATGGCGGGTATTCAATGCATCCACAATAAGAGCGTTTTCCACTCATTAAGATGCTTGAATATGTCTTTGAGTTTGAGGTAGCTATCGTTAGACGCAGCCGCCTTGTAGTCGCGTGGCAAGTATAGCCGCAGCTATTGATCGTCGACACTTCAGAAGTTCGTCTAGAAAGCCAGTCTCTCGCAACGGTAGAGATAATCCTTGGCTGAGGTGGAGGGTTATCTTTGTTTTTTATTGCATACCCTGTCGAGCCACAGCATGAGCGAGCTTGTAAATTTCATCTTAGGCGAGGGAGAGCAGTTCCGAAGGTCATACAGACAGTCCGCTAGAGATGAAGATAAACAAGTGACTATGCTGACTACGGATGTAGAGCACGTTTGCCATCGCTTTATTCAGACTTCACCCTTCAACGCTACTCCAACCCAGACGGATTTGCAGCAAATACGGCTGCATGGATCGACGCGCTGACCAAAGCTGCCCGGTCTGGCTTGCTGCCATCCGATGGCGCTAACCATGACACGTTGTTAGTGAGGACCGGAGAAATTCTCCTGCAGTCTTTGGAGACCAAAGAATGGGGGAGACCGTTGGCCCTCAGAGCTGTCATAGTAGGTAATACATATCTTCAGCCACGGTTCTTGTAGGCAATGCCTAAATAGTCGATCGACAGGATGAAGCAGTTTGCCAGCGGAGCATGATTCCCTACCAAGAATTTATCACCGCTCGAAAGTCCATACACAGTCGTAATTGGACCATTCAACCGAGGTGGCTTTTTTCTTGGGGACTGAAGCAACTAGGGCTTTTGGATTTGTCTATAGGGGTAGGATTACTGCCAACAGCGAGCTTTGTCATACTCCCGAACGTCGAAGTACGTGGCAGCTACCATGATCATGGAAGCTTTCTTACTCTGATACAGGAAGCCGCGAGTAAGATTGTCAACAAGATGGGGAGTTCAAGCAATCAGATCGACCGCATATATCCAATGTCCATGTTCAGTACTGAAGCTGGAAAAGTTCTAAAGTCGCAAAACGGATTGACCGAGAGTGATCTCCACCTCATTCTCAAATATTTGGCACGAGACAAATCAAGAATAATCTATGACGCTGAGGTAAGCTAGTCACACTCGAAGAGCGTGCAATCTAATTTGGCTATTAGACCGTCAAATTCAAGGCAGCAGGTGAGACTTCATCCACGTTAACGACTCAAGACAAAACAATAGCTTCCTTAAAAACGCTCATTGCCGACATCAACTTGCAAGTCGCTATGTTCTCAACGCGCATTTCAAATCTGTCAGAAAGTGCGCAAAAGGCGATCAAAAACAAGAACCGAACGTCTGCGCTGGCTGCGCTTCGATCAAAGAAATTGAGCGAAACAATCCTAATGCAGAGATCGGAGACACTGGCACAATTGGAAGAAGTGTATGGCAAGATCGAACAAGCAGCAGATCAGGTCGCCATCGTTCGCGTCATGGAAGCCAGTACAGGCGTGCTCCGAAATCTGCATGCACATATAGGTGGCATCGACAAGGTGGAGGATGTCATCGAAGGTCTTAGAGATGAAATGGGCAAGGTTGATGAAATTGGTGGCGTAATTGAAGCGAGTGCTCAAGTGGACAGCGTCATCGATGAAAGTGCCGTGGATGAGGAGCTCGAAAGCTTGGAGAGGCAAGCTAAAGCAAGAGAAGAAGAGAAGGGTGCGCGCCAGACGCAGGAAAGGCTCGCCAGTATTGCCACGGTCCGAAAGACCGAGGACAATCAGCCGGAAGAACGCAAGGACAACCCTCAGGAGCTGTCGTCCGATAGAAGAGCTCCAGAATCTCCAATGGAAGAGGGTATCAGCGGTTTGAAACGTCTGTCGCTGGACGATCCTCGTGGTACAGCCGAGAAGGCATGATGATGAGCCCGTAACAGACAATGCAGAATGACTGACCACAGAAGACTGCAACATCGTGAGGACACAGAGCAGCACTCCTAGAATGGCTTGGTCACTTGCCCATTTTTGAGCCATATCAAAGGCGCCTTAGGGGCTACTCCGATTTACACTGCCCCACTCAGAGGAGACGAGCATTCCCAGACTGGTTGCCCTTTGACTGCAGTAGTCCTCCATGAGGGTCAATCACCTACATCTAAGTCCGCTAGATTTCTTGGTGATTGGATATCGTGCAACTGATCCACGCTTTCTGCTGAGTTGCGATTCGCGCTTGTAGCCAAACATCCGTCGTCAGTACGTCGATCAAGCACCGGATTGGGAGTGCCGTTAGTGCTGCTGGTGGATTCGACCTTAGCGTTCACCTTCCGGCGGGCTTGAGCGATCAATGCTTGAAAATTATTACCATGATTACTGGCCCATGCTGCCCCGTCAAAAGTTTTGCTCATCACGGAAGAAGCACTGCCTGTCCCGTTACAATTACCCAAGATCTGACGGCCCTGAGTTCTGTCCCAAGCTTCCAGTTCTTGAACTAGCTCACGCTTCGTCTTCGGTTTTGACGAATCGCAGTTTGCATTCACGAGGTTGACCCATTCCGTATGTCTCCGTATGAGCAGATCTTTAGGACCTCCATTGGGTATGCCGAGTTCAGAGAGCTTTTTCCGCAATGCGTTATCTTTGAGCAAGGAGTAGTTCAGTTGAGGAAGACGCTCCATAGCCTTTGCAGGTCGACGAGAATTTGCAATCACGTTGAGACGAGGAGCTGACTGCCTAAGCTGTGTCAGTGTGCTTATCAATCAATACCATTGGAGCATCTACCTTGCTGGTGATGTTTTTGATGCTGAATTGTTGTGTACATCTAAGTGAGGATAGACTGCTTCCTCCTTCATTCTCGCCCCGCAGATGGGACATGCAGTCAAGCCGTCCTCTAGATATAACTTAGTATTAATCGCTTGAAATACTATGTTTTGAGCAGACCGACCTGGCTGAAAGCCATCATCCCTTCCATCGTAGACAAAGTGGTCATTGTTCTCTCCATCCGATATCGAACGCCTTCGATTCCTCCACCTAACTTCCCTTCGTCGAAGACTGTGATCCACGTACTCCTCGTCCTCATCTTCACCCTCTTCCATGTCCGTGTCGTCTATCTTCCTTTTCTGAGTCTTCCCAATGGTATCTCTAGTAGCTTCAACATTTTGTCCAAAGTGTAGAACCGCTGGTCTTGCAACTTTGAAAGCATCCACAAGCTCTTGGACCGTCGAGTTCGGTCTTAGTTTCATTGCTTGATCTTGCGTACGACATGCCGGACACCGGCCGTCGGTGGTCAAACATCGGCGGATACAAAGAGAGCAGAAGGTGTGAGAACACGAAGTAATCATAGGCGTGTCAAAAAAGTCCTTACACACTTGGCAACGCAAAGCTTGTTCGACCGGGCCGAGCTGGGATATTGATGTCTGTAGCCAATCAGATGGGTCGGAAACATCGAAAGAGCTATCCATAAGGTCCTCTGTCTTCGTAGGAGCGAGATTGGTAGGTTGAGCTTCCAAAATGCCGAGATCTTGAACAAGAAAACGCGGCCACTGCCGCGCCGCTTGGCGCTGCAACGCGTTTATTGATTTTCAAGAAAAGCTAAAGTAAAGTGAAGCATGACAGTCCTGCCTTACATTCACTCCGTCCTTATCGATTGCTCTATTATAGCGCTTCCTTGAATTGATTGGGTACTTTGTATGCGGAGGGAACGGAGAGGTTTCTGGTGTATCACTTTTTGAGGCTCGGGCGAAATGTCTCAGGATTCTAAAACCTTCCTTGCGGCCAGTGTATTGAATGATGGGAAAATAGTGGGTTCCAAATGCCAGCGTTGAGTCCGGTGATGCTCTCGTTGATATATTTTTGTCAGGTATCCTACCGATCTCTGGGCCGAGAATTAAAAGTGCATAGCAATGTTGCGAAGAAGTGCGGAGAGATCAAGCGCAGTTGAAAGGACTGGCTGAATTCTCTATCAGAATGCTCTACGAATTCTATTCTACCCAGACGACTAAGAAGCCAGCGTCGATCAAGGCAACCTACCTCCTGGACGGCGTTCCCAAAGGTCCGAAGGAATTCGGCGTCAATGGGCATCAGCAAGATGGAAAAGACATTCACCTGCAGAGTAGTCCGTACATGAGCAGCTCAATGCCACATCAAGAGGAACAAGAGGAGGCAGTTCCATCGAGGAGCATAATTCTGGCAAAGGAAGAAGATCTTGGAGGTAAGATGGACATGCGTTTTGTGGGCTTGGTCTACTTTGCGGCTTCCGAACTGTCCGTTGCTGAGAAAGCTGTTAGCGGCCAAAGCAAAATACAGCCAAATACACTCCATACATATTTACAGCTTAGGGCCAAGCAGGGTACAGGTAAGCCGACGAAGCTTTGCTCTCGTTTCCGGACAATGCCAATTATGATAGAATCTCCAAATTCTGTCAGACTGCAACAGAGCGATATCCGTGGAATATGCGAATGAGGATCCATTAGTATTTGGAGAGAAATATGGAGTCATTCATAATACAGGTGTGAAGGTAGGATCCGCTTCCCCATTTGAATCCTTCTAATACCTGACAATGGAGTTTGTAGCGGAGGACGGGGAGACGACCACCTATTGGAGCCCAGCCAGTCCCTACAGAGACGGTCAACGAGAAAGCCAGTAGCAAAAGCCAAGGCCTCAATAGAGAGCAAAAGAACGCTGTCAAGTCGTCCGATCGACCTCCGCCAAGTGACAAGTCGACTAAATCGACATCTCAAGCTGCATTCGCCCCAGATATCAGGGCCGAGCGACCTAGAGATGTCGAGAAGAAGCCAGTCAGCAAGCCAGCCGCGGCGAAGAGGGAGCAGTCTGACATATTCAAATCCTTTTCCAAGCCCAAGGCAAAATTAAAGCACGAGGATGCTGGTAGCTCGACTGGTGCATTCCCTGTTCCTAGCACAGCACACTCGGTGAGCATTGTTTGGCCGTTTGATTGCACTTGGCTTTCTAACAGAGCATAGCAGGAATTTAAGAGCGTGCAAGAAGATGGTAAGGGCAGGCTTGAGATTCAAGTTCCTTCTCTGATTAATCCTCGCAGAACCAATGAAAGATACTTCTGAGGATGAACACGAGGAGGACTTCGTGGTCTCCAACAGTGCAAATCGAAGAACATCAAAATCACAATCTGAGCGGGCGGAACAGCTTCGGAAGATGATGGAAGATGAAGGTAAAGAAATCGGCGCATGATACGGTATTGACCTTACGACTGACGGGGTACGTAGACGAAGAGATGGAAGTCACGGGGGAGGATGCTCCACAAACCTCTCAGGAATCAGAACCTGTAGACGGTCCCACCTCACAAAAAGATGTTTCTCGTGAACCTCCTATTGTCGTGACTGGAGGGCGCAGGCGAGGTAGACGGAAGGTCATGAAAAAGAAGACAATCAAAGACGATGAGGGTTATTTGGGTCTGTACTTTTAATCAGTTGATACAGGTTGGGAGATTGATGCTAATATGGTCTCCTTTTAGTGACAAAAGAGGAGCCAGCCTGGGAATCCTTTTCCGAGGACGAACTTCCTCCGCACAAACAAAAGACTCCTGCATCCACTGCAACATCGTCAATGGGGAAGAGCAAGATGTCCGGTGGAAAACCCGGGCAGGGCAATATCATGAGCTTCTTCGGGAAGAAATAAATGGCAAAATCAGGAGGTGATGGGTCCATTGATATTTGAGAGGGTAATGAGATATTAAGTCTAAAGTAGTAAGCTTGGTTGATCCCTACGATATTTATGCAGTGACGGTCTCAGTGCTTTTCCGAGTAAAGGCGAAGTTCAGCGTTATAGGCGGTTTGTACGCACAATAATGTGAGGACATTGCTTTGGAGGCCTGTCTGTCCCTTCTGTATATTGTCTATAATGTCGACCAATGCTGTGAAATGTTTGAGCTCTCTGCTTGCCGGTATAGCACACACCTTAATCTCATCAGATCTCAGAAGCTAATTTGTCACGCCGGACATTCAAATATAATTTTCCAAAATGGCTATAGGGGTAGATACAGTATTCGAACCCTATCACAGGAGGTGCAAGAAATTGAGGGGGGTACTTTTGAATAATCTGCCTTATAAACAAATGGGGGCAAGACGGTTTCATATGATATCTAGATGTTTTTCAGGTGGAACGCTGTTCATTTAGGGACCTGAGAATCTGGTGTTCACACTCGAATCTTTCAAAGTAACACACACTCATTAAGATGCTTTCAACATCAGGGCAAAGGCTCGCATGCATTCAATTGATGAAGACACTCAATGCTGTAGAGGTGATGCATTTGCTAATCTTCTGATGGTATCATTCCTATGAATACAGCATGGGCGCAAGGTACTGACGCATACCCAATCGGATAACCTCGATTTCCTAGCACTTCATGTGCACATCAAGGTATCGTCGTTCATCGATGGTCAATGAATCCTCACCCTCTCGGATCGACCTAGTTGCCCACACCACGCTTGCCGTCTCCGTCAGAGTCTTTCATGCTGTGATTTGAAAGTGCAAGGTCAGCTATCTCTACTTGTCAGACTGGGGAGGGAAAATTTAGAGTGCACCTACGGGTTGAGTTTGTCCCTGCATAAAGTTAGCACTTGGATTATAAAATAAGACTAGGATTTGTCCTTACATGAGTCCTGGCTTCTTTCCGGTCGTGTTGGTGTTGTCGTATCCGCTAGTGCCGGTGTTATCATAGCCGCTGGTACCACGAGAGCTGTCAAGGCCGGTGTTATCGTAGCTTGATGTACCAGTAGTCGCCGAACCTCCTCCCAGAGCACCGCCAACGGCTCTTGGTTCACCCTCGAATCCATCGTAGCGCTCTTCACGGCCAGTCAAGCTTCCACCTTGCTTCTTGAAGTCAGCCATACTGACGGCGGGCAGAGCAGATGCGGCGTGGTGCTTGGCCTCGTTCTGATGGACTTCGTGTATGGGAACAGTGGTGTGGACAACCGATGGCTGGATAGTCTCCTTTTGAATAACTGGCTGAATGGTCTGAAGGATGTATTAGTAATTTCCCTCTGTTAATTAATGGGGGAATAATGACCTCATGAACATGATGGTGCACGTGCTCGCCGGCAATGACTGGTGCAACGGAGTGGGTCTCTTTGGTACCTGCTTCAGTGCGGGTATTCTGGAATTGCATGCGCTCTTCTTCAAGACGAGCCTTGATGGCGTTGGAATCGCCGTGTTGGAGCTCACGCTCCTCGACAGCGGCCATGCGGTGATGGTGTTGTTCAGGGAGAATCTCACGATCCTTGACTGGCTGGACAGAGGTGTGGTAATGGTCTTGGTGCACCTCGCGGTCAATAGCAGTCTGAGCCTCCTCATGACGCTGCTTAATCACTTGCTCGTTCACAACGGCGGGGGCGACCTTCTCATGAACTGTGGTATCATGGTGACCAGCTTTCTGCCTGGGTAAGTAAGTAATATATGATCAGCAGAGTCTACTAAGGCAAGTGATGACAACGTCGATGAATTTCAACGTTGGTAGTGGCAGACAGACTGAGAGTCTTCTATTGCTTGCACAAAGACATCAAGGGAAGACGGATCAGAAGACTGGTGGCAGTAAGCCATGGCAGTCAATGTTGATACTTACATGAAATCGCTGACCGCTGCCTTTGCTTTATCCATTTTGAAACGGTTGATCTTGTTTTGTTGTGAGATTGGTATGAAGTTTGTAGAAGGAGGTTGGTATTTGATAATGATTGTTCGTGTAATAGGGAAGAAAGTGGTGTTGTTGAAATGGGGAGAATTTAAGAAAGCAGGTGTGATATGTAGGCTTTAGGCGTTTGTGGTGGGGGTGAATTAGCGCCGCTGGATTACCTTACAGTTACATCATTGATCGACCTGTTCCCTGCTTTGGACTTGGACTATGCAAGTGCCAAGCCCCGAAGCACCAGTGGCCAGTGGCTTGACTTCGGGAACTTAACAACGTCACTGCCTGTTTAAGCAGTGTCCTATTGGCTGCACTTCAACTTTACGACGCCGTAACCAGCCAAAGCCCAAATTCTCTGCCCCAAGAATTACGCTCGAAGAAGAAGTGGCGTCCGGGCTCTTTTTGCTTTTCATTCTACAAAATAACATGTAGATCTTGCATCGCCATGGCACATCTTTCATCCAGCCTCTTCTAGACTTCCTAGACCTATTTCCTACATCATAGTGCTCAGAGACGTCCCTCTCATGCTGGCGGCTTGTGCAGGAAAATGGTCTACGGGGACATGTAACACCTATCGTAATCGGACCGCCAAACCTGGCTGAGCAACTCGAACGATGCGGATGGAGAGACTGTGGGCTGGAGACTTTGATGACGCACATCTCGTGCTATATACATTACTAGAGCTCATGGAAGCTACCTCCATTAGTTTAGAGTTCTACCTATTTTCCAAGAGTTTCGAATTTTCTACCCTGTACGAAAAGTAGAATCCCCTCTCCAAAAAACGAGATTTCAATTCCCTGGCCAGCAACTCAGTCTCTTGCTGTGCTAAAATCAGCGACGTTGGTCGTCCCAGCTTGAAAGTTAACGGGGTTGTTGTCTTGTTAAAACAGCCATGGCGTCTCGTATGAAAAAGCTATTTCATCGTAAGAAGGACAGCGATACTGAACAACCACCTCAGCGTACTCGAGCACCGAATTCCGACAGGAGTGACCCAGCTCTTCGTACCTCCCGTTACGAGTCAACAGAGCCGGGCGAGCTTCCGCAGACCGGAGATTACCCCGTCAAAGGAAACGACAGCTCAGTCATATTACAGCAAGGGCGCAAATCGTCCGTTTCGCGCAGCCGCCGTAATTCGGGCACCCCTCATAACCTACCCTATCGATCATCTACCCCAAATCAGTACGAAGCATCGAACCGCGCTCCTCATATGACTCCACCACCAGTTGTAGCTCGGTCCAACGATCCTTACCAACAGAGCTCAGCAATGCCCATGGGAGGTCAAGAAGAAAGGCGCAGGCGTGATATTCCACAAGACCTTTCTGGTTTGAATCTGGGTAATGTAGAATGTTAGACCTTGTGATTGATTTAAGAATGTGTAACAAAGTATTGACCTCTAGATAGCTCCAACGACGGTAACGCAGACCGTGACGACCACACGTACGCCCCACCAAGGATACAATGCGAACAGACGCACTCCTCAAAACCAAGGAGATGCTCCCAGGGACATTCCTCAAGAACAAGGATACTCTCCCCGGAACAATGCCACCCTTCAACATCAAGAGTATGCTCCCCGGAACAATGCCACTCCTCAACGCCAAGAATATGCTCCTCGCAACAACAACACCACTCCTCAACACCAAGAGCACGCTCCTCGAAACAACGCTACTTCCCAAAATCGAGATTACGCTCCTCGAAACAACGCTGCTGGTATTAGACCTGTTAACGAAGGGAACGCTCAGAAAGGTTCAATTTCTCAACCATATCGAGGGGATTCATCGTCAAATCCACGATCCAATGCCTACGGCTCTCCGAATCTGCAAGATGAAGATGACACAGGTCTAGCACGACAGAATTCGATCCCTAGAAAACAAATAGGCACGTCTGCGAATGCACCGTACTCATCTGTCCAGGCCTCATCACCTCCAAGTGCCCAGACAGATTATAGCCGACAGCAGAGTGCTCCCAAACCTCTACCATCTACACCAGCGGCTGCAAGCCCTGGGTACAATGATCGCCAGACGGATTCTGCTCCTCAGCCGTCCAACATCCTCAACAGATCAAGACCAATTGCTACAAGCCAAGCTGGCCTACGGGACGCTCACGATGTCGTAGATCGAGCAAAGAATAATACTTACGACACTCAAGTCGTTGAGACTGTGGCACCAGGTCAGTTGCACTCCCGAATTGTCAACCACTGAGAAACAACACTAACTTGTTATTCATTTAGCCGTCGTCCACGAAAAGGTTCATAGAGCTGTTCATCATGTTCGTGAGGAGGTCATTACCCGCGAGATACACACTCATGATGTTTACCACCGGGTTCAGCCAATAGTGGACGTGGAAGTGCTTCCACCGCGACATTTTTTGCCCGTCGAAGGTGGTGGACTTGTGGAAATCAGTGCACAAGAGGTACCAGGCAGAGCCAGCAATTGGGTTATTGCAGAAACGGCGTCCAAAATTCCGTCGGACCAAGCTGCACCTCCTGGAACGACCCGATTTACTGCCCGAAGTTTTCCTGGTCGAGAAGGTGATGCTGTAAAATACATGAGTCCCGAGGGATATGAAAAGACGGAGCAGACATGGGTTCATCCACCTGAGTTGGAGGAAGGCGCTCGTCTCACCGGACAATCATGGCCTATGGTAATTGGAGAGGAGCCGCCAGGAAAGGGCGAGCATGGATTTGCGGGAGCTCATGGATTCTCGACTCCAAAAGCGACAAAGAGAAAGAGCCCCAAGAGAAATCCAGCGATTCAGGGTAGTCCAGCGCCGCGAGCTGGTGGAGGACCTGGCAGAGCATGACACGCTGCCCACTGCAGTCCATTGCAGCCCCATTATCACCCCCAGGTGTTCTCATTGTTCCAAGCTCAGTGTTACCCTCAAAAGCTAATGGCTCAGCGTTCAAGCGTTTGCATCTTTCAAAACAAGGTTTTTCAGGTCGTCCGCTTCTGTACATGAAAATCCGAGAACATACTTAGCCTATTGTTTATGTTAGAGATTGTTGTGGGAAGACTCGACCGTAAGAGATGACAAGGTCTTCGTCATTGCATGTAGAGTAGAAGGTAATCTCGATTCCTTCAGACAAAGGCTTTATTTGTCCTCGAATGTGCATCAAGCCTTATACATATGCGGGAGGCTGGGTCGTAATCATAACTAGTACCCGAGCCATATCATACTTTCATAGAAATGATGTGTAATTGAGGTTATGGCCTACAGAGAAGGATGCAAGAGATGAATGATCAGAGGTATGTCTACGACATGAAACCGGAGGATTCGAGAATCTCGGTCCTGTAGACAGCACGGTGTGGAGTCTTTATGCCACACAGCGTGCTTGAATGTTTCACCAAAGACAAGTCTCCAAAGTCTCGAGTATCACTGGAAGCTTGCAGAGCAAGAATCAAGGGGTCAAGTGCATTTGGTAGAGTATCTCAATACATGGGTCCGTTTTCGAACGTGCCGAGGTTGCAGACAATTCCAGACCTCATGCCTCTCGACTTCTTGATCGTGGCGCACCACCACATATGTGAGCTTGGCGATATCTTTCCCCACCAGGGTCTGGCAACACGCGTTCTCCCTCAATGAAATAGTCATACGCCCCAAAGATAGTAAAACAGATCCCCGGGGGCAGCTTCAAGCCACCAGAAGCCTTATAATTGTCTGACTGACGCCGACTCGGACGACGACTCGGACGCCATGAGTGGCGGCTGTTTCATTGAGCATGGTGGAGAGACTGTTCAGGTGATTACGAGTACGTGTTCGGGGTCTGGGATTTGTTCAGATGAAACATGTAGTACCTAGTGCTGAGTGAGGAAGCATGAGGACCACTCAAAAGAACATGCTATTTCAGGCTTGATTAAGCTCTGTTTTAGGGGCGGATAAATGGTGGAGAAAGCCGAAGCCAGGAGCGTGGCAGCCATGTGATTCGTTGACCCCTGAGTCTTCGACGACCGTGCATCATTTTCAGAAGCTTACTTTACTTTAGATGTTCCCCAAGCGGCCGAGGCCCATGCACCCGAGGACGGCTAAGGTTTCAGAGGTGCAGAGGCCTGCCGAATCTCGAAAGATTAAGGTAAGGTACCGTATCGATGGCGATACCACCCACGCCCACACGTTCGTGCGTCCTGCTTTGATTGAAGAGCATTGCACGCGCCATTCTATCTTACTTCGCGCCCCAATGATGGATATTGGATACTGAGTCAACTCTGCTACCGATCGCTACTTTTACTTAATTACTTTCTTTACCTTAATCAACATGGGCGCCATTGCCGCCATGTCCACTCAACCTTTCCTATCCGCAACACTCTCTTCTCTGTCTCTTTTCTTCTACCCTACCTTATAAGTCCGTCTTTTCACTTCAGTCCCTCGTTACTTTCCTTTCCCATTCATTCATTGATTCGTGCCGACCAACTTGACCACACGGACTCATTCTTTTGTCCTTGCTTATACTTCCCCTCCTCTCCGACCCCAGCCCCCACACTCCTTCTCTATCCCTTATCAATCCATATCAAAAACTTTCCTTGTTGGTCGAGCCTCAATCTAGCCTTGCATCTTCTGCACCCAACATCATTCTCTTCGTTTTTTCAGATAATCTCAGCAGTCCACCACGAAAGCGCCGGTCTCTTTCGTCCGCTCTACACAACACCATCCAAACAAGTCCACTTGACGTGGCCTCAGAACATTCCCCACGCCTGCCAGTCAGCGCCCTTGCATCATGCATCACCTAACGAGCTCAACGCTGCTCTGCTTCACCGTCTTACTGGCATCCATATCTGCCGCTCCCTCCAAAGCCCACGGGAACTCCTACAAAGTCCATCGCCAGGCTATTGGTTCGGGACCCAAGGATGGTGTGATGGTACTGGAGAAGGCATATCGAAGACGCAATTGGACGCCTCCGGAAGGCTTAACCGCGGCCGTTGCATTTCACGCAGATGTCGTCGCCAACCCGGTACATTCAACAATCAAGGAAGATGTCGCCGTTGGAGGAGGTGGCACGGGTGCTGGAACAGTCACCGCGAAGGTCTATGGATCCAATACCGAGTATTTGTGCCCCGTCCAAATCGGAGGGCAGACGTTTAACATGGACCTTGATACGGGCTCTGCGGATTTGTATGTACCTATCTCATCCATTCGTGGAGTCCCCTCTTTAGTTGGATTGACTAATTCTCTGCACAGTTGGGTTCTCAACACGGCTTTGCCAGCCGCTGATCAGACACGCCACGATGCCATCTACAGCCCATCTGACTCTAAATCTTTCAATAGCATTCCAGGCGCCTGGTTTGACGTTGCATACGGGGATAATTCAAGCACAAGCGGAATCGTGGGCAATGATACCGTGCGGATAGGGACCATCACTGTGGTGGGCCAAGCGGTGGAACTGCCGAGCACTGTCAGTTCGCAATTCAGCGGCGACATCAACTCGGACGGCATCGTTGGTTTGGGGTTTTCGCAATTTGGTAGCAGCATCAGGCCATCGCCAATGCCAACCTTCTTCGAAAACGCAGCATCCAAGCTCAAGGAAAAGGTTTTTACCGCCAATCTAAAGGCTGGAATCCCAGGCCAATACGAGTTTGGCACAATCGATGCTTCAGCCTACCAGCCCCCCCTTACATACACCGCGGTCAACAGCTCTGGTGGTCTTTGGCAGTTCGATCTTAGCCAGTACGCCGTTGCCGATGACCTATATGGAGGCGTTGCAAGTCCTGCGATCGCGGACACAGGCTCGTCGCTCCTGATGCTGGACCCAGCCATCGTAAACAACTACTACGCGAAAGTCCCAACCAGCACGGACGACCAACAGGGGAAGATATTTCCGTGCGATACAGCGCTCCCTGATTTCAGCTTCGGCATTGGAAAGTCTATGGCTACGATATCAGGCAGCCTCCTGAATTACACATCAGTACCGGGAACTTCAGGTGAGCTTTACCCGCTGGTCAGCCCGTCGTCTTTTAGACTGTACTGACCATTAAATTGCACTAGACTGTTACGGAGGCATTCAATCAAATCTCGGTCATGGGCTAAATGTACTTGGCGATATAATGTTTGCCTCACAGTTTGTCGTCTTCGATGCTGGTGCGATGCGGATTGGATTTGCTCCTCATGCATAGATCGCATACTGGGTAGTGTAGATCATAATGTCTATATGAACATCAACTTTAATCGGTGGAAAGAGAAGAGTTGCTTGAAAAGCATAGGCATACGCATGCATATATTCATACTTATCTAAGCGCCCGAGGCGACATGAAGATTTACGAGATGGAAAATGACTATTATAGACTTGTTGTCAGACGCCTTTTTACACAGACTGAGGAACGCCCGTTCTGATCAACTATTTTACTGTTTTTTGTCGAGGAAATGAATTCCCTAAGATGTGTACGGAGCCAATCATCAGGAGGCTCACCCACTTCTTCACTGTTATCTGAGCCTCGCCATCGCAAGTATTTACATCAAAGACCATGAAATCAAAACCGGATGAAGTTTGCAAATTCTGGATCAAATCTTCCCTTGAGGCTTGCACTACCTGCCAGGGCAGCCGAGTCATTGGTTTGTCGATCGAAGCGCCGCAGCCGCAGCCGGCACCTCTTGGTCTTTGGGTAAGATGTCTGGAAGCGGCCCTACTGGTGTGACACTCTGTATTGATTTGTATACGTCAGTAATTGCAGGCCGAGGTCGGTGTGCAGCATAGAAAGGAAGCCAGGACTCTTACGAAGGGGTTTATCTGCTTGTGACTCTTTGTGTAGTGATTTTTGATATGCTCAAACTGCGTTGTGTTCTTGAACGCCGGCACGTCCCAGTAGAGCTTCCTCAGCCACTTGTGCAGCGAAGGATAACCCGATCTGATGTCACGAATGTTGCACTTGAAATGCTGCACATAGACGGGATCGAAGCGAACGATGGTGGTGTAGAGGCGAACGTCTGCTTCGGTGATGTTGGTACCAAAGTAGTAGGGAGCAGCGTGTTCAGCAAGGTGAGCTTCGGCGCGGTCGAGGGAGGCGAAAAGGGGTTTGACGGCCTTTTCATAAGCTTCTTGCGTTCTAGAGGTCGTAAGCCAGTGGCCGGAAGTCTTGCAATCGGGAGCATGAGAACGCGCGGAAAGGAAACGAGCGTACGTAGCAAAGCCAGATTTGTAGACCCCATTGTTGATATCATTATACGTCCAGTCATTTGTCCCTTCAATCTCTGCCCTCAGCTTCTCCGGGAAAAGGTCAACGCTCCTATACTTGTCGTGGATGATGTCATCGAATTCTGTGTAGAACATGCGGATGATTTCGCTGGACTGAACGTGGACATGATAAGTTCTTCTATATTCATGTTCAGAAGAGATGAAAACGAACCTCATTGCTGACTATCTTGTTTTGTTTGATATCATAAAGTGTTGGTACAGTGAAACGCCCTGTGTAGTCGGGATCAACGTCGAAGTAAACATTTCGAAGATGGGTGGAGTTCTTGTGTATAGGGTCCGGTGTAACATTGTCTCCCGGAATCTTCTCTTCTGGAGTTGCAAAGCGCCATCCTTATAACGGTCAATAACCAGAGGTTGCCTCCAAAGGAGTGAGAGAATAAATACCTTTTTCCAGCATCTCCCAATGGACCGAAGTATATGGGATAATATCGTCAAGACCCTTCAGGCTGCGAACAATAAGCGTACGATGAGCTGAGTACTAGCTCAGCATATGCGGATGTCGCAGGGTGTGAATGAGATAGTACTAACCCCAAGGGCAGGCATATGAGACATAGAGATGATATCTGCCTTTTTCTGGTGGGAATTCTGCTCCTGGCTGCTTTGAGACGTGGTTTCGGAATTGGGACTGTCCTCTTTTGAATTCGCCCGACTTATCGGCCCAACTGGTGATTGATTGACCTGAACCTGACTAAGGAAGAAGAACGAGTCAGGGTTTGAAAGCACTGGGAAGTCTTCGGGAACTCTCGTACTGCCATGGTGGAAGAATGGGCGTGTGTGGTGAGATATAGGAAGGAAATGTATCTAGGGTTTAGAAGGCTATTGCTGAGTGGTTTTACGCGAGAGAGAAGGGTCAACATATAATAAGACTGTCTTCTTCCTCTAAAAGATATGTTGTCCAAATAACGTTCTCGAGCCACGGGTATAAGTATTATGTTTTGGCGGGGTCGACCTTACATTTCGATTAGCACTCTCAGCGGCACCAGCGGGGTCATTAGTGCCTTAGTAATATAATACGCCGATAATGGACTTGTGAGCATCACAAAGCAGTTGCAAAGCAATGGTGGCTTACTCTACCCAGTCTTCCAAGACATGTTGAGTCTATCGAGGCAGATGAGTTGCAGTCGCCAAGTTACGCCATTCTGTACGAGTATTCTTGTCTATCACTTGACAAACTAAGGCCAATGCTAGGCTATCTATGCACGTAAGGACCTAAGATCCTTGTTTCGATTGCTCGCCGAACGCCTTGTACCTATGCTATAGCAGATGCAAACAATGCTTTATCATTTCCGCAGCTTGAGCATGACGTAGGGAACTTCTACGTCTTCCTCGTTCTGATCCTCCACGGTCATCTCGAAGATGACGTTCTTCTGGTGATCTGGAATGGGCTTCTTGCTAATCGTTTCCACAAGCTGGCTCAGTCTGTGTGTTCCGTATTAGCACTAGATCTAGTGATCGAGGAACATGAGAGAGAGAAACTCACTTAAGACCAAGCCGATCTTTGAGTTTGCTCGCCGGGTAGAAACTGGCATACAACAGACTCACGCCTGAGCTCAGCATCATAATATCCAACCCTTTCTCCTTGAAGTCGTCCAGGAACTGTTGCAAAGTGATATTCTCAACTTCAAATCGATCCCAGAGTTTGTCGATCGTCACCTCGCCGGAGCTGCCCATGTACTTTCCCTTCGGACTGGCAATGGGCTCGCTGAACCCAAAGAACGGAAGCGCCAGGTTGACAAAGCCATTTTTATATTGTTCAATATCGTCTTTGCCATCCACGATCTTATAGAGCTCTAGGATGACAAGGCCGGTGACTAAAGCTGTAGTCGTGGCGATGGCAGGAATAATTTTGCCCGCAATGAACTTGGTCTTGTGCCGATCCGCCTCCGCGATTGCATAATTCTGGGCTCGCAAGTTACTGGCTGCTGTAATGAAGTCGATGTGGTGATTGGTATCATCATCTTTCTCAAACTCAACAGGCTCCAGCTTGGAGCCCTTGAGACTTTGAGGGGGTGGCAATTGCGAGATTATTTGCTCCAATGTATCATTGTCATCAAAGTTGGATCCTGCGGGCTGGGCATTCGGGTCAGGCTCGTTGTCATCTGCTTGGATCTTAACCGAAGAGCTTGGAGTGAACTCGGGAATGATCATATCGTCCATGACCTTGAGATAATGCTTGTCTGTAATACTACTATCCCCCTTGATGCCATAGTTGAACGCATGCAAATGAGCGGCGGCAACGACGAAGCCCATGTGGGTAGGATTGGAGGCATCAAATCTCAATGGATCTGGTGCTCGCTTCGGTCCAGACCAGAATGGTGCACCGCTTGAGGTAGTACAATCCTTGGGGAAATTGTAGAGTAGCTGTTGGATATCATTGTTGTATTTGCTCTCGAATTGGCGTCTGGCCCAAACGATGCAATCGTCGAAATTGTGGGGCTTGTCTCTCACCAGATAGTCTCGAATGCTCTCCAATGTCGGTATCTCGTTGCCAGCTTGCTTCAATGTTTCTTCAACGTAATTTGGCTGTGTTATGTAGAGGTTCACGGTTTCCGGCGGTCCAACAAAAAACTCATGGAACTTCTCCTTTGCCCAAGCAATCGTGTGATCAATCTTGTTTGGGAAGCTACGCAGCGTACATTGCGGAAATGACTGCTCGGGAGGGTCCTGGGAGCTTGAATAAGATTCAGTCAAACTTGGCAAGATGACCTGCGTGTTGCCTTTGGTGCCGAGTGTTCCACTGTCAAGAAGTGGCTTCCGAAAGAAGACACACCGACGATCGACGTACTGCCTTGCGTCCACATTGTCTAAAGCATTGGTGACGCCATCCAATTCTTCCCAGAAGCTTTCATTGAATATATGTTCTGTCTCGGCGCCGACTCTGTCCGGAAGAATAACGAATTTCCCTTTGAGATCTGGGTTCATGGCTTGAACAGCTTCGGCAGCACACTCGCTCTTCAGCTTTCCGACATCTTTTGGGCGGAACAGAAATTGTCTGTTCAAATTGCTCTTCTCAATTTGGTCCATGTCTGCCACCTTGATCTTGCCTTTGGGGCCTGTTGCCAGTCCAATCATGGCCCAATTCTTCAGCATCTCACAGCCGATTGCACCAGCACCAACGAGAAACTCGTTAACGTTTGCGAGCTTCTCCTGGAATTCCCGACCGAACACAGCGATCTGTCCATCGTAGCGAGAGTCTAACGGCTTGCATAGCTCTTCAGATCGCTTTACAGAACTAGGCAGAGACTCCAAGGAATCGAAGTAGAGCCACTGTACGATTGGATGAAATTTACCGGAGACAGACTTCAGCACTTCTTGCGCAGCTAAGCCTCCAAAGAAAGCAGCCATAGGAGCAAGATCTCCTCGTGCTTGGTGACTAAGTTCACGCAACAATTTCTCGTCCAGCTCTACCTTGTCATCTCCTTCACCAGCTAAAGCTTGAGCATACTTGAAGACCTCAGAAGCATCTTTGTCCGAGTAGGGTCGTGGCAACTTCCCGCTATTTCTGCTTGCAAACTCGTGCAAGGCCTGAAAGCCCAGGTGTAGCTGTTGGGGTCGATCGAATTTAGCAAAATCGGACATTAGTATTTCAGGCTTTTTCAATTGTTCCGAGAGCGGCTGGAAGCTGATGATCTTGGGCATTTTCACTTGCTGGTAGAGCCCGCCACGCTTGTACTGTCCCAGATTGGACACGTCTCCGATGGAGAATGTATAGGGGCCCTTGACGGTAATTTTGCGAGGCTCTGCGTTATTGAGCGCTTCCATACCTTGTACTTCTGTAAAAGTGACAAAGTCGCCATCTTCGAGACCATGTCTCGTCTCATCCAAAGCCGACACCAAGCCGTCCGAGTCAATGCCGGCAAGTATTCCGCTGACCGGGTTCTCCCCTGTAGGGTCTGCTATTGCAAAGTCTTTCCCACAATCCGTGAATATTGAGCCAAAGAGCCCAAAGACATCCGCAATGACAACGAAGATACTGTTCTGGTGACAGTAATCAGATATCGTTACTTGATCTCTAAGCGAAACCCCTGTCAAGACAACTACTTGATAACGATGGAGCTGGCTCAGATCTTCTGTGAGGCTCTTGCTAGGATGCTCAGACACAGGCGTGTATGCATTGAGTTCTGCAACCCTAGGGACAGTAACGGCAGCTCTTGGCTTACCAACGTCGTCCAGATGTAGGAAGAACTGTGAGGAGAGATCGGAGATAGCAGCTGGCTCTGGGTCGAACAACGTCAGGGATTTGACCCCAGCGAGGGCGATGTTTTTAGCTATAGGTCATTAGATGCTGATGGGTGCAATGTGGGGACTGCAAGGAAACCAACCGATCTCCACTCCGAGCCCTCTCAGACCAGCAATAAGGACGTGCGAGGAACCCATACGCTTCATAGCCTCATGACCAAGGACATACAGTTGTCGACTGTATAAGGATTCATCAATGTCGCCGTTCTTGAGCTGCTCGGATCCAACGGAGGGTCCGTCTATTTCTATGTTGGACGCCTGAGAGATGAAGTTGTTAGCCAGGCTCTCTTTTGACATTGAAAACCAAGGTGGCAGCCAATGAGGATGTGGTCAGAGCCAGTAAGCTCGGCGAAGTTGGCAAGAATAAGATTAATAAACAAGGGCATCTTCAGGAGGCTATGCACACATACCGTCATGATCTTCTTCTTGTCAGGGCGGCTATGCTCGTCAGAAGATTTCCTCTTACCCAGCGTGGCCGCCTTCGGGATATCAGCGTGGGAGTGAATGGTGGATGATTTTAATAGTGCTTGCACAGAGGCAAGCCCTACCTGTCGTGTGAGGTTGGTTGTAAGGGTATGGAACGAAACGGCAAGAACGATGCTGGTAGAGTACAACAACAGATACCCCAGTCTGTTTGGTAAGACAGAAGGAGGTTCAAGCAGTGCTTTTGCGGATTTGCAAGAGGTGTTGCAGGGTGAGCTTTGGAGGAAGAGAAAAGCGTGAATGGTAGAGTAGACGTGGTCGATTAATGGTTCATGAATGATGAAAGACTGGTTCGGCATGTCACCAGTCACGCCAAACGCTCGGACTAGCGGCTACCTAGCGCCGATCTTTCTCCAGGCATCGCGCCGAGCCTCTCGAGACTCTCATTCCTCCAACACTAAGAGTACTCAAAGGCACCCTTTACTACGAACTCAGCTCTCTCGTTGACAACTGCTGGCCTAAACAGCTCCACCACTGTTCATGGCGACCTTCCCGCCATGAGAGAACAACGTCCAAATCCACTTCTCTCTAGCCGGTACCCACGTTTTCTCCAAACCTAATAGACCGCCAATTCGCTTCGACGACAGCTATTGGCACTGGGGGAGGAAAACCGTGGTAGCATCCTGCGCAATCTGTCGGAGGGTTCTGCTACATGGTTCTTTCCAGCCATGATACTGTCCTTGTTGACTCATGCCCTGCTAGGAAGTAGTTTCTTTTGGAATGGCTTCGTTGGAGCTCTTGAGGATACGAAGCATGGCAGCAACCAAGAGGCTTTGGGATTCGGCATAGATGGGGAAAGGTATAAGACAGCTTGTCCAGATTACAAACATTACTCTGTAGTCCCTCAGTACGCCAGGTACCCAGCCTATCCAGTCTTTCGAAAGAGGCTAACATGTACCACAGTCGACCCTTGAGCAAGGGACCATTGGCTTTACCATATCAACGACCCTCGCCACACTGTCGAACGTTTTCATCGTCCCTTGTAGAGGAAATCATCGAGGAGATCAGCGCCCGGATGGAGGATAAAGACCTGGCAAGGATATTCGAAAACGCTTTCCCGAACACCTTGGATACTACAGTCAGATGGCACGTCGATTCGACAGAGAAGCACAAGCGTTACCGCGATGGATCATGGGAAGGAGCGCAGAGCTTTATTGTAACAGGAGACATCAATGCTGAATGGCTCAGGGACTCCACGAATCAGTTGGCACAGTACCAAGCATTGGCCAAGAAAGACAAAAGGCTGGAGACCCTTATTCTTGGTGCTATTAACACACAAGCTGAGTATGTTATCGAATCGCCATATTGCAATGCTTTCCAGCCGCCGCCGCCCAGCGGTGAGCCTGCCGTCAACAACGGGCAAGACGATACTGTCCATCCAGCATATGAGCCTTCCAGGGTGTTTGAATGCAAATATGAACTTGACTCGCTTGCTCATTTCCTCGCCTTGGGGAATCAATTCCACAACAGTACTGGCTCAAAGGCATTTTTGAATTCAAGATGGTACATTGCCTTGGATACCATCCTCGAGGTTCTGACTGAACAAGCCAAACCAACCTTCAATTCTGCAACTGGAAAATTTGAGAAAAACGAATACCTCTTTCGAAGAATGACAAACCGGGGGACGGAGACGTTGAGTCTTTCGGGGATTGGCAATCCCCTGGGAGCGGGAACCGGACTTATTCGAAGTGCTTTCAGGCCCAGTGATGACGCTACGATCTTAGGTTTCTTTATCCCGGCGAACGCAATGATGGCTGTCGAGCTAAAGCGGACTGCTGAACTTTTGAAATCCGCTGGGAAAGACGCTCTTGCTGGTAGATTGAAAGAACAAGGTGAAACCATAGAAAAGGGCGTATGGGAACACGGTGTGGTGACCAATAAGATATATGGCGAAGTATTCGCATTTGAGGTCGACGGCTATGGATCTTCGATTCTCATGGATGACGCTAACCTGCCGTCGCTGTTGGCACTACCTTTGCTAGGCTTTGTCGATGCGAACAACAAAGTTTACAGGAATACCAGAAAGATGATACTGGACCGAGCGGGCAACCCCTATTGTCTCGTCGGAAAGGCTTTCTCGGGGGTTGGCGGTCCGCATGTTGGGTTGCAACACGCTTGGCCTATGAGTCGTCTTGTCCAGGCGATGACGAGTAACGATGACGATGAGATAAAGCAGGTCCTCAATAATGTCCGAGACACGAGCAAGCTTGGTCTTATCCATGAAAGTGTCAATGTGGGGCGAGTGGCTGATTATACTCGTGCGTTTCTATCTTCTTTGACGTCGGAGCTCCGGATACTGACCGTCAAGTAGGAAGCTGGTTTGCATGGGCTAACTCAGTCTTCGCTCAGACTATTCTTGATCTTGCAGCAAGGAAGCCGCATCTAATATTTGGGGAGGGTGCGAAGCCGTTTGTCATAGCCTGAGCCATACGAGCACCCATGATGTTTTATTGCAGCGTTTAGCGAGCTATCGTTCCAGCGTTTGGAAGCAGGCCATTACATCGGAATACCATATTTTGCACTCAATAGATTGTACAATGCTAGAACTAGTGTTCAAGATCGTCTGACTCGTGCCCCATTCCAAAAAGAGCAAGGACAAACAGCACGAGACTTCGATCCAGAAAGGCCTAGAATTAGGGTTCGACCCCACAAAAATGCAATGACATAAATTCCATGCCATTGTTCTTCACAAAGTCTTTAAGAGCACCTTGTGCTAGGCGCCGGCATCTCCATGAGAATAATCCCTATCAGACTCCTCAAAACCACTCGCATGGCAGCAAAGCCCAGCTCGAAGCTTATTTGTATTTCAACCCCCTCGTCCTCCTCGTACTCTGTTCTGCTCTTGCCTCCTCTACACACACTGACATGTCCACTTAGTTGCTCCCGCCGGTGAAAAATCCTCCCCACAAGCCGACCAATATACAAAGGGCACACTAGAGCGCCATCAACTCTCACCTTCCCCCTTCACCCAATTCCACACCTGGTTCACCCATGCCCAACAATCCCACGTCCACCAACCCGAAACCGTCTGCCTGTCCACCGCCCATCTACCCTCAGGCTCCGTCTCCAGCCGATTCGTCTATCTAAAGGAACTCGACGCCACCGGCTTTGTCATTTACAGCAATTGGGGCACCAGCCGGAAAGCCCAAGACGTGCAGTCGAATCCACGAGCTAGTTTGGCTTTTTGGTGGCACGAGCTGGAAAGGCAGGTCAGGGTTGAGGGGACGGTGGTGAGGTTGAGCAGTGAGGAGAGTCAGGCGTACTTTGGGTTGAGGGCGAGAGGGTCGAGGGTAGGTGCATGGGCTAGTGAACAGAGTAAAGTGTTACCCGAGGAGAGTGGTGGGAGAGAGGTGTTGAATAGTAGAGTGAGGGATGTCGAGAGGAGGTTCGAAGGCGTAGAAGATATTCCTGTGCCAGAATTTTGGGGCGGGTTGAGAGTGGTGCCTGACATGGTAGAGTTTTGGCAAGGTAGGGAGAGTAGATTGCATGACCGGTTCAAGTACGTTAGAGATGGAGGAGAAGCAGATGGATGGAAGATTGAAAGGCTGAGTCCATGAAACAACACCATAAAGGAGCCGAATTGGTTAATCAGCATGTCTATTGTACATCGCTTGCTATGAGCAGATGACCTAGATACTGGTTTTGTCCAGATCTAGCTATAAGTGGAGATGGTCTATTCCTATCGTACACTTTTCGCTTCCTTCCACAACTGAAATTCATCATAGAGCCTCCAACAAATGTTGTATCGTTACACTTTCCCCCAACGCCAGCTCAGACTGTTGTTACAGGAGCAATGGGACTTCCGGATTCCAATTCCTCGAGTTTAGCGCCTGCTCCTCCCCATGTATGCGGCGAATACTGAAAACAATGCAAGCTGCCGCACAACGCCTGGGTATCATCCTAGTGAACGCCAAAAATCGAGAAAACGAGTCCGAAAATTGAAAAGGTAACTTAGGCGATTAGCTCCGAGAGGACAACGCTGCCCCCTCGCATGCCATGTCCGACTAATTCCAGGATCCTGCTGGATACTGCCGAAGGATAGCCTCTTGACAGCATCTCGTGGACAGTAGCGAGTGCACCATCTCGATCTTCGGCAGTAAGGAAGGCTCTGGTCATAGACTCGTAAGTGCTCGGCTCTCTCTTTTCCATACCAACGCTGTCATAAACAGCCTTAGACTTGGTAATCATGTTTTCCATGGCCCAGCCGTGGATGAGGGTATTGGCGATGTATGGGGTCATCTCAACTCGATTTGCGGACATTGAGTCAAGGACATCTTCCGTCTGCGCGACGCAGTGGTTGGCTACCATTGACTCAAACAAGGCTTGATAGAGGCAAGCTTGCGGACGAATCTCGCCACCAGCCAGTACTTCATCGAATGTTCGGCGAGCATCGACCATGTCATGAAGGGCACATCCTTTGGCGTGGATGAGAGAAGCATAGTGGACTGCCTCAGGGCGTTGGCCCGATGCACGGATAGTATCAAGTACACCCTCAGCCGCAGCAAGGTTGACGGGCTCGAGAGTAGCGTAAGTGTCAATGAGCAGCTTGTAGGTATGCATGGTAGGTTGGATGTTTCTTGACTGCATGCGGTCGTAGTACGAAAGCACCTTCTGGCTGTCGCGCTTGGTCGTCAGGAAAAATTGCATTAAGCTGTTGTACGGCGCTGGTCGAGGCTTGTAATTTGGCATAGATTCCATTTCATCGAAAAGCTCCTCCGCAAAGCGGTCATCACTGACTCGGCAAAGCGCATTGACAACTGTACCGTATGTGACGCTTGTAGGGCGAATGCCTGCGGCACGCATCTCCTGAAAGTAGCGTAGACAGTCGTCGATACGACGGGCTTTGCCCAGCTTACCAATGAGAGCGTTGTAGAGGAAGGACGAAGGTGTTACTCCCTCGGTTATGGCTCGACCAAAGATGGCGACAGCTTCAGAGGCCTCATCGAACGTTTTGGTAGATTCTTTCAATGTAGTGATGTACAGCCCAAAGGTGTTTGCGGTAGGAGCAGTACCCATTTCGAGCATCTCTTGATGGAACTGCGCCGCCAGTGTACGCCTACCAAGGGTGAGGCAAGCACCCACCATGGCGTCCAAAATGGACGACCATCCATGTCGAACGACCGAGTACTGAGGCAAAAAGGGCATGTCATGTCGTGCCATTCCAAGAATATCATGGATTAGATTGGTTCGACCTTCTTTGGCAGCGGCTGAGATGAGCTTTGAATATACAATATACCGTGGATGGCGACCAGCACGACGAATATTCCTGAACCTCATCAGGGCTTCATTGAGACCCGCGCTGTTTCGGCGTTTCTCTAATTCCTCTGCAATGATTGTGGAGCCCCGATAGTCGGTGGCTGCGGAATACGGGTCATATGAATCTGTAAATGATCCTATCGAGGAGACGGCAGAAGGTGTAGGTTGTGGTGTAAAAGCGCGCTGAGGGTAAGCTTGCTCTGTAGGCAATTGTCGATAACTCTGCCATTTACTGATGAGGTCTGGACGCTCGTGTGACAGAGCGCCCAACGCTTTCTCGATCAAGTTGACTGTACGCTCATCTAAGAGTGCACCAGAGCTAGTGGCAATATCGAACAGGTGTGTAAACCGAGCCAAGTGAGCAATGTCATGTGAGACTTTACCGCTTCCAAGTAATCCGGCCTCTACCTGCAAAGCTAGAGTCATGTCTTGCCAGCTAAGGCTTGTGATATCTTCGGGACCGAGTCCAGCGAGCATTTGCTCAGCAACAGGAGAGACTAGGCCGCCATTTTCGATCATTGCCCACAAAAAGCTCATACTCGCGTTTGCTGAAGGAGTAACGCCGCTCCTCGCGAGAAAAGCACCGATGAATTCAATAGCCTCATCTATCTCTTCTGTTACTTCCGAGGAGAAGGTTGCGACTCCAGCAGAAGCGCGAATGCGCCCGAAGCCTTCACGAACCTGCATTAATCCTTCATCGACGAGGCCTTTTCGAATGAGAGCAGTAGCGTACAGAGTCGTAGGTTCTACAAATGAAGTGTCGAACGTCGAAGACGCAATCAGAAGAGCCCAGTAATCGCCGGCAATGTCGAGATTGCCTTGACGAATATGCAGAGCAAGCATTGACAAGGCTGCTCTTGGTGTCTCTTCGGGCGTCGATGATAGGTACTGATAGGCTTGGGTCGCAATATTGACGTCGCCATGATCTGCAGCCGTCGTGCATATTCGGGACATAGCCTCGCTTCTCACAGATGGCGTCAGGCTACGCTCTTCTGCGACCCTTAGAGCTCCAGAAAAGTTACCGGCACTTAAGAACTCTTCTACAAGCGCATTCAGAACCACCGTGTCTTGGACCGCTTCAAGACGTTCCTTGCGATACTCCGTCACACCAACAAAAGAGTCAACAACTCTTTTTAGAAAGCGGTGGCCTCCATCAGCTCTGCCACACATGGCATACGCCTTGACAACGGCCGCATACACATCGTTATCTTTGCGGCCGATGATAGCAGACTGACCGGCATCATTCGCAATGGCTAAGGACTTGTATTCGTTGTAACATTCGACGGCGTTGCCAAGATCACCGGATTTTGCGAAAGCTTCGATCATTGGTGGAAAGGTCGATGCAATTGGCTCAACCTTGTATGACTCCATATGGCTATAGGCATTAATCATGTCCTCGACGTGACCGTTGAAAGCACAAGCTGTTATTAGAAGGCGGTATGTCTCAGCCGAGTAGAGACAAGTTTTGGGCGAGGAGGTCGAAGTCTTGAAGATTCTGACTGCATTGCGTAAGGCATCGTCCTCAGCCAAGATGTTGTATTCCGCTTCGTTGGAGGCGAACATAAAATTTCTTTCTCCAGCATTCCCGTTGAAACGAAGTCGCTTCTCTTCCAGAGCATTTTTCATGGCAAACACATCCAGAGCACGGCGCGAGAGAGTCTGAATAAGCGTGGTATAGAAAGCCGTGTCCGGTGCCACCATACGCTGTCGCATGTCGGAGTACACATCGAGGGCCTTTGAAACGACCTGGTGCTTGGCTATAGGAAGATGTATAGCAGAAGCAAGAAGAGCATTGTAAGCCTCGACACTCGGACGTAGGCCATGAGCCAGCATCGACTCAAAGATGGGAGGAATATGGCTGTAAGATTCTGTTTCGTGAAGCTTGCAAATCCGTTCTGAGAGGATTTGGGAATCGGTATCGTGCACAGAACTGACTGCTGTGACATCGCTGACTGGGGTGGAGCGGGCAGTATCGTCCGCGGTGACCACAGGTGACAAAGAAGACGGACTGGTAGACTGTCCGTTATCCACAGAGAATTGCCTGAGATCTTCTTTTCGAGAAGCCGAGACCGCGAATGTCTGTGGCTGATCTCTAGACGCAGCAGACTGCTGGATCTGGATGATCTCGTTTGCGATAGCCTCATTCACTTTAGCAACAGCCTCAGCTTCTGCTGCTTGGTCCTGGGATTGCTTGATGTCGTCCACAGCGCTTGTGGTAACGGCACGGTCCAGTTCTCCACGATTGAGCAGAACATCTGAACGAGGCCCATGATCCACCACTTCATTTCCATTTTCATCCGGTAGAACCGAGTGTTCTTCCCACCCTATTCTCTTTGCGAATTGATACTGCTTCCATTTTTTCCCTTTTGCTTGTGCTTGCTGCCATGCTTCAAAATATGGCACCAAAGCTTCATTGTAGTCTTCAACGGCATCCGCGCTACCGTGGGCTGCTCTACCGGAAGCGTCGAATGAACTAGAGGCATTGTGGAAAGAAGAATGAAGCTGTGCTGTCTGAGGTCTGCCGTGTCGATTGGAACTATGTTTTCCGAATGGACCAAGGGGAGTATTCGTAGAAACTTGTGAGGTTTGTCCTGCTGCAACTACAGACTGGACGTACCCGTGGCTGAAAACCTTGCTATAGCTTTGGCGCCCGATATGGGAAAAGGGTTTGAGAACCATTTGGCAAAGTCTGATTGATCCCCGTTTGGCGGGAGATTATTGTCTAAGGGAAGAAATTAGAGTCAGTGTCGTAGGAGACAAGAGACGTCATAGGAAGCAATTGAAGTGAGCAACGGCACAACGGTCTATATAACCGAGCCACTCACAAAAAAGGAGATGGCTTCGAATGTAGGTTCATTGACGACGTTGCAGCCGTCAAAGAACGCGCTGTACGGTTCTGGGTTGAATTGAGTCTCGAGGACATGCAGCAAGGTTGTCCCCGTGTTGGCGTCGTCGTAGTCGAGATTAGCAGACTTGATTGTGTATTGACGGTGGCGATGATATTGGATCTCCACGAGTGAGTTGCTCCCAAGAACGAAATGGAAGAGATTAGGTATTGGGTTTGCGTGTGAAACGAAGAATGGAAGCGGATGGAAGGGTGCCTGAAGAGCGAACGAGTGCCTGATATTGGTTGGTCAATGTGAGAGGAGCGTGTAGGCAAAGGCGGAGTAGCTTACGAAGTGGACACGGAGCTAAAGAGCGGTCTGAAGATCAAGTGTCATCATTATTGCTATTACACTCAAATTCAGAGCGTGAATCCAGAGCTGTCTTGACGAAGTCATACGAAAAAGTTCCGAATAATTTTCGAATTTGCACGGGAGGACCGCGGTTAGTGTCGGTTTTCGGACTTTTCCGCTCCACGTATTCGAGTTCGCCTTGTGCCTCGCAGAAGAAAAGCTGTTTACTTTTCGGCTGTGTCAGGGCGAGTATACAATGGAGCGACCAAGCGTTGCTTTTTCAGCGCCTGGCAAGGTACTACTGGCTGGCGGCTATCTCGTCTTGGACAGAGACTATACGGGCTTTGTTTTTGGACTGGACGCTCGCATACATGTTCATGTGCAGACTTTGCAGACATCTCCTGGCCTCACCCTTTCCGAGATCATTGTCAAGTCCCCCCAGTTCCGGGATGCAGAATGGCGGTATGGCTACCGCGAGACTGAAGAGAATGGTGGCATTGAGGTGACCCAACTGAAAGGGTGAGCCAGCAAGTGTCTTAAAACCTAGGTCAATCATGCAAGCGACCCATATGCTTTGATTGATTTCTGCAAACTTCGATTTTCCATCCGTATCTCCCATCCTTTCTGTCGACGCAAATGTCAGGGAATCTACGTTCCTCGTCACACCGCAAGAATTGGCCTTCTAACACTTCATTCAAATGCCCCATTAGAACAAGCATCCATGATAGAATTTTTTGATTGTCTTTCCATGTCGAGCGGCTGATGCACCTTATCAAAAACACTGATATTACGTGACCGGGATAGTCATTCCACATCCTCACAATCTCGAAATCGATTCGTCGAAACAGCTCTTGCCTACGCACTAACGTACGTATCGGCTGTCGACTCTACTAGAATTGGGCCGGCATCAATTACGATCCTAGCTGATAGAGACTACTACTCTCACTCCGGATCTTCTGGCAACGATATCCCATCTACAGTAGATCGATTTCTTGACTTCAATATACCTCTCCACCAAGCGCACAAAACTGGGCTCGGATCATCCGCTGCACTTGTTACTGCCTTCATAACCGCTGTGGTCGCGCATTATGCTCCGCTAGAGGTAGCTGATGCGAGCTCGATGCTGGAGAAATTGCGACTTCACAACCTCGCTCAAGCAGCACACTGTGCTGCACAAGGCAAGATCGGATCGGGCTTTGACGTAGCAGCCGCGGCCTGCGGATCATGTACTTACAAAAGGTTTTCGCCCTCAATCCTAGAAGGACTGGGAGATGTGGGAAGCAAAGGCTTTTCCACTCGCTTACAGTCAATAGTCGAAGATACGGATTCGTCTAAAAAATGGGACACAGTTATAGACAAGAAATCTGCTGCCACTGTGCCAAAAGGGTTAAGGCTGGTCATGTGTGACGTCGACTGCGGCTCAGAGACAGTTGGAATGGTCAAGAATGTTCTCTCATGGAGGAAGGCAAAGCCCGAGGAATCAGTACTCCTATGGCAAACTCTGCAGAAAGGAAACGAGGACCTTGCTTTAGAGTTTCATAACTTGGCATCTAAACCCGCAGGCCAGGCTGAAGATTACGAGGGCCTACGCACAGTGATATTGACAATACGATCTTCGATCCGTGAGATGTCAACGAAGTCTGGCGTGCCAATTGAGCCCGAGGTGCAAACGAAGCTGATAGATGCCTGCTGTCGTTTGCCTGGAGTCGTGGGCGGTGTAGTGCCTGGCGCTGGAGGGTACGACGCTATTGTTCTACTCGTTGAGGACAAGCGTACTGTGATTGATGGCTTGCATCAATTTCTCGACGATTATCGAGTGAATGCTGATCAGGGTCACGGAGATAGCATTGGAAAGGTCCGGCTACTGGGAGTGAAGCAGGAGGATCGGGGTGTACAGGCGGAAAATTCAATTATCTACGATGGCTGGCTTAAATAAGCATCAATACATGGCAATTGGCAGCACGAATATTCATGCCCCTGACATCATATGGATGATGCACTAGATGCGGTAGTCATGGCTTTTCTCGTTGAATTTTGTCCAAAAACCACGCGTGCGAGACAAGCAAATCGAGCATATCGTAATCCTGGAAGAGTGAGGGAGGAGATCACATATCTAATATAGGATGCCAATGTGTAGATTGGTAGAGTACGAGTACGAGTACTCGTAAAGTACATGGGCTCGACGCATGTGTGTAAAGTACCTTAGCCCCAAGCTCCGGGTAGATATGATCTGAGCCTCTTCAATAAGGGCGGCGAGGGCGGGTCCGAGGGGTCTCAAACGCTCAAACGTTTTGGCGGCTTTCCTTGTTTGCGACGGTAATTTAAGGATACCTACACGTCAACGAACAACTTTCCCATAGGTATCCCAGTAAATAATTCCTCTCTTTCCCATCCTTTCAAGCGCCTTTGCAAGATTTTCACAGCTACTCACATAATCGTAGATGCTTTTTCTCTTTTTTTTTGTTGAGCACCCCAGACTCCCAGACAGTAGTTGATGCTTGGCAACACCTATTACCTTACGAGCCTACCTCGCCATCCGCACGGGTGATCGACCAAAGAAGGCTAATCAAGAGTGTGTTCAGTGTGTGCAAGTAGGGCACAAGGTCAGCAAGTATCCATCTGAAGTGTCTTATTAGAGTATCTCGGGGGGACTACTGTATAAGAATCTACACTCTTTCAGACGTAGAGTATTATTGCTCGGACCACATCCGTGCCAACCGCCCTGACGTTGACTTTCCGAGAAACCATCCGCCACCTTTACTGTACAATCCACCTCATCTTCCACGGCATTACGTATTCAAGCAATTGTCTCCCATCCCAATCGCTTTCCATCTGCGAATCTTCGGCAGCGTATCCCGCCATTTCGCGTCCGGACTGCCGCCGATCCGCTCCTACTGGTGCTCACAATGGCTCCGGTAGATGGCCTCTCAGGAGCTGCGGGAAATGAAGGTTCAACTGGAGCCTCAGAGATTCCAAGCATACCTCTTCATGAGCCCCAGCCTCTTCAATCCCCTTTGCCTTCTTCGGAATCTATAGAAGGAGCCCGGGTGGACCGGCAAACAGCAGAGGACATTTCCACGAAGTCTTTGTTTGGGCCCTTTCCAATATCAACAGAAACAAGTGATGACGGTCAGCAAGGCGTCACGAGCGTGGATTCAGGGAATATGTCCGCACCAGCTCCTGCCATAACCACAGATCCGATTGAGTACTCCAAGGAGAACGGACAAACGGGCACACAATCCTCACCTTCCCCATTGAATTTCGATCCTCAAGTCCGTGAGCCCTTGAAAACTGTTGATGCAAACAAACCACACACTCCAGATACAACGTTACCGCCTCCTCTTACGAGAGAGAAGACAGCGCCAGCAATTGGTCCTGCAACGGATAAGCCAACGCCTGTTCCCAAAGAATCTGAGATAGAAGGTCCAGTCTTATTCATTACCTTGCTTTTGAGTAGTACTGGAGCAAGGCATCCATACAAGCTTGACGAAAAATACCTGCGAAAGCGCAATGTGACGGTTGAGGGCAACAATCCGATCAACATAAGCCTATATAAGCTGAAGGAACTCATACTGAGAGACTGGCGGGAAGGTAAGGATAAAACTCTGTTGATGATGTGAAGCTCTACAAGGTTGTTCGCTGACTCTGGCTTTCAGAATGGGAGGCCAAGCCATCCAGTCCCGAGTCCATACGCCTGATATCCATGGGCAAGATGCTCAATGACAAGTCGCGATTATCTGGTGGGATACACTTCTCTGGATCTTTGAGCTTTTTATAGTACTGATAAGCGTTGAAGATTCTGGTTTCACCAATGGTCTCACACCCCACATCATCCACATGACCATCAAACCACAAGAGATCGTGGACGAAGAAGACGCCAAGATGAAGTCAGGGGGAAGAGACCGGGATGGCAATGAGAGAAGTCCAGGATGTCGGTGCATCATTCAATGACCGGCATGTTCCTTTCTACATGAATCTATAATTGTAACGTTAAGCTTGAGGCTTGTAGCATGGCGACGCGTGGATGAATCACGGCGGCGTTGAGTACGGTCTCACCATCTGAAGCATTTTCTGGCGTTCATGGATATGTAGCACAAGGCCCTCAAACGGCGGATTGGACGGTTTTCGCTATCTAGGACAGTCATGGTTCCTTACGATGTAATTGTACTTGGGGTTTCTTGCCAAAGAGCTTGCTTGTTCTTTGGAGCTTTTGGGGCAGCACATCTAGCGACTTTGAATTCTGGGTAAAGTAGTCTCTGTGAAATAGTATTTGCTTCCAGTAGCATGATCACGGGAAAAAGCGGCTCGCGCCATTGTGCAAGGGGAGTCGCCTAGGTATTCGATCCAGTAGTTGCCGAACGCCTAGTCCTGTTTGGAGGTAACATGAGATGTATTCTCACAACCTGCTCACCAATCCATTTTCAACTTCGCCTCCATCTCCGAATGGAAATCCGCCCCTTCCCTAGTCTCATCGCCCTTGTAGACATCCTCCCATGTCAGCTCCGCATCCCTCCCCGCGAGAACATCTCCTCCGACCCCAGCGCTTCCCCCCAAACAGGCTGGCCTCCACTCCCCCTCTCTGCAGATCTTCAGCTCCATTCCTCGTCGCACGGGTTCCGCGATGCCGAAGTTGCGGCGGAGCATGTTCATCTTGAGCGAATCTTGTGTTGATTGCCAGGCTGCGAGGCGGGATTCTAGTGGATGTGTGGAGGTACTGGGTTGAGGTTGGGAGGTATTTGTCGAGGAGGCGGTGGGTGTGGGTGTGAGAGAAGAGCGGAGGGTGTCATGAATGCCAGGAGCGGAGGGCGCGCCTCCAGTGGTAGAGCTGGTATTGTTGGTTGAAGTAGCGTGGTTGAAGGGGGGTGCTATACGGAGGGACTAGGGATGAAGAGTTAGTGGGAAGAGTAGGAGGAGCGACTGGGGAAGGGTTGAACTTACCATAATGGAAGGTCTGTCAATCGAGATTGCTGTTGCAAAGAGTCGGCGAAGAGTCGTTATACGTGTTTGTGAGGATGTGTCTTGATGGATCTAAAGTAATAGTCGATTCTCGAAAAGTGTACGCGGCAGGCTACGCGCGCCGCTCCAATACACGCCACAAAGGCTGCTATTTAGAAACGTCATAAGATTATGCAGGGGTATCAAAATACGAAAATTGTATCAACCAGCTTTTCGACTTCTTCGAGATCCAGGCGCTTTCGATGCATTCGCTGGTTTCTCCTTCTCTGCTGCCACCCCTTTCCCGTTTTGGCCTGGCGCGGTAGCTTTTGCCTTCTCCATTTCCTCATTCTCCTTCTTTGCCAACGCTCTCTTTATGGCACCGTCTTTCTCCAGCGCCTCAACCTGCTTTTCGCTGAACGTCCATAATCCCTTTTGAGCATTCTCGTCCCTGATCTCTTTCCTCAAATAGTCCACTTCTTTACATTCTTTCAACAACCTCCCAGCCGACCCTCTCCCCAGTTCCGCCTCCATCGCAGCTCTGAGGAAACCCTGAGCACCTTGCACAGGGGATTTGAGCACAAGCCACCAGAAAGGCCACGTGACTAAGTAAAACAACAACCCCCACAGTGAGCCCATCGTCAGCCAACGCCGCATGCCAGGTGTCCGAGTAAAGCCAGGGTCAACGACGATGACTCGAGCATTATTAGGCTGTTTGTCCGGCCGTTGATATGCATCCAGATGTTTTTGAAAAGCCTGAGCAAAGATCATGCATGCCAGCTTACTGGTCTCGTACTTTCTTCCTGGCGGCAGAGGGTCCCTTGTGTCTTTCAAAGGCTTCAGATCGCCCCCAACATAGCTGGAACATGTTGCAAAGACTATCCTAAAATCTCTATCAGGGGGCTGCGCTCTAATCGCTGGACTCAGTATGCTCAGAAGATGGAAGTTTGCAAGATAATTGATCCCCCAAACAGGATCCAATGCATCTTTTGTCTTCGAAGTGATTCCGAATCTAGGTATCAGACTGTCTGCGCTTAATATGATCATGTCAAGTCTCCTGGGAGGAGCGTTGTCAACCCATTTAGTCGCAAAGACTCGTATTGAGTGCAATGACGAAAGATCCACTTGCTCTGCGTAGATCAACTCGTTGTTGGTTGAGGCGCGCAGATCATCAATGTAGTCCACAAGAAAAGGGTCCGAGGGCATATGATGGGTGAGAAGAATTATCTGGGCGCCGCGAGTCGCAAGATGCTGAACTACGGCTGCACCAATGCCGGATGTGCCACCCTACTCATAATCAGCTACACTCATAAGGGAGAATAAACCTCAACTACCGTAATCATGATCACTTTAGAGTGCATCAAGCGCTCCGAGGTGTTGCTGGCTCCCCCGAAGTAAATCTTCAGGAGCCATATTGAGAACAGCAAGGATAAAGTCTTCAGGATAGGGATCACGAATGGCAATAATGATTCTCCTCCAAATACTGCACTTGCAAGTATATGGATAGGCATCGTCAATGCCAAATGCTGCGGCAGTATAATTGTTCAACGGCATGAAAGGGTAACAATACCGTAATCGTGGTATTTTAATTAGAACCGATCTACTGTACAAGCGTCGTCCCAAGCTCCTCGAACATTAAATTTCCTACAATTGGAAGTCACTATCAGTATGTCGGACAAAGAGGACTGCAGCCCATGGGAGCAGCAAAGAACCTTCGGCGCTGGAGTTAAGAGGAGGAGAATTGATTTCGTGGCCGCAGCAGCAGCTCCCACGCAGGCTATACAACTGGCACGTCGAACCACCCCCTCTATCTCTCCTGGAGACCGGTATCTAAATATTGTCTTCAAAAATGGTGCGTCCACCGAGGACCATGATTCCACTTCCACCGAGGTCTTTAAACCCGGGAGAAGTGCTACACAACTGCAACCTGACCTGAAAGGACCTTTCTGTGAGATCTGCAATCTCCCAATAGATGCCATAGGAGACCCGACATCCACAGTGTCCACGAATCACGAGTCCACTATAGCTCACATGGTCTGCTTGACTCATTCGCATCCACCGTCACATTTGGATCGTAGTCGACAAGGGCTCAAGTACCTCTCATCCTATGGCTGGGATCCGGACAGCAGACAAGGATTGGGCGCAACAGGTAAAGGCGTAAGGGCGCCCATCAAAGCCAAAGTAAAGAACGATACTGTGGGACTAGGCGCGAAGACAAAGGGAAACAAAAAGCCCCCAGGCGCGAAGGTAGAGAGAATGGATGCGAAGCAAGTTCGGAAGATGGATATGGAGGATAGGAGAAAGCGGGAAAGGCTGCGGGAGATGTTTTACAGAAATGACGACGTGGAAAAGTATCTCGGTGGTGGATGATACGGATTGAAGCACTTGCATGCATGTCCGGAGCAGAGCTTTACTTCCAGAGCAATCCCTGGGCCGTCCCATGTCAACACAGCCTGCTTTGAGCTGGTGGATCTCAACGCCCTCAAAGGGTATACTTCCAATCGTACCCGTTGTAATAGGCTGCACGGCTAATTGCTTGAGTCCAAAAGAATTGGCCACCATTGTCAGTGTTAGACGTCAATGACCACAGACCCACAAAATTGAGACCCCAAAAGTTTGACAACAAGCTCATAAGTCTCGAGCTGGAAGTCGAAAATACCTGAGACCTAAGAGATAAATTTGTGGCTTTGTTTTCGTCGCTGAGTGTAGCTACGACAACTTCTAAAATCTGGAAGGCATCTCGTGGACAAAGTGCAAATAGAACAGTAGCTACTGGCATGAAAGCACGGAGTGAACGACTTAGATGTTTCACTACCCAGCTCGCAAGTTATGAGTTGCCTGATATCCAAAGCGCGCCAACTAACCCCAAGTACCACCTCCACCACCACGTCCTTGCCTCTTCTGCGCCGACAATCGCCAATCATCCTCGCCAGCAAATCTATTGTGCAACGGCTGTATCCTTTCCGCCTTCTTTCTTTTTGACAGCCGATCTGTAGCGGCCACCTTGAAGAACGTAGGCGCTGCCTCCACAAGCCATTTTGGTTCAATCGCAGTAGTAAATTGCATATATTCTTTCGTCGTCAAGACCAGGGTATCGAATATAACATGTTCTGATGGTTTCCCAAACATGGCAGAAGAAGGATGTAGATAGACGACGGTGCCTTCGGTGAGCGTCTTGTAGCCTTCCTGTGGGTCTTTCCTTGCGGCGTTTCTGAAGAATCCGGAGCACAAAGCTTGCCGCACCTTCATCGTGTTCCTTCCACATGAAACAATTTGGTGCTTATATCGTTCCATGATGCTCACGAGTTGCTGACGCACGTCTTGGGCACGTCGCATGGAGCGAGCCTGGATGAAATTTTCGAAACACCATGGATTCGAAAATTTACTTCCTTTCCAACCATTGTAGACGTTCAGTAGGGTGAGGTGGTCTCCATGAGCATCATGAAACCTTTGCTTTTTTTGATCTGCTTGCTGTTGCTTCTCCTTTGGGCGGTAGAAGACGGTCTGGACCGAGAGCATAGCAACGATACTCAGAATCTCATCTGAGCATCCAAGATCAGTCGAAAAAATCAGTGTCTTTGCAAGAGCTGGCTCCATAGGAAAATCTGCCATCTTACGGCCAAGGCGCGTCAAGAGACCTTCGTCATCAAGAGCTGAGAGGGCATAGAGCTCTTCGAGGGCTGTTAGCATAGTGTTGGTAGGAGGAGGATCCATGAAGTCGAAGTGGAGTAAGTCGTTGATGCCCATGGCTTTCAGCATAAGGATGGTGTGTGACAGGTTCTGGCGTTGGATTTCGGGTATAGAAGTCGGAAGCATCTCCGACTGAAAAGCTGCCTCTGTGTATAGTCTGAATGCCTTCCCTGGACCTGTACGCCCAGCACGACCAGCTCGCTGTTTAGCTTGTGCCTGGGAGATAGGTGTTACAACAAGCGAATCCATTCCAAGCTTAGGATCGTAAGCGTTCTGCTTGACAAATCCAGGATCAATAACGTAATAAACGCCATCAATCGTGATTGAAGTCTCAGCAATATTGGTCGCAATGACCACTTTTCTGCTGCCAGGTGGTGCAGGTTCGAAAATCTTACTCTGCATCTCGCTAGGTAGAGCGGAGTAAACAGGGAGAATGAGTAGCTCGGGCACGCTTGGACCAAGAGCTTTCATTCTCTCGAATAGAATTTCGCAACTTGTATCTATTTCCTCTTGCCCCGTCAAAAAAAGTAGTATATCGCCTGGAGGCTCTGTCAAATGGATTTGCATGACCGTGACAAGGGCAGCGTCAAGATAGTCTGACTCCGGTTCTCTCGAGTACATCACTTCCACGGGATACGTACGACCTGGAATTGTGAAGATCGGACACTTGTTGAAGTATTCAGAAAACTTGTCGGCATCGAGCGTGGCGGATGTAACAATCACTTTTAGGTCAGGGCGTCTCTTCAACGTTTTCTTCAGCAATCCGAAGAGAACGTCCGTCGAAATGGTTCGCTCATGGGCTTCATCAAGCATAATGACTGAGTATTTTCTGAGGTTAGGATCCACGAGCACCTCTCTTTGAAGCATGCCGTCGGTCATATATTTAATTTTGGTTTCTGGACTGGTGCAGTCTTCGAAACGAATGGTGTACCCAACTTCTTGACCCAACTTGCAGCCAACCTCTTCAGCTACACGCTTCGCAACAGACATTGCAGCGACTCGGCGAGGCTGAGTACACCCGATCATACCATAATTGGCGAAACCACCCTCTGCAAGATACTGTGTCAACTGGGTAGTTTTACCAGATCCAGTGTCGCCCACTACAATCATGAGTTGATTTTCGTTGACAGCATCGAGGAGCTGCTTGCGAAATTTATATACTGGCAAGCTTTCCCTTTGCTGCTTGATTGACATAGAGCTTCTTTTCCCAAGTGACTGGTCTTTGCTTTGGGTCACCCGCTTCCACTCCGGCAAAGTATCAGGGGCCTTGTGTGCTTGCGGGTTTCGGAGGTCGCTGGAGAATTTGCGCTGGTCGGGGGCCATCATTGGATCTTGCCACTGCGCGTTCAGGTCAACTTGTGAGGCTTGCTCAGCAGCTTTGTCCTGTGCTTCTTGCTGTCGTAGATCACGGCGCTCCTTTGCTAGGGATGTACCGGCCATGGCAGCGCGATTCATCGATCCATCTGGTGCTTTGACAACTCTTATAGGGGAAAGCTCTAAAGATTGCTTTGTCTGCCCAGCAAGGAATGGAGGTTCTTCTTCTCGGACTTCAATATCCACGTCTTCCTCCTCCTCAAAATCGCCTTCCCCAGCTAACGTTGCATTATACTCTTCATCGATGTCTGGGTAGTCCAATGCAGAGATGGCGCCTGATGCAATCAATTGTTTGATCTCCCACCTTTCAGGAGACGTCATTCTTTTCTTTTGTCGCATGCGCTTCCCATTCATTTCACCTTCTATAACAGGTACATCTGAAGAGAGACTACCATATCTGTCGTTGCCGTTGGTTTCAGGGCCCTTACCATCGAGCCTTTCCATGTTTGCACCTGATGCTAGTCTCTTCTGAGGTACTAGATCGCGACCTGTGACTTGATCTACTTCTTTCATTGATAGTCCGATTCGAGACCCTTTAGGTCCAGGCTCGATACTCACGACCTTCACCTTAACAGACTGACCTTGAGAAACAAGATCTGAAGGGTCGTTCACTCGGGCTCCTTCCTGCATTGCAGAGACATGCACCAATCCATCAGCTTTCCCTTTCACGCCCTGCAAGCTCACGAATGCTCCAAAAGGCTTGATACCGCTGACTGTACCGTTGTATACCTTGAAGATTTTAGGTGCATCATCGATCTCGGGAGTGGGTGGACGCTTGAAGAAGTCGTCTTCATCATATCTGTGTCCCTTTTTACGACCTCCTCGACCGGTGCGATACTCATTGTCGTTAGTGCGATTTTCGTTCGCATGAGCGGAGTATTCCTTGTCGTAGTTGTGGCCACTATTCCTTCGATGTCTGCTATGCTTTTCTCGGCTATAAGACCTTGATCGAGACCAAAATCTGTCCCTTTCCCTTCTGCTCCGGTCGCCGTCGATGTCATCTGGACTCCGGTTTCTTTTCCTATTGCTATTGTCTGCACCATTTGACAGCTTTGTGCCTTTCCCAGCCAGGCCTTCAAGCATCGCGAAGGTATCATCGAGGGCGCCAGTCAGTGGTCCATCCTTGGCTTCCGACTCATCCTCCCACTGCTGTTCTCTATCCGGCACAGCTAATCCTTTAAATATTCTAGTCTTCTTCTCCATGTCATCAACATTCTGACCGTCTCCGTTGACCCGTATTCCCGTAGAATGTCCAATTGCTTTCCCCTTGTGTTTGGGATGCATGGTGAGTATGAGCCGATCTACACTCTCGATCAGACTCGGAGGAAAGTCTGCTCCCATCTCCTCCATCTTGGCTTTGAATTTGGGCAATGATTGACATTGTGAATGCTGTGCGATCACAAATTCAGCTAAAGTCTTGTCGTTGATGCCTAAATGATTCTGGAGCTCGGATGTCACTTTCGATACCAACGAGAGCAGTTCCAGAGAGGCAAGGTCGTCCATGACTACAGAGTTTCCAACGACCGTCCGCTTTGAAGAATCGAGAGGGAGAAATTCACTATTAAGTTATGAGTACTGTATGCTTGTTAAATCTGATTGATTGATTGCGGCAACTAATCGCGCGTTTCAAGCGCTAGTGGCACGGACTGACATGCCTTACAATCGCTCAGAATGGCGAATCCCAGATTCCCAGAACACTCAACTTGATTTCACGATCATATGTAATGTAATATACATTAGGCAAGAGGAACGCGTTACTTCAAGCCGGATGTAAGGTGATAGATTCATCCTTCATATGCTACGCCAAGTGATTTGGGAAACAAGTGTACCTCATGATGGCGAGGACTTAATTACATCTACGCGAGACTAACGAGTGGTTTGATTGATAGGCGATTGTTTTCTGGTAGTTATTCACTGTTGTGCTCTAAATGAACGCCTTTCCGCTTCGACCCATCCTCGCAAAAGCTCATAGAAGTACATAACGCTGATGCTGACGCTTCGATTCAGACTGTAGGGTATCCTCCGTCAACCTTATGGTCGTATGCTCAGTCAATCCTTGTGTTCTCGTATGTAAATTCCGTGTTTCAAATAGACACAGCCCAAGATACGCACTATGAGCTGGGGCCTCATCTATTCTCAAGGCGAAGCGACACTTTGAATATCCCCAGATGCAACTTCCATGTTCCGCAATCTTTCTTCAAGTCGAGCGTCCTTCTGTTGGGAACTTTGCTCCTGATCAGATGCGCCCTCGGGTAGGAACGGAGCATCTGGCAACTTCATCTGAACGCTAGAGTCGTCAGACTCAGCAACTGGTTCATTAAGCTTGCTGATCTGACGTAAGGCCTCCTCCCTCATTTTCTTGATACTCTCTCTTATGGCAGGACTAGACGAGTATTCCGCCAGCATCTTATCGATTCTCTCCTCTACGAGTCTCTTGACATGAAAGGCCATCGCTTGATTGATGAACACTCCAGCAAACCGGTAGCTTAGCCATAGGTAGAGGATCAAGGCCTTGTGTAGAGATTCCAACCGTTCCATGTAGGCTCTGTCAGGTCTGATGTCTTCATCCAATATGTCCAAAGGTATTTCGAGTATATCAAGTAGAGCTCCACTGGAATTATCTCCAACGCATCTAGCGAAGGCTGCAAGAATAGCGGGCATGCCTGTATTCTTGACTGTGGCAGGAGCAGCGCAAAATACAATGCGGTCGTGGATGCTCAGGTTTTGGACAGGCTGAATAGTGTCTGCAATAGCGATTTGGTCCTTCAGAACGCACAAGTGATACCTTGGATGTCTGAGTGAGAGCTCGTGGAGCCGTAGCAAGATGTAACTGAAGCTTGTCGATGGAGAAAAATAGGTTGCAAATTTTAGAAGAACGCTCGTTGGAGGAAAGATACCTGCACTCATGATGGGGTCCAACTCCTCTTGCATGGCTTTACGGAGAATCGGAAGATCTGCTTCTTCGAGAGTGGTAACTAGTCCTAGGTTTGGTGCTGGCATACTCCACGACATCTTTGGATTTTCTATGTCTTCAAGCGAATTTCCGGCCGGGCCTTCTGCTTGTGCTGCCGTGCGGTAGCGACCTGCACGGCCAGCAATTTGCTTAATATGGGCAGCTTCGATAACCGCGAAATGGGATCCGTTGAACTTGGACACAGACTCGAATATTACGCGCTTGATAGCCCTGCACACCGTGTCAATTTTGGAAGACGGAAATGAATAGCAGATCTTACAAATTCAACCCCATGCCAATAGCGTCACTAGCCACCAGAATATCATATTCATTGTCGGGATCGTTGAAAAGTTTGGCCTGTTGTGCTCTTATTTCTGGAGGCAAGCTCCCGTAGACAACAGCTACTCGCTTTTGGGTCACGTTTTCAATCTCTTTCTTCATCGCATGTATTCCAACGCGCGAGAATACCACCACACAGTCTCCTTTCCTGAGGTCACTCAGCCGGCGCCGTAGGCTTGTCGACATTGTTTTAAGTGGGCTTAGTCGTTTGTACGTGTGAATCTCGATTTCGTCTCCCATCGATGCTGCAAGCTCCTTGATCAGAGGCACACTTCGCTCCTCACCACACAGATGGATCTCTTTCGCTTTGAGACCAAGAAGTGCTTGCGTCCAGGCCCATCCTCGCTCCTTGTGACCTATCATCTGAATCTCATCAACGACTGCTACATCGACATCTGTATTCAGAGGCACCATCTCGACAGTACAGCTTTTCATTTGTGCTCCATCACCCCCTTGCACGACTTTTTCGTCGCCAGTGATGAGATCACAGAGTTTTCCTTTCGCGTTCAGCCTGGTATAGACTTCATGGGCCAGGAGCCGCAAAGGTCCTGCGTATATCCCGGTGTCCGCCTGCTCGAGTCGTTTCAAAGCATGGTAGGTTTTGCCGGAGTTTGTGGGTCCGACGTGCAGAACTATCTTCCTTTGGACTACCCGCGTTGCTGGATACCATTCCACTGGATAACGTAGATCGGCAAGCTTTTCCTGATTCTCGATATCAACCTTCGAGAACTTCTGACTTGCTAGGAGGCCATGATAGGAGTATTTGAGCTGAGTGTCCACTCCTGACTCTCCATTGGACATGAAAGCTTGTCGCAGAGATCTAAGAAGCGACACAGGTCTTGACTGTTCTGAAGGTTGCCATTCCGATTGTGAAGGAAGTTGAACATCTTGGGTTTCCAGGGCTGTCCAAATAGACCTCCGCGGTAAGATATCTATAAGATTCCTGGCAAAAGTTACAAATCCTGCATCAGTAGATTTCGCGACTAGAATCTGGAGTCGAGTAATAAGCCATGGTATAAAAGTCTCTGTCTTGAGGAGTTTAGATCTCGTGGCAGCATCCGCAAATTTGATGTCCGGCTGCCGAGTCAAGATCCTAAGGCGACCCTTTATGAGTGGCTCCCTGATTGTCCATTTCTCGTCCGTAGCTTTCACAGACCTGCACCGTGTGCTAATGGTGGGGCGTCTCGCCGTCCAGGCACGGGGGAGCAGACGTGAAGTCAAGGCTCGATCAGCTGGTAGCATTCCCCACTAGGGGTCACTATGATCGAGCGTTGGTTGATACTACGTTTGTAGTGTATTTCATGAAGCTATCGCGAAATTCGAGGCATCGTTGGTGTATACATTCAGCCTCTTCGCCCAGGACAGAATTCAGATTTGCATACCGGTATCGACCCCAACTAGCGGCGCCAAACGCGGATATTATACACCCCCCAACGATTGCCCGCTCGCCTTGCGGCCCAGGTATGCTTCAATTCGGATGCTGGAATCTAGCCATTTGAGTCCGGTACCACATTGGAAGCTTCCAGGTATGTTTCCAAACACTGGACTAGAAGTTTAAAGATCGCCGCCGTGGGTTGAGTACTCAAGGCATCGTTGCCTCCAACTCCGCAGCAGAATCTAGTCGTACCGAAACCATGGGAACCTCTGCAATCGCGGTACAGCAAGAAAGTAAGACTAGACTTACACTCCTCAACGTTTCGTTTCTAATGTCATAGTCATTCTCGATGCCGTGAGGTCTACAGCTCGAGGAGAAGTAAGCCGTCCCCGTTTGCGAACCAAGCACCATCAGGCTCAAACCTTCGTCTTTGCAGTGGAAAGTTGTAGTCTTGGACGCTGGAAGCAAGCGGCTTGTCGATGGCGTCGTCAAGGAAGACGACATTCTAAAGGAAAACGTCACGAGTACGTTACGAAGGAAGGATGCCAGAAGGTAGAGCGGGACTGAACAAGATATAGATATAGAACAAATCGAGGATAAAAGACCTATGAATCAGGAAATGGATGCGGTGTACATTCTCTCGCCCCAACCTCATATTGTGGATTGCTTGATGGCAGACCTCGAGCGTCGCCGATACCGCAGGTCATATATAGTCTGGACATCATGTAAGAATTCAGAGGTCGAGGATACGCTCGCAAGCTTCGTGCAAGCCGGTCAGTCCTGACAATGACTTTGTGCAGTGCTTCCTCCTGAACAGCGTCTCCGCCTGGATCAGTCCGCATTGGCAAGGGAACAGATAGTCCTGCTAAGAGTTTTGAACGTCGACTTCTATCCTCGGGAGTCACATCTTATAACGTTCCGAGATCCGTGGAGCTTTCCAACCCTTTTTCATCCTGCCTGCAACCAGCTTGTCCGAAAGCACATGGATGAGTTGGCGCAAAAGGTACGTTCTTCAATGCAGTACTAGTCTTTCAAAGGACTCCCGCGAAGCGCTGACGTTATTTCAAGATAGTGTCAATATGCGTATCGCTTGGAGAGTACCCAACCATACGGTATTACAGTCCACGAAATCCTGCGCACGAAGCTAGTGTTCTCTGTTCGCATCTTGCTCGCTTCGTTCAGCTTGAGTTAGATCAATACGCGAAATTTCACGAAGACTTTCCACCCCCTTCACCTCGACCTCGAGGTGCTCTTATTATCACTGACAGGTCTATGGATTTATTTGCTCCAGTAGTCCATGAGTTTACCTACCAGGCTATGGTACATGATCTTCTACCTTTAGTGGAGGGAGACAAGGTCTACTATAAAACGGCTCTAACCCAAACTGAAACGAGCGGGAACATCAAAGATGTAGAGATCGGTGAAACAGACAGCATATGGGTCAAGAACCGTCATCTACACATGAAAGATCTTTTGGAGAAGCTAGCCTCTGAGTTCCAGGCCTTCAAGGCAAAGAACCCACAGTTTGCAGAAAGGTTCGTTAATCCCGTTGGACAAAGAAGCGTGCAAAGCAAGCCCCTAACTCAAGCCCCTATCTCAGTGACAACCCTAGCAGCCTAAACAACATCAAAGACATGCTAGCAGGACTGCCGCAGTTCCAAGAAGGCAAGGAAGCCTTTTCACTGCATCTGAACATGGCGTCAGATGCTATGAACGTTTTTCAAAAGCGCCGGTTAGCAGATATCGCTTCGGTAGAACAGGTAACTCCGCAATATGCTGAGCCACCCTTGAACCAAACTGACCCAAGCAGTCACTTGCGACTGGATTAGACGAAGATTATAAGAAGCCGAAGAACCTTGCCGACCAGGTTGTCAGGCTACTCGACGATAATGATATTACTTTCCCAGACCGTCTACGGCTGATCATACAATACCTACTTTACCGAGAGGGTCTTTTGCCCTCTGACACGCAGAAACTGCTTGCGCACGCTCAGTTGCCTGCCCAAGATGGCGAAGTAATCCATAATCTTGATCTACTTGGTGCACATGTTTCAAGATCGATGAAGGACACACGGCCGGTAGCTCAATCTCCTTTTGGTAGGAAACAGACGCCGCAAAGTCCGAGCGAGGAGGAATCTGGACTCTCAAGATATGACCCCGCTATCAAGCCGATGCTCGAGGAACACATACGGGGAACGCTTGACCAAAATACCTTTCCCTTCACAAAGCCTCATCTCGACGCAGCCGAAGGACTACTGGGCCAAGAGAACGTTTCTCAAGCATCACTGCGAAGTGCAAAACCAACTTGGGCACGAACTCGACCATCTGCATTAGAGCCCAGGCAGCGCATCATTGTCTTTATGGCGGGCGGTGCAACCTACTCTGAGTCGCGGGCATGCTATGAAGTGTCCCAATTATCCAACAAAGATGTCTTTCTGGCCACTTCTCATATGTTGACCCCGAGTCTCTATCTCAGACAAGTCGGAGACTTGAGCGTTGATAAACGGCGGCTCGATCTTCCAGCAGAACGACCAAAGCCCCAGGCACCTGCTCATCTGTTTGAGAGAGAGCCACCGACTGCACCACAGGCTTATGCAAAGCAGCAACCCACAAATTCTCAACAACCTCAACCCCCAGTGGCTAGTATGGGTGCGATGAGTCTTGGTTCCAATCCCGCGAACGCAAACATCTCTTCGAACGGCGCGCTCAAGGGTCATCGTTTGTCTCCGGCACCTTCAAATGCAGTCCAATCTGCCAACAGTAGATTGACTAAGAAGGAGAAAGACAAGGACTCGGAGAAGAAAAAGAAGCACCACTTCTTTGGCTCGAAGAAGTAAATGGTTCTACTGCATCGCATAAGTCTTGTGCATTTTAGCGACGTGGGGAGCACTGACTTTGAACGGCGTCTTGGGATCCAGTATATCCATTTCAGGAGTTATTTCCCATAAGATACCATTGGGGCGCGAGCTAGCTTGATAGCCCGCCAGGAATGTGAATGGAGACATGCTTTTGCAACGGAGATTGATTTGATCTGATGATGTGCTACTACTCACGTCCTCGTGTTTGCATCATCCATGAAGAACTCTTTACATTATTGCTAAAGTGATTCGACATGCCTGCGCTATCACTCGTCTCTACAAGTGAATCTGTTCCATTCAAGAATCTCCTCTTTCGCAACTTCATCCATCTTTGATTTCATCCATTGAGAAGTTTATCTGTTCCAACATTCCCTCTCAGTCTCGTGGGATATTCGAATCTCTCGCCCTACCAAATCCTCTCTTCCTTATACATCATTCGTTTCTATGTGATGACCCCCCTTTTGTAGTTGTACACACATACGAAACGATCATCAACGCTGTCCGATGCTGCTCCGCCTCAGACAACAAGCAATGTCTTATGAGCTGACGAAGCCTGACAAGAGAACTACATCTCAGCTAGGATCTTCCTTGTCCTTTCGACGACCCTAAACCTCTTCACCTCCCAGACTTCCTCCTCACCTACACATCTATCAATCCTCTTTTGGCATCGACCCTTATATGAAAACATACATTGATACACCACAGACCTCAACGCGATAGTCGAGTCTTTCAAGACTCGTAATGTGAAGAGATGTAATCCCACCACGAGAATGATTTGTGGCAGCAGACGAGCCCAGTTCGACGGCCTGTTCCCAAACCAGAACTTTCAGGACCCAGTCTTGCTGAATCTGTGGCGGGGCCACGAGACGATTCGAGTACTTCCTATCAGACCTTGATCTGGGGCAACCGCCCCAAGATCCAAATCATTGCTGGCCAGCATCGGAAGCTGGCTCTGAAGATTCACGAGCCAACCAACTTTACATGGCTGGCCAACGTCTACGACCTGGACGCCCATGCCGCCGACCACATTGATTGAACTTGGAGGTAACGCCACCACGGTCGCACACGCGGCGAGCATGGGCGAGGTGTTTCGAGACATCGCAGCCATTGCGCCACACATCGCCTCATCAGACACTGTCATCGTTCGACCCTATCTCACTCCGCAATGCGCACCGACTCTGGAGGAGTATCTCGGCGCATGTAGGTCAGTTACTTTTTCTGAGTTATTTCTGAGTTCTACCTGATTCGTGCAGTCCTGAAAGAGACATGCTAATTCCGAAACGATACAGACATGGAGACAAGGCTAAGCTACAGAAGACCTTCATGAACGCACTTACCGTGTGCTCACAGCAAAAGTCGATTGATAAGCTCATCATTGATCTGGCAAGTCCGCTGAGGGGAGAGCTCTCAAGATTTGTAAAGTCAGGAGCAGGAATAAAGTTGTTCTCACAGGATGGAATGCGCGATATGTATGAGACCCAATGTTTAACTTCTGGAACAGCTGGCTGAGAAGACAAAACCGATTCATCAAGAGGATCATGGGTCAGGTGCGCATTAGGCATTCGGACATAAATCATATGAACAAGCTCACGGCCCTAGGTTCAGGAAACCAGGAGAATATCGCGAATCTGTTCTGAACGCTCACGGGAGCCGAGACAAGCGAGTCGCCATTTCCAGGATGGCTTCGGTCAATGGACGTGCTCACCATGATCTCTGATCGCGACTACCACAAGATCTACGACAAAGTCGTACAGGATCAGAATCCGAGGTCTATGTTGTTGAGTAGACATGCGCACCATCCTCTAGACTGATTACTTCGGTCCACGTAGTTGTTGAGACGACACAGCTGTCTCGGACAACTTGATCAATTTGGTGGCCCAGACTGTATTCGACCATGTCGAATGCTTTTTCCCCAAAACAACAAAGACCTTGACAACTATCCCACCGTAACGATCAAAGGCAAGGGCGACAAAGAAGACACCATATCGGAGGAGGACTGTATGAAGCGATTCAAAGTCCACTTTTACTGGTTCCATGCCAAAATTGTGGCACGCTACGTCAATCACAACCTTGTCCCAGACTTCATGCACCCATTCAACAACCCCAATTATCACTGCTTCCGAGGCGAAAGCACTTCAATCGCCGTCGATCTCATGGACGGTAGAACATCCTTTGGGCACCATTCAGAGATAGCGCTCAATCCTCTGCTGTCCGGGAAAGAAGGCAATATCCTACATCTACAGATCACCGCCGATTTGAGAAAGTCCGTGGTCCTGCGCATTAATGCTCACCTCCACCAGAAGGTCAAACAAGAAAGAGTACACCTAGAGCTCCGCGAAGCTGTCCAGGAGCGTATCATTCATGATCAGATCAAATTCGCCCAGTCATCATGGCGCAGATTCTTGAAGCATGCATGGCACTTGAGTTTTACTTCGCCATTGATGCGCACGATCCAAGGCTCGATACAAACTCCTTACCACCGTCGTCACTACTGATGTTCCCTCTCTCGGCATTCTTGTAAGTAGCAACTCGGCTAACAAGACTATGGGCAATGGAAGCAATTCCTGGGTAATCGTCACCTGGTGTGTCTTCGGTTAGGCCGAACACATCTGCGTAGACAATCATCAACTCTCCATAGTCACGAACACCGAACCTCCTCAGCAGGAACTTCTGGTAATGAGGAGAAAGACCCTCGAAGGTCACACTGTTCCCCATTCGCTCATACAGCAGCATGTCGATGGCGAGATCTCCGATCCTCACCTTCTCTGGCCTCACTCGGTCTTGGTAGAAATTGGGAAAGTTCTCCACGCAATTCGGCTTGGCGGCAGCAGTACAGTAGCGGTGTTGAAGGATTGCCGTCGAAGGGCGCCAATCTCTGCAAAAGGTTTCTGGATGTTTGGCGAACACAACGATTCGCTCAAGTCCACCTGAACACTGGACCAAATTCCTGTCGATCCGAAAATCCCCTGCGAACAGAAGACACAATGAAACGTCCGAATACTCGGGGCCCCACAACAGTAGAGAAATGTCTCGACCCTTAGTCCGGACTAATACTCGCACTTTGCCAGCAGTCCCGTAGATGATTTCGAGTTTGCACTTGATATTCTGAGCCAGCTCCTCTGACCATGCAAGATATTCCTTCTCGGTTCGGGTAGAATATTTTTCAAAGCCACATTTGTCCTCGCGCTGACAAAACTCATCGAACATGAGCGAGTTATCGGAATTAAATCCTGGACCGTTGATCTATCTCATCGACGGATTTGTCAGGTCCTCTACCGTGCAGCCTTCCTTGTAGAGGTCCATGGATTCCCTCGACGGGCGATGAGTTCTTTGGGCGATACCAGCGGAGGGGAGTCCAGCTGGGCGTAAGAGCCCATGAGAGGCCTCTCACCACCCCAGGTAGCCATCTCTCGGATTGCAAACCCTGAGAAAGCACATTCCAGGTCCCAGGGTTCGTCGTCTGCTCTTGGCCGCTTAGGCGCTATGACAGCTGTGCGGAAGGGCTCTATTTATGCATGAGGAATTTGTTCAACGAAAATAGGTGAGCGTGCGGACTTACCGTCATTGTACTCAATGAGGTTGCTGTCAGTGTCTTCGATAGCTTCTTCTCCTATGGAGGCAAATGTCTGGGTCTCACTCGTTTCGAAATGATGGAGATCCGCTTTAATTTGACAGAGGCGCTCGAGGCGTTCACTCATGAGGAAGTCCTCAGGCGGTGGGAAGTCTAGATTGCCAGAGAGACGGTACCTCATTTTGACTATGTACTTGTTGATACTGGAATGGAAGTGGACGAGGTCACGTTGGAGAAAAGATGCTGTGGTGATGATTTGGTACATCGAGATGAGCTCAATGAATGGGTTGTGAACTTTCAACTCCAAGGGACGAGGAGAAAGTAGCAGGGTCTCCGAAGCCTGTTCACTAACACTCGAACGCAGGCGTTACCGCTTTCAAACACTTGAAGTAGCTTCAAAGATGGGTTGGGCGTTTCATTTTCCACGGTTGAGTCGAATGTTTACTTCAAGCTCTTGGAGGGGCAGGTGGCTCTTTCCTTCAGGATGAGGTCTGTTGAGGTCCTTCACTGATCGGGTAAGGGCAGGGTTCATAACCTCACTCACGACTACGGAAAACATATCCGCTTTCCGTCTTCAAGAGTACCTAGGTACTTTACCTGTTTAGCATGCAGTTCCACCGGCCTCTCTCATTGAAATCTTCGTGGGATCCTAGCATACAAAATCATGATGATGATGATTGCACCACTTTGAATCCTCTCACCAATGCAAGATTGGAGTATTCGAGACTACTGCATCATTTCTAAGACTCTAGCTTTAGATGCAGGTCTCGTGTCGGCATTGATAGCAAGCGTCTACATGTCTCGACTATGCAGCAAAAAGATTTGCATAAATATTTTACCACGTAGTCACTTGTCTCAAAGCCAACATTTAACAGAGCAGACTAGAAGAAGCCATCCATCTCAGCAACAGACCCCAAAAGTTTCATGGGCTTGAGTTTGGTCATGAGTTCTTGATTGTGGGGATGATAAGAATCATTCAAATCCCATCAGAAGCCACCATCCACGATACATTGTGAATGCACTCCTCTTTGCTCAATACCGAGTGCAAAGCCTGACAACTAAGTCAACTGCTCATCGCAGAGCTCGAAAATAGACACGAAGCCTTGGTAAAATGTATAAATTCAGCCGTCTGCTTCCAGTACCCCTCCTATTTCTGATGTGCCATAAACGAAGTGACTCGGTAAAAGGCGTGGCATGCTTTTCTGCATTTACTGCTTTTGCGTCCTCCACGATTCACAGCATGTTGCGGATGATGACCATGCTGGACGGTTGGACGTGACGGCCCTTATCCTTTTTTGTTGCAGCGTGGCTACCGGTCTCTGTGCTGTGACGAACGGGAGCCGCAAGAGGCTTGACGTGAGAAGAAGAACACAACTACGAGTCCCACTCAAAGTCTGGGCAGCCTTTGTCGATGCCCCTGGGTGGAAGAGTATGCCTGCCACGTTCTTATCGACGTGCCATAATCTCAGCGCCGCAAAGCTGCAACTTCGTCTTTCGAATTTGGGTTTCTTGCAAAATATGTGGGGTGTGTCGGATCCTCCGAAAGCACAGGTGGTGGACCATCTCTGAATTTGTTGCTTGTGGCTGATTTGCCGACCCGAGAGACCACCTCGAATCGTACTGTTCGGGATACGAGGATGTCGTTTGGGCTTGGTCTAAAATAACCCATCGGTGAGAATGAATGAGGAGCCTGAAGGGTCTGGAAAGACTGCGGGAATGGCTAATATTGGGGCCAATGTTATTCACCTTGCTCGTTCATTTTTCTATTATCTGTGTTTGAATGAAGAAAAAAGCTTGGAACTATCTACCGGGGGAATCACGGAACGTCAGTACTGACCAAAGAAATCCACTCCAAGGACACGTGTTATAGTTATCCATTGGGGAGAAGAGCATCCCGATTAAAGGTTCGACTTCAGTAGTTCTAAACGTCTTCGAGTGGTCTAGTAGAGGGCCGAACATATAAGTTGACTGATGTGTTGAAAGCGGATCACGGCAGAGGAACACTCAAGGATGTAATCAAAAAGAGACGGAACATGCAGACCAGTGAAATAGATATGGACGATAGACTTGAGTATGATCGGTTTGACCGCGGGCATATTTCAAGAACGGTGTGCTAAGATGCAGATACAAACAGCAGTTGAGCTGACGAAGATCATCGCAGCCTTCAGCGATCTATGATGAAGAGCGCGTAGAAAAAACTGGAGTGACGCTTGCGGTGGGCGAAGGGACCGGCTTGGGTTTGTGTAATGGCTAAGACCGTATACTTGCCGACCCCTCGAAACTAGGGGCTCTAGTATACTCATCGTAGTTGGCTGTTGTGGGACTTGACTTGAAGATAATGTCTCAAGAGAGAAAGCGTGAAAGAGGAATCACCCTGATACCTCGAAGGTTGGGCGGTGGGAGCACCCGCGCGCTAGCATTGCTGCTGGTGACTAGAAGGCTGGTCGCTCGACGGAGTAAGTACCCAAGTCATAAACGAGCTTTGGATTGCCTCGGTGCTTCAACAGACGTCTTACCTAGCTTTTATGCTTACAAGGAGTGGCGGAGCAATCGACTGGGTTCCACATGGTAAATCCAGTAGCAAATGCAGTATATTTACGCCAATCATCATTCCCCAATATCTACCTTATCACGAACCTGGAAGGATGTTTCACAAAAGACTTCTCGCCCAATATGTGACTTATCCACACGGGTGGCCGCCACTCCAGAAGTAATGTAAACTCCACCGAGCCGGTTTTGTCAAGGTAGTAGTGGTATAAACAGAGATTGTTTACCATCTCCTAGAGGCTTTCTGTTCCAGGATTCTGCCAGACTAACGACAACCGAGCTCGACATGACATTGGATAGAGACCAACGAGCATCATAGCATTCATGTAGTAACAAATGAGCGTTATGGGAAGCGGACGTGGTTGTAGGGCGGGATAGGACATTGAAAGAGGATCTTGAACTTGGTCGATGAAACGAATCTCCCCTCAGCCGCAGGACCTATCTGAGCTCCATATGTATCATATGCTGAAATGTTTATGATGAGGACTCAAGACTTGTTCCTTTCCAGGTATTGTGCACATAAGTGTGCAGCATTTTTGCTCGGTGGAGGTTGCTATGCCCCCAGTAGCGAGCCCCTGAACGTCGACTAGAAAGTGAAGCAGAAATTGAACGCAGTTGCCTGTTGTCGAGGTTAGGATCAGCCTATACCACGGTGCGCCATGGAGCTATTGATTGATTGCAGCCTACATGTAATTAAGGAATCTATACCTCGATGATAAAATGTCAGCTCGGCTATTTATTATTAAACGAAATAAAACTCCACGGGCTCGGATAAAGCTTGGCACTCAAATATTCGATGATTATTATGCATTTTTCATTAAAAATTGAAACTAAGATTTAGATACAACTTGACACCACATGTGGATAACAATAACAAAAACAAAAACAAGGTCCTGCCCGGATTCGAACCGGGGTCGTTCGGAACTTCATTCAATCAGAACCGAAAGTGATGACCGCTAATTGGATGTTAGTCATAAAATAATGCACGAAGATTTTGGTCATCACTTGCCTACACTAAATCGTAGTCAGTAAGAATGAAAGTAGTGAATAGTTTTCTTATTTCTTACCTACAGAACCGCTTCCAATTTTGAAAATTTCTTAATAATATATATAAGATAAAAAACAATAAGATACGAGAAAGAGACTTGAGAACCCTGTCCTCGCTGTAGAGCATTCATAATTGCATAGAACATAATCTCATCTCACTTGCACTTACTTGTATACTACCGTATAGTTGTCCAGCTTCTGTCTTAGGTTTTTATTCTCTAGAGTTTTGGTTCAAGGTATGCTCTGAATGTACATAGGTTTTCTTTCTATCCCTACTGAACTATATGCGCGAGAGATACCTCGACTGCCGGTGGTCGTGGCAGCTAGAAATGTGCGTGCACCATTGGTGACGCTCGGAAACCTAATCTTGCCTACGTTCTAAAAGTGAACCTTTTCGAGAAGAAACGTTTCGATAACCCAGCAGCTGTGGCGAACAATCTCATTAAAAGGGTTGCCAAGCGCATGTTTGACGACGTGCGTCATTTCGCACCAAGGCTTCGACCATCTTACGATAAATATCCAACAGTTGTCGTGAAAGATCCTTCGACAGATAAGGAGCGATAGGTATCAGAGGCTGAGTACTTCAAGTGCTTCACATTAAACTGGCCCTAGTTTTCCTTAGCAAAGATGGTGGCCAGATTTACGCATTACAATCTGAGGGCTGACTTCATGAAGCCTTTTAACGAATCGAACTTTCAAGTGATTCAAGTAGCCTTTCCCATTCGTGGATATTATGCTAGTTAGGAAAAGTGCTTTGGCATGGAGGAACCCTCCGTACCCGAAATTGTTCTCCATGGACTTGTCTCTCCATATGCTCATGGAGAAGTCCTCAGTCACCCCGTCTTGCACCAAAACAAGACCCTCTTTGCTACACCGAACCAGGCCTTCCGAAAAACGCTTGTGCTGGCGGCCGGTCAAGAATTGACCACTGCGATGAGAGGGAGCCGGCACGAGGACTGCACCCCAGAGGAGACGGATTATATTCGTCGAGAGCGCGAAAAGTACAAACTGCTGGCTAAACACTAATATCATAGGAATCTCTATTTGTAAACGACAAGACCTGAAATAACAGATCTCCCGATTTACTAACTTAATCATGTTGTCATTCTAACATCAATTCAATTCCTTCTTGATCTGAAATGACAGAATTTGCAGGCCCAAATGCAAACATAACCTATCCCCTTTCAAAGCTTGCGCTTGAATTAAAATGATAGATTCTGCTGGTTCTAAGCCGATATTGTTCTTGTCTTTACGCAAATACAGCTTGTGTTTGTTTTTATATGGTAGATTTCATAGGGTTCTAACCCTTTCATACCGCCCTTCTGAAGCACATGAAGCTCCTGCTAAAATCGAAATCACTTCTTTAAAGGTAATCAGCCAATACCTCCTGACTATCTTCTTAATCTTGTCCCCTGAATAGTCCGACATCTATCAAGGCCTGAAAGGACCCATTCACGATACATCGTCAATGAGCCACATACACGGTTGGAACCGTGACAAGCCAGCGAGAAGGACAAGGATCGATGCATATCTAAGGCGGATCACACGGGTCAATGGCGATACATGGCGCATGATGAAACAGCAGTGCGTGGGCGACATGTTGTTATGAACCTTCTCACATGCTCTCGGCATGGGATCAGGCAAGAGAGGTATGAGGATCGAGACTTGGAGTATTAGCATTTGGGATAGGGTGCTGTTGATAAGGGTAGAGGACACCCCTTGCTGGCGAGGTAGTCAGTCTTCGTGAGTAGTTTAGAACTTGAATAGAATGGCAGGTCTCAAAGTTCGAGAGAGACATTCGAAGTCCTCGGCCCATCAAGGGCGCGGAAGAATTCCAAGATGGTGGTGTGTAAGATTGATGGATTTTTAGTTGAAAGTCTGAGCTACTTTGGGCTTAGAGGAACCCACCGCAGTCCCAGGGCCACAACTTTGTGTTGCCTGGAACGATTAGTATCAGAAAGCAGGACACCAGAAAGATACTATCACTTCATCAATAGTGGCTTCTAGCTCGACGGAGATGACCCTCGGTAACTGCTCCAATTTTCGATGGAGCATGTTGATGCCTTTTGAAGACATTGCAGCAATGATCTAGGACGATAGACAAAGCCCGCTGTAGCAAGACCACAAGCAAACCTGGGTATATGTAACCATCGCTCATCCATCATCATACAATCTTCCACTCTGTTCGTACTACCTTCGCTGCTGCCCAGGCATAAACCCCTGCCCACCTTGTCCAAAACCGGCTGCATCACCGAAACCTCCGAATGGCATGCCTTCTTGATTGAATGGTGTAGGAAAGCCAGGTGGCGGAGCGCTCATGCCCATGAAGCCAGGAGGCGGCATTCCTCGATTGTTTGACGGCATGCCATATTGGAGTCTGTCATTAGGATTGCCGGGATTCAGACTTGGCGGAAATGCATTTTGACCGCGCGCAGGGGCTTGGAAACCAGGAGGTGGGATCATATTTTGGCGCTGAGATAGAAGATGCTGAGCATAACCGGGAGGCAGTTGCTCAAGCCCTGGAGGCCGCTGTAGGCCTGATGGGAACCCTGATTGCTGTGGAGCTCCTGCAGGAGACTGACGTTGATCGTAGATCCCGGGCGGGGGTCCCCTTCGCTCTACTCCAGAAGTGGGATTCAGCTTGTCCCGGGATTGCATCTCGTCTCCATTGAACCCTGAGGGGAAGCCATTAGAAGGTGTTTGCTGTGGTGGGTCGTGTGGCGATATCATCAGGTTGGAAAATGGTGATAGTCCTGGTGCTGTATCTTGAGCAGGTCGGCGCCCACCAATATTTGCTTGATTGATGTCTTGGCGGTTCTGTTGTGGCTGTTGCATGAGCCTGAGTAAAAACTCGCTGTCTCTAGTTGGTGGCATGGCATTCTCCTGCGAAGATCGTGCCCCGAGAAGACTGTAGAGATCATTACGCTCTCCTGCTCCTCTTGAATGAACAGGAGGCGATGCTGGCACATCTCGCTGACCCTGGACACGAGGGGGTGTGTCAGCATTGCCACCCTGTATTTGCTGCTGGTCAAGGAGTTTCAGAATCCGCTGGAATCCTTCCTTGTCCTCGTTAGACGAGTCTTTAGAAGGTGCGAACAGCGGAAGAGATGGCTGCTCTTTTGGTGGTTCTGGGTCGGCCTTGGGGGCGAAGAAGCCAGTGAACTTTGAGGGCTTCGACACCTTAGCGGCTGTATTCGCTACATTCGGCTTCACTCCATTCACTGCGGTACTGCTCAGGAGCTCTTCACCCTTTTTAGGCTTGTCCCATAACCCAAAGAACCCATCGAAGCTTGGATCAACAATCAGTGGTGTCTCGGCTTTGGCTTTCGCGACACCGGTACCAGCACTTGATACAGTCCGGTCATGGTTTGGCCGTTGCTCCGCTGGTAACAATGGTGTATCCTGCGCAGCACCGTTGCTCGCTTTCATTCGCTCTTTCCATCGCTCAAAGTCCTCTTGGGTCCGCTTCTGCTCCTTGATCTCCGGCTCCGGTTCGTCCATCCACTCAGGGTCCAACTCTACTTTCCCACCTCGATTCCAGTCACGCTCTGCCCCGCGAGCACCTCTCCTCTCCTTGTCCCTCCAATCCCGGGGCTTTGCATTTTCTGCATCTTCAGCGCCACCATCTTGGTTGCGACCTTCCTCTCGATTCCAAGAGGGCTCATTGCGCCCTCTTGCAGGTCCAGTACGCCGCAATGCATGGCCTCCGTCAACATCGGCTTCTGCATCTCGCCTATGGTTCTCAAATCCTCTCTGCCCTCTAAGCTCACGCCCACCCTCTCTATCCCGGTCATACTCCCGATCTCCATTCTTTTGATGCGTACGCTCGTGATCGTCATGGCCTGGATTTCTCTGTTGTCGGACATTGGACCAGAGATCGCTGTCATCCTTGACACTTCGTCGGTTCTGGGTTGCGCCCGATTTCGAGTCACGTTTCTCTCCGTCTCTTTCCACACTCTGTCCATCTTTGGGATATCTGTCTCTGAATGTTGTGCGATCATCCTTGACAGCAGGATCGTCGTGTTTGGCAAAGCTTGACCGTTGTGGGGTGTTTGATATTTTGCTGTTGCTCCTTGCACCGGAGGCAGAAGCAAAAGCTGTTTTGGGAGGTCCAAGGACAATATCTTCGGGAACTGTGATATCATCAAATCAACCTGACTGTACTGGAAACGTTGTAGAAGCCATACGCACCATTTGTTGATCTGGCTCTTGCCTCGAACAAAGGTCTGCGATTTGTAGGGCCATCCTTGAAGAAACCGTCGTCATTAGTCCCTTTGTTGACCGATTTCCGCTGGTTCTGATTTTGATTCTGGACTTGACGCGGTTCAGGAATAGGCCTAGGGCACCGGTGAGTCCGCGATTCCAATTTCGCTGTCGCCGCAAGTGGGCTTACCCCATCCATTCCTCCACTGGGGGCAAACCCGAGGGTTTGCGTACCAACGCAGATTCGCGAAGTTTCAGCAGCTCTTCAAGAGGATATGACCGTGACATCGTAGATCGTCTGAAGTATGTGAGTCTTGGTAGGATCTCATCGGCTGCAAACTGGTACAGGGTCGGGTGGGGTTTTAGGGAGGGCCGGTCTGTAACTTAAGTGAATTAGTAAAGTGAGGGGGGGTACTCGCTGCGTCAGAAGCACATAACAGTCAGTACAAATTTAGGCGCGAATCTCAGAGCACCTGCGTACTTATTTTGGTTGAAGGTTCCACAAGGGAAGCTGACAAGGAGATGGGCGTTTGGTGTGTTATTGAGTGGTGCGTGGGGTTAAGGATTGGGCCTTGCGAAACATTGAGGGGCAGGTGGTACTAGACTTTGAGGATATCTAGAATAAATATTTAGAAACCTGACTCAAGGGAGATGGTGTGTTGGGAAGGGTTATGGAAAGATGTGTTGGTGGTCATGTGCAAGATACTCGTGAGCTTTGTTGATCGTGAAGGCAAGTGAAGTTTCATATAGGGCTGAGTCTTCATTCGCCTCGTTCACTATGGCAAAGAAATTTGACAATTGCGATTTGCAAATCATCATCATTATAGAATTATCATGGACTCTTTGTTATTCGTAGACTATCTAGGGTAGACATGAGTGTTCCATTAGTCCAGTCATCAACACGTGCCTGATCACTCGTCTCGTAGGCCCTCGATGCCAAACCTTTCAGTCTTTCACCCGTCATATCGTTGATAGCGTGCGAAGCAAGGCGCGAGGAAATCCAGCTCATTAGACCACAACGAGTGATAAGCGTCGAGCTCCCCTTGACGCACGTGCAGCGAAACAGCAGGTCTAATATTTTCTGGAAGCAAGGCTCTGGCAGCGATGGCGATGCAGAGAACGACAGCAACCGCTCAAATATGTGGCACTTTCGGTATATTTCCATATCCTACCGGCTTGTTAGCTCATTCATCTCATGCTACAGTTTATAAGGCTTACAGCGGACGTGCGAAGCCCGTCAATGAGCCCATCAAGCAACCACTCGGCTTCTTTGTGGTGGTCGTCATCGTCCGTTGGAGGGTTCATCAGAACTTTGTCCACCCAGTATGACGGCAGCTTTGTCACGTCCCATTCGGGACCTCTGTTCAAAAACTTGTTGACCTTTGCATACATGAGATGCAAGGGGTCACCAAGCACTAGAAAGAGGTCTGCTGCGAGGACTCCGGCATAATACGCAAGAGAACCGTGAGCAATAACCTTCTCTGCCGTTTCGACGATTTCTCCAACAAGCATATACGTCTGTTGCCACTCACTATATTCCGATACCTGGAGATACGTTAGCGGCGATTGCAGAGTACGTAAATCAACCGACCTTGAGCTTCATCATGAAGGCACGAATACCTATCAGAGCTTGCTTTCGAATCTCCACGTGTTTCGAGCAGAGGCAGAGAATCAATCCTTTAACGTGTCCTTCGCTGATGGCATCCTGGACGTCGTGGCGAGTCCACTGATGCAAACCGGGGTGATCTTCGTGCTCTTCCGGTGGTCCTGGCGGCAAAGTTGACCCAGGTGAATTTGGATGCCGATTCAGAGGGGGACTTGCAGGTCTTGACATGTGTTCTGCCTCGCTAATGGTATTTGCAGCGACTACTCCTGGTAAGTCTCCAAGCTCGGGTCGTTCATGTAAGACCTTCTCGAAAATCGCACGGCAGGTACTGTCTTGGACTTCAGCTTTAAGCTGATCGCGAATTTGTGAGAGAAGTCTGGTAGTCTCGCAACGGAGGGGTAGGTTTTGGACATGGCCATTTCCTAAATTCATCACTTCGATAAAGCGAACCACCCATCTCGACACATACTTGACTGTCGGTGCATCTGTGCTTTTCACCAGGAAGTGCCATTGTTCCATGATAGTGATCAATAACAGATCAACCTGGCAATCTCTTGAGTTGATATCAAGCTCCCCAGCGGCGATAAGATCGGCGAGTGTGTCATAGTAGTGGACAGGCTTTCTCACGACATGTAAAATGCAGTGGTCAAGGAATTCGAACATTCGGCCGGATGCTTTCCAATCCTCGAAATCTTGTAGGCTGAGTACCAGACTATCCAGAGATGTCATAGAAGCATCCGAGCGTAGTATCTGACTTCCCCTGATAACAGTCTTCAACAGAGTCCTGACTTGCTCAGATCTGGTGTCAAATCGTAGCTGATTGAGATAGAGTCTGAGCAGCATTGTGAATGGGGACAGCCTCATGAATTCTGCCATGAAGACTTAGCAAACGGGGCAGTGACAATTCTATCGTTACATACCTGGTTTGTGCCACCAATGCATGTTGGGCGAGCGATGAGCGATCTCTAGTAAATGTCCAAGTTCGAGCAGGCGCATGCCACTTTCCTTGTGGCTTTCGTCTGCTGACTCCACGCCCATTAAGGCGGTCGATAGTGTGGCGGATATATCGAATTTCTCTTCTAGTGCCACCAGGGGTAGGACCTTGTAGTACGAAGCGATTAGACGTGTAGTGCTTTCTCGCAGCATCGTGCTTTCCTTGGTACAATTCCGAATCTGAGTAATGACATGTTTCAATTCGGGAACACGTCCACAAAAGTCATCGCGTAGCTCTGACACAATTTGGCACCAGGCCAAACGGTTCTTTGGGTCGTTCGTGGAATGCTGAACGTCCTCGCATATTCGAAGCACTCTCGCAAACTTCTCGAATGCAGCATTCAGGATTTGTATTGTCAAGAACTTCACCAAGCTCACACTTTGATTGAGACATCGAGTCATCACTTTCTGAGTACATGGGTTTGGCATGATACTCCCCATAATATTGCTGTACAAGGGGGGAACAGTGTCATTGGTACTCAGGGGTGTGAGAGACTCTGGTAAGGGGATTCTAATTACGGCAAGTAAGAACGAAGAGTAGCCAATCCATGTCATTGTCAATTTTGGGTCGAAAGAAAAGGATTTGCCGCTTGAGAAGTAGCCAGGGATCATATCAGGCATAAGTCGGAAGACGGCGAGCATCAGATCACATTGTGGCACACTCGCATAGGGCCTAAGAGATTGCAGAAACAGTCCAAGCCTTGAGTTTCTGATAGCACGTCGGTTCTCATCATCTACCCTGTCTGTGACATACGGCTTCGAAAGACCTCCAAGAGTCTTGTCAGCTGTAACAGCGTGGACACCAACGTTGCTTGCAGTCTGCTTCTCTACTAGGCCACAGCCAGGCGAAGTGCAAAGAAGGACCAAGAAGTCGTGGACGGATTTTTGGATATCTTGATGAACTTTGGGAAGACGATTACTCTCGTTGTAGCCGTAGAGTGTAGCAAGCCGGCCAAGCGTCCACTGATTGAAGATTCGGCCCTTTGCCGTCTGGGAGATTGCACCATCCATAGCAATATCCCGCCTGAGTACCTTTAGTATCTCAAGAATGATGGTAGATGAATCTTCCACGATGTCATCCAGTAGAGCACGTAGAACCTTCCCTTGGCCAATAATGTTCATCTTTGCGGTGGGGCTTTGCAGTCCAAAATTAGCAAACAGATACCCAATCGCAGTCTCCCGGACCGATCTTTTTTTTGGGCCTCTGACGTTGTCGTAATGGATATCCTTCCGCATTCCCAAGAAGACATCCAGGCGCTTGAAGGTGATCTCTCGCTTGCGATACACTATTCTGGCTGCATGACCACCATCAAACGATACAACCTCGGTCAAGAGTTGCAGACATGGTGAAATGAGAAAATCTTTCGCTCTGTGGGTGCCGAGACCTCTATCAAAGAGCTTAATTTGATCGTCATGTAGAACGGTCGCGCACAAGCGATTGCCATGTTCTCGAAACTCAATTAAGCTGGAAATAGTTTTGAGGAGCAAGGCGAGCACAGCAACCACGGAGGCAAAGAGACTATCGACACTTGATTGAGCAAGAAATAGCTTTCTTGTCGCGATCCGACGTTTCTAAATAAGATCTCGAAGTTTCTTTTAGAAGTCGAGTCGATTTTTAGCGGCGTGGAATTCGATACTTTCTCGATACTTCTAAGAGCTTAAACTTCTTTTAGAAGTCGAGGCGTTATCGTTTCTTACGGCGAATATAAATACTTTCTCGATACTTCTAAAAGGTCCTTAAAGCTTCTTTTAGAAGTCGAGTTATCGTTTCTTACGGCGTGAGATACGATACTTTCTCGATTCTTACGAATATCGATATACTTATTCTTATAGTCCTAAACTAATTTCTAAGTATTATCGAAGATTCTTTATATTTATTTACTTATTATACTATAGTCTATATTCTTTTTATTTAATAAGATATTTTATAATAAAATCTCTTTCTTTAGCGATAACGCGCTTATTTAGAAGTTAATTAAGTTTCTAGAATTTAAAAATCTCGATATTATCTTTAACGAAGATAGAAGATAACTTATTAAGGCGAGACTATAGTCGAGTATATAAATCAATTTAAGAGATTTGAGATATATCTTTAATTATACTATAATAAAAATTGAGTATACTCTTTAATTATTAAAGATATCTAATCGATAAATAAAACGTTTAACTTATTTGAGAATCTTAAAAAATTAATAAATTATAAATTATATTTTCTTTTAATAAGCTAAGTAGTTAAAATATTATAATTATAATATAATTATAGAAATATATAATTATCTATATAAAAGAACTAAGACTAATATTATTAATTATAATAAAACTTTAAATTTATCTAAATAAAGATAATAGTATTTAATATTTTTAGATAAGCGATATTCTTTAATATTAATTACTTTTTATAGGCGTCGAGATCTAATAACTAATTTAATAAGAAATTATAGAAAACTTTATTTAAAGATTTACTTAAAGAAGTAGAGATAATATTATTATAGCTTATTTAAATAGCTAAAATTATAATTAATTAGACTATAATATTATTAAGCGTAGATATTTAAAAGTAAATAGCGATCTTAATAGTCTAATTAATACGCTTATTAAATTTATTAATTTATAAATAATAGATAATTGAGTATAATAACTTAACGTCTAGCTTAATAAAAAGAGCCTTTTATAATTTACTAAGAAACTTACGATTATAATTTAAAATAATTTACTTTAATAATTCTTAATTAATCTTTCGAAGTTATCGAAGTAAATAATATATTTAATTCTCGATAGTAAAAGTCGACTTATTAGAAATTAATATAATTCTTCTAGAAAATTTATTAATAATAAATATAATTACGTTATAGCCTTTAATAGAAATTAATAGAGCGAGAATAAAATTAATTATTAAGATATAAAATAATATAGACGAGATAAGAATAGGCTATAGAGATTTATATAATAGATATCGAGATATTTAATAGAGCTAGTATTAAGAATAATATCGAATATACTTCTTATAGCTAGCGTATAAGACTACGTATATATATATTAATAAGATATACTTTTATAGTATTTAGCGAATTTAATATAATAGAACTAATTAAAGTAAGATAACTTCGAAAAAGATTTATATATAAAAGGATAATATATAGAGTCGACTCGGCGTAAAAGTATAGTCGTCGATTAATATATCGACTTTTTATATAAGATCGTCGCTATCTTGAGAAAAAGAAAGAGAAGCGATATTCTCGCCGGCTTAATTATTAAAGTTAAGAGTTTTTAAGATCTTATATTATTCTAAATTCTTCTAATAATTATCGAGAATCTATTAATATAGTTTTAAGACTTTAGCTCTATAAGAGTAATAGCGATATAAGCGTAGTTATATAAAGTATCAAGACTTCTTAATAATATTTTAATTAAAAGCTATTACTTCGATAATAGCGAAGTTTAAAAGTCTTAATAAGACGTCTAATATAATATATTCCCTTTTTAATTTATAATAAAACTCGAGATTTCGAAAACGCTAAATAAATTTCGATACTTAAATAAGATAAAGATTTAACTTTAGCCGATTAAAGATATAGATAAAAATATCTATTTAAATATCTCGAGAGCGAAGTTATAATTTATATAGACTACTATCTTCGAAGCTAACTTAATTATATATCTTATTTTTCGAAAGTATTTATATAATTCTAGCGATTTCGAGTTTTATAGACTAATATCTTATTTTGATATTCTTAAAAAGACGACTTAAGAATAAGATTAATTAAACTTAAGAGCGTTTAAGATAATTATTAATAAGCTCTTCTTTAATATAATAAATTATAGCCTTAAACTCGAATTTACTAATATTAAGATTTATATAAAATATAATCTTATTATTAAAATAAATTAGAAATAATAAAGTCGATAATACTTTCTATAGCGCTTAAAAAGAAGTTTTTTCGATATTAATTAATAGGCTAAGTATAAAGCGAGAAGTAAAAAATTTTTTTTTTTTATTCGACTCTAGAAGATGTAGTAAGTATTATAATTTTTTGATTTTAAAGAGACTTTATAATAATAGTATAGTTAATAATATAATTATATAGTTAATCTATTATTTCTAAATAAGTTTTTAACTTAAAAAGAGTTTTCGAAAATAAGAGCTTAGTAATTACTTATAATTTATTCTCGACGATTTAAAGTTTAAGAGAATTGACTTTCTATTTAAGTAAGTATACTTAATAAATAGTCGAGAAATATCTTCTTCGAATTTATGAATATCTCTAACTTTATAAAAAGATCGAAAGATTTAACGAAAGATAATTAAGATACTCTTTTAAGGTTCTTAAATAGATAATAATATTATTAATATACGCTTTAATAAATTATCTAAACTTACGAAGTAGTTTATCTATCTATCTCTATATATAGATTAATAAATTTTTATAGTCTATAACTACTATATTAAAAGTCTCTTCTAATCACAATAACTTATAATTATAAGTTTATAGCGATTAATAAGATATATACTTATTAATAAAAGAAGCTTATATAATTAATAACGCTAAGATATTAATAGTTCTTTATTAATAATATTAAGTCTAATTATAAAGATAAAGAATAGATATCTATTTAAATAATAGTATTTAATTCTCGAATATTAACGATAGCTTATTCTTTTCTAGAATCGTCGAGTATAATTCTATAGATAATAAAAATTAAAAAGTTAAAAGACGTTACTTCGATAGTTTAGTCTAGTCTTTCTTACTTATAAAGCTTATTAAACGTTTTTATTAATAATATTTTTAGATTTTATACTAAGAGAGTAAACCCTTGTTGTCTTATTAATATTCTTTTTTTAGTTAGATTTTAATAAAATATGTATTTATTCTTACTTCGATAAATCGACGAAGTCGTCTTCTTATTAAAGCGTTAAAAATTTCTTAACTACTCTTTTAATAAAAAAACTATTATTATAAATCGTAATTTTATTTAGTAAGATTATATTTGTAATTATAGTAATAATTATTACTTTTAAAATCGATAAAAAGAAAGTTATAAAAGTAGAAACTCTTAAGTTTTTTAAAATTTTAGAGCTTCGAAATATTAGAATCTCTAGAAATACTAAGAAATCTTATAGGTATTTTAGATAATAGATATATATTAGAAGTCGCTACTTTCGTTAATAGCGACATTATAAAATATATGATAGATTATTAATATAGTAATAGCGAATATTATAATAATCTTTATTAAAGACGCGTTTAATTTAATTCTTTCTAATATTCGTTCTTAAATCGTATAATTAGTAAGTTTGATAATATTTTTTTTCTCGAATATAATATAATAGTAATTATTAAATTCTACTTTCTATATAATATCTAAGCGAAGATTTCTAGATATCTTAATTAATTAATTTAAGTTATTCTTAGCTAGTATTGTAATTATAGAGAAGTTAATAAGATAAATATAAAGCGTTAAATCTATATAATCTAACTCAAAAAAAAAATTATATTCTAATAAGAAAGTATAATATATTAATATTTATATCTGAGAATATAAGGGAATAATAATAAATTTCTTAATATATACGGAGATATATAATAATATGGTCTTCTCTAATATAAACTTCTATTAATATAAATATCTAATAGCTATTAATTAACGCCCTTAATTAAAAAATAAAAATATCGATTTTTTTAGATATTATAATATTTATATTAACTAGAATATTTATCTTAAGCTTATTAATAATATAGATTTCCCTCGATAATATTATAGCTATAGCGTTTTTACTAAAAAAGTAAAGAGATATAATTATATATTTCGAAGTTTTATATCTATTAGATTCTTAAATCTCTTATTATAATAGAGCTAGCTATATTCTTAATTAATAGATTTAAAAATATCTTATTTAGATAAGACTTAATTTATTAGAATAATAAAGTAATTTATATTTAAGTAATTCTTTTTAATTTTCTTATTAAGTAATAGTTTAATAATAGCTCTTATATAATAATAGTTATAAAAAGTATAGTCGATATCGATCTCTAGAAGTAAAGTTAGCTAATAATTTAATAACTTTTCTATTTCTTATAATAGCGTTATTTGCAAAATTAGATTCTTCGAAATTAGGCTCGCGAGATTCTCTAATAAAAGATTTCTCGATAAAAGAATAAGGATCTCTAGGCGATAATTCCTCGATAAAAGAATATATCTAGACTATAAAAGAAATTTCTAAGCGTTTCTTAAATGAAAAGTCTAGATATAAGAAAGACTTAAAATAATAATCTCGATCTAGGTTATCGAGATAGCGATAAAGTTTATTATTAAAGAGAAAAATCTTATAATAATAGCGATATTAATAGTTAGTCGCTAAAATAAGAGTAATTTTAACTACGTTAATAGAGATACTTTATAACTTCTATAAAGTATTTATCTATTTTATCTTTCTAGCGAGATTAATAATAGTTTAAATTCTTATTAATATAGTAATTATTAGACTCGCTTAGATTCTAATAAATATTCTTATTCTAAGATATAGATTTAGATTTAATATTATTATAAGAAGATAGTGATAATTCTTCTCTTACTAGCTTAATATATTATTCTCTATAATTGTAGAGATCTATTTTAATTACGATTAAAGAATTCGACGTTTAGTTTATTTACTTATCTTTCGAATTCGTTATCTCTTTATAGCGAGAATTCTACTAGCTCGATAATATCTAAGAATTAAACAAGTTAATATTTTCTTCTATAATTTATAGAGATTATCGAGAAGTCAATAAGATAGAATTTAATTATCGTTATTAATAGAACTAATTAGATTAATTAATAAAGTTATTTTTATAATTATTATATCTCGATAGAAATTCTTAATAGAACTACTATTAAGAGTATAAGAAAGAAGAAAAAGAAGCTTTAAAAAATTTACTTTAATAAAAGTTATTACTTATATACTAATTAGACTACTTAAATAGCGTTAACGCTTTCTTATTAATATATTATAAAAGACTATGAATTTTATTATATTATTTTAAATTAAATACTTAACTTAGCGTTAATTTAATCTAGAAATTAATCTAGAGTAATCGACGAAGTCGACTTAGAAATATCTTATCGAAATTTTAATAAAAGATTATTTTAGACTATAGTTAGCTAATTATAAATAAAGATAAACTTAATAATCTTTTATATATCTTAAGATACTTTAAATATAAAAACGCGTTAATTTATTATTTCTAATATTACTTATAATATAGCGTTTAATTTAAAAATACTAAACTACTATAAAAGCTCTTTTCTTAAATTACTTTATTAAGAATTCGAATTAAGCTTTTAATAAGACTATTCTTAATAATATCTTTTTAAACTTTATAAGCTCGATAAAGTATTAGATTAAGGCCTTACCGCGGAAATACATTAATAAAATTTTTTAAATCTTTTTATAGCTCTTAATAGTAGCGATATTCTTTAAGTCGATCTATAAAAGTATAGATATTCTTATAGAAAGTATATCGACCTATATTAATAATAAGTTCTTCTTCTTTAAAGATAGAATTAAAGAAATTAATATCGTTAGCTTTTAGATATAATAAGTTACCTTTATTTTCTTATAGCGTTATTTTCTAAGAGACTAAAATCGTCTAGCGAATTCGATAAATTGAAGTTAAGAAGTAATATTTCGAAGTAATTCTTATAGTATAGTATCATTATTACTATAAGAATTCGAACTCTCTTTAAGATTAATCTTCTTAAGAAGATATTTTAAATTCGATAGAGTAAGTATAAATAGTCTCTTTTGTAGATGTAGCTCTAATAGTAAATCTAAGTACTTTTAGAAGAAATTTAATATTATTAATTCGAAAGGGGTAATTATAGAGAAAGTATATAAAGTAATATTAGTAAACGAAGAATTCTTAAGTCGATAAAATACTAGAGTATCTCTTTCGAAGATATTAAGAATATCTTAAAGAGTAGACTTATCGACGAATCTAGTTATATAATTAGCTTAATACTTCTATAGACTATAATTATACTCTAATATATTTATTTCTTACGAAGATATCTCAACTAATTTAAGAAGATTTAAAGTTATTTCTAACGATTCGAGTAATTAAATAATAAGTATTCTTATTAAAAAGACTTATAAAAGAGTAATTACTTTCGAGAAATTTCGAAAGCTAAAATATAAGAATTATTATATCTCTAAAAATAAGATTTACTATAGAGATTAAGAATCTTAAAAAAGCTATTATAAAGATTAATCGACGATATCGATAACTATAAAAGTAGATAAAGAAGTAAGAATTAAATAAGTTAAGATTTAAATTTCTTAGAGAAAAGCTTCTTTCTTAGAAGGGGTTTCTTTCTTAAAAAGAAAGATATAGCGAGATTATCGATTTAAAAGAAACTTTGATTTAAAAGAAACTTCTTAATAGATAGTAAAAGCTCAATAACTTTAGTATAAAGTAGATTAACGATATCGTCGAGTAGATAAGCGATTAAAGAAGTTCTTTAGAAAAGAAAGATTATAAGAAAAGAAAGTAGTTACTTCAAAAGTATATATAATAAAGCTATTCTTATAGCGTAGCGAAAGACTTTATTAAAGAATTATAATACTTTCTAGCTAATACTTATTAGAGAATAATAAACTTAATTATTAAATCTCTTAATACTTATTAAGTAAAGAAATAATACTAATAAGATGATTTCGATATTACTATTATTTACTAGCTATATTAGAAGACCCCTAGCTTAAAGAATAAAGAATATAAATAAATTTAGGAGTGAATGACTTCGACGATTATCTATAGAAGTCTCTTAATAATCATATATAGAATCGATAAAGGAATCTTAAAGGTGTTAAAGAAGACGTAGTTAAGTGGCGAAAGTAATAGGCTCTGCGAGTACTTTATAAGCTTACTAGATAATAGTATAATTACGCTATAAATATAGATAACATCTCTTCTTCTTCTTATTTCGATACGTCGATCGATAAATTATTTATAAAGCCCGATCGATTTAGGTCTATCGTCGAGCGTCTTTAAGATTAGACGATATCTAACACTAATAAGAAGTATAAATTAAATCTATTAAAATACTCGCTAGAATAAGTGCTTAGCTACTAGAAGAAGTATAACTCTAAGTATCGAATACTTACGAATTCTCTATTAATAAGACTACTTACTTAGTAACCGCGACGACTTAGATTTAAAAGAGAAGAGTTTACAAGATTAGAAGATAGGCGTAAAGATTTAGAGCTAGTCTAATAATAGGGTAATAAGATAATACTTTAATAACTAGACCTCTATAGATAAGTAGATTTAATACTAAGAATTAGTATACGATTCGGCTAATTCTCAAATATAGTATTTTTAAGCTATTTAAATTATTTAATTTTATATAATTCTTTCTTCTTTTATTTTATAATCAACCCTCGACTAAGTAGTAATCCTTTATCATCGATCGTCTACCTCCTCTTCCTCCTCTTCCTCCCTTTTATTCTCTTTATTCTCTTCCTTCAAATTTCTTTAATAGTATATGCTAATAAGAGTAAACTGAGTGAATTAAGTAAGTTAAGTTACGGGTATCGAGCGGGCATTAAATAAAATCTCACTTTATTATATTCTTCTGAACTCGCGTATTAAGATCTATTAATAAGTCGATTAATAACATATTTCTAGTATAGTCTAATTGTCTATAATCGCGACGTGTAGGGAGTGCAATTATAGAATCCTTAAGGACTTATTCTATATTAATTTTTTTAGATAGCTTTTATAACCCGAAGTGCTGTTAAAATTTTAAAAGCTATCATAAAGAGTAGTTAGAAGAACCTCACCAACTACTTACCCTATCGTTTTTTTATCTCTTAATATAATACTACAAGTAAAGGCCCATGAATTAAATTCATGGAGTTGGATTTTTCATTTTTCTAAGTCAAATGGAGTTGGATTTTTCTAAGTCAAATCGAATTTTAGCCCTAGCCCTAAGTCAAATCGAACTCTAATCGCTTGCTGTGCGTTTTTGACCTACTTCCACCACTACAAAATTGATTTAATCTATGTGGTATATAGGCATATATGTGCGGAGAGAGGCGCGCTAAGGCCTAATTAGGAAGGTGTATTAAGTGTGGAGGATTGATTCGTAATAATTGCCTATAAAAAACAGAGAAAGGCCATGTCCTTATGGTAAGAAGTATCGAAATATCGGAAAGAAATGGAGATAACGTGCTAATTAGTGGTGTGAATCCCATAATATCTCCTGCCGCAGTGAAATCTTTCGAATAATGAAATAGCTGTAGACATCGGACGGTTTCAATTCGTCCAAATATGCATCGTTCGATGTTCCTCCTGCAGAGGCCTAATTAGCTGTGATCGTCGCAGTAGATCCTCCTCTTATGATGTTATTGATGTATCATATGAATGCAGTGGGGATGATAGGCCAAGTTGCAGTGGGGATGATAGGCTAAGTTGCAGTGGTGTTCTCCACTTGCTGAGTGATGATTTGATATGGAACCGTGGAGAGTATATAACGTGGGATCTTGGAGAGCTGAGCCGTGTTCTTGGTGTTGAGGATCTTATTGCCGCTTGGTTTCTCCGCAGTGTTCTCCGCATTCGCCTGCTATCGTGATTTCTCTTACCCTGGCTAAGTGGATTGGTGTGAGACCGTGGAGAGTAGGCCTATTGTGTTACTGCTGCTGATGACTATCTCCGCAGTGTTCTCCGCAGTGTTCTCCGCATTCGCCTGCTGTCGTGATTTCTCTTGCCCTGGCTGAGTGGATTGGTGTGGGATCTTGGAGAGCTGAGCCGTGTTTTTGACGATGGTGGCCTTGTTGCCGCTTGGTTTCTCCGCAGTATTCTCCGCATTTGCCTGTTGTAGTTCCTCCTCTTGCTCCTCCTCTTGTAGAGTATCAGACTGAGTGGCTAGCTGAGTGGCTGACTGAGTGGATGACTGATATGACGTGGGATCTTGGAGAGCTGAGCCGTGTTCTTGACGATGGTGGCCTTGTTGCCGCTTGGTTTCTCCGCAGTGTTCTCCGCATTTGCCTGTTGTAGTTCCTCCTCTTGCTCCTCAATGTAGTGGGGATGACAGGCCAAGTTGCAGTGGTGTTCTCCGCTTGCTGAGTGATGATTTGATGTGGAACCGTGGAGAGCATATGACGTGGGATCTTGGAGAGCTGAGCCGTGTTCTTGACGATGGTGGCCTTGTTGCCGCTTGGTTTCTCCGCAGTGTTCTCCGCATTTGCCTATGCCGGTGGCTTCGTCTTGATCACAGGCGGCTTGGTCGTAGCTTTCTTTCTTTACGATGCCTCAACATATCGCGAGGATCTGTCCTATACCGATATACCAGTCTCGGAAAACGCTCTGGAGCCAAGAAGAGGAGGACCAAAAAACCTACCGATAGCAGAGGTACTGGTGGATGATGATGACTGCCCCGAGAATTCAAAGCAGAAACACAAGCCAAAGTTGGTCCTCTTGGGTAGCGGTTGGGGCAGCGTAGCAATACTCAAGACGCTGAACCCCGAGGACTACCATGTCACTGTTGTGTCGCCCGTCAACTATTTCCTTTTCACCCCCATGTTACCATCGGCCACTGTTGGTACGCTAGAGTTGCGCTCGTTGGTGGAGCCCATTCGGCGCATTGTGAGCCGAGCAAAGGGGCATTTCCTAAAGGCCGAAGCAGTCGACGTGGAGCTGTCCGAGAAGCTTTTGGAAGTGGCACAGACCAATGCACAGGGCGAAGAATGCCACTTTTACCTTCCCTACGATAAATTGGTCCTTGGTGTTGGTAAGTGGATCTTCGTGGCAATGCCTTGTTTGCAGAGCTGACATTATTCAGGCGCTACCACCAATCCTCATGGCGTCAAGGGTTTAGAGAATTGCCATTTCCTCAAAGACATCGAGGACGCGCGCTTAATTAGAAACAAAGTAATGCAAAACCTAGAGCAGGCTTGCATGCCTACAACTTCTGACGAAGAACGTCGACGGCTGCTGTCCTTTGTTGTCAGCGGTGGTGGGCCTACCGGGGTGGAGTTTGCGGCCGAGCTATTCGACATGCTGAATGAGGATCTGGGCCGGTCGTTTCCCAAGATCCTTAGGAACGAAATCTCGGTCCATGTCATACAGAGCAGGGGTCACATTCTAAACACATACGACGAAGCTTTATCAAAGTTCGCCGAAGCTAGATTTGCGCATGACCAGGTGGAGGTACTAACAAATTCTCGTGTCAAAGAAGTACAGAAGGACAAGATCCTTTTCAGCCAAAAGGATGAAAAGGGAGAGACTGTCACCAAAGAACTTCCAATGGGCTTCTGTCTCTGGTCCACCGGTGTTGCTCAGACTGAGCTTTGTAAAAGGATCGCAGACAAAATCGACGTTCAAACCAACAAACATGCCTTGGAAACAGACACACATTTGCGCCTTAATGGTGCTCCGCTTGGCTCTGTATACGCCATTGGAGATTGCTCCACAGTCCAAAACAATGTTGCAGATCATCTCGTCCACTTCCTGCGCTCGATGGCATGGGAAAAGGGCAAGGATCCCGAAAAGATGGAAATTACCTTTCCGGAATGGCGCGATGTTGCTCAACGAGTTAAGAAGCGCTTTCCACAAGCCGCAGATCATCTAAGGCGGCTTGATAAGCTCTTTGAACAATATGACAAAGACGTACGTATTCTCGGTGTGACTCCATCCTCATCAATTGCTGCAGACTAAGCCCGAACACCATTCTCTGATGCAAAAGCTCAAATACTGACCAAAATTCTTTTACGAGCCAATTTTTCATGTTTGAGAATCAATACTAACTTCGACATGTCTTTTAGCAAAATGGAACACTAGACTTCGGCGAGCTTCACGAACTACTGCTTCAGATTGATTCGAAAATCACTTCACTTCCAGCAACAGCGCAGCGCGCCCATCAGCAAGGCCAGTATCTGGGACGCAAGCTTAACAAATTGGCGCAGGCGGCGCCTGGAATGATGGTCAACGAAGTTGACTATGGCGATTTAGACGAAGCTGTCTACAAAGCGTTTGAGTATCATCATTTGGGTAGTCTGGCATATATCGGCAACTCGGCCGTTTTCGATTTCAATGGATTGAGTTTCAGTGGCGGCTTGATGGCAGTATACCTGTGGAGAAGCGTGTACTTTGCGCAGAGCGTGAGTCTCAGGACAAGGATGTTGTTGGCCATGGATTGGAGCAAGAGGGCTTTGTTCGGAAGAGGTAACGATAACTGTCCATTATGATGTTCATCGCAATGCTGACTGGGGTTATAGACATGATGAACTACTAGGTAGCGAGTTCCAATGCCTGCTTCATTAGCGGGTAGGAGACGAAGCACAAGCACATGGATTGCTAGCAGGCTTTGATAGTTACAGAGTACACCCCCTTTCAGGCTGAAACTTCTATTACTTGCTGCTTTGGTGATTGAGTTCCTTCATTGACACCTCTTTCTGGATGCTTTCTTTCCTTCTTTCTTTTGATCGGTTTGTAGTGTAGTACTGGGTCAATGACTACGTTTGTGTCAATCTCTAGAACTGACTCAGTCAAGGACAGCTGGACAGCAATAAGCGTAAACAGTCAGGACAACCACTGCGCTAAGTATTCCTGCGTAGCATTGCCTCTCTAAAAATTCGGTCGTGACTTCGGTCGATCAGTTGCCAACCAACTAACGAGCTCTACCCGACATTGAGACACATGATGACACTGAAGCTGAGAGTAGATGTTTACTAGTTATTTTGCTACGCAGATGTCAATGCAAAGATGCCTAGCTGCGCATAATGGGTATCTTCCACTTCAAAACGCCAAATGCCTGCTTCCTCATGCAGCCAGATATTGCAACGCAAATAGAGCCACGATTGTTGGTAAGATCCTCTAGAGACATGGATGATCAGCACAAGCAAATCACAACAACCCCTCAGCTTTTCTACCAAAACGGGTGATCCATAGGCCGTTAATCCCAATCCTCTTCGGAATCAACGCTCTTGCCGCTCTTCCTCCTCTTGAGCGAAGGTCTTCCTCTTTTCTTCTTCATCGGTGTCCCGGCAATGGATACAGAGACCTTCCTCTTCAATGTCCTTGATCCACCACTCATTGGTGTGTCACGCTCCTCATCCCCACTAGGCGTCTCCGGACGTTCCAAGTCTTCCTCTCCTTCGGCGGCAACCTTGATCTCATTGTCGACCGAGAGCAACTCAACAAATTCCTTGCATTGGTGCATCATTGATTCTTCGCTACCTAGCGAGGAAACCTTTTCGGCTATTGCTGCCACCACTTTGTCGCCCGTTAGGCCTTGAATGCGACTCGGGGCTTTGCTGAGATCTTTCGCTGCACTCTTCTTGCTCTCCCGCTTCTGCTGGCTTGCGCTGAGACCGTAGAGACGGCGCAGATAGGTTCTCGCTTCCCAGAGTGAAGACAGAATGACCGAGGCGATACTCAGTTGACGTAGCCTTGAAGGATCAACAGTCACGCCAGTCCCATCATTTGGGTCTTGATTCTGAGGCGCATTTCCTGGGGCAACGTCGGGCATCGACTCCACGGTAATGTGGAAGATCTCGGTGCTGATACTATGAGCGACGCCTGATCCAGTATCCGCGACGACCTTCTCCATACAAGATATCGTATGAAGTAGCTCGTCTAGCCGGCCGTAATCGAAAAAGGCGAGATTCTCTGTCAGGAATCGGGAGAATTGCAGGACATCTGAGAGATCGGTCTTCAAGACGTCGAAGTCGATTTTAGAGCATAGATTCGAAAGAAACTTCTTCTGGTACTTGCCTTTGCTCGTCTTTATGATATCGAACACACCACATAACTTAGAAGCATATGGCTGTGTCGTGTATCCAAGAGGATCTCTTACAATGTCCTTTTGGTATCTGAAGGCTTCCTGGATAGCTCTCATATACTCTCGCTCGAACATACTCTCATGTTGCTGATGCAAGAGGCGGTGTTCTTGGAAAGCCACATCGGCAATGGCTGGGTTAGTTGAAGTTTCTAAGGCAACTAAGGCAGGACCCGATTCTTTGGGGTGTACTAAACCTTGCCGATTGATACTAGCGATGACTTCAGTTGCGGTCAGTGCAGAGTTTTCTTGGCTGGCCAACGCTATGTTCAAGATGTCCTTTAGGAAGCGCTGGGCGATCAAGGCCGAAGCGCCATCGCCATCATTTGCGGTCATGGATCCTCCCAGCTTCCCTCCAGCAGGAAGCTCGGGTCCGGCCAAGGCTTCTTTACCTTTGCCTTCGGCTTGACGGTCTATTCTGGCAAAGAAATCTCGAAAACTTGAAAGCACAATGATCTGCAGCTCTGGTTCGCCCTTTCGAAGAACATCCTGAAACGCGTTACTGATGTGCTCTTGGGTGAATTGATATGGCCACGATTGGCAGACGAGACCGATACTGTCGAATGCCTCGGCTCTGAGTGGGAGCGGTTGATTGAAGCTCGTGAATGGATTGACAGACTGAACAATCAGTCCAGCTACTGATCCACCTTTCCACCAATCTAAGCTGCTCTGAAAAGCCTTATCGTGACTTTCGAAGTCGCAGTGTTTACCGAAACACCCGGCGATCCGTATGTATTTCCTGACGCGTCCTAGATTTTCCTTTTGCTCAGGATCGGCAAACTTGATAGCCCCTCTCTCCAGACGCCGTAAATGCGTCAGTACAGTTGCAATCATTTTGATCAGTATCTCGGGGTTTTGCAGCGCGCCATTGATAGTCCATAGACATTCAGCTACTTCGTTCAACTCTCCCTTTCCAAGTCGCGACACGCTTTGAAGCAGCGCCTTTTGGATACTCTGGAGCAGGCTCTGCTGAATAGTAGACAGCACCGGCAATACACAGCGGAAAATGATGACGATCGACCTAAACAAGTCGAGATCGTCTTTGCCTGAAAGATTCGTAATATAGGGTTGCAGGTTGTGCAATTGATCGGGGGTAAACAGCCGCGCATTGGCTCTGGCAAAAACTGTCAAGGTTTGAAGAATGTGGCGCTGCTCCAGGCCCTCCGCTTCCTGAGTATGATCGATCATAATTTCGAAAGCAGTAGCAACAAGCGATTTGCAGACTCTGAAACTTGCCGCAACGCTTTTGGATTTATTGGACAGGATATCTTGCAGCAGATGGACCAATACAGAGGACACCCTTTCCCCTCGTTGTACCGTACTGATGATGAGGCCGACCTGAGCCCGGAGAGCAAGCTTGTTCGGGACCGACGCATCTGCGAGATCTGGAAAAGGATTGTATGGCAAGAACCAGATCTCCTCGAATGTCTGGCGTGCGAGATCTGAGACCCCAGTGTCGGAGTCCTTGACCCGCTGCAGTAGACTGTCGCCAATAACTGCCTTGACGTTCTTTTCGGTGTTTCGGAGATATATGTCCTTCAGCAATTTCATCGAGCGTTTACGCACTCCCGTCGCTGGATCGTCGCTCAGCTTTAGCACGTGTCTGAGGAAATCCTGTTCAAGCGCGGGCCTTAGGATAATGCATTTGCCGATTAGTGTCAAAGCCGAGTCGCGGACCATGGGAGAAGCGTCAGTTGCGCAGTTCGTTATAAGTGTCTTGACACTCCTCGCGCGATCGAGTAGTGATGGATCTTTTTCCAGCATCTGGGTAACACTTTTTAGGCTCCTAGTACGCACTGTGATCTGCTCGCTGGTGACCGAATCAAGCAAAATCTTGAGGATGTAATCAAATTGACGGCAAAAGTCCATGCTTAGTACAGTCAGCGCGTAGGCGATACGAATTTGGATACTCGTCAATCCATCCAGGTCTCTAGTAAACACGTTAGCAATAGCGGTCTCCACAAAGAAGAGAAAGCACGTACCCAGATACAGGCCAGCCTGTTCCAAGTAGCATTTCACGCATCTTTGAAGCCAGTGCTTCGCTCTTGAAATCTACCTTCACTGCTCCTGACGAAACAACCTTCGCCCATCGTGCCAAATAGTAAGCCTGGGCGCTAAAAATCTGTGGATCATCGGAGTCCTTGTTTTGAAGATACTCCGCAACTGCATGATAAGGTCCGTCCCATATCACAACCTCATTGGTCTCCAGCGATCCATCCATGTAATCGTCCAACATCTGACGAAGGTACCCGCTGTATTGGGACTCATGGCCCTCCAAGCCCCTTGCAGCATGACGAGTATCCGAGACCAATTCGGATATGGCTGAGCCCATCTGTCCTAGGAGTTCCAAAGCCATGTTCTTTGCAGGGGCCAGAGATTTTTGATTTTCTGCAATATTTCGGCAGTTGGCGAACAAGATCTGCAAAAGAAGTTCCGCTGCTGGCCATTCCGGGAGGCCGAGGACCGTGATGAAGTCCTCGAGAAACAATTCCAGGAGCTGCCGATGCGGCTGATCTCCCGTCTTGGAAGCCGTCATCGCACGTTGCACGAGGTACTTAATCACGTACTGTGCGCTCTTAGCGGCATTGTCCAAACGTGAGGTAGCCTCCTTCCCCAGCCTCTGGATGGCGAAATTATGGCTTGAGTGTTCGTCATTCTCAGATGTATCCGACTCCACACTCTCCTCTACGTTGTCCGCGGCTTTTGAATGCTCCACTTGAGACGACTCAAATCCGCTTCCTTGCTCGACTTCAGATGAAAGCAATCTACGCTTTGGGGCCTTCTCGATGACTCCAACCAAACGCGTCGCACTTGTCTGTATTAGTCGCATAATCAGCGCGGAGACGAGCTGAATACTCGGCCCATCTGCCAGCTTGAAATGGCGTGCGTGCTGTCGAGTTACGGGAAGCTTCTGCAAGGAAGACAGAATCTCATCAAAGAGGAATAGACGCTGCCCTGGGTATCTTGAAAAAATCGTGGCTATCATGTCCATTGCCGTATGGCGAAGGCTCTCAAACTTCTGGATGCCGAGAATAGACTCTTTCTCGCTGTGCGCATTTTCCGCAAAGAGTAGGGGAAAGGCAAAGAATTCTATGCCAGTGATGATGATCTCTGCGATTTCCACCCTGGACAACAGCTTGGCTAACAAAGCCATGACCCTACTAACATCGAACAACAACTGCGAGATGATCTTTTTATGTGAGGAAGCTGCCTCGAAAAAGGCCGTACTGGGACAAGAGCTTCGGGCTTCGACAACAGGGATGATGCAGTGGTCCAGGGTCTTTTTGACCACATCTATCACGTTTTGCAGCAGCTCTTCTGAATATATTTGCTTTTCCTCACGTCCGCCTGTCATCATCCTTAGGATCGTCCGAGCAGAGCGAAGTCCCAGGTCCACTGTATCAAGCTTTGAGACCCAAGCGGCGAAGTCGTCTGCGTTCCATTCGAGTTCAATGGGTAGATCTGATGACTTAGCAGCAGTCAACGCGCCCTCACATAGTCCTTGCAGACGCTGCAAATGGTCCGCGGGTATTTCGACTAACCTGCCGGCGGTAGTCGCCTTGTGCAAACTTGACTCTAATTTAACGTGGACAGCTGGGGCCAAGGTATTTAATTCTTGCTCTTCGCGATAAGCTGGGACGAAGTATTGAGCGTGCACGGAATGGGTAACTCCCGGACCGTCGAGTTGCGATTGGTCATCAGCCTCGAAAATATCCTGAATCACTCCTTTCAATTGACGGAGCGTCTCGTCAGATGCCGCTCTCTGATCCTTTGTCTGCGATGGTGTATCAGTTGTTTGAGCCTCGGCATCACGTTTGCGCTTTCGAGAAACTTCGTTATTGTCTCTTCCTGTAGGCTCTTCATAAGTGACAAAGTCGCTTTTCCGAGACTCGACTGACGAGGGAGGGATTACGACCAAAGGAAATTGCGGTGGCTTCGCTGATATAGGTCCGTATACGCCGGTAGCGGAAATTTGAGCATTCTTTGAGAAGGCCGCCTCGTTACTGGTAAACCTTTCGCTTGTAGGCGTGATTGGCGACTGCTGTTGCAGTGTCTGAAGCTTTCGCTTTGAGACTGAGTGCGGTCGGTGAGGCTGCTGACGATCTGCTACTGTTTTGGCGTTAAGCGAGGCAGATAAATGCGGAGGCTGAGGGCTTGTCTTTGGTGCAGGAGAAGTATCTTCCGGGCTTGTTGGAGTTGGGTCTGAATCAAAGTATCATCAGCAAAGATAATCATACTTCTTGCTTGTTGTGTGCATACTCACAACGATGAGCAAGGTCTGTTGCATGGAGTAACAAATCTGCAAATGGACCCAAACTACTTGAAGCCTGCTTATGGCCGTTACCATTGGACGTAGCTTGAGGGCGCTCCTGGTTGCGATGGGGTCCCGCAGGAACTTTGAATTTACTATTTTCAATTATAAGTCCGCATCACGTGTGAGTGTGTGGGCAACCTCACAAGTCAGTAATGACATTCGGATTGAGGTAAGCCTTGAGGTCATGTTTCGAACGGTGAACAATGCTAGACTGTCCCTGACTTCTAAAAAGCTCTTCACCCAAATAATCAAGTGGCTGACGGGATATGCGATGCTCGTTTGAGGTAGAAAAGATTGGTTGAGAGCCATGAATGTTGGCGTTCGGTGTTGGTATAATATCTGGAGGAGTCAGACGCTGCTGTTTAGGAACTCTAGTAACACTGACCAGGACCAAATGGAACAATAGAAGAGAAAGGAGAGAACTGCAAAGCTTCATCAACGTTCAAAAGCCTTGGCCGAGTGGGATGCATTCCGTTGGATGGCTGAAAGGGTGCCACTCCGGTTGATTGCAATCGAAAAGAAGCTCCATTTGGTTGCCTGACAGGAGGTACAGCATTTGGCTGTCGAGGAGTAATGCTGACGTTCATTGGTCGGGGAGGAGTATTTCCGTTGAATTGTGACACGCCATTTCGGGGCACGTTCAACGCATACTGTTTGGATTTCCTTTGAGTCGGGCTTCGATTGTCAGAAGTAGGGACCACGACTGCCAGACCTGCTTTGTGGTTTGGCGAGGCCATTGTTCTTGGTCATGGAAAAAGATAATACTATCCATGTGTGTTACAGAAGCTAGGTGGTCAAGATAGTCAAGTTGGCCATGAACAACCCAGGCTCATATTGGTTGGTGAGCGTGACAGTGATTGGTGAGGTTGCTGTCACAATTCGGTTTCACGACAAAGTTCCTCGGATCTACATTCACAGCCCTAGCCGGGCGGGAAAATATGCTTGGCAACATGGCTCCAGATTTTGTTCTCGGCCCCTGAATATTTTCCCTCGAGAATTGTCCACAAATCCATCGTCACGCCGGCCGGAGACGGCAAGTTCTAGAAATACTCAAGCTGCGGAAAGTCTTTACACTATAGCTATGGCTGCAATCGGATCGCTCGTGTTCTGCACCGATTGCGGTAACCTGCTGGATGGGTCCTCTGGGGACGAAAAGGCAATCTTGAGATGTGACGTGTGTGGAACGGAGAACAGAGGTATAGCGCCTGCAGTAATTTCACCTTGGCTTACAGAGGCGCTGATGCAGGTGCTGATTCGGGCTCATAGACATATCATCTAGTGCCATCACAACCAGATCAAAGCCCACATCTTTCCCTTCCGCCCTCCGCTCAAAGCTTTCTGCAGTACAGACTCTGACGGAGGATGACGTCCAAAAAGATGCTGTGATTCGGCAGACATGTCCGAATTGTGGCAGTAAAGAAATGAGATACTACACCCAACAGCTAAGAAGCGCCGATGAGGGTACAACAGTGTTCTACAGTTGCGATTGCGGTCACAGGTAGGCCGTTTTTGTGCTAATGGCTTCGTTTCAGGCATGCTAATACAGGCCATAGATTCAGCATAAACAACTGACTTAATCGTCCTCTTGGGTATCTATCATATGACCTTTGCCAACGGCGAAAATCATAGCTCTTCTGGGAGAACAGCATACTCCCTCTCACCATTCTTCTCAAACTCCGCCATATCTAATGCGACAACAACACTCTCTCTTACAACCTGTTCTGGATCATTCAGAAATCCGCGCAGGATATCCTCGACGCCTTCCTCGTCTCCGAGGCTTCCAAGCGCCTCAGCAGCCTCGTGCCGCACCATACTCTCTTCCTTGCTGTTGCTCAAGGTGGCTACAAGACTTGGTATTGATGCCGGATGGGAGAGTTGACCAAAAACAAAAGCAATTTCGTGCCGAAAGAGCGCTGAGGGATCAGAGAATCCTGATGCTAGAGCTTTCACGGCTGGGACGGCCGTGGAAAGATCAGGTGGGGATGAAAGGTCGCGGAGGGCGAACATCGCCCTGTAGCGGCCAAAGAGTGGGAAGCTCGTATCCAGAAGCTGTCTCTGAAGCTCTTCGATTGTATGTTGGCTGGTCCCTTGGGCGAGCGGTGGCGCAGGATCTATAGATGTGAAATCGCTATTCCGGAATCGTCAACATTCGGCAACACCGGCCATGTTAGATAGAGGACCCACCTGGTTCGTAATCGCTCTGATTTTTTCTTGGCACTGTGATCCCACTCAATCCTTCCCACCGCAATCTCACAAGTTTCTCTTACGACTTCAGCCTCTCCTGCCTCATCTCTCAAACCCCTCAACAGGCCCAGCGACTCCCAATCCCCTAATGCCCCAAGAGCCTCAGCTGCCTCATGCCTACACATGGCATCCTCCAATCTGTCCTCCAAGACCGTCCTTAGAAATGGTACGGCAGCTAGATTGCCAGTTTGCCCCAGGCAGTAGGCAAGTTCATGCTTTAGCAAAGCGGAGGGCGATGGCAAAGCGGCGGCAATAGCATGGATGGCGGGAAGAGTGTAGAGGGTCGGAGGATGCTTGGAAGCGTGATGCTTCAGGGAAAAAAGAGCTCGGAATCGAACAGCAAGAGGTGTAGCTTCAGAGACAAGGGCGGCGCGGAGGGGGGCGATTGGGTTAGGTTCTTCAAACTCTGACGGGAGGCTGTCTGAGTCCTGGTCTGGGGCAGATGGCGGTACAATCTTGAGATCTGGATACGTTGAAAAATCAGGAGTGATAGCTGTGGGCGCCATGATGGATAGGTTGTGGTGTTGCAGATTGATTCTTCACTTGTCCTGCGGGGAGGCGGACTTGGCGAGACAAGGCCTATGAGTACCCCCCAGTCACTCGAAACTCATCAAAACAGCTCTAGTAGCCCTACGGGGTATGCCAAGGCAAGCAGAGAGAGACATGATTTTAGTGTCCCTCATGCTCACTAGCCGAAGGGATACCTTTGCGCTACGGTCTATCAACTCACACGCTTGCATCTCTACGCCGCATCAGCGTACCCATCCTCTGCTTGATCACGCACATTAGGCGGTCCAGTCTACTCTCGTTCCCATTCTCCCGAGTCGCAAAGCATGGGCTCCGTTGTCCTACCCCATCTGGTCACAGGCTGGTAAATAATCTTGCCATCCCCGTCCGTGGAAAAGACTGACCGTCCATAGGCATGTTGACCAAGCTATCTTGTCGGAAGAAGAACGTCTGGTGGTTATACGCTTCGGACGCGATTGGGACGCCGACTGTATGCGCCAGGATGAAGTACTCTACAGTATATGACTTCTCTCCCTCCTTTTGAACACTCCTTTGCTCACGCTGCGTAGGGATCGCCGACCGTGTCAAGAACTTCGCAGTGCTCTATGTCTGCGATTTAGATCAAGTTCCAGACTTTAAGCAGATGTACGAGCTCTACGATCCAGTGACACTCATGTTCTTCTTCCGCAACAAGCACATGGTAAGCTTCTAGTTTCCTAAAAGATCTACTATTTACTGAATTCGTATAGATGTGCGATTTTGGGACAGGAAACAACAACAAGCTGAACTGGGTGCTGGAGGATAAGCAAGAATTGATTGATATCATTGAGACGATTTACCGAGGAGCCAAGAAAGGGAGAGGTCTGGTCGTCAGTCCAAAAGGTACGTCCACCTTACCTAGTTTCCTGATTGCTCTCTTCTTCAGAGTAGGCAGCGGGGTATGGGACATGACAAGCTGACTGTTTTGTTAAACAGACTATTCGACGAGATATCGCTACTAGGAAACCAAGGTACGAGGGCAGGATCTGAAGGCGGTTTATTGTTTTGCGACCGTGGGTCACGAGCGTCTGGTATGGTCGTCTATATTACAAGGGATGGTAATGGAGGAACTGCGGCTGGGTGTCGATGATAGATTTGGAATGCTTGAATCATTGGTTGGTCTCACTACCAAAGCCACTCGGATTACTTGATCTATTTGCTAACACGGTGCTCTGGCCCCAAAAGATGAGGAAGGCGACCTCTGTTACTCAAGAGAGCATACCGGTTGCTGGACTAACCTAAAGTAGGTGGTCGTTTCCCTTTGGTGGGAGGACTCTTCGACCAATCCAAGAGCAGACGCCTTGTGACGCCTCTTTGATCCACGCCTGCTTCTGTCTCCAACGAACGGATAGTCCATGGTCCTCTCGAGATTGTCAGTCACTTTGGCATATCCGATTACTACCAAATACAAATCCGTACCATTTAACTCCCTTAAAATCGCCTTGGAAAATCGACAGCTCTCTTTGCCCATCTTTACGAAGTGTTTTCGTCTCCTGGGGCATTTATCTACTCGACAGGTCATGTCAGCAACGGTTGTACATGGATCTCTGCGCGCATGCCGGAAAAACGTGACTGACAGCTTCAGCGAAACCAATCCATTCACCCAAACCCTTCACGAAGGCATCGTCCTCGTCGAGCCTGGTCTCGTGACTCCAAACAACCACCCTGTCGAATGAGCCGACCTCGTTCAACACTGTGACTTCTTCCTGCTCCTCCTCCCCTTCTTCTCTCTCCAAATTGCCCACGTCAGTGTTTTGGAGAGAGGTCCTCTCCTTCCCAGCTTCCTTGACAATAACGCCTCTGTACCCTTGGGGAACATCAATCTCCTGTCCTCTCAGCCTCCTCCCGCGGAAGTATGCCTCTGGCTGTCCATCTGTGACAAACGAGCCTCAGATTGGTCTCTGAGTTGAATGCAACAGCAATGCAAGGGAAGACTGACCTTGAGCTGTCTTTGGAGCCCAGTACCTCGGCGAAGCGTCGACCGGCCCGTCCTGATGGATGCGACAGGGGAGGACATTAGGCTCACACTGCTTCTGAACACGAGTCTCGGGTTTGGAGAATTTGAGCATGGTTTCGCTGAAAGTGGAAGAAGATGACTAGAGGACACTCTTTGAGGATGACCACTCAGTTCTGTTTTTGATTGCTCTCAAGTGGGTTCGAGTTGACGCGTGAGCACGGGGTTGGGAGTGCACCAACGCGACGTGAAAGAGTTTTAACATCTACGGTACCTTACCCGAAGCCGGTACTGTAAGGAGGTAAGGTACCTTCTTTACATAAGGGAATCTTGGCGGATGCGGGATGCGGATTGCGGAGAAAGTTCCGAGGTTCCATACTTTTAGAGTTTGATGGATTATGAGCAGGAAAGACAATACCTACGTCAACATCTTTCTCCTCATCTTTCTCCACTCCTCTCATCTAAAGTCAATCCTCCTCTTTTGGCCATGGGCATCGACGCGTTTCCCCATCTTGCAGCGATGACGTTCATCAAAGCTAGGATGCATTTGACTACAAATTATCTGCTTGTCTGCTATTATCATGATACAGTAACCATATCCTTCCCTCGGCCATTCACATAAAGTATTGGCGATACAAATCCACATCATGTATTTCAAGAAGAGCAACTCGATAGCTGTCATTGCTGCCATCACTGCATCCGTTCTTTCTCAGCAGATTTCCCAAGATCCTGGAACGGGTGGCGTGTCGATTGAGGTCGTCCATCTATACAGCGATGAGTACCCACAAGGTTCCCAATCTTTCTACGCGCTGTCCATATATTCTCCTCTAATCGTCGCATAGGGATCGCTGTCTCTTCGACGGGTCGCATGTTTTCCAACTACGCTCGCTCCCTCGATCCCAACAACATCGCTTATACTGTAGCTGAATTGACTGGTAATAATACCGAGACGCCATATCCTTCCGTAGCCATCAATTCGCCTCCAGGTGTGCGTATCATCCGAGTCCACCATTCGTTTTTTGGACTGAATTTTGGGCCTTGAGACATACCTCGCGGGTCTTAAACCGTTAAATATGTTGCAAGACCCGATATCACATCTCAAATGGCAATACTGATTCCAAAATCTCAATCCAGGGCGCAATCAACTACACCACCAATCCAGCCACAGGCGCCAACTATGAAAACTACCTAATCGGCGTCCAAAGTGTGGTCATTGATCCGCTGGACCGCCTCTGGATCCTGGATACTGGCCGTGCAGCGATGCCAAATGGAACAAATGTCTATGCCAGTGTTGGTGGGCCGAAACTCATTGGCGTCAACCTCTCCAACAATACCATGTTCAAGACCATCGTATTTCCACCGAACGTCGTATACCCGGACAGCTATATCAACGATATTCGCTTCGACTTACGCCCCAATGTCACTGCGTCGGGACACGGCGTGGGCTACATCACTGATTCAAGTCAAGAAGGCCGTAACGGTATCATCGTCGTTGATCTTGGCACTGGCAAGTCATGGAGGCACCTGGATGGAACAAGTTACGTACACCCTGAAACGGGGTTTCTTCCGGTAATCTGGGGCAATACTGTGTACTCACTTCCCAACGGACCTACCATGCCCATCAGTCAGAGCACCTTTGGCGCAGACGGAATCGCACTGAGTGCTGATGGAGCCACACTTTACTTTTCCGCAGTGGGCAGTCGCTATCTTTACTCCGTTCCTACGGCTCGTTTGCTCGACGACAGCCTCACCAGCGAGTTGATGGCTACACAAGCAGTCGTCTCGCACGGGCAGAAAGGCATATCTGACGGCCTCGAAACCGATACCAATGGATTCATCTACGGCGGGAACCAGGAAGATAACTCTATTATTTTCTTCAATCCGGCTAATGGAACTGTGAACGTTTTTGCACGAGACCCAAGAATGTCGTAAGTGCACTTCTCGGAGCAAATTCCCCCACCCCTCCCCACCACAATGTATGCCATGATTGAGTCCCAAGACAGGCATCGGGAATGTATACTCGTGATGCTTCTCAATTCTGTTTTGCAACCTGAGTTTTCTGCTTCACAGAAGTCATACTGACTCCCGAAATGTGCAGGTGGACAGATACCCTTTCGGTGGCATCGGATGGCTACATCTACTTTACCGAGAATCAGTTATGGAGGACAACTATGTTCTATCCGGGCACTGACAGGAGAATCAAGCCATATGTGCTTTTCAGGGCGAAATTACCTGGCAACGGCACCAAGGTCAACCTCAGCTGAGTTCGAATGAACGAGATCAGCTGAGACCGAATGAAAGAGATGAAGAAGCATGGAAAAAGCATGTATTTCTGTTTCAACATACACAACATAGTAAATTAATGATAATTGAACTGCCCACTGTTGCTCTATCTTTAGTGGGATGCATTCCTCCTCCCGAAAGCATACTCCTAAGCCTACAATCAACCTGCCATGTCCGGCAGCAAACGTACGTTGTTGTTATTCAGCTTGTACTGCCGGTGTATGGCATCGGCCCTGATCACATCACATGAGCCCGTTGATCGTCAGGCACAGGATGCGGCTCTAGGGCTGAGCGGAGATGGGTCCGCAGCTCAGGTCCAGGCATTATTATCTAAACCTCACATCAAGATGTCATTGCACTGTCACCCAAGTCAGGAGGCAATGAGTGCAGTACGCCTTGAGTTGCGAGACTGCCTGACTCGCCCGGTGCGATCGATCTATCTATCTATCTATCTGTCTATCAGATCATCCATGCCGGAAGGATTGCGGAATTTGTAAAAAGATGTGATGAAAGCCGGCGGAAGAGGTTCCTGCAAGTCTGCAGATTTGCCAATACGATTACGAGGAAAGGGTCCGATTGCCGACGGCGGGACTGGACCCCACCGTGCGATAGTGCATTTTTTTGGTGCTGATCCCTGTCAACAGAAACATTGCGAGTGGTGATTTCATATTTGGTACCTGAATGAAGAAAAAATGTTGAGATAATGCGAGTACGAGTACACCCTTACGCTATCCATAAGCAACTTCCAACTGTGCCTGAGTGCGCATATCTAAAACAGAGACAATTCCACTCTTTGACGCCTGGGTTCCCAAGGCAAAAGTGGAGCCTCTGCATCATTTGTCCATCCGGCGATGGCCATCGTCTCCCGCACCTTCGACTCCTTGCGCAGCTACCTTGGCTCCTTCACATGGGGCCCTTTTGTCAAGCTTTCACGCAGCACGGTCCTGGGACTGCTCAGCCGAATTGAGGTCGGCCAATTGGTCGTTAGAGACAGTGATGGCACCGTGACGATTTGTGGACAGCCCTGCATAAAAGATGGATCTCCCCGCACGGAACTGAGGGTCTCTAAGGAAGCCTTTTGGGTGCGAGTAATGTTGTTTGCCGACATGGTGGGTGACCTGATCTTTGCGAGGGCGACAGGCTCGGTGAGCAGGCTTCGCGAACGGTGCGAGAGCTGAGAATTTGATCGGTTAGGGATTCGCTGAGAGCTTCATGCTGGGCGAGATATCGTGTCCAGATCTGGTTGCCTTCTTTCGGGTGCGTAAGGAGAGTAGAGCTTGATGAACCGGCCCACTCACTAACGGCATCAGATATTCATCCTCAACCGGGCCCAACTTTCCAATGCGACAACGTTGACATCTTCTCTTGCCTCAACGGTGAACAGCCTTGCGCGCAGCACGAACACGATGGCGAACTCCCAGTTAAACGTCTCGGCCCACTATGACATCAGTAATGCCATGTTCGCTGCCTTTCTCTCGGACGATATGACATACTCCTGTCCCATTTGGTCCCCCATTCCGGACGCGAAAGCCCAGTACGAGAGCCTCGAAGATGCACAGGGTACCAAGCTTCAATACTTCATTGATGCTGCGAAGATAAAAGCGTCAGACCATGTCCTCGAGATCGGCACTGGATGGGGAAGCTTTGCCATTGCCGCAGTGAAGAAGACAGGGTGCAGAATTACGAGTCTGACCCTCAGCCGAGAACAAAAGGAGCTAGCCGAGGAAAGAATAGCCGCCGCAGGATACACGGACAATATCGAGGTTTTACTTTGCGATTATCGAGCGTTGCCCACCCCGAGGGACGGCTTGTACGATAAGTTGGTTAGTATCGAAATGCTGGAAGCCGTCGGCCGCGAGTTTCTGGCTACCTACTTTGGTTGCGTCAATCAACTATTGAAACCTCAGGGTGGAATCGCCGTATTCCAGTGCATCACAATGCCCGAGACAAGGTACGAAGGTTACTCGAAAGGCGAAGATTTCATTCGGAAATATATCTTCCCTGGAGGCCATCTGCCGACCGTCAGTCAGCTGGTTGGAAGTATCGAACAGGGTTCACATGGGGCATTGGTCGTCGATTCAATACTGAACATTGGAGGCCACTATGCAAAGACATTGAGACTGTGGAGAGAGAAGTTCGAGAGAAATTTTGACAGCGAAATCCGGCCAGCGCTGTTAGGTGAGCACGAGGGAATGACGGACAAGGATGTAGAGTTATTCAGGCGGAAATGGCAGGTAAGTCGAAACACGTGTAAAGGCGGATTCGGAATGCTAATCCTTAATTCAGTACTACTTCACGTATTGCGAGGCAGGCTTCAATACTAAGACCCTTGGTGATGTGGTCCTCACAGTTGGGCGAGAAGGGGCCACAGAAATGTTGGAAAATATTCCCCTGTAGCTTTCACTTCAAGCGTGGCAGTCCAGGTCTGCATTTAGCGAGCTCGGAGTTGTTGAGCGATTTGAGCGTTCAATCGTTTGTAGTGGTCCCTCATAGTTGCTATGAATGGATACGAATCTTCCTGTCCACGTGCTGGTAGGAAGTTGTGCCAAAGCAGAAGACTAGGCAAATTGCGAGGGAGATACCCACCATTCCGATCTTGGACTGGGTGTATAGGCTCTTCTCACTTTCTGGTCTTCTTTTTTTTCTTCTTCGTTTTGCTATGGTTGCCTTTTTGACCTCCATCCTCTGCCAACCCGTTCAGTCTCTTATGGTCCGGTCCAAACTTCTTAATATGTTCCTTCTCAAATCCTTCCTTCTCCCTCCTAAAAAGCAGCATCGTTGCTCTGGCATCCTCGATACTTGAGTGTTCCCCGCCTTGAATCTCGACTCCTAATACCTCTCTTGCCAGTTTCTTCAAGCCTGGAGTTTTACCGCCCGCCAGCTGCTTGAATGCTGGATGCCTGCTCGTGTCTCTTATGTCTCTCTTAGAGTGGCCGAGCAACAGCGCCTCTAAGTCATGCTTGATCGCGTGCCCGACAAGTATCCTCCCATCAAGCAGCTTGGCAACATCCGCTAGCACAGCTTCAAAGGTCCTCGCTGACTGTAGTAATTGCGGTGTAATCCCGGATACGAACGTGCGATAATCTGTAACAGTTTCTCTAGGCTGGACGAAGGAATCGTACAACTGATGACCATGGTAGTTCACGATAGAGACGCGCGCAAGTGCTGAGTCGGTATCTGGAGTGGGCCCAACACCAACCATTTCACAATCGATAGCGATGAACTTCCCAGCTTCTGCGACCGGCGATAGACCCTCGTTTATGGTGTCCTCCGTTTTGTTGTTTTTGTCTGGAATGAATGTACCCTTGAGCGAACTTCCATAGGCTGCTGCGAGGTCTTTGGCTGGGATATCATGGTCTTCTGCCCACAAGGCTAGCGACGCGGAGGGCTTGTCATCTTCCCTACCTGACCAGCGAGAATCCATTCCTTTCGACTTCTCCCTTTTCTCGTTTCGTGAGGGGATCGAATCACTTTCAATCTTGCGATATTTAACGCCGATGCGATGTGGCTGGAGGACGCTTTCACTGGCTTTCCGCTTTGGAGACTTTGTAGTATCAGCTTTTAGAGTTTGTTGAAGCTTTTTCCAATTGCTGGAGAGGTCTTTAAGCTCCATGACTGGACCGGAGCCGTTGATCATAGCATGCTGGAATCGCGGAGGAAGCTTGGGTATGCGATGTGGATCCTCAGGACGGTGAGTAGGAACAGATCCCCACAATGTCAAACTTGATAGGGCTGCTAGCGCAAAGACGTTACAAAAGATTTCTTAAGATGCCTGTGCTAAAAGTACTACAAGCAGCATGCTTCACAGACTCATGATACACGACACAGCGTTTGAATCCCAGGAGATGCGCAGATTCTATAGCTCATGCAGTCTGATGAGCGCCAACGTACAGCAATGTGTGAGACTAGCTTATGTACATCGATGCATTTCTAAGGAACTCCACCCAATTCACGCTCTAATGCGCATTGTTCTTGTGATGCCCTGTTGCCATAGATTAGCCTCAAACTCTCAAGGTGTATATGGCTGTGACTACACACGGAGATGGAAGTAGTAATTGTTGCCATAGCCCAGAACGAGAAGAAAGCCGATAAGGTGGATGATGGCTGGAGAACACCACGTTAGCCGCGAAGAAAGGAAAGTACCGTCGTGTGCCTCTGCGGCTGACGAAGACTTACGAGCTGCAGAGGGATTCTTTCCGAAGTAGCGAGCTTGATATCTGCCCACCAACCCCTTCGGATTGACATCTGGAGCTGGACCTCGAGGCAATTTTTCATAGAAGCTCACGACTCGTTGCATACGAGCTGCATCTTGTGCTCCACCAATTGCCTGATTGGAGGCTATCAGTCACACTGTCCGTCGAAGAAGAGGTATTAAACGCGATGTCCGTTCAAGCCGCATTGTGGTCTTCGTTCCGCGAAGCAAGCCACCCGACAGTTCGAGTAGTCAGGAGACAGAAGCTGGAGACTCACTGATGGCGATGCAATCTATAACATCGATTAGCAGGAACCGTTCGTCGTATTGGACATGACAGAAAGGCGTACCTTTGGTGGGACCAAGGTCGAGAGACCACGCCGAGCGATAAAGCTCATTGTGGACCTAGAGGCAGGATACTTTGATTCAGTTCAGCGATAAATGCTGAGTCCGAAGAATGTCTGTGAACGTTTTATCTGATGAGATCGATGACGTTGGTTGAGGAGTACAACGGAGCGGAGGTTTGTCGCCAAGCCTGTCTCAGCCCTACGGGCAAAACGCAAATGGAAATGACGGCTACCAACCCTTCAAGCCATTGTGTTCGCCTCACCGAGGACCTCAGGGCAGGCGAGATGTCCTTGCTAAGGCCACAGTATGCTAGTCGGCTATTTCAAGCTCGAATAGCAACCCACCAGCGGATGCCGCCTTCTCATATCAGATGGGCAAGCAAAACATCCAGCGGCGAGTACCAAGATAGATCCGCACAGCCAGCACCAAAGTCCGATGCCTCGACTTCTCCATCTCCGACATCGGGCGATTCCTCAATGATAAGACAACAGGATCCTGGTGAGGCAATGGTAGACCATCAGCCAGACTACCACGCTCCCATCGACCACGGAACTTCGTGAGCACGAACGGCGTTTCCCAAACAGAGCAATGCTTACCGTCTGTCATAGACAGTTCTCCCCAATACCAAAGCGTGTTATGAACGGTAGCGAACCGGGAGATATTACACCTGCTGCAGTCCTGTCTGGAGCTCCAGTAGACTTGCAAGCGCGAACAGTCCGGTTAGCTACTTCCTGCTATGGCGATGAAGGGCCAAAGCTTACTTCTACTGCCATAGTATCTACCGACCCGCAAAGACAGCTACGCAATCTGGAGACTGGCACGGTCATCACTGGCGTATGGATTGGGACATACTGCAGAAGGGACACCGGTGGGAGAATCCTTTGATGGGATGGCAATCTTCTGCCGACTATTTGCAGGGAACACACCTGAATTTTGCATCGAGAGAAGACGCCATTCACTTTGCTCAGAAACAAGGATACGAATACTTTGTGCAGGAGCCTAACGAGAGAAGGTTTGTTCCCAAAGCCTATGCGAACAACTTTATGCATAGCCCGAAGAAGCTCAAGAAGATACCGACAAAATGATGGCTTTGGATGACTGAAAGGAGTCAAGTTGTAGATAGCAAACGAACCCAAGCATGGACTCAATTCATATCCATTGCTGTCATTTGAAGTCAAATTTCTCCTTGCCAGTCTGCAATGCACCTTTTAAGAAATGAACGATACAACTGTCAAGGAAGGTAAGCTTCGTCTGCTCTGATTGGTTAGAGTCTGCCTTCTGCATTCACTCTTCAGAACCCCAAACAACTTCCTTGCAGAAAAGGTCTACACTTTTGCTTCCCCTTCCTTGTACTCAGCTAAATCATACAGCAAGACATCTTCTTCACAGCCTTCGAGATCTCCACAAGTCCCTTACGATACAGGACCAGTCACAAGTCTCGTTTGGAGGAAATCTCTCATGTCTCTCTCAATACAACAGTTGTCAAGCTCCTCTCAGTTTACTCATTCAGATTGCCGCCAACATGTACTTTCTGCAGCCTATCTGCATACCACTCATCACAGAACCAAGCACAGTAGCACTTCAGAGTTTTCCGACATCTCGTTCATCATACACATCATTCTCGTTTGCTTAAGCATTGAAAGAATTTTGTCTACAAACCTCACTTGACCTATAACTTTCACCTCGAGGCAGAACTTCATTGCCAGACAAGGTGTGTTACTTTCCAGGCTTAGTGCGCCAAAATAATCTCTCAATAATAGCCCAGATGGTTATGACTCTTAGCTTTGGTCATGACGGCGTCAATCTCCATCCCCACCCAAGAGAAGCTCTAGTTATCTAGGGGCAAGCCGCAGAGGCACGAAGAGTCACGGATGACCAAGGCCTCAATGTCCTCAGCTTCCCACGGGAGATTCGTGATAACATGTACTCCTTGATCTTTGTGAAGCCTACTTTCATTGGTGCCGAGACCAAAATTACAAAGCCCTTCTACAGAGACGCCATCGCTTGGCGCAATCTGGCCTTCGCTGGATCTCGCCGTCAAATCTGGAACGAGTCTCTTAAGAGTCTACCTAGTCAAAAACGGCTTTGAGTTCTTCTACATACGTCCCTTCTTGGAATTCCTGGAGAAGGTTGGCATTTGCGGACGTCGGCTGCTTAGAAACATCCGATGGCATCATCACAAGAAATCACGGCCTTTCATCGTCCTCATATATCTCAGGTCTTGCACAGCCCTTCAGACCCTTGAGGTCTTCGCAAGAGTGACCACCAAGAATAGGAAGGAGTTCTGTTGGGCAGTGCCATTGCTGAATGCCAAAAGGTTCTTCCTTAGCAACCACACCAAAACTGACTTCGGTAAAGCTCAAGGGTTTGGCAAGGGGCCGAAGCTCACGCAGAATCTCCAACTTTTGGCGCAAAGACGGCCTTTGGCGAGTTTGAAACAGGCTTTTTAGCTAGCCTGTCGGAAAATCTCGACAATGTGAAGTGGGAAGTGTCTGGGGACTACAGGCGGTAAGCCCCCTTCACGAGATTGGCCAACGTTGGAGATCATTGACAATTCTCAAAGCTATGATCTTGAAAGCATCTTTGAAAATGGATTGTGCCATTGGAAGTACAAGATGATTGACGAGAAGAAGCAACGACAGAAGAAAGCAGAGTTGAATAGGCAAGAGGAGGAAGCGCGCTCTGAGCATCAAGGAGATGGAAGGGTGGAAGCCTCCTCCAACGCGCAAGAGACCAATGCTAATGAAAAACATGGAAACGGGTACGACGAAATGATAGACGATGACGATGGCTATGTTATCCGGAATGGTAACCTCATGAAAGATGGCGTTGTGGTTGCAAACTGAGCTGTCTTTGGGATTGGAATTTTGGGCGAAGATGGGCGCCAGGTCGAGGACAATGCTGGAGACGTGAGCGACGACAATGGAGAGGATGCAGGCATAACATTGGACAACAAAATACATACTGCGGCTGATGACTCGGCGGTGGATAGCGAAATGATGCTCTGGGAGTGATGAAGCGTGAAAATCAGGGCGGAGATCGGGTGTCTAGGTTTGAACCAGAGACACATGGATTCCTTCGGATGGCGGAATGGGACTTCTCTCAAGCCGTGATCAGCTTACCCAACTCGAAATCAGCAAACGAGCTAGAGAATTTCTACAGCAAAATCCTGTGGAAGACGTTTTGTACTGGCGGTGCAAGGCTCAGGATCTGTTCTCAGTAGATCTGTGCGGCACTCATTCACCACTCTTGTCTCTCTAAAATAGATCTCGCGTCCCGCACACACTGCTGCACGCCTCTCACATTGACACGCAAGACAGGAAGAAAATGCGTTCCTAGCAACCGAAATATTTTTCCTCGAGCCACCTCTCCTGAAAATCCTCGACAATCTTGCAAACAACTAATTTCATGTTGGGGAAAACGCTCAATAGGCGATTCACTCCCATCCTGCCCGCAAAATACGTTACGAAGACCACTTTCTCTTCCGAAACTCCATGGTCTACCAGCACCTTTACTGCCATTAGTGCTGCACCGCCACTCGACATCTGTGGATCCAGTAGAAGCACGCTATCGTGTGAGGCAATATCAGAAGGTAGCTTCCAATAATGTAGTTCGGGCTCGCCAGTCCGATAGCTCGTCTGTATGAGAAGTCGTCCGCATTTGCAGTCAGGGATAACGCGTCTGAGGCCTGTCTCGAAGCACGATCCACCACGGGATATCACGACGGCGCTGACTTCGCCGGCCATTTCAAGGCCTTTGTAATGATAACCCTGGGGTGTTAGTACGTCCTTTGGATTGAAGTGAAGGTTTTCCATGGCTCTATTACGAAATTTGAGTACGCCGCGCTTTCCGTATGTGAAATTTGCTTACCTCTCGACCAAAAGGCTAGATAACCTGTCGAAGTAGAAAATGAAGTCTACCTCCGCGGTCATTGGGTTTTGGATAACCGTGTTCATCCCGACGATCTCCCGGGTCTGCTCCAAAAGCAGAACATTCTCTGACAAGGGCTCGTCCTCGACCTGTTTCCCGAGTCTCTGTAATTCTTCTTGGTGCTTTCTCGACTTTTCCTTTAGTGTCCGCTTGACATGTCCTACCACTATGTCGATAGCCACACGGTTGTCCAGACGGGCAGGAATTATGATATCTACGTGCACATTTTAAGCCGGCTTCTTATCGGTCTCCAGATAGCAGTTCTTACCTGCGACCTTGCGTTGCGGCTCAACAAATTTCTCGAAGTTTGGCTTTACAAATGACATCCATTGTTTGATGCATCCCTCGATATCGCGACCACGTTCTCTAACATCGCGGGTTACTTGCTTGATTTTAGCATCAGCTTGGAAGCCTCAATAAGGGTAACCAGGTCAGAACATACTTCTTCGTCCAAGGCAGACGTCGGCATCCGCCTCTGCAAATATTCTCAGGTCCAACAGGTCTAGCATGCGCTGATCACAAAGGGCAAATATGCCTTCTAGTATTAATACATGGGGGGAGTAAAGAGATTCCGTGCTATCTTGACGTCGGTGATGCTCGAACGAATATATGGGTATTTCTGCTCGACGGCTTTGGAGAGATTAGTATATGAGTGATCCTGAAATGTTCTGGCCGAAGATTGCCCTACCCGGCCTTGAGATCTTGAAGACGTTCGACCAAGGTGTCGAAATCGATTGAGCTTGGGGAGTCAAAGTCATATTCATTCCTCTGTGCCAGAATATGTTGTTCAGGGGTCAAGACTCTGTAGAAGGAGTCCTAGACGTTCAATGAGGGACAGGCTTATATTACGACAGATTTCTATTTACCATAGACAGAATGGCAACCCAAGGTAGATTCAACGAACTGACAATTTTGTGGGCCAAAGTGGATTTGCCAGAGCCAGAGCTCCCAGCTATGCCGATTATGCTAGTATCCGCCCAGGGTGGCGAGTAGTGTGCTCTCTCCATTGTATTGATCACGCGGTAGACTTAGTTGAAGGACAACTCATATCAACAAAAATGAAGCCTCAGCTATGCGTTATACATTGTATCTTGACCACTTTTTATATCACCTTTGCTACAAAAAGCCCCAAAAGGCTTGTCAGCCCTACCCGGATCCAAACACAATTTAAATTTGTTACTGGCACCACTCTCCCACTGGAGCCTTAACTTCCTCTCCTGTTCCTCCACACTTCCACATAACATATTGATGCCAGCCTCGCCGATACATGAGGCTTCTAGACGTGAGCTAGAAAGGATAAGAAATGCCTTGGCTATGACAGCCGCTCGAAGACCCGCTATGGTATGTCTCACAAATCTCGACGATTCAAGCACCACCCAATAACTGAATACCACCATCCAAATCGCAGACTTCTTCCACAACGTCCACTCCTACCCCTCCTCGGCATTCCTTCGAGCAAGCTATCGAGGATGTAAAACTCTCAAAGACGTACGTTGCTCTGCTTATACCCTACTCGTCATGAGAAACTCCAGCCTTTCCCTCCTACTTCTCTCTACCATGATGTCTCCAAAATCAAGTTGGGAATCTCTCCGATACACCGTGCGGAAAACCTATGAACTTGTTCCTCTGAACCTACCAACCTCGAGCTTATGTCACATTGTTACTCGGTCTCGCCGCGACTCGGCAGAGTTCGAACAAATGCTGACTTGGGTATGCTCCTTCCAGCGATCTCAATGCAGTCATTATGGAGTACCTTATAAGCGAAGGCTACCCTGAAGCTGCTCAGAGGTTTGCCCTTGAAGCGAACATAGAGCCGGAGCTGGACGTGGACTCGATACAGGAGCGTGTGGAGATTCGCGAAGCTATCGCATCAGGAGATATCCAGAGTGCGATCGAGAAGATCAATGAGTTGAATCCTCAAGTAAGCCTAGGCTCCTCGTCGTCATCTGCGTGCTCGGCGCATACAACATTGCTATGATTAGATATTGTTCATGCACCACTCATAGACCCCTCGGGGTGTTGATGAGAAAACAACTCAAACTACTTCAGTCTTCAGTCTGAGCATTACTCTGTTACCTAATTTTTTTCATACTGCAAGCATTATTGGAGAACACGCTAATCACAGTTGAAGGTCCTTGATCAAGACTCGGCACTACACTTCTCGTTGCTGCGCCTACAGCTGATCGAACTCATTCGAAAAGCCACGGCGACCCCAGATGGCGACATCACTCCTGCCCTGACCTTCGCTACTACACATCTTGCGCCACGTGCCCCTACGAATCAGGAATTCTTAGAGGACCTTGAGCGCACAATGGCCTTACTTATTTTCCCGCCAGATAATCTCGCACCTCCTCTGGCAGCGTTGCTCGATCCAGCTCTACGTCAAGAGGTGGCCCAGCGGGTCAATCAAGCCCTACTGCTGAGCCAGGGTGAACGTACCAAAGCAACACTCTATGACCTTGTCAATTATCGGTCTTGGGCAAACCAGAAGGCTATACAAGCAAAGAAAGAGCATCTTCCGGAACGTATTGAGCTTGGCTTTGATCCTGCACATAACGGCCACGAGAGTTCCCAAAATGGTAGCTCTCTCCGCCAAGCTGCTGATCCCATGGTGACCGGGTGGGGCCCTTACTAAAAGCGTTTGCCGTACTTTGGTGGAGCGAGGAGTTTAGGAAGTGTGAGCGCTATGTGTCATGAGGCTACGATGTTTACGGAAATGATGCATTGGTGTAGATTCCATCAGAGCAGTCTGAGGGGCCGCGGCCTGCAGGCCGAGCATTAATGCAAATTTAATGCAAGTCACATGACCCGCGCAAATATCACTCTTACCAAGCTTGCCTTTATAGACAAGGTGCAATTGTTTGGCAACTTACCGTGCTACCGTAAAATATGGGTCTTAGACTCTTGGTGGTGTGTTGAAGCGTAAATTGAAAGAGCAAATACCTTATTACTCGTACTCAAAGACAACTTTCACCGCCTCAGCCCTATCAACCTACCTGAAAACGTCGCAAGAAGCTCAACCTTCTTGAACACGAATTCATCCAGCAAAATTCGAATCACGACTATTTCATCCTCAAACTCAGGGAAACTGTACTCAGAAGTCGTGCGACAAATATGGCACCAAGAGATGGATCCCCAGAGCGGACTAGTACACCAGATACGGTGGAAAAGGGCATGGCGACGATCAACACCTTGAGGTATACAATCAATTGATGGCATCGATGATATATTCATGATCCATGGTGTTGTCACTTCAGTTGCTAATATCATGAATTTTCAGGATCGGGGTCAAGGCTTTCGTGGGAAAAGTGGGTGGGAAATTTCATTATTTTGCGACAGTCCGCTTGGCCTTCCACTCTGATCATCCCTAAGTTATGAACCGTGTGCCTTTGTGTTGGCTCGCACACCATCCCCCAAATTTTGACTTATGCCTCTCATGTCGTATAAGTGCTATCCCTCCACGGGAGCCTCTTCTCATCAGGAGACAAAATCAAATCAGCTGACATCCTAACTTGCACCAAAGGATGGCGAGAAAAGGAAAGCTGAAATCTTGTCAATAAAAGAAAGCAAGAAAGGAGAACCTACCTTCTAGTACGTTGAATCTGATCTCTAAAAGTCAGTGCTCTATTGACCTTTCGAAACTAAGCGTCCACTACGAAGACTTCAACAAACGTCTCGATGGTATGTTCACGAGCTCTCATCCATCATCATAACCTCACTGAATTTCCACAGAATGGGTGCCGGCATCTCGTCTCGACCTCTCACAAGAAGTCGAGTGGCCACAACCCGAAGCCCCCACCAAGAAATCCCAAAAATCAACCGCTCCAGCTCCAAAATCCGCTACTCTACCCAAATCTACCGCGGGCCAGAAACGGCCGCGAACGTCCACCACAGCAGCCGCAAGCCGCAAGAGTTCCGACACCCCAGAACTAAGTACTACCTCCGGCAATGCATCTAAAGCAGTGCGGCCTTCCCTAGTGGGAGGCAAGGAAAACCGCCCTGGCAGTGACAACTCCATCTCCGTTATTGCCCCCGAAATCATTACGGGTACCCCTAAAGGCGAAGATTCAGAGCTCGATCTCGTTGATATTCAAGATGCTGCCGCTGCCGCCAAAGCTTCGAATCCACAGCATAATGCTCCCTACTCGCGTGAAGAAGAAATTGAGAAGCTTCGCACGGGTGGTAGCATGACCCAGAACCAAACAGAAATCTCCCGTGTGCGAAATCTTGACCGTATTCAAATGGGTGCTTTCGAAATGGAGCCTTGGTATTTCTCGCCCTATCCTTCCAACTTCACTGCCGCAGACACTATTCATATCTGCGAATTCTGTCTGAGTTATTTCGCCTCTCTTCAGACCTTCACTCGGCATCGTGCAAAATGCACCCTTCTCCATCCTCCAGGAAACGAAATCTATCGCGACTCTTCGGTATCTTTCTTCGAAATTGATGGCCGCCGGCAACGTCGATGGTGTCGTAACCTTTGCCTACTCAGTAAACTCTTCCTAGACCACAAAACACTTTACTACGACGTCGATCCTTTTTTGTTTTACTGCATGACAACTCGCGATCCACACGGATGTCATCTAGTTGGCTACTTCAGCAAAGAAAAGGAATCAGCCGAGGGGTACAATGTAGCCTGCATCCTTACATTACCACAATACCAAAGAAAGGGCTTTGGGAAACTTCTGATAGCATTCAGCTACGAGCTTTCCAAACGCGAAGCCAAACTGGGATCACCCGAAAAACCGCTCTCCGATCTTGGTCTCCTAGGCTACCGCGCTTACTGGGCCGAAACCGTCACAGACGCCCTCGTCGAACATGAAAAGACCGGCAAAGACGGCAAAGGCAGCGGTGAAATCTCGGTAGAGGAGATAGGCGCACTCAGCGCTATGACGACAAACGACGTGCTGCACACACTGCAAAACCTGAACATGCTGAGGTACAGCAAGGGACAGCATGTCATTGTCCTCACCGAGGCTGTGTTGGAGGCGAAGGAGAAGGCGAAGGCGAAGGAGAAAGCAAAGGGGATTGCGAGAAGGAGGATTGAGCCGGACAGGCTCATGTGGAAGCCGCCTGTGTTTACGGCCAGTTCGAGGACGTGGAATTGGTAAGGTGATCTATCGTGTTTTTGCGAACTGTGAGCGATATCTTAAGCGTGGAGTCTTGGATATCAAAGCAAGGTTATCGTCATCATGAAAAGTCATGGTCACACACAAATTTGGGTGGAGAGCCAGGTGAATTTTCCAAAGCTACGGTTTACTGGCCCTTCGTCTTTGATTTCACCCTGTTGACCAGCCTCTGTACATCATCCATCTCTCCCTCATCCACCTCTTTCCTCCTCGCCTTCTTCCCCCGCCTCCCATCCTCTTCGTCCTCCACAACCCCTGAACTCCTCTTCTTCCTCCCCTCCTCCAGCAATTGCTTCATCCCCTCCGTCCCCTTAAACCTTGGGTGGCTCGGATCAATGGCAAAATCACTCCTCCGGAAAACATCCTTAAACCTCTCATCCCCAACATCCATCTCGAAAGCACTTTTTTCCTTCACTGCCAACGCCTCTTTCTCCCTCTCGCTCAGCCGCTTCTTCGATTTCTTCTTCTTCGACGCTTTCTCTGCTCTCGCACTCTCGTTCATATCAAAGTGATTTATGTTCTGAGCACCTGTCTTCTCGTCGATCATCAAGAGCTCAAGCTCAGCGCGTTTAGCTGCGGAGGCTGCTTCGTCGGCAGCTCGTTGTTCGCGTTTCTGACGCTTCTCGGCTTTGCGTTGGGCGGTGGTTGTGGCTTTGTCATGGGAGGGGGCAGTAAAGAAGGGATCTGAGAATCCGAGATCCTGGGTCGCTGGATCTTCTGCACCTGGCTGGTCGCCAGATGGCTGAACTTCTTCTACCTGATCCGCTGTTGCATCATCGGAGTCAGTCTTGTGCTTGGACTTCTCTTTCCGTCGGGCTTTTCGCTCTTTTTCCTTGCGGACATATTTCTCGACTGTAGTCTCGTCTCGCTCTGGCTCGTTCTCAAAAACGGAGCCCTTGTTCGGTTCTGATGATAGTCCCGACGAAAATGTAATCTGCATGTCCCCTACAGGGGCGCTCTTCTCTACGTTCGACTTTTTTAATGAAACTGGTTCTGACTGAAGGCCGAGGAGTGCACGCATCTTTTGACGCTCCGCATCTTTCTTGGATAATTTAGGACCCTTTGGTGTTTTGGAGTCTATATGATCGCCGTTGACCGCACTTGCAGAGGTAGCATCGACGACGAAGGGTTCAGGTGCTTCATCTTCAGAGCTGTCGCTGCCAAGATACGCCTTAAGATCATTCTCGTCGATGTCGGCTCGGCTGCCAGCAAATGCCCTCTTTTGTGCTTCTTTTCTGGTTCCGTCATCCCCGTCCCATGTGAGTCTGACTTTGCTGTGCTGCAGGGCATCTGTCACAAATTCGCTGGGCCTGTAGCCATCAGGGATCCTCGCACACTCATCTCGTGGCTTCTCATCCAAAAATTCCGTCTCATCAGGTATGTACCGTAGGTCAAAGAAGTTGGCTGTTGTGAGATATTCAGTGCCATCAACGGCGTTGTAGATTGCCTCGGCGACGGAAACAGAAGAGCAAGTAAGTACTGCGTAGTAGTACCGTAACCGTTCAAGTTGATAGCGGCGTAATTTCGCAGAGTTGAACTCCAAACCCTGGTCCTCCTTCAGTATGGAGTTCTTAATCCTCTCGTCCTCTGCCTCGTCACCCTTGTCTTCCTCTTCTTGGCCTCCATCTTCAGAGCTGGACGATTGGTCATCTTGTAGGGCCCTTGATCCACTTTGACCAAAAATTTCTTTTGGGGGGCCTTCCATTTCTTCTCTATGCATACGATCCTTGCCAAATTCGCTTGGGTATATAGAAACGTTTGAAATCCGGCCGCTGCTGGGCACGAAACTTGAGAAAACAGCCATGAGATCGGCCGCTCGTATGTTATCCCAATCCAGATTGACCACCGCTAGGCGTGACGAGACCTCTCCTTTTGGTATGCCGCCTTCGCCCTCATTCTGGTCTAGGAGTCCAAACACCTCATCTTCCTCCGCCTCATCCAGCTCGTCACCGTCGGACGAGCTATCGTCCGAGGATGAAGAGAGATCTTCATCTCCTGTCTTGACCCTCTCCAATTCCTGTTGAATCTTCTCATCCTCATCCTCACCCCGCTCCCCATCTGCACCCTCGCTATCCTCATCCTCAATTCTATAATACCTCTCCAGCTCTTTCCTACCCGCATCCTTTGGTAGCTTTCTCCCATATCTATCAACTTTGGCTCTACTTGAAAAGTTCTCATCACGTAACATATGCGCGAAGCGCTTGTCAATTTGAACATGGGTACTTTTCTTTGACGGCAAACGAAAGCGGGCATCTGTCTGGATGTTTGCAAATCGGGGATCGGCTGAGACCAGGAGTCAATCGGGATTTTGTTTTTTAATGGCGTTTACACTTACAGATATGGTCGTCTGCTTTGGCCCCAGAGCCCTTGGGCGTCTTCTGTCTTGTAGGCTTCGGCATGGTAACGGTCTTCTGTCCTTTTCAATAAACGGAGGAGCACCATCTATGTGATCTCAGATTGATGCTGAATAAATTGATTGTTCACTGAGCTCCTCTATCGGGATGGACTGCTCGTGAAAGATGTAGGTAAAGTTAAGAAAGTGTCGAGCGTTTCTTTGAATTTGGGAATCTGATTACCCGAGCTTATCGATAAGCCTTACAAGGCGTTTTCAAAACACAGACTAAGGTACGGTACCACCATGTGACTAAGGTACCTAGTAGACTACTGTCCGAGGCGTCCCTCAATCTCTAGCACACTTGCTCCTCGGCTTGTTTCAGCGAAGCTGTACTCGTCAGGAGTAGTTCCTGGCGATTTCATCGTCCATGACAGCCCCAAGCGCCACGGACGAAAATAGCTAACCTCAGATACAATATCTTTTCTCCGCAATGTCCACATCCCCGTCCGCCTCCATATCTTGTCAACCCCCCTGGGCCCGCTATCGAATTGGGCGCGGCGAAACCGGCGTCCTGACATTCGAACCCTACAAATCCGCTCTGCTCCCCCTCTGGCGCTTTCGTACGCCTGGATTGGCTCGGAAATCCTCATCGGACCTTTGGACCGCCTTCCTGGACTACGAGAACGAAGATGACTTCGTTGGGATGGACATGGCGCGTAAGTTCCTACAGATGGGCATGACACGCGCGAGGCGGTATGCCAATCACAAGGGGGGGAGAAAGTATTGCCCAGCGGGTGAAGGAAGCGGTGAGGTGCTAAATGGGAATGGTGATGGATGGAAAGGTTCTGAGGCATGGAAGGAGAAGGATGAGGCTTCCAGGGTCTTCAAGGAAGTGTGGGATAGAGCTAGGGCTCTAAAGGGATATCAGGCGAAGAAGGCAGAATTTCTGAAAAAGCAAAAGGAGTGGGACAAGCAGAGGAAAGTAGAGTCCGGGAAAGAGAGCAGAAAAAGACGAAGCGGGAAGTGACAGGGGGTGGAGAAAACGATTATGAATCAGCCATTTTGCTGTCCAATACGGGACCCAGTATAGTGTGCACATGCTTAGTTGTATTTGAGACTCTGGTTCCCATGCATTTTTCTGCAATTACAAATGCTGTATCCCACTAACCCGTTCTTTCCCCTTGTATGTGGAGAAAAACATGAGAGTACCTTTGGAAGCGAATAATCTCAGCCGAAGAGTAAGCGCCTTCACCTGTGGCGAAAGCCAAAAAACAAACACGCTAAACCCCTGGCTGATGTGCGCACGTGAGAGCCTCGTGTGATGAGAGGCGAAAGACATGTTTGAGAGTGAGGGATAATGGCCCATGTTAGGTTTTCGTGACCGACACCGGCCCTTTGAGAGTACCCACGAAGGATTCAAGGGATCGAGTCTTTCATCCCACATCGAGAAAAAAAACAAACAGTCGCGGCTATTAGTGAACCGCATTTGTGGGACGCGGGCCCCAAGCGGATTGATTCTTGTTAGACTGTCGTGTCTGTGGATTTGGGCCACCTTGCGCGATGTTCCTCTGAGGTCCACCGTGGGAGTTCTTTGGGTTGTGGCTTGGGTTGTGAGTTGAGTTGTGACCTGGGTTGTGGCCGTAGCTTCCTGAAATATCTCGAGGCTTGTAGGATTTGCCCGGCTTTATGTTTCCTGAAGCGTTCCGTGGGCGTTGCATTCCATGGCCTGGATTCTGTGCGTTTGACCGAGGTAAGGGCACGGATTTCGAGGCTGTCATGCCAGCCAAATTGACAAAGATTAAGGGAACTCCATTGTTGGCGGTGAGCTCCTTATACATCATCAAGGGCTCTTTGCTGGTAGCTTCGACTTCCCTGCTCAATCTGGACTGTTTGTACTGGCCTCTTCTCATAGACTTGGCAGGCGACCACCCAATCTCTGGTGCTTTGCTCGGGATCAGTACAGCTGGAAGCGATCCAAATTCACGGTTTTCGAAAAGAGCTTCTTCATCTTCCATGGCTTTGGAATACACTTCAAGTGACCGGTTAGTCGTCTCACCATTCTTGGGAGGAAGTGAAACAGATGCGGAGACCTGGACTTCCGGCGAGTCCAGTGGGACTTTCGTAGCAGAAAATTCGGCCACATGAGCAAACTTCTTCTCCGGCGAAGTCTTCTTGACACCCAGGAGCCCATTGAACCTATCTTGCCACGAGGGATTATTGACAAGTGGTTGCGATGCCGCGCGCAAGGGCGTTACTCGTACTTCTGCCATTTTTGGAGACTGGGCTGGAGACACGACGGAGGGCGGTAGCCTCACTTTTGGCTTTTCCTTCATGAAGGGAAGATTGACCAGTGGGCGTCCTCGGTCACCTGTAAACACTGGATGAATGTCATTGTCCGGTGGTGGAGGTGACGGGGACCGAGCATAGCCTTGCAAGAACGGTGGAACTCCTTGAAAATGCGGTTGAATGCCTCTTCCTGCACTAGGAAAGAAACGCGATCCACGACCAACGCCGGCTGCCATACCAGGAGCAATACCCGGCATATTAGTGAATGAGGAACTGCGAACGTCTCCGTTGATCTGCGGAGCAACGTTCTGACCGTGGGCATTCTGGACTCTCGAGACACCGATGATATGCCGCTGTCCACCCTGTTCATCGACTTTGACCTGTCGCCAAGTCTCGTTCATAACAGGTAGCGAAGGTTCCTGTCGTATACCCGTTCGTGCTTCCTCCGCAAGTTTAGCCGCGTGCTGCTGTGCAACTTGACGATTTTTTTCCGCATCTGCAACGTGGAAACTACCCCAGGCAGCTAAGGTTGATTTTTGGAGTTCTGGACGGCTTGATGATCCTTCGGTATTGCTAATGTGAGATCTTGGTTGTGCCCCTGCGCCAATCTGCGGTGGCGAGATCTGATGGTCTCCACTTGTCGGTCGACTGGTGATCTCGGGTCTCCTCGAAGGTGTGGGAGCTTCAGAAGGAGGGAAAGTAGGAATAGTTTGGAAGTCCTCAACCATCGGTGTTGGGCTGATGTCATTGGCTCGAGCATGTGATACCTCTCGCAGTCGCTGTAGGTGCCTTGGGGGACCTATCGGTGCAAGGGCAGGTGATGAAAACTGCTCTTGCTGCCTTGACTGCGGCCTCTGTACGCTTCTGTCAAACGTACCGTTGCCTAGGGTCCTGTGTTGAGTTGGCGGGCCCCATACGCTATTCGACACAGATTGTTCTCGCGCCATACCAGCATTTTGTCCGTTCCAGCCTGGATAGCCATTGTTGTCTCTTGAACCATTGTTCCAAGGTTGTCTTTGTTCTCGAACCAGATGCTGAACATCAGGAGGGGTTTTTTGAGAGGGAGGATCCGTCTGCTTATGGACCCCGTTGACCATTGGCGATGGTAGTTGCTCATTTTGTTCAGCTTTGGCTTCTAGACCCGGCGGTGAGATCAGCTGACTTGGAGCCTGAACCCTAGTCTTCTCCACGACCAGACGTTCGCTACCAGGTTGAGGTATGTTATTTGAGGGGGTACCATGCACTCTCATCATCCCATATTGCTGAGGCGTTCCGGACGCATCAAGCACTGGCGGTTTGGGTGGCGAAAGCGGCATAGACGGGGATGCTTCTTGCAGCTGCGAAGGAGCTTGGCGAATATCTGGCGTGGCCTCCAGCTTCTCGGTTTCCTTCTGCCCAACCTTGGCCGACTCAGCACCTCTCTTTTCGGTTGCTGTCTTCTCTACTTCCTTCTTCTCCTCCAAGGGAGGCAACCCCAGCTTCTCCATCTTCAACCGGATCCTCTCTTTCTTTGCCGCCTCTTCTCGCTCCTCTTCCTCCTTCTTGCGTTTTATGGCCAATTCTCGCTTTTCCTTCATAAGCTGCTTCTGAGCGGCCACATCGTCACGCGTATTAGGAACAGTAGATTCAGGTGCAAGGCTCCTATTTTGGTATGGTGGTCCGGTAGCAGAGCCAGGCTCTTGTGACAGTTGAGAGTGCTGTATACCAGGAGATTGCACGGCTGAGTGGGGTAGTTGCTGAGCTGGAGAGGATGCGCGCTGTGAAACTTGGTTTGGTCCAAAGCCAGGAGTTGACGGGGACTGTAAGGGCTGTGACTCTCGGCGCTGCTGAAGCAGGTCATGGGGTATTTTCGGCAGGTCTGTTCCCTTATTCATCGATGTTCTGCGACCTTGAGGTCCACTGTCTCCGCTCACAGTGGAAGAACCTCGCCGAGTCCAAAGGGGGCCATCCTGCTGACTTCCGGATCGATGCGTCTGAAAAGCAGCGGACGGTTCTGCAGGACCGTGCTGGTCGTGCGTTGAGCCTCTCTGAAGTAGGGACGGTGGCCTGAAGTTCTGATCTTTCCGAACAGATCCTCGGCGACCAGTATTGGCTGGCTCATATTGGCCCGATTGCGCATTGTATAATTGTCCGAGATTCCCGTTTTGAGTATCCCGCCTTGTGCGGGTGAAATCGTCTGCAGCAATTTCCATGGCTACTTGAGGTGGTGGTGGTGGTGGCGGAGGCAAAGCATTATTTCCATATGGATCATTCTGTGGCGGTCGAGATGTAGAAGGACGGCTTGGAGGGTTAATGTCGACAGGAGGAAGCTTTTCAACGGGGGGCAATGATGCCCATGGAGACCTGACAGGCGCCGGTGCGGCAGGCTTCGCGACCAACGTTGGCTTGTCTGAAGGTGTTTTCAGGACAAGTCCCCCAGACCTGGGTTGCGCAGCTGAACGAGGCTTCAATACGGTCGCGTTTGGCCCAACGGTAGTGGTGGGCATCTGCTGCGCAGACATCTTAGACCTGTTTTCTTCGGCTTGCCGCTCCTTTGCTATCAAAGCTGCCGCTTGTTCCTCTGCAAGGATGGCAGCGGAGTCATTTTGTGATAGTGTTATCTTGGTGCCATCGTTCCATTCAATCGTCTCCGGCGCCCAATCATCTTCATCGTCATCGATATCCGCCCATTTAGACTCTTTACCGTCCCCATCCGCCTGCAATCGGGTAGCGAGATGTATACCATACTGCTGTTTAAGCTCCTCGTCCGTAAAGTGCTTCTGTGCTGGTTGGGGGGCGGCTACAAATCGTATCAGAATCGGCGAATGGGCTAGCTATCCAGGGTACATCTTACCTCTGTTCCTGTTCCATACTTGCATTGGGTCTGGACCAGATGCTCCGTGCTTAGTTCCGAAATGCGAAGGCTTGGGTGCTGATACCTTGTTTCCACTTGCGGTCTTAGCGACGAGCCGGGGTCGGGGTGCTGGTGGAAGGGTGTTGCCCGTGATCGCTGGGTTTGTAGCTTTGGCTATCAGCTTCCATTTTCTAGATTTGGAGAGTAGTGTGTCACCATTATCGCCGTTGGTTTTGGCAGCTGACGCGGTCGGCGTGCCCGCTTTTGCAAGGAAGTTCTTCGTAACTGATACCGCCTTGAATGTTGCAGGCTTTTTGACAGAGTTGGATCGAGCATGGTGCTTAGTATCTGATTCATCCTTACTTGTAGCTTCTGACTGAGGAGGTCCGCCTGTGTCGGTATCTGAGCCAATACTGCCATCCACTGCTATCTGCTCCGCCGGTGCGTCGGCTGTTTCCTGCTCAGGTACATGGTCGATAGATGACATACGTAGTGAGATTCGGTGTCGGCAGGGTACGTTGAGTGAGGGCTGGATGAGCACCGAAGATATGGTGATAGCTCGCCTTGTGTTGATGTCTGAGTGACTCGAACGCAAGATGTTCTTAGGTTGGTTTGGCTTTGACTACCTTAGTGTCTACAGGAGTCTTGGCACAAAATCGAAAGCTAATGGGCTTTGACGGTCACAGATGTCTTGATTCCTCGTTTAACGTCAATGTCAGATATTTAGCTTCAAGGTATTGACAGCTATGTCAATTCAAGATCCAAGACCATGAAATTTATATTCCACGAACATTATCACCAAAGCAGTTGTATTTGTGTTGTTAATGAGTGTTCCACTGGTTGGAGGGATTTCTATGGAGGTCATTATAAAAAAGTGCACATGTCTCTAATTAAAATCCATCTCACTCGGTATTCCTCGTGCACTTGACCGTTCGTAACCTTGTTGCGACCTTTCGGCATTTTCAGCAACAAAAAGTGCCCCTATACAGTCGCTGAAGGCCCATTTTCCAGACTCAGGTCCGTCTCTTCATCTTTGTGGGGAAAACATGCGTTCTTTTGGAGCCTACGGACCGAAGTGAGGGGATATTGTTATGTACCGTAGTGCTGATCCGAAAACCTGGCTATGTCTCTGTTACATGTCCACTGGCTTCAGAGCTGTCTTGTGGAGACAGCACCCTTCTGTCAGCCGCCGCACCCAAGCGTCAGTTATGTAACCAGATCCCAGTCTTTGTATGACCACTTCTCAGTATACGATACACGCTTCTTCTTCGGCTGCTGGATTGGCTTTCTGGTCTCCATCTTACCGCTGACCAGAATATTTCGGAATCGGTCCTTGAGTAGATTACCCTCCGGCTTGAGCAGTCGCAGGGAATCTTGCAGCTCCTCCGGTAAGATCAGCTCCAATGGAGGTTCTGGAAGCCTATCCAAATCGTCAACACTTGTTGGGTATACCACCTAACCTGACTTACGCGTCCTTTCCAAACCTCCTCCGTCTCAGTACCCGGTCATCCACCTCCTCAGGCTTCTCAAGCTCGGCCTTCACCAGAGCTCTAGCCTTCGCCTCGTTTTTCATCTGCCTTGCAATTTCCCCAATCCGTCTCTGCTGCTTCTCTCTCTCCTTCATTTGCTTCTCCCACTTCTCCCTCCTCTCTGCTTCTTTCCTCCTCTTCACTTTATTCCTCTCGGCCGGCGTCTTCCTCTCCGGCCTACGCTTTTTCAACCTCTCTGCACCTTCGTTATCGCTCTCAAACCCTTCCCACGCCGACTCATCCTCAGTCTGTATGTCAGTTTCTCGCTCGGTTTCAGCCGCAGCTATGCGGTCCAGTCTCTTCTGCTCAAGCTCTGCTTCTCTGCGACGCTTCTTCTCGGCTTCAACCTCTCTCTGGCCCTCGGCTACGAGCAGGGCATCCCACTCTTGGAAAGTTGGGTTGTAACTTGTTCCCGACTTCGGCGCAGTTACCGCAGGAACATTGCGTGATCCTGCTATTAAAGAGACAGGTGCCTCCTTCAATGTAGTCGGGGCCTTAATGGGCTTCGTCTTGTCCAGGTACGAAAACTTGGGATCTTGTTCGTCCGCCTCCGATCGCTTCACGGCCCATGGATCATGATCAGGCGCGCCATCGTTCTTGATGATGTCTTTGACAGTCTGGCTCCCATATGCGACCTCTCGAAGCCGCTCGTATTCTCTAGAACTAACACTATTCTTCCTTCTCTTAGTGCTGGGCTGAAGTACTCCATCGGTTACTGCAGAACGTTTTCGACCATCGATAGCCGGAGTGGCAGAACGCTCAGCAAGGATTTGATCCGCTTTGAGGGGTTTGTGGATTTTGTTGTAAGATTTTTGGATGGCTTCCGAGCCTTTGGTGTCTAGGGTAAAGAGGGAATCAGAAGGCTTTTCGGCTATAATACCACTGTAATTCTGTCAGATCTGACTCAAGAACCAGCTATATTTACAATTGAGGGTACCAACCCTTTGATCACTTCCTGTCGTACATCCTCGAGACCGGCCTGTACATCGGTCACATCGACATTTTTTCTCCACGCCTTTTTGCCTTTGCGGGACGGCTGCTTGTGCTGCTGAGGCGCTTCTTTAGACGGTCCCATAATCAGGCGTAACGTCTTAAGGATAGAATCTTGTTCTTACAGGACCAGCACAACTGTTTAATCGCATCAATGTGGAAAGCAAGTTGTAGCGAATCACTAGCGCCTTTCCGGCCCGACAAAATGTTCCGCCGAGTCCAGGAACCCATCAATGTCTTTGTTTGAACGACCAAAAGCATCATCTTCTCTTGTCTTGTCTTCTCTTCGCTGCCTCTCCTTCTGTCTTCTTTAATTAATTCGTTTCTTTTCGATTTTAGCCATCATGGCGTCGCAATCAACCGTGGGCTCGTACTCGAATCCCTTGAAGAAATTCAAGTGAGTCCCCTATTGCTGCCTCATTGCATTTCGAGCAATGTTGACGATGTTGTAGGCTTGTCTTCCTGGGCGAACAAAGTGGTAAGACTTGTCCGAGTCCATCGCAGAATTGTTATCACTAATGTATGCGCTTTCCCCATTCAGTTGGCAAAACATCATTAATAACCCGCTTTATGTACGATTCCTTCGACAACATGTACCAAGCCACCATCGGCATAGACTTCCTTTCTAAAACAATGTACCTCGAAGACCGGACTGTACGCTTGCAGTTATGGGACACCGCTGGCCAGGAAAGGTTCCGCAGTCTAATTCCCTCATACATCCGTGACAGCTCCGTCGCAGTAGTCGTCTACGATATTTCAAATCTCAAATCTTTCCACAATACGAGAAAATGGGTCGACGATGTGAGAGGCGAAAGGGGACAAGATGTCATTATTGTGCTAGTGGGAAACAAGACGGATCTGGGTGACAAGAGGGAGGTCAGCAGTCAGATGGGCGAGGAGGAGGCGAAGAGATGTGGTGCACTTTTTGTGGAGACTAGTGCGAAGGTGGGAGCAAATGTCAAGGGACTTTTCAGAAGGATTGCTCAGGCACTTCCGGGCATGGAAGGAGAGGGTGGAGCGGCGGGAGGGGAGAGTCAGAGTACGTTCTCCCAGCGCCAGAAACAGCTCAGCCCGAGAGATTGCGAATGCCCAAGCGGTAAGACAACAAGATAATGTATGGCTAACAATAGCGCAGTGATCGATGTGAATATCAACCCATCGAAACCAGAGGGCAACGACGGATGCGCTTGCTAGTGGAGGTCGGGAAGATGGTTAATTGCAAGAGAATTATGCATAGTAATAGCGGGTGATGATACCAAGGTTTATAGTATATCATTGGTCGTTGGCATTCGATGTTGCTTTGGCATGGCGTTCGGCCTGGGTGGTCCAACGCTGCATGCCGAATGGGACATGAGAAGCAAGCGTTGTTTGGACTAGCTTTTCATCCAGTCTGCAGATACTCAGCAGTCCAGTAAACAGTACAGATCACTGCACTATGTATTGATATTATATGATGCCTGTGCTTCTCATCAGTAATTGGCTTCGTGTCGTCTCCTCCGCTGGTAAATTTCTTTCACGAAGATGCAGCGGTTCTGGAATCGACTTCATGAGAAGAAAGATCTGGCTTGAACTTTGGAAAACGCCCTCATTGCCGCAACGCCTGAGTCCCAGAATAACATCAACCACGACGGGAAGTTTGAATATTTCCAGCCGGCTGACGCAAGTCATCTTTACTTCCCGTCTCTCACTTCTTGAACCCTCAAATGTTGCCCCTGTCCTCCTTGTAATTGTGGCATTGGAGGCGGAGGCCCAGTTCCGCTGCGTCTTCGGCGTTCTCGCTCTACGACTCCAGGCGCATCACTAGCCCCCTGGGCTGGTTCTCTCCTCTTCATCCTACCCATTGCCACCTCGTCGTTCATCCATGCATCATCACCCTCCTCGCTCCCCAACCAGTATCCTCTTCCCACACTTATCATTACCCGCCCTAGCCTACCCCTCCAGCCTTTGCCCTCGGGCAGGTGTATGGCGAATGGGTCCTCTATGAGCCCTGATAACTTGCTCCCGATACCGGTCCGCGAGGTAGACGCCACATACCTCCGTAATACCAAGCGTGCGTAGCTCATAATGATGAGCACGAAGTAGACTCGGATCGCCCATAGCGCACAGATGGCAACGATGCTACTAATACTTTCCGGCTGCAGCACGCCATCACCTAGGCTGGGTGACGCTGCAGTAGTAGCTGGAGATCCCAAAGAGCCTGAAGTGACCGCCTCATTCTTATGACCAGGGACGCCCTGGTCCGGTCCTACAGCCACATCGACATGGCTGACGTTGAACTCGGGACTCGTAAAGCCTGCTGTATCACCAATCGTTTCACCGCCAGCGCCAGGCGCCTTGCCTCCATTCGCATCGCTATGGTGCTGCGAAATGACGAGAAACCACGTTATGCCAAATGCGGCCGTGTAAGCAGCGTTTATGATACTATCAAGTATGTAGAATGTAGCAAGCGCAAGGCAGTGGAAGGGACTCTGTGTTCGAATATGAGGCGCTAGGAGGATTGTAATGAGAAGTGCGAAAAGCGAGTAGATGTACATGGAGAGTTGGAGAGGAGAGAGGTGAAGGCCGGTCAGAAGGGCGAGGAGGCCATAGAGGCCAGAGACTTTGTTAAGTAGGAGCGACAAAGTGGAAAGTTCGGTGCCGGTCCGAAGGGACATTAGGTAGAGGAAGGTCTGGGCTGAAGCATTAGCTGACATGTTAGAGGCGGGGAACAGGAGATATGTTCTGACTTTGGGTCGCGGTATGCGGAAAATGCGAGCAGGGAAGCCCATGTTGACGGCCTACTTTGGAGAAGAATCAAAAGAAGAGGACAGGAGGAGGAGGAGGAGGAGGAGGAGGAGGAGGAGGAGGAAGAAGAAGAAGAAGAAGAATAAGAAGAAGCGGAGAGAGAAGTTCTATGCCGGAGAAAGGGAGAGTGATTTGGGGTAGAAACGAGAGGCGGGAAAAAAAAGTACAGAAACATGTGTTCGGGTCCTTTGCGTTCGGCACCTCCGGCTAAAAATCATCCATGCGAGCCATGCTGACTGACCGAGGAATTGTACGCTCGAATACTCCTCCGCTCTGTGGTGTTAATTTATTGTGACTTGCAACATCGATACTGGCTACAAAAGTTTGGAGACGAGAACGTTACAAAGCGTTGTTTTAGAATGATCGTCTCCATAGTATTACTGTTCTGATTGGTCTGAGTATGTACCCCTTGTCAAACCCAATGCCGTCCAAACTACCTTATGCATCATACAAGAGGCCCCAAGAATAAGGCCTGGATTGCTAACGAAGCTTCTATGGCTGAATGATAATGACCGTTCACCATGAAACTCGCTAGCAGCAAAGACAACGCAAAGTATAAGCGCTCGGAGAAGTGAAGTGTTGACAGGATAGGTATTAAAGTATTCAGATCCAATAACTTTTCGATTCTCCCATGGCAACCCGGCCCATTCGAACTTTCAAAACGATTACAGAAACATCACAATTGAAACAGCAGCCATAGCAAAGCTGACGATGGCAGTTGAGGCCTTGAAAGAAGAGGCAGCGCCTTGGAAGGCTTTGACAGATGAGGAGGGTGACGTGCCGTTAGTCGCACTCGGAGCGTAGGTTTCACCAGCTTCGGCGGCTTCTTGCGAGGCGGAAGCTTGAGCAGCGGCAGCAGCTTGGGACTGTTGGGCAGCAACGGCGGGATTCGCAGCAGCCTGGTTTGCGCTTCCTGGGGCGTTGCTTGCAGGGGCGTTGCTTGCGGGGCGTTGCTTGCAGGGGCGTTGCTTGCAGGGGCGTTGCTTGCAGGGGCGTTGCTTGCGGCAGCGCTGTTTGCTGCGGCGGGATTTGCGGCGGCCTGGTTGGGGCTTCCAGGGGCGTTGCTTCCAGGAGAGCTGCTTCCGGGGGCGTTGCTTCCAGGAGAGCTGCTTCCGGAGACGTTGCTGCCGGAAGCGCTGTTTGCTGCAGCGGGGTTTGCGGCGACCTGGTTGGGGCTTCCGGGGGCGCTGCTGCTGGGGCTACTGTTTCCAGGGGAATTGCTGCCAGGGAAACTGCTTCCAGATGCAGCAGCTTGGGTGGCAGCCTCCTGGGCGGCGCCAGCCTGAGATACTTGAGCGCCAGCCTGAGAAGGAGAGACTTCGGTTGTCTCACCATTGGATGGAGACGCGGATTGAGTCTCGACAGTGACCTGGCCATTGGAAGCGGTGTGGCTGACCACTGATACACCAGCAGACTGAGTCTCGCCAGCCTGAGAAGGAAAGGCCTCGGTTGTCTCACCATTGGATGGAGACGCGGATTGAGTCTCGACAGTGACCTGGCCATTGGGAGCGATGTGGCTGACGACTGATACACCAGCAGACTGAGTCTCGCCAGCCTGAGAAGGAGAGGCTTCGGTTGTCTCGCCATTGGATGGAGACGCGGATTGAGTCTCGACAGTGACCTGGCCATTGGGAGCGATGTGGCTGACCACTGATACACCAGCAGACTGAGTCTCGCCAGCCTGAGAAGGAGAGGCTTCGGTTGTCTCACCATTGGATGGAGACGCGGATTGAGTCTCGACAGTGACCTGGCCATTGGGAGCGGTGTGGCTAACGACAGAAACGCCAGGAGACTGAGTCTCAACGGAGACCTCGCCATTGGATGCAGTATGACTAACGAGGGACACACCAGAAGGCTGAGTCTCAACGGGGACCTCACCATTCGAGGCAGTATGGCTCACGAGAGAAACGCCAGCAGACTGAGTCTCGACAGTGACCTCACCATTGGACGCAGTGTGACTAACGAGGGACACGCCAGGAGACTGAGTCTCAACGGTGACCTCACCATTGGACGCAGTATGACTAACGAGGGACACACCAGAAGGCTGAGTCTCAACGGGGACCTCACCATTCGAGGCAGTATGGCTCACGAGAGAAACGCCAGCAGACTGAGTCTCGACAGTGACCTCGCCGTTGGACGCAGTCGAGCTAACAACCACTTTACCGGCAGGCTGTGTCTTCATAGATACAGAGCCATTGGGAGCATTCGAGGTGACAAAACCCTCACCAGCAGAGTGAGTCTCAACGCTGACTTTTCCAGTGGAATTGGTGGTGCTGAGGACGACCGATGGAGAGGTTCCGGTACCGAAAATTCCAGTGCTGAGCGATTCATGCCTGACCACTCCAGTGCCAAATATCCCAGTGCTGAACGCTCCAGTGCTGAACGCTCCAGTGCCGGCCGCTCCAGTGCGGAAGACTCCAGTGGGGAACGCTCCAGTGCGGAACACTCCAGTGTTGAAAGCAGAGCCAGAGGCGAAAATGGACGGGGCTGCGAAACCGTTTGCGGTGGAGTTTGTGTAAACAGGCTGATGATGGCCAAATACGAGAGGAGCACGTCCTGTTGGCACCGTCGAGTGACTTGGGGTACTGGTGACCACCGTGCCTGCAGGGCAAGTAGGGCAGAGCTTAGTAAGAGTTAGGACGTGATTCGGTCCTGTCGCCGGTCCTGGAGCAACTGGGTAGCAGGTAGGGCAGAGCTTGGTGATGGTCGCAGTCGAACTTGCTGGGGGTGTGATTGTGTTTGGAGGACATGTAGAGCAGGGCTTCGTAACGGTTGCGGAACGCACTGTGACGAATCTGACTGTCGTGCAAGTAGGGCAAAGCCTGGTGATGGTCATCGTCTCAGTTGAGCTTGGGGGAGTGAGTGTTGCCGGGGTGTTGGACTCCGTAATTGTTGAACCCGATCCACTAGGGATTGTGATTGGGGGGCAGGTAGGGCATGGCTTGTAGACCGTCTCGCTCCCTGATCCTGGGATGGTGGCTGGGGGGCAGGTAGGGCATGGCTTATAAACCGTCGCTGTTGAACCTGATCCAGGGATTCTGATAGGAGGGCAGGTTGGGCAAGGCCTGTACTCTGTCTCTGTTGAACTCGATCCATGGATTGCGACAGGAGGGCAGGTGGGGCATGGCTTGTAAACTGTCTTCGTCGAGTTCGATGCAGGGATTGTGACAGGAGGGCAGGTGGGGCATGGCTTGTACACCGTCGTTGCTGAGCCTGATCCGGAAATTGTGACAGGAGGGCAGGTAGGGCAGGGCTTGTAAACAGTCGCCCTCGAGTTTGATCCGGAAACCGTAGTAATCGGGCAAGTGGAACAGGGTCTAGTGACTGTGGTCGAGGCATTGACTGCTGGCGCAACATGGCCTGAAGGCGTAACATGGCCTGAAGGCGTATACACATGTGGGTTGACTGGCGACGTATGGTTCTTGAAAGGATGTGGTACAAATGGAACGCCAGTACTGAGGTGAACGTGGCCGGTTGGTGCAACATAAGGGGCGACTGGTGTAGTGTGGTTCTTGTAAGAATGTGGTACAAATGGAACGCCAGTACTGAGGTGAACGTGGCCGGTTGGTGCAACATAGGGGGTGACTGGTGAAGTTTGATTCTCTAGGCGGGATGGCCCTGGGAGCGTGAAATGGTTGTGAGGGTTGACACCAGATTTCATGGGCCCTGGCACTGTTGGACCTGGTGCAGGGACCGTTGTAGGAGAACAGCTAGGGCAGGGTATGTAAATCGTAGAATTCGAGACGCCTGTCCCGAACAATGCATACGCATCGGATGCTAAGGCCAGGGCCCCAAAGGCCAGCACGATACTGGGCTGCATGGCGGCTTTGGACGAGAGCAATTAACGAAAGTGTGTGCTTCGTGAAAGTAAAGAACGAACAAGATTGAAAGTTGAGAGAAGTGCAATGGGCATGGAAAGGATCTTATAGGGGAACCAGATACCAAGCAGGAAAATGCGCTACGCTGATGCTGGCGTTGAGCATACTCATGAGGAAAAATGGGGTTCGCTGCTCCAATATTAGACAAATTATGATAGAGTAAGTGTTTACGGCACCTTGATGGAGCTGCTCGACTGGGTTTATCTTGCTCAAAATACGCCGACTTTTGGTGTTTGAATAGTTCTGGTACTGTGGCTCGTCCTTGGCTGTGAGCTTAGCGAGCCCATCATTGGATACCAAGCAACGGTCTCTGCCAGTGACCCACCAGGATGAAAAATTGGACTCTTTTTGAGCGATTAAACGGATTAGCTCCTTGATACTTGGTTGACATAGCCACAGGACTGAATTGAAGAGCACATCGTAGAGGAAGTCTAGACGAGCGTCGCATTGTGGGATGATTTGATGAAACGCTTGATCAGCCACGAGTAAGTTTTTTTCCATGGCTTTTTCAGTGGCAAAGGATAATTGTTGAGAACAGAACCGTCCGACGACAGAGCGTTTCCGAATTGTAGAACCCAACATGCTCGAAAGATCCTTCTCGAGGCGTCTTTGCCCTTGGGCTTATCGCTAATGGTGAGGGAGAATGGCAGACGTGCTTCGACAGGGCTTGGATATTTTCACGTCGCTTTAGGATCCAAGACCTCTTTGAAAATGGAAAAGTTGAAGGCTGAGAACTCAAATTCTCTGGACAGGACAGAATTGCTTGTTCAGGGACGTCCATGCTATGTGAGTGACCGTTGAAACACCCGTAGCTCTTTGTCACCTGTGGAAACCAAGGTAAGAGATAGCAGAGTTCGCTTCACTCACCTCAGATCCGCATGACTTTTCGGGCAGAACTATGGTCCAGATATAGAGATTTTTCAGTCTTTGCATGTAGACTTTGTGGAATTTTGGCAGAATATGATTTAATCCCATCAAGTGCTTTTGAGAACAACTTTCCAGAAGCAACACATGCAGCTAGCCAGTTGCATTCGGTTTGTAGCGCGATTCAATCTCCTTTACCAAATCTTTGACTTCGTGTCCTGCTTTACAGTCTGTCCATTTTCCATCATCCATTATGCACCAAATCTCTTCTGCAACCCGCACCTGCACATTTCGGAGTCAGCATGGCTTCATTGAAGTAATAATCCCAGTTTGCAAGACAGGTTTGGGGTTGAAACCCGCCTACTGCTCGCGAGACATGTCTTGCGGCTTAAAAGCAAGGGTTCGACTAGAGAGGGTTTGTTCCGAGATGCGCACTCACTGTGCAGCTCTTCTTGACACCTGCCTCCTGGCTTCTTTTGATGCTGGCCTCCAGCAGGTCAAGTCCTTTGCCCTCCTCGCTGACGCAGTCGTTCAGGGCTTCGAAAGAAATGCCGTGTTCCAAGGCACAGGTCTGGACAAGGTCTCGCGATGGAATGCGTTTATAGGACATGATCAGACAGGTACTGAAACCCAGCGAAATCTTGGCGTTGTTTGGGAAAAGGTTACTGGCACACAGAGAAAGCATATTGCCCAAGCATTCCGTTTGGCCGTGCATGCAGTCTTTTGAATCTTTTAGTCAGCTTTGTTTCTTATGACAGGAATCTGAGTTATCAGACAAGCTTGGAGGCTACAAAGAGTCTTCTGCTTCCGAGACAGGTCCCGCGAGTCAGGACTTGATCTCCAAATGTTACTTACGGAGAGTGTCATTGTCATCGACGCTGCCAATGTATGAAAGACGAAAGTTGACCATATCAACGACTTGCTCCATAGCGGGGACAACAAGCTCCTCAAGGCATTGTTTTGCGTCTGGACACTTAGACATAACATGTGCTTCGAGCGGCACAAGACCAGTTCGATTTGACTTAGCATGGGCAGGCTGCGTCCTAATAGTTTCAGGGGAACCCTGTGGGTTGAATATTGAAAGTCGAACGGGCAAGCCATATGTGATGATGAGGAAGGCGAAGATGATAGCAGTAATGTAGACAACCGGCCGGGAACGGAGCCGAGATATATCTGAGGGCGCGGTGAATGATGAATCGTGCTTTTTCTGGTCCAATGGAAGAGGCGACTTTCTGCCATACCTTTTTTCCATTGCGCTCTTCTCGTCCATGCTGACGGTATGCTAATATTGGTGGTTGAAGGTCACCTGCGAGCTTCAAGCTTCAAGCTTCAATGTTCAATGAGTGTAAGTGGTCTCGGCGCCCGGCGGTAGTCTGAGCGGCTCAGCCTTTCGTTCTCTCGGCAATACTTTTGACCGACCACCGACCTGCCGACGTACAAGGCATGTTCAGTTTCGAGGAGTAGTAATTATCTGTTTCGCGCAACGAGAGGGAAAAATCTATAAACAAATGGCTCGATGCTTGGTTTAACATCTAAAAACAGACCTGCTTTTCCTCTGACAAATAAGAATTTTTGGAACAGGCTTTGCAGTAGTATAAGAGTCTTCATGTACGTCTTTCACTTTCATGCCTCTGGGACGTTCTCCAAGCTGAGCTAGAATTGCACATAGCTGTTTTCTGTCGTTCGGACTACTCACCCTCTTCCTTCTGCATAAAATGAACCAGACTTCTTCTACCAAGTACACAACTGTGCCCGGCTTCTTTCTTCAGGACGAGTCTAGCACAGACGCTAAGAGTTTCGACTACGTAACAATATATGCGTAGACTCATCACAGAGCCAGTAGGCTGATCCGTTGGTAGGCAGTGTCTGATTTCGGTCTGATCAAGCGAGCATACAATACCGACAAGGAATACGATCCGGAAAAGAAGAGGACCCAGTGGGAGCGATTCTACCAACAAATCTCCGAATTGAACTCTCAAGCTAGCAGTAGTGTTCGGTATAAGGTCATCTACATGGTATGATCCAAAACCCCCTATTGGGAGTCAAAATTGAAGTTCGAATTAAATATGCTCGACAGGGGCGCCATGGTGAGGGTGTGCACAACGTAGCTGAGAATTATTATGGAACCTCGGCTTGGGATGTGCGCTTCTTCCTTCTGATCGTAGATTGACACACCAAGAGGGAAACGCTGATTAGTACGCAAATAGAGCTACTGGTCAAAGCAAGACGGAAACGATACCGTCATTTGGGCCGACGCACATCTCACGGATAAAGGCATAGAGCAAGCCCCATACGATTAGTCTGAGCGGCTCAGCCTTTCGTTCTCTCGGCAATACTTTTGACCGACCACCGACCTGCCGACGTACAAGGCATGTTAACTAGTTTCGAGTACCTAATAATTATCTGTTTCGCGCAACGAGAGGGAAAAATCTATAAACAAATGGCTCGATGCTTGGTTTAACATCTAAAAACAGACCTGCTTTTCCTCTGACAAATAAGAATTTTTGGAACAGGCTTTGCAGTAGTATAAGAGTCTTCATGTACGTCTTTCACTTTCATGCCTCTGGGACGTTCTCCAAGCTGAGCTAGAATTGCACATAGCTGTTTTCTGTCGTTCGGACTACTCACCCTCTTCCTTCTGCATAAAATGAACCAGACTTCTTCTACCAAGTACACAACTGTGCCCGGCTTCTTTCTTCAGGACGAGTCTAGCACAGACGCTAAGAGTTTCGACTACGTAACAATATATGCGTAGACTCGTCACAGAGCCAGTAGGCTGATCCATTGGTAGGCAGCATCTGATTTCGGTTTGATCAAGCGAACATACAATACCGACAAGGAATACGATCCGGAAAAGAAGAGGACCCAGTGGGAGCGATTCTACCAACAAATCTCCGAATTGAACTCTCAAGCTAGCAGTAGTGTTCGGTATAAGGTCATCTACATGGTATGATCCAAAACCCCCTATTGGGAGTCAAAATTGAAGTTCGAATTAAATATGCTCGACAGGGGCGCCATGGTGAGGGTGTGCACAACGTAGCTGAGAATTATTATGGAACCTCGGCTTGGGATGTGCGCTTCTTCCTTCTGATCGTAGATTGACACACCACGAGGGAAACGCTGATTAGTACGCAAATAGAGCTACTGGTCAAAGCAAGACGGAAACGATACCGTCATTTGGGCCGACGCACATCTCACGGAGAAAGGCATAGAGCAAGCCCGAATAGCCAACAAATTCTGGGCCTTGGAGATGGCAACACAGCATATACCAGTGCCAGAAAGTTTTTACACGAGCCCACTTGACAGGTGCCTCGCCACCGCCGATATTACCTTCAATGGCCTCCAATTACCAGCTCAGCAGCCTTGCGTCCCAGAAGTCAAAGAACTGCTTCGCGAAGTAATTGGGATCCATACCTGTGACCGGCGCAGCCAAAAAACTTACATCCACACCAACTTCCCAGCATACACCTTTGAGCCCGGGTTCGCCGAAGACGATGAGATGTGGCGCCCGGAAGTTCGAGAAAGTAGTTCCCTTCATGATGTACGTATTCTCCGCACCCATACTTGAGTGATATCTGGGGAACTTCCTACTCTTGAAACATTTCAAGGCTCGATATACCCCCTCGGATAGGCAATACTGACTGTGGAATTGTAATCCAGACCCGCATGAGGAAGCTGCTTGGTGATATATTTACCCACGATGACAGCACGTACATCTCGTTCACTACCCATTCGGGATCAATCGCTTCCCTTCTGAGGGTTACTGGGCATCGTGAATTTCGCGTGCCGACAGGGGCTGTAATCCCTGTATTGATAAAAGCAGAGATGACTCACGCCGAGCCATCATGAAAGAGGTTCGTTGACTCGAACCCTAGTCCATGTGACCGATGCGTCTTGCTGAAAAGAACCGAAAGTTCTACATACTCACTGGCAAAAAGTTAATTTTATTGCTCGCCACCAAATCCCTTTCCATGTAGAGAAGGTAAGACTTTTCTGCGTCAACACGTGAGAGTTGTACATGGAGTAGCGACATGTTCCTCCGAAGCCTCTTATTCATCTGATTCAATACACATCTACATGAGACCGATGCCGCTTTTCCAAAGTCTCCAGCTGGGTATATTTAACAATCGCACACCTCCCACGTCCATTGATCTGCCATGGTAATTAATCCTATCGTTGCAAATCATTACAAAGCTAGCCCTGTACCATCTCCTGTCCATCTGTACAATGACAAGATTTCTCGTCTGAACAATTGCTGGTCACCGTCTGGTAATCTGCCCTTTACTTGAGCGAGAGCTGATCGCATGACCTTGCGCATATGCCGCTACGAAGGTATCCCATTAGCCACTGATTCATGCTTGATGAAGCAATTCAAGGTCAATGGCAGTACTCACTTGATACTCAGTATTGAGCGTAACGATACAGGCCTCATGCGCCTTCACAATGTTCTCGCATGCCCTCACGACGTTTGGATCTGCCTGCCCAGCCAATTTATCTGCCATCAGCAACAGGAGGAATCCACCTTGCAACAAAGAAATGCCAAAGAACCAAGGCATAAAGCTTAGGTCTGGGTCGTACTCTAGGACGTTGCTGATAGCGTTGGCGGCCGCAACAGCGTGCATGATGGCGCTAGAGAAGGATGGTGTGGAGATCCACAGGTCCTTGTCATCCAGAAGGTTGATGGGGTCCCACTTGCCAGTGATGAGAATATGAAGAACGTGCATTATATGACTTCCGTACGCGACAACTATTCTTGTTTGAATTATGGCGTCGGTGATTCGAGAGTTGCCAGGATGGACGGAATTGATGGGGGCGCACGTGTCAGCGCCGGCAATGTTCGACTCATCGATATGGCGGGCCTCAAACTCTTTGAGACTGTGGCCATATGCCTCGAGTTGCGATGTTATCTCAGCAGCTCGGTCGTCCCACTCGCCGACGTGGCGAGAGCTTTGTCCAAACCTTGGATGGTTGCGGGCTTGGTTGAGCTCAACGATGTAGCCGAGTATTGCCATCAAAGGGGTGAAGTAGCCAAAGATGCTGTGTCCAGTGCAGAGAAAGTTTGGGCCCCGTGTCCTGTAAGGCTGCGAGCTTGGAGAGAGAGTCGGATCACTACTGTAGAAGTTGCCAGCTTGAAAATCAACGTCGTTCAATGGCTGCAGGAGACCCTCACACTCGACGTCTAGCAAAAATAACGGTCTGTTGTAGCAGAGTGCTAGGTGTCTATCCACGGTGTAGAGGAGCCACCATACGCGACGGCGTTCTTCTCTCCCTTCTTCATTCGGGACGCCAGGTAAACTAGCTGCAAGGCTTTCTTTCATGCTCGCTCTCACCGTTGCCTGCTCGGGAGAAGTGCCATCCGCAATGCCATCCGCACTCAGGTCATCGCCGCGAGGGTTATCGCTTTCTACTGCACCTGGTAGTTCTCGCCCAAGCTTCAGTTCACGAGCTAATGTCCAGGCCGCATTCCACCACCGCATACTGGCAGCCTTGTACTCGGAGGCTGATACGATGACTGCGAGATGGATGTATGTAGCAACATTGTCGAGTAGTCCTATAGCTCCGCCATCTGCTGTGACTTCAAGATTTCGGAGTCAGCATTCCTCCTCTAAGTAAAGATGCGAGGGGGGGAAATGTCAAAAGAGTACAATTACTCCCAGAACATTGTCTTATGACTCAAAACGCGGTTCGCACTGGGGGCATAAAAATCCGAAAAGTAGACTTACGTTGATCTCCGCCTGTCATTGCAACGCCGAGACCACCTAAAGCGACGCCGTTGATTACGGAACTCATGCCATTGGTGGCTGCAACATCGCCAGCGGGTGGACCGTGTATGAGTGGCTTTAGGAGTGCTATCGTTATGTCCAGCAATTTCTGGCAAACTCGACCTCGTGCAGACGGTGGAGACGTCAAAAAAGGAGAATCGCTAGTCTGCGCTGCAAGCCAAAGCATACTTGAAAGAAGCGCTGGACTGCATACGCGTGGCCTATTTCCATCAAGGAACGATTGCTTTCGGAAAACATAACCAAGAATGTAAGGTGAAACAGGATGCGTGTGAGTAGTCGAAGAACTCGTAAAATAAAGCTCAAGCAGATCGCAGGCAAGCGAAACGGGTATAATGGACTCTATGTATGGCAACAGGGGTTTCAGGACAGGGAATCTCAACGTGTGTATGGAATTTAGACGACGATGATGGTATTGATAGTTCGAAGGAGAGGGCAGGTTCAGCCAGCCTGGCGACCCAACAATGGGAGATGTGCCGAAAAACCCGGCGAGCGGACTTTCGCCCGTAGCACCGAATCTAAATCCTGGACTCGGGGCTTGCAAACTAGGTGGGCTTATTGGTGGATATGCGTTCTCGCCAAAGCCCTGGAAGCTCTGTTGGGATGGCATTTGAGGCTGCATTTGGCTCATGGACAGTCCGTTCGACTGAGAGCCAGTCAACGGAGTGACTCCACGGATACCAGGGCGGTCATAGTCATGACCAAGGCTGAAACCATTTAACGACATTGCTGTCGGACTAGCCCCTGTTCCCTGGCGTATAGAAGACTGAGGATATGATAGGTTTCCAGAACCCTGCTCTTGATTCTGTGCCAGGCCATCATTCCTGGTCAACTGGTAGGGCCCATCGACAATGGCTGACCTTTCAGGTCTGACTGCAGACATGCTGCCTGATTGAGACCCTGAAAACCGAGGCCCACCATCAGCAGGAGGTGCTTGGCTCCCGGCAGACTGAAACTCGTGGCCATTCTGCGTTTGGGTGGGAGAGGGACCTTCCGATGAATATTCACGGGGCGAATGGGCATTAGCTGCCGGGTCTTGCTGAGCCGCGTCCTTTCGTGACGTTTTCCCACGCTTTTTTCTCTCGCGCATGTATTCACAGCTCAGACCGAACTCTGAACAGTGTGCGCATGGTTCTTGTCCGTCACATCTTGTTCGTAATTGATTACACTGATCGCAAGCTCTACTGATCCTTCGTCTTACCGGTGCTGTGTTCGTACTCTTACTGTCCCCACCCGCGCCCAGATCTAAGCTTCTCCTCTGCTGATGCCGGACTTCGGTGTTGTTCTGGCTGTAAGGATGGTGCCTTAGGTTTATGGGGCTTTTCATGGGTGACACCTCTTTCGAGTCGGAGAATGCATCAAAGTGCTGCATGGCGAACTGCTGCACGGGAGCATGGGACGCAACCTCTCGCGTTGGCGGAGCCATGTTGGCCTGAGCATGCACTTGGCTAAGCATTGGCAAGAAGTCTTAGTGAGTCGGTAGCAGGCGAGACTAATTGATTGATTGCTACGAGCTTCCCATATAGATCAGGATCAAGGAGGCCTCCCCATTGGAAAATGCAGGAATCTCTGCTCGTCAGATACCAATAGAGGGTGTCTTCAGGCTGTGAAGTATCGGCAGGTAACGAAAACACCAGGAAGCAGTCGCGGTAGCTATCTGAAAGAATTGACAGTCTGATGGAGTAAATTGAAAGAAGAGAAATTTGACTGGGATGTAAGAGGCTGACACATAGACGATCTAACGAGACAAAGACGGAACACTTCTCACTTGGCCAAGTGAGGTGTCAGGTCAAGAGCTGCTTATTCTGATCAGCATCTAAAATGGAAGGATATGGGCAAGCGACAGGTCGTGTGCTGTTGCTGTTGCTGTTGCTGTTGTTCCTGAACATCAGGATGACGATGTTGGTGGTGTGGGGGGAGGAAGTGCGCTGCATTATCGTGGGGTATTCTAGCACTGCACTACCGTACAATCATAAAGTACTCGTTGGGGGTCCACAGACGCGGGGTTTGTGTAATGTCAACTGCCGAGCATGCCACCCCCAGGGGCAAACCCGTTAAGGTACCCATGCAGGTCCCTAAACATATGCATCCTTCGAAAGCCTTTTTGTAACGTGTTCGTCTTCTCAGCCAAATGTCAAGATTGCCCTGCACTGAAATGACTGTGTGTGTTTGGTCGACGACGGAAAGTTTTCCAATTGACCAGTTTGCATGTGTGACGAAATAATATCCCGATGCCCGGAATAATCTAGATCCTTTCCACGTGGAGAAATCTCATGGTAGTCAAATTTTGGGATGACTTTCACTGACATTGTAGGCAAGGGAAGGGCATCAAGGAAATGGATAGTTTGCCCAGATGTGCTGTTTGTTACTGTTAACGTGGATGTTGATTCGGAAAGTGATGTCGAGTGATATTGTAAATTGCTATTGTAAAGGCAGTGTTCGGTGGTTTAAAGTCTCTTGTCTGTACCGTCAACCGCTGTTCCTCACATTTATGTTTGGCAACCTGCTCGAGTCTCGGTTTTTATTGCGTCTCTATCAGTCAGATATGGGACCGCTGGCTTCAGTCCATAGATCCATGCTCTCACGCGCACTTTAAGAGACCCAGCCGATGGGTGTTTCCACCAAGCCAAGATTTGGACGTTCACACTCGTCTACGTTACTCGTACATGCTGCTCATGTCTCATATCATTTCTGATTTCGATACTACTGTAGAACGATGAAAAGGTGGTAAAACAGAAATGCATCAAGGCTCGCCAAGACTAGTGAATTGCGTGCTCTGACCCCTCTGACCCCTCCAGCCCTTTCCACTTGGACCCACGAAGTGGCGTCGGCTGTTCGACAAAAGTCCTCGGAAACAATGATTAAATATTCTGCATTAGTGGCTAATAATAAAAACATTACAGCATTCGACTTATGAAAATACCCTCTAAAAGTCCGAGTAAGAACCGAAACATATAAGGGCCAAACGGCCGGAGAACGCCTCCCAGAGCCACAGGCCAGGCCACAAAACCCCCAAAGCCATTCAAACAAACCAGCGCAGTCACATGACTTCGCCATCGGATCCGTTAAGTAGACGGCTGGAATCGCAAAGCCGACCTCCTATAAAAAGAGCGGGCCGTCAGGGCGCGTTGTGCAACCAGGATAGGCTGGCAATAGCAAGAAGGCACCAGAGCAAAAAAAAAACTGGTCCCGTTTACTTATCAAGGGTAATAGGGGGGGGGGGTAAAAAAGTGACTTATTTCATAAGTAGAAGTAACTTTGCTAGCCCCCATTAGTGACATTTATTAATTGATCATGTTTGCAATCTTTGATTTGACATCGCATATTTTTGCTCTTTGACTTCTTCCAATCTCTCTTTCATTCACAAAGGCCATTGCTGTCCACCATGGCTTCAACAGCCTCCGTTGGTGAAGCAGGTACGTATTGCCTGGCCCCGCCTTGTCCGTGTCTTTATGCTCTCAATGTGCTCCAACGCTGATCTATTCATGTGACGACAGTGGCAAGGATAGCATATGCTTCCAGCGATGTTGTACTCTCTGTACAGCCTGCTCTTGGCGCCGACTCCGAATTTTCGAGACAACTGCATTCACTCGCTTCAAAGCGAATGCCAGGTATCATAGCCAAAGAACCTGAGGTAAGCTGCTTCTTGAGGTTGGCTAAAGACAACTTGCTCACACATGTCTAGGTGCATGCAATACGACATAATGTGGACCCTCTCCTGTCCGCTTTCCAGCCCCTCCGGTCAGGAAAGCTCGTCTCAGTCACGACATCTTCATCGATACTGCTATCCTCGATCCCTCATCTATATAAGCTCGCCCAATATCCCATAGTCATACATGTGGCCCTCCATTCATTTGGATACCCAGACTATTCCGAGATCACGTCAATACGGCAATGTGGCTTTACCTTTTTGCAGTCGGAGACACTGCGCGAGGGCCAGGATATAGCATTGTCAGCGCATGCCTTGGCTGCGAAGTCTGGCAAGGGTGTCATCCATTTCTTTGATCCTGCGAATTCGAAGAATGACTACCCTGTGCCTGTGGAAGATCCGGAGTTGATCAAGAAGGTTTTGGACACCGATGCCGCAGCGGAATATAGATCAATATCAACACCAGGGTCGTCTCTCTACGTTGATGAAGGCAGGCGGCCGACCATCACTGCGAACAAAAACTCAAATGCGTCACCCGAGGGCCCCACGATCTCACCGCTGTTGGCAAGAGAAGCAATCATCGAAGGAGAGGCCAAGGTTACAAGTCGTGCGGGGTCGTCGATTGGCTCGTCCGCCCGCGAAAGCAGCGCAGATAGCCGGCCTACAATGTCTTCTGCGACATCAATAAACTCTACAGCGACCCGGCCCGTCACTTCGGAAGATATAAGCACCTTCTTGTCTGGAATCTGGTCGCAAATCAGCACAGCGACCGGCCGCACTTACCGAGCTTTCGAATACTCGGGACCAGATGACGCGGAGTCAGCCCTCTTCGTCTTCGGTTCCACTGGCTTATTTATCGACGAAATTCTAGAAGCCAAGCCGTCGGATGAGTTCGCCAAGTGCGGCATCATTACAGCCCGTCTTTACAGACCCTGGATCAGTAGCGATCTGCTCGAAGCTGTTCCTACATCAGTGAAAAGAATAGCTGTTCTCGAACAAATACGAAAAAAGACAGTGAAGTGGGGACCTGTATTACTGGACCTTTTGACCAGCCTCCGCACCGGGCCATTGACAGCCGGTCCACCGTTGATAGTGGGCCATCGATTAGGCTACATAGAACCTGCAACTGCTCGTCAAGCTTTGCGCGGAATTTTTCAGAACCTCAGATCGACATCTCCCATCCAAAATCTCGAGGTTGGTAATCATCAGCAGCCTTGGGTCTCACTGAACGAATACAGCTTGGAACAACCCAAAATCGAAAGTGCATACATGAAAATGCTCGACCAGTTGTTTGGTGAGCGGCTTCATTTAGCAAATCGCCTCGACGCCACGGATGCTGGCATATCTCCTTCTATTGCAGCGAATCCGGAGTTCGGGTTTGGCTCTCTTCTCGCCCGCATGGATCATCGAATGAGGTTTATCGGAGACGTCCAAGAAGCTGCAGCAAGTCGAGACTTTGTTACTGATATACCTCAAAGCTGGCTTTCGAAATGGGCATTAAGCGCAGAAGATCCTAAAAAGGCCAACGCCTTGGCGCAAGAAGTGATCGCACGATTGAGTACGGATGGCTCAAAGCTGGCATCTCAGCTTCTGTCCTCGAAGTCTTTGTTCTTCAAGGAGTCTCAATGGCTCATTGGATCGGATGCTTGGTCCTACGATCTAGGCAATTCCGGAGTGCATCACGTCATTGCATCTGGTGCAAACGTGAACATGCTGATCATTGACTCCCAGCCCTGGTCGGAGAGAGTTGCTGCTGATGCGACCAGAAGGAAGAAGGATATCGGTTTGTATGCAATGAATTTCGGGAACGCTTACGTTGCCTCTGTAGCTGTCTACAGTTCGTATACCCAAGTGCTAGAAGCTATGATCGAAGCAGACCAGTTTGATGGACCTTCGGTCGTCGTTGCATATCTCCCCTACAATAAGGAAAATGACTCGCCATTGACTGTCTTGCAAGAGACTAAGAAAGCTGTCGATCTGGGTTACTGGCCATTGTACCGATGGAATCCCAATAATGAGGAGAAGGGCGAAGCGAACTTTTCGCTTGATTCTGAGCGGATCAAGCAAGAGCTTGAGGAGTTTCTGAAAAGGGACAATCACTTGACACAGTTGATGAACAGACATCCAGAATTCGCTGCTAATCTATCTGAGTCGTATGGCACTGAAGTGCGTACACTGCAAAAGCGACGCGCGAAGGACGCATACGACAAGATGCTTGAGAGTCTTTATGGGGCTCCTGTGACCATCATTTATGCCTCAGACAATGGTAATGCCGAAAGCTTGGCTAAGCGACTCGGTAACAGGGGAAAGGCGAGAGGTCTCAAGACCATTGTTATGGCCATGGACGACTATCCTCTGGAGGATCTACCCGGAGAAGAAAACGTGGTGATGATAACAAGTACCGCTGGCCAGGGAGAATTTCCACAGAATGGGCGCGCTTTCTGGGGTGCGGTCAAAGAAAACGCTGAATTGGACCTATCCCAAATCAACTATACCGTGTTTGCGCTTGGTGATCGTCACTACTGGCCTAGGAAAGAGGACAAGATTTATTACAACAAGCCAGGCAAGGATTTGGATGCAAGAGTATCTTTCCTGGGTGGCAGACGTCTTATTGATATTGGACTTGGAGATGATCAGGATCCCGACAGCTACCAGACCGGTTACAGTGAGTGGGAGCCAAAGCTATGGCAGGCACTCAATGTCGACAAGGTCGAAGGCCTACCCGAGGAGCCTCCACCAATCACGAACGAAGATATCAAGATCCAATCAAATTTCCTGCGCGGTACAATTGCCGAAGGTCTCGAGGATCATAGCACTGGGGCTATCGCGGCTTCAGACCAACAGCTTACAAAGTTCCATGGGACTTATATGCAAGATGACCGCGATCTTCGTGACGAGCGAAAAGCACAGGGTCTGGAACCCGCCTATGCTTTCATGATCCGGTGTAGATTGAATGGCGGCGTTGCTACTCCATCGCAGTGGCTGCAAATGGACGCCATTAGCAGTTCGTACGGTAATGAGACCATGAAGATGACCACCAGGCAAACATTTCAATTTCATGGCGTGATCAAGAGCAAGCTCAAGTCAGCTATGCGAGGTATCAACAAAGCGCTAATGACGACAATAGCCGCCTGCGGTGATGTGAACCGCAATGTCATGTGCAGCTCTCTACCAACCCAGTCTGCATATCACCGAGATGTCCATCAAACAGCAGCTAGGATCAGCGACCACTTATTACCTGCCACAACCGCCTACCATGAGATTTGGCTGAAAGATGATAACGATAAGCAGACAAAGGTTGCCGGCGATGCAATTGTTGACCGCGAGCCTCTTTACGGCCCAACTTACCTTCCTCGAAAATTTAAGATCACCATCGCAATTCCACCTCACAATGATACTGATGTATTCGCTCACGACGTCGGTCTTATTGCCATCAAAGGCAGTAATGGGCGTTTGGAAGGTTTCAACGTTCTTGCGGGTGGTGGTATGGGTGTGACGCACAACAATAAGAAGACCTACCCTCGTACAGGCAGTATGATGGGCTATGCTTCTGCCGAAAAGATCCAATTCGTTTGCGAGAAAATCATGCTCGTCCAACGCGACAACGGTGACCGTACGAATAGGAAGCATGCAAGGCTAAAGTACACTATCGACGACATGGGTGTTGACGTATTCCGCTCCAAGGTCGAAGATCTTCTCGGATATCAGTTCGAGGAGCCCAGACCTTTCGAATTCGAGTCCAACATCGATACATTCGGCTGGCAGAAGGACGAGTTCGGGATGAATCATTTCACTTTTTTCATCGAGAACGGACGCATCGAAGATACGGCGGATTACCCCATGAAGACAGGCTTGCGCGAGATTGCCAAAGTGCACAAAGGCGAGTTCCGCCTGACAGGCAATCAGCATCTTTGCCTTTCCGGCGTGCACGACGATGATCTGGACAGTATCAGGGAGATGATGAAGCAATACAACCTCGACAATGTGCAATTCTCCGGCTTGCGATTAAGCTCGTCAGCTTGTGTGGCGTTCCCAACATGCGGTCTCGCGATGGCGGAGTCGGAACGTTACTTGCCGCAACTGATTACCAAACTTGAAGATTGTTTGGAAGAGAACGGGCTGAAGCAGGACAGTATCGTGATGCGCATGACTGGATGCCCCAACGGCTGTGCAAGGCCATGGCTAGCTGAGGTGGCTTTTGTTGGCAAGGCCTATGGGGCTTATAACATGTACCTTGGCGGCGGCTACCACGGCCAACGGCTGAACAAGCTATATCGTAGCTCGATACAAGAAGAAGAGATATTGGAAATTATGAAGCCAATGCTCAAGCGATACGCAATGGAGAGAAAACAAGAGGAACACTTTGGGGATTGGGTCATCAGAGCGGGCTACATCAAGCCTACGACGGAAGGAAAAACATTCCATGACGACGTTGCTGAAGCAGAGAGCGATGATGAGGCCTGAGCTGAGTGAATGCATTTGGATAAAAGCATTGTTGGGCGCTGGAGGAGCGAGCCTGTGTTGCATGTGTTCAGATTTTTTGGATCAAGATACCTGAAGGTACCGTTGGATATCTATATACCGATTTGTACATATTTGCATATACATACATCTACAACATCTTAGACAATGCCAGGGGAGGATTTCCCTAAGTTCGAGAAGATAGACTCGATGGGGAACCGTCAATAGAGAGAGGTACCATCACCTATTGCTTGAGCCCCAGGGTCTCGTCGTGGGCTGAACACTCCAAAACCCTAGAGATGGCTCCAACCCCTTGCATTCTCGTCTACATTCTCGCCCCTGATTAGTGGAATCAGCGAAGGGCTCCTCAGGACAGCCCTAGTTCATATGTCGGCCCAGCACGTTGTATGATGAGAAACCCATTTGGGTTCAGCCCCTCGTATCACTCAGCAATGAAGCGATGAGACCACAATGATACTAGCTCGGATACTGCTTGACGTGGAAGCTCTTCAACTTGACAAATTGCTCGAAACCAAATTTGCTCAGCGTGACTCCTTTGCCGGAGCTCTTCCACCCTGTCCACGCAAGATCCTTGCTTCGGTCAGCATACATACAACTTGCTGTATGCCGAATCGACTTACTGGGCTGGGAAAATCGCATCTGTTGACGAACACTGTTCCTGCTTCCACATGCTCGGCAAGTTCTTCGCCTTTCGCAGTGTCCTTCGTCCAAATACTGGCCGTGAGGCCAAATTCGCTATCGTTCATCAATCGGACGGCTTCCTCGTCATTACCCACTCTCATTACCGGTATTATCGGTCCGAATGTCTCGTCGTTCATTACATCCTGGATCAAGTTAGCAAATACATGGAGATGGAAACAGGCCGCCGTACCATGTCGTGGGTCACGTTTGTCAAGAGTGTTGGTCTAACATAATTGCCGCCTGCCGGTGGCGACACGAAGCTTTCGTTCTCCGGAGTCGAGTCCTTTGCTCCCTCTTGATGGTTTTGGAGTCAGCATTACTCTTTCGCAAGGAATTCTGAGTCCCAAGACATGTCTTAGGAGCAGACGACTGTTTAGACATGTCTGACGACTTATAACGTAGCATCAATGGGGAACGAGTGCCTCAAAGTATAACATACTGTCTATTGCGTCCTCGACGTGAGCTTTGATGGTCTCTGCTGATTTCTTCGACACTACCGGTCCAACATTAGTGCTTAGGTCGAAAGGATCGCCAAGCTTATAGCCCTTCAGCACATCTTGCACTGCAGATATGAAAGCGTCGTGAATATTTTCAGCAACATAGACTCTCTCAATACTGCAGCAACTTTGTCCAGAGTTGAAGACTGCACCATCCACAATCTCTTCTGCCGCCCATTTCACATCGACATCTTCCCTCACGTAAGCAGGATCCTTGCCTCCGAGCTCAAGCCCAACAGGAACTACACGGTCTGATGCGGCGCGCTGAACTTGTAGGCCTCCAGCTACGGATCCCGTGAAGCATATTAGCTTCATTTGAGGTGAGCGCACTATGCTCTCTAAACGTGCCAAAGAGCCGCAATGAAAATACTGGATCACATTATCCGGCAGCCCAGCTTCGACAAATATTTCTTGCACCTGCTCCGCGATCGTAGGGGTCTGTGGTGAAGGCTTGATTATGACCGAATTGCCAGCGAGTAGAGCGGGTATCAAAGAATTGACCAAGATGAGGTATGGATACTAGAGAGCCTTCGTAAGCAAAGTTCGACTGTCATGATTTGGGCTGTAGCTACCCACGTTCCAAGCGAACAGAATCAAGACCGGTCCAATTGCTGCTTTCCTGATATACCTCTTGAAACCCTTCTCCGGCTCGCCTTGAGTGTCTCTTAAGGCATCACTACTGATCTTCAGCAGATACTCGCCCCTCGCGACTGCCGTAGTGATTTCCTTCGCAGCATAAGCTATCGGTCTTCCCATTTGCTCTGTGAGCTCCCTCGCAAGCACATCTTGATTATCGCTGATGAGCTTCAGCGCTCTCTTGACAATGGCCTGGCGTTCTTCGAGTGATGTGAGACGAAAGGCATTGAAGGCCTTGGTAGACAAGGCAGGCAGGAGCGCCACGTCTGAGTCCGACAGGCCGTTTCGCGTCAAGACTGGCTTGTTGGTGGACGGTGATATTGTCGTTATGACTTCAGTAGACATTCTGGATCAGCCAGCCTACGCGCAAAAAGTCATACCCTAGGCCTTGCAGTGAAGTAAGTTTCCTCAATTGGAATATTGATATGATATGGCCTGCTCGTTGACCGGTGCTATTGTTTGAAAGTCAAGCTGAGATTTGGAGCTGCTATGCAAAATCGTCATTATGGCCGTTGAAGCTAGCAGCCCTACGAGAAAAGAGGCAGAGGCATTTTGGGCTGCGGCCATTGAAGGAGAATGCAGGCGAGAATGCAGGCGAGAATGCAGATGAGAATGCAAAGCTCAAAGTTTTTGGAGCGAAGCCCCAGCAATTACTCAAGTTTGTAATAGTCAGTCGGGTTTGGACGTCACCTACTCGACGAGTTGTACGAAACACCATGGCACACACCTACAACATTCCAAGGCATCCAACCCACGATTCTCCACTGCGCTCATCTTCATTTTGGCCGTTGCCCCTCCAATGCCGAGCTTCATATATACTTCCTTTCTCTTCGTCTTCTGAAATTGACCATCGATCTGCATGATTTGATCTTGCCGTAATTACGCCTTTCTTCATTCCGCTGTTTGCTTTTGAGCTTCTCCTGAGGCTCCACATTTGCGGGCTTTCTCACGGGTGTTTTCGTCATCATATCCCTTTTGTCTCTCTCTACACCACCACCTCGCCTTCTATCACATTATATGGGAACTTTTCGAGAGCGAACCATGAGCTGCAAAGACTTCTTCCGTCAAAACTTCCGTCCGTCATCTATACGCTCTCGGCCTAAGGTCCGGGGACTTGAGATTGTGTGTCTATAGTAGTCCTGCAACGAAGCAGGGCTATGCTAACCTAGAATAGAGTGAGCCTAGGGATTTCCGGCACAATCAAGACCCATACTCTGTTATTCTGGCCCGGTCTGGAGAAAAGTACGTTCCTTATTGTTGCACCCCCAGACTAGCTAAGTCGAGTCGACGAGCAAAGCTGAAAAAGAAGTAGTGAAGCTCTCATGAGGAAAACGCCTACACAGAGCTCTGCCGCCCTAGAGTGCCAGTTACATGCAGCCGTAAGGCCGTGTTCCCATGGTTCGGGCCAAAGTACGAGGAATCTAAGTGCCACAGACGTGCAGATGTCGTGCTAGGGATGTCGTCAACATCTGTCATGCCAGCCTCAACAGACATACAGATCTACATAAAAGAGCATATCTTCGATGCGTCGGAGCCAATATCCTACCGAGGATGGAACACTTGATCGCTCAGCGGGCGGTATAGAGAAAATTAAACACAGGAGAAGCAGAGCTATTGGGAAGAAAAGCTTATCGATTTCTAGACCGGCATGACTGGGGGTCGACATTGTTTTCTTTTAATTTAATACATTCTCTTTCAATCGAACCCATTTCCGCCTGAGCTTTCTTGCCTGGGCCGCTCAGGATCAGAGCCGCAAGCCTGGGTACGGCGGCACATCTTCGAAATCTATGCGAGAAAATGCGAGTCTGCACACATCAGCCGGGTGGCTCTGCTATAAAGCCCTGGCCATTGAAGGCTCTCCACTTCTCCGCCCAAGCCATCAACCCCCCATAATCCCGGCACTGTCTTTGAAAGCCCCACCCTAGGAAGCCTTCAACTCTTTTCCCTGCCGGCTCGATGCTCGAGTCGGCAGAACACATGAGAGCCTGTCTCAAATACTCAAAGCAGTGAGCCGCATGCGGAGCCCTTTCGATCCCAAAGTCGAAGTCTTCTAGCTCATGTTGATCCTCAGAAATTGCATAGTATGCTCGGCGGAGTGTGTACTGTCAGCTGGTGAGTAACCAGATGGCGGAGTCGTTGGGTCTTTAATGTCAACTTACCAAGCAGTGAAGCTGATGGAAGACGCTGATGACGGACAGGTTCGGGGCCAGAGTTGGATGCTTCACGTAGCCCAGGCCATCTGTGGCAGTGTCAGCCATGCCATTGAGACCAACTTGAAGAGGTATACGGCCTTACTGGGGATCAAAGAGTCCCAGACTGGCTCTTGGCCTCCTTCTTGGGGCGGTGGGGTCGCAAAGCTTTCGTTGTATTGGAAAGTCTCCATGGACAAGCCGATGAATACTGGAAGACAGCCGGTCAGCAGGTCGGGTACGTGATATTCGGGAAGACAATGTACCCTGCGGCACCGTATCTGGAAGCGACGAGGAAGCCAGTCGTTTTTGAGGAAGTGAAAGGCCAATGAAGAAGCCAGCAGTGCCCGCGAGCAAGAAAGAGACGACCATCATGGCAAGCTGTAACCAAGGGGACCAAAGAGCACGCTTTCCCTGGCCGCGAAGAGACTGTACTGTCTCTTTCCCGGGATCATTGTCGTCGTCAATGTGACCGTATTGGGGGAGGGGGAAGTATGACGGTGAATGGCTAGTTCGTAGCAATTTTAACATTGCAGAGATGGACCTGGTTCACGGTGAACTAACAGGCCTGCACGAGAAACGTGACTTCTTACGAAGGATGATCATACAGAGGAGAAGTATTACAGCTGACAGATGACAGGGAAGATGATGATACCAAATCCTGCATTTTTCTCCTTAGCGTTACATACACCGATTAAAAATACCTTATCAAATTACAGCAGGTAGGTAGGTCGCTTAGTCTTTTGATTGGACGAAGGAAGGAAGGGTCCGGTATTACCCTATAATTTTGACGTGCATGACGGCGTTAATTGAATATGCGACCAAGATTTAGCTCATGCACCACAACATCAGTACAACATGAATCCACGACTCCTTTTCCGCGCTTTCGGAGTTCTGCGGGAAAGCACAAGAGGTACAAGAGGTCCGAGGCCTAAAACAAAACACAAGTGACCGAGCTTTTCTTTCCATACCATACATACCAATGCTGCCATGAATGTTCCTTGTCTTAATCCCATCTTCTTCAATGTCCGTTAATGTCTTTCTCAATCTTGTGAGGTGGATACACAAATATCGAACCTCCCTTCCTGTTTGTGTGTGCAATTAGTCTGTCATGCATATCCTTCTCTTCGCATTGCCTTCTCACTCTTAGCTTGAACCGGGCTTTGTTTGACATTCGTAAACATCAATCATTCACACAGTATGCTCTGCGGCTACTAGTCTTCTCTCTTGCGATTCCCTCTTCCGCTCCCTGCAGTAGGAGCAGAATTCCCCAATGGCTTCCACAAGAATTGCCGACCTAGCTGCCCAAATCCAGGAAAACACCACGAAAGTGGACCAATACCTCCAGAGTAAAAACCTACCGTCGCCATCGTTCCATGTAGACGGCCCCGTCGATTTCCAGATTGAAGATGAGGAAATCCAAAAAGCCCGCGAGACAGCCCTGGACTCCAGTCTCGAGCTCCACCAGCTTCTCCTCGGGCCCGCCATGTGCCTTCGTCCCGTGGTAAGTATCCAGACACGACAAGCCGTAAGGCTTCCGCTGACACGCTCCCGACCGCAGTTGAACGGTGTAAGCCTGCAGGCAATCTACAAATACGACATCGCCTCCCACGTCCCCATCCACGGGCAAATCTCCTTTGCAGACCTGGGCAGGAAATGCGGCATGTCGGAAACGAACCTCCGACGCATCGTCCGCTTCGCCATCGCCTACCACCGCGTCTTCCACGAGCCCCGCGAGGGCCACGTCGCGCACTCGGCCGCGTCGCGCAAGCTGGCCGAGGACGCCGACGCCAGGGCCGGGCTCGGGTACATGTTCGACGAGGTCTGGCAGTCGTTCGCGCGCACCGTCGAGGCGCGCGAGCGGTTCCAAAGCGACGAACCCACCCACACCGGCTGGAGCCTGTCCCAGCGCACCGACCGGCCGGTCTGGGAGCACTACGCCGAGCACCCGGCCATGGCCCGACGCTTCGCCGGCTCCATGTCCGCCTTCTCCGACGGCGTCGGCCTCTCCCCCCGCTTCCTGACCGAGGGCTACCCCTGGGCCTCCCTCGGCACCGCCACCGTCGTCGACGTCGGCGGCTCCCGCGGCCACGTCGCCCTCGCCCTCGCCCAGTCCCACCCCCACCTCCGCCTCGTCGTCCAGGACCTCCCCGACATGATCCGCGGCGCGCGCGACGCCGTCCCCGCCGCCCTCGCCCCCCGCGTCGCCTTCATGGCCCACGACTTCTTCGCCCCGCAGCCCGTCCCCGCCGCCGCCGTCTACCTCTTCCGCAACATCTTCCACAACTGGTCCGACGCCCACGTCGTCCGCATCCTGCGCGCCACCGTCCCCGCCCTCGCGCCCGGCGCCCGCGTCGTCGCGAACGATTACCTCATCCCCGAGCCCAAGACCATGGCCCCGTCCAAGGAGCGGGAGATTCGGTGAGCGGTGCACCCCCCGTTCTTTTCCCTCCCTTTTAGACCCCGCCCCCCCACCCCACCCCCGGTGATGTCAGAGGCTGATGGCCTTCTTTACAGCGGTATGGATATGATCATGCTGAGTCTCTTCAACGCCCGGGAGCGCGACCGTGCGGATTGGGAGCAGGTTTTCAAGGAGGCGGATCCTCGGTTCAAGGATGTGGTGATTTGGGTTCCGGAAGGGGCTACGCTGTCTATCATCGAGGCGGTTTGGGCCGGATAACTTTGGAATCTCATCGTGTCGAAATAGATAGGCGAATGCAAGTCAGACGGAGGGATAGAGGAGCAAAGATGTGTCGAATGGAGCAGCGAACGTCATGTATTTTGCGAGCTCCCTGAAAGAATCCCAGTCTAGTTCTAACGCCCGAGATTGTAGATGCAACGAAGTGTGATGCTCGAGTACAGAACCGCCCGACGTGCCATCCGCCCAACACAAATTAGTGATGCCAGCCAGCCTCCCGTCCACCCATCAAGGCCCCCATCCCTCCATCCCTCCAGCCCCCTGACCCTCCTAGTACCCGTCTCCAATCTGCGTGATGTCCACGTCGTCAGCCGAAGCCTCGCTCTTCCGCACAATCTCTGCAGACAACGTTAGCCCGATCCATCGAGATCCTGAGCGGAGCCACAGATACGAACCAGCGTCCGGTGCAGGCACGGCTGCTGCAGGGAGAGCGGCGCTCATGGCCACGACGGCGAGGGCGAGGAAGGCGAAGATGTTCTGGGCGTGCATTGTTGCTGAGGGGATTCGGAGAGGTTCTGGCTTTTGCGGGTTGCTTGGATGGGATTGGGGGAGAGAGTGTGAGGGAGGTGTGGACGGTGTTTGATGTGGATGAGATATGTCGATGGCGGGGATAGATGACTTGAGATGGACGAGATGGATGGGAGACAGGAAGGTGCATGCAGGTGTCTTATATAGGACACGTTTTCCGAGCACGAGTAGGCCGAGACAACTAGGACGTCGAGCGATGAGTTGGCACAGACGGGAAGGATGACAAGCCTGCGTCTGTGCGTGTTGGTTTGGGGATAACTACATACGTAGACGAGAATGGTGAGCTGTCAAGCGTACCACCACGGACGACGGGACGGGCAGCTCTGTCAAAGAGTCACCGTTGCTCGAACCGACGCCAAGTCCCGAGCTCACCTTTGACGCCAATCTCCTGTCACCGAGCAGACACGGCGAATTTTCTCCTCCACTCGTACTGCTCTCTCCGCACTTTTCAGACCCCGGTCCACCCAGATCTCGTGCAGGAAACGGTTATATTCACCACCAGTCGTTCCCGGATTTCATCTCTGCACTGCATAGATCGCTCGATGCCTTCGAACGCTTCGATCGCTGGGTCCAATCAATTCCACGACCGTGCATGTCCGGATGGCAAATGCTCGATCGCTTTGCAGCTTGGGTCCAAGCCATTCGCTTTGTGGTAGAGAAACCCGGGATGGAAAAAGTAAAAGCATGGCGCCATGGGCAGATCAACGTCTTTCGATGGATGTTTTCCATGCACGCGTACCCTTCTCGCCCGGTTCTGCGAACTGTTTGGACAAGATGATGCACGAGCGTATGATCTAAGAGGAATTGGGCATCCTAGCGTATTTGCCAGCGCTTTGCTCGGGCAGTCATCGTAGGAAAAGCAGGAATGAGACAGATGGCTAACGAGAAGTGCATGATCATTGCTGAAAGTTCGTTACGCAGATCTTCCCAGCAACACGAATCGGGCGATTTCTTCCTATATTCCGTCCGTTCTTCATTTTTGGCTCATGGGATAGGCTCGTAAAGCAAGGGCTGCAGTAGCAGCATCGCCGTTATGAGTGGAAATGATTGCTGCGCTTGAATGCAGGTGAATGATACTATGAATCCTCAAATTTCATCTCATCAATAATGTCGAGATGCTTGGAGGAGTATTGTGGTCAGGGCCATCAGTGGAGGTTGGAGCGGTACACAAGGATTGATGTTGAATAGCAAGCACAAACTGGAAATCGAAAAGTGACCAAGCGCGATGTCCGAGCCTCGGATTTTTAAGGTAGGTATAAGGTATCTAATTGTTTATTTTACATTACGGGCGGCAGGCCGGACCGTGCCCAGACATTTAAATTACAGAACTGATGATACGAGTCAGTACAAAGTATCGAAAGTAGATACCTAGTAATGTAAAACGCCCTGCAGCTCTTGAAAGCACCGTTGCAAATATCATGTCAGAGCACATTTTGACTTCACTGACGACAACGGCGGTACGGAGTACTTGGAGCTAAACTATTTCAAGAGAGTCAATGCTCTCCCCGCTGAAATCAATGACAAAAAAGCGCAATTGGCCTTCATGTTGGGAAGAGTCGTTGGGGATTCAATTGAGCTCATCCAACATTCCATGATCCACTTGTTGGACTATGGTAGGTAGGTTGCTAGACGCTCGTATTATGCTTGTAGTACAGAGTCTTTGTAGAGACCCGAAAATCAGGCTGATCGTTGATCAACTCTACCTAAACGTGCTACTGACGTGAAGAATATGCAAAGAACTTCAGATGGGTTTGACTAGAACATTTTGGACTGGCTTCAAATATGGTGGGATTAAGACCTTCACTTCCCATCCTTGCACGACATAAAAGATATTCGTAAAGGGAAATTTCCCCGCAGGATGCTTGTAGCTCGAAACTATCAAGCTGCGGTCAGACCATCAACCCCCTCATCGCAATATCCGAAATGTTCTCCAAGAGGAATATCCCCCACAGAATCCCGATAGCAGGCAGTATTCTCGGTCGCAAAATCGCGAAGCTCATTCCAATCTCGGCAGCGGTGGAGCTGGCCATCCCCAGCCGTCTTGTCCCCAAAAGTGTAGAGCGGAGTGTTGTCTGCATTGCACATCACAGACTGCATGAAGCGTATTAGCGGGCGTCCTCATCAGCAGCCATACGAATTTGCTCCTCACCTGGCGTAACGTGTCAAAACAGTGCTCCATGTGGCTCGACGGGTGATAGGTAAATGGTCGATGGTCAACGGCTTCCCAAAACGTGTTGCGTAGGATCCGCTAGACATCTTTTAGCAGCGTCAGGATGGCACCACAGGGTGGATCAAGACTGACCAGACAGTGCAGTTGATGATAGGCTTCCAACAGATAGACACCCTTACTGTGATCGCCCGGTAGGTACATCGATGCCGGCCATTGTCTCTGCTCCGCCCATTTTCGGTCCATTGCCACGAAACCATGGGACGGGAGGATAGCTTCCCACAGCTCGTCGCTATCGGAGTGGTTCTTGGGACTGTAAGCCGTGTTCCACCAGAATTGGTCCCATGTGGTCGTGAGAGAGTCGACCTTGGCTGAGACCTGTCAGTCACCACTCTCACGCGGATTGACCGTTTATTCTCACCGAAGCCTGTTGGCGTGGGCTTTTCTCTCAGCATCAAAACGACTGAAACTGATAGAAAGATATTGACCACCACCGAGAGCGACAATATCAGATTTCGCCACGAGAACCGAGGTCGGCGGCCATTTCCCTCCTTTTCGTTTCCTGAATAAAGCAGATCTGATGCATCCTGGGATAAACGCAAGTACTTGGAATCCATGTTCTTCAGTCCTCGATAGCTCAATAAATTTGGGTTTTCCAGGATAAGTTGAGCAGGTAGACAATAGATGACAGCTTTGTCTCAGAAGAAGATGGAATGACTTAAGGTGATGCTGCTGAGCTTGAACCTTGTCCATCTGGGCCTAGAACTGGAATTGAAAGGGTGAGTCCTGGAAAATGATTGGTTCACACAGTGTGGGTAGGCGAGAAAATGAAAGGTGAGAAGAGTGGTGGTATGCTAGGTATGTGCCTCGGATACGAAATGCGTTGCGTGTACCCCCCGAACCGAGCACCGTTAGTCTCATTCAAGTTCCGACGGAGGCTCGTGACTACGAGTCATGATGGCAATGTCGCCAAACGTTCGCTTTACGCATCCGGAAGGTGAAGAGAAAAAGCGTTGACGGGGCCTTGATCATAGATGATAGCGCGTGTGAAGCGAATTGGCAGGAGACGAGCATCCTTGTTGGAATATGCATAGCAGAAGCGCAAGCTGTGCTCATCATATGATGCTGAAGGATTGCGGCTGTAGGGTGTGCAGCAAGCGGGTATGCCTACCTACTTTACTGCAGGTGAGCTCGGACTGCTGTTGTTGTTGTTGTTGCAAAATGAAATGAAATGAGATGAGAAAAGTTGAGATGAACCCTGTGTCGCTTCGCTTGAGCTGCATCCGTCGGATGATCGGTCCACTTCGGGCACTCCCTTTTTGGCTAAAGCCGCATATGACTTTTCATACCTGCATACCTACAGGGGAAAATATGAATTCATATCCATTGGATATGTGCTCTTCCCATACTGCGGGGAAACATTGGCTGCTGAACAGCTGGCGGTTTCTATCCAGCCCGTGTAGTACTCGTACGTATCTCAGGTAGAGTACGGTCTACCTACAGTTCACCAGAGTATCATTTTCTTGCTTTGGTAGTCGGTACTGGTATTAACCCTGTCAGACCTGGCACGCTCAGGGGTCTTTGTTGACTCGGCGCACTTATGCATGGTGTACAGAGGTATAACGCGCATGGATGACACCAAAGGCTGATGCAGAACCAAGGTGGCTTTTATACTAATGCAACCCGCGGTGAAAAGAAGTTAAAGAACCTCCCGTGCAGGAAGGCAATGAGCACCAATCAATGTCGCCCAGGAGCATAACCACAGGGAAAAACCTCCAGAGGTACCGGAACAGCAATTTGACCCTCCGGACCGCTGCCGTGGACCCGTTGCGCTGCTTGCACTCCCATTGATAGACACCATTTCTTTTCCCGGCACTTCAGCGAGCCAATGGGCCTGTTGTGATGAACGCCCCCCCGCAATATCCTCACCCGGGGCAGAAATTCGCCTTCTTGACCGTGTGGGGCGCTGACATTAGAGTTCAAGCTTGCTCGCATGAACCAACTTCCTTGACTCTCCCTAAGATGACTCTTATGTGACTCACATACCATTTTCTGGCAGCCTTCTTTGCTGTCTTAATGATTGTGTTCGTGCAGAAATCATGACTTACGTTAACGGAGGTAGCGTTCTCGCCGTTGCTATTCTTTTTATTCTTCTCGCTATCGCAGCGGTGATAGCTCGCTTCAATATCAGAAGACAAAAGTCGGGGTTGGGTATTGACGACTGGCTATGTCTACCGGCATTGGTGAGTTCTTAATCGATCCTGCGAAACGGTCATCCAAAGGCTAATGATGTCGGAGGCACTCGTCATCGCCGAGGGCACTATCATGATCATAGGTAGTATCACTCTCTAGAATACCGGGTATTGTTGCTAAAGCCTTACTTGCAGGGTCCGTGACGCACACCGTGGGCTATCATTCACCACCGAATCTGGGGCCGGAAATAGCTTTCTACGATGGATCTGATCAGATCCTGCTGGAGAAGGTATGTTGATTAGGTATCGTCATCACACGATGGTACTCATGGTCCGTTGCAGTTGGAGTTTCCTTTCGACTTGATGCAGATCCTTGCGCTGGCAACCATCAAGCTCTCCATCTTATTCTTCTATCGGCGTATCTTTAGGGGCCGGGCTTTCGATATCGCAAGCTGGGTCCTTATTGGTGTGGTAGGGGCATGGGCTATGACGTTCATCATTGCAATACTCGCGGCTTGCGGCACTTCAATTGCTGCCAACTTCCAGACACTGGGCGCTCTCAAGAGAGATTGCGTGGACACATTTGATATCCTGATAGCGCTCGCCGTCTCTGATGTCGCTGTGGACCTGGCAATTTTGATCATGCCCGTACCATTGGTAAGTCCGCTAAATGGTTCTGTCAGCGACATCTTGGGTGTTAATGTAGCCAGGTACTTGCGCTTCAGATGCCAATGCGGCGAAAGGTAGCCGTCCTGGTTATTTTGCTGGTGGGCACACTGTCAGTGTATATTTCTTGGAAATTTGGCGCTCGCTGGTTAACACAGATGCAGGGCTATTGCTTGTGGTATTACTCGCATGGCGCTCTTTGGCGTAATCCTCGGCCCAGCGTGTAAGTTGAGCGATCTCTGTCACACATAGGGACTAACCTATTTGTGCCCTAGTATTTTCTCATGCTGAAGTAGGCGGAGTGCCTTCCGACGACGACATTGGTATGCTTCATCTCTTCCAAGGCAGCCGGAAGTCTGCTAACTCGCTCAGGAATCGTCAGCATCCTCATGTTCTGGGGCATGCTCGAAGTCGGCATCGCCATGATAGCTGCCTGCCTTCCCGTGCTTCGACCACTGTTCCAAGGCTGGTCACCAGAGAGCATCATCAGGAGTTTCCGCTCACAGATCTCTTTGAGATCCAGCGGGAGTGGCAACAAGGCGTCCCATAACGCCAAGGGGAGCGCAAAGAGAACAGAGTCGGAAACGGCCATCACAGGCGTTCCATACACGGGAAAATCGGGCCACAACACTCTGGTCAGCATTGACGTGGAAGCCTATGCCATGGGAAGGGTGAGCGGTGGAGAGAAGTACGAGACATTAGAGAGAGGCCCTGGACGGATTTGGAGGGAGACGGAACTCAAGCAGACCTCGGAAATCATATGAGAGGTCCCCGAAGTGGCCTTCTTTGGGAGTCTGGGCTCTGTTGATGGAGCCATAGGCGTAGAGAAGAGTTCAACTACCCTAGATTTGTGACTAGTATGATTCATGAGCCATGGAATTATGCACTAAAAGAGCGACACTACTTAATATTCCTTTGCATACCTGTACCACATGAAGGGTTGTATTATTTCACCATGCGAATACAGGAAGGCTTTTTCCGTCGTAGATCCTTCTCCCTGATATTCGACGCGCGACAAGATTCCGAGACGTCACTGCGCAGTAATTGCGGATCCGAAGCCTTGACTGATTGGTTGGGATCAGGAAGGAATAATACAATACAGAGTATCGTTGCGCAACACTAACGCTGTGCTGCTTGGTATCAAATGGCGTCGTGCCTAGACAGCACCTAGGTAATTCAACCCCCCGAATGCGACTCAGAGGGCCTTAATTAGCCTTCTATAAGATGGCCACAAGCTTCACCTCTTGTTCAAAGTCATTGTTTGTCCGACCAAAAGCTCATTTTTCCACGTTTTCGGCAATGATCATTGAATGGAAGAGGCCTTCTTGACTGCCGAACCTCGATTGTGTCTTCTGCCGTTTGTAGGCCATCGAAGTCTTCACCCACACTCATGATGCAGTACAGCCAATCGACAGCGGCCTATGCTCCTGTCGTAGACTTGGAGTTTGCTGACGACAAAGCTGATAAGAATCCACAGTCTTCGGTCAACGACGCGCATAGATCAAGGGTTCTACGTTTGTCACTGGCGCTTTGCGTAGCGGTTTTGTGCACTGTCCTGGGCTTTGGTGGCGGCATCCTCTTCAAACAAGAGATCGATTCCAACTCTTTGCCATCCACGGCCTGTACAAATCCCATCATACGTCGAGAGTGGCGAGATTTGAGTGACGCAGAGAAGAATGACTATATAGAAGCAGTCCAATGTCTAAGAAGCTCGCCTTCGAAACTAGGTCTCAATCAGACCCTGTATGATGATTTCCCGTATGTGCATAGTCGGAATGGCGAGGCTTGTGAGTAACGAACGCCCCAGCAATGCTGGTGTTACTAATGTCTAAAGCACACGATACTGCGGCTTTTCTTCCCTGGCATAGGTATTTCATTCATGTGTACGAGAAGGCACTCAGGGAGCAATGCGCCTATGCAGGGCATCTCACGTACGTACAAGAGCCTGAGCTGCAGACCCGAAGAGCTAATCGTTCTTCCAGATACTGGGATTGGTCTCTCGACTGGGAAGATGTCACCCACGCTCCTGTCTGGGACACCACCCTCGGATTCGGCGGCGACGGCAACGAAAAGGACATTGAGTCCATTCACGGGCATTGCGTAACGGACGGTCCATTTGCCAGGCTCCAGGTGCTCTACGTCGAGAAATTTCCGTATCCACACTGCCTATCTCGCGGCTTTGCCACAGGGGGAAATCTTACTCGATTCAGTGCGGCACTGGAGCCTACGGCTCTGAATGAGCTACTGCGTACGTCGGATTATGCGACTTTCAATCTTGGAGTGGAGGATGGCCCACATTTGTCAATTCCACGGAGCATCCATGGCGATTTCTCTACCGTCACGGCACCTGCTGGTTCGTCGCATTCCGTGGTTTGCACAGCGTTTGAACTAACTCAAACATAGATCCAGTCTTCTTCCTCCATCACACGCAGCTTGATCGACTATGGTGGAAATGGCAGCAGGGTGATACACAGGCCAGATTGAAAGACTATTCCGGCAAAGCTGCCTATACGTCCAGCTCGGAGGCAAGCCTGAGGGATCCACTGCCCTTGGGTTATCTGGCGCCAGATGTGCGTGTTGAAGACATAATGAATACCGAGTCAGGACTTGTTTGCTATAGGTACTGAATGGCCGCCGGCGTCGGCCTTCTTGGCTTGGTCTAGTGTGATGTCTTGTTGGTTGGGGAAAGGTCATTGCCTCAGTCCCTCAGACCTGCCAAGATCGCTAAGCCCCTTCGGATTAGCTCGCCTCGCTAAGCCCCTTCGGGTTAGCCTGCTGACTTCGCAGCTAAACGGCGGCAGGAAAGGTCAGTGAGACTGGCATGGTCATGACTCATCCATCGGCAATTGCAATGGTACGAGTACTTTATCTCCGGCTTCTCCCCATCAAATGACGATTTCGTCAGAATGTTTTCCGAATGAATTACAAATCGTCATCGGAAGATAGATCTATCTTCACGAACAAATGTCCACACACACATACATACATATATTGAAGCATCCTTACTCACCAAAGAACCAGTCTCATAAATGTAGTCTATGTTCACTTGTTCAATTGAACCTGATCTTTGCATCTCTTTGGAAAACCGTACAGACCAACTCCACCAATGGCACCATCAACTACCAAGCAATGGACTGTCGAGGGCAAAAGTGGCTTCGACAGCCTCAAGTTCCACGACAAAGCTGAGATCCCAACCCTCGGTGACCACGACGTCCTCATCAACTTCCACTACGCTTCTTTGAACTACCGAGATCTCATTATTCCCATGGTGCCATACCACTTCTCTTCCTCCCTTCACAAAACCTTGCTCATTGATTTCTCCAGGGCAAATACCCCTTCCCCACCGCCTTACCCATCGTCCCCGCCTCAGACGGCGCAGGCACCGTCGTCGCCACCGGCTCACGCGTCTCACGCTTCCATAAGGGCGACGGAGTCCTAACACTCTTCAATCAATCCCACCTTGCCGGTCCCATTACATCCTCTGATACACTTACTGGTCTCGGCGGTGCTCTCCACGGCGTTCTTCGTCAATATGGCGTCTTTGAAGAGTCAGGCTTGGTCCTCATGCCTTCGACCTTGAACTTCCAGCAAGGTAGCACACTGCCGTGCGCGGCATTGACCGCGTGGAACGGACTATACGGCATTGAGGGTAAAAGTCTGAAGCCAGGAGATACAGTCTTGACGCAGGGGACCGGTGGTGTGAGCATGTTCACCCTGCAATTTGCCAAAGCAGCCGGCGCCCGCGTCATCTCAACCACCTCCTCCGACGCCAAAGCCGAGGTTCTGAAGAAGCTCGGCGCAGACAACGTCATCAATTACAAGACCGATGAAAACTGGGGCGAAACAGCCAAGAAATTGACGCCCGGTGGTATTGGCTGCGCGCACGTCATTGAAGTGGGCGGTCCAAAGACAATGGCGCAGTCATTGAAAGCTATCCGACCTGAAGGTACCATTTCGATCATTGGGTTCCTGGGCGGTTTTAGCAAGGACCAGCCAAGTTTCCTCGATTGCCTGAACAACATCTGCACTGTGCGGGGCGTCTTGGTGGGATCGAGGCAACAATTCGAGCAGATGAACGAGGCTATTGATGCGAATGGAATCAAGCCTGTTGTGGACGAAAAGGTCTTTGGTCTGGAAGAGACCAAGGAGGCGTACCAATACATGTGGGATCAGAAGCACTTTGGCAAGCTGACGATCAAGATCGATGACCCAAGTCAATCGAAGCTGTAGTATCTGTAGATGATCAGAGGTAGAGCCGTTGATGGTGGCGTGAAGATCAGCTATTTCCGATGTATCTATTAACAAATGAAAAACATTACGATCTCATGAGAAATCCCAGACTCGAATCATTATTAACAAATTATGAGAGTAATATTTGTTTTACATTGGTGTCATACAGTGACCTTCCCCAATAAGCTAAAACGATCGACTCTATTCTATACATTGTTCAGTAGCCAGCGCCAACGCTATGCGATATTCTCGTACAAAGTGGTATATCGACGTCCAAGAGTATCAACACAAATCGAACTAACATATGGCACCAATACCACCAGAGTGTAGGTATAAGCCTCAAGAAAAGAAATACTGACTCTCCTTCAACCTCGAGACATCGAAATCACCCTATCTCACTGGTTAGCAATGCCTTGAAACCATGTGGCACAACCCAGGCGGTGATAGTTACACATACCTTCTTTGGGACAGGGGCAAATGTCAACGGCAACCAGCACCAGATCTTCCTGTCTCTACTGGCAGCTTTGTTCTTTTTGGGCTCGATCTCCTCTGCCTTGGGCGTTGTCTCTTCGATTGCCTCCGTGTCGGCCGCATCGGCTCGGGAATTTGCTGTATCGTGGAATTCGGGACCCTCAGTCTCATCGTCACTAAGCACTGTCTCGATATTCGCGATGTCACCAACCTCCAGGCGTTGGTTGGCCTTCAATTTGGTAGATCTCAAGGAAGCTGGTCCCATCTCGCCAATGGTAGCTGGTTGGATGTCTGATGGCGCCAAAGCTTTTTCATCTGCTGCTTCGGCAAACAATTTCGCTGGTGTGATCATCGCCTCTCCTTCTTCGCGCTCCCTGGGGTCCTTAGATGTGAGCAAAACCAAACGGCGGCGTTCGAGGATCAGTTCGTCTCTTTTTCTTGCTGCAACACCTCTCTTCTTGGCTTCTGAATCAACGCTCCTACGCCACCTCAAGATCTTGCGACCGACGGGGCTCTTAGAGAAGACGCTTGCAAGATGCATGTAGCCCTTGTACCTTGCGTTAAATTCAGCCGCAAGTCGACCAATGATGTCTTCGGAGTGCATCCTGATGAAAGCATCGCGAATGACTCTGTTCATTATGTTTACGTCTCCGGCATGTGTCCAAAACGAGTCATGGATTGAAGCGAAGGTAAGACCGACCTCGTGGCATTTCAGCGCTGTGAGAAACATGTGTGTGGCGTCGAGTGAATGTATGAAATTTGGCGGGAACGCCTGGAGCTGTTTCACTTTGTGGACAGGGTCCGCTGCCGTGCGATGCCGGATAGTGATAGACTGGAGGTTGGTGGCGATACGGCGCGTAGTTGTCTTCCGATAAGGTTGAACAATAGGCATTTTCAGAGGCGTCGTCCAAATGACGCTTGACTTGAACGACCAGAGCTCGTCTTTCTGCCCCCTCAGAGCTTTCAACTTGAATTGATTTGGAAACTTTTCACCCTTAACTTGTCTCTCGGTGTAGTCAACTTGCTCCGCCGATATAGAATCGGATATCCTCGCAGCACAGTCCGAAAGCCAGTATTGTATGTCGTGTGCTCCTTTAAACATGGTCGAGAGTGATTTAAAGATCTTCCTCGCAACGTACGATGCTGCCGCAAGCCGATTTAGTCCGAAGGTATCCGGAAGGTCAAGCATCAAATCGTCAAGCTGCTTTAGAACCTGCCTCTTGGCGCCTGTAAATGTCACGCCATAAACATTGGTCATGACTGTTTGTTTGACGACCTTTCTGGTCACTCTACCATCCAACTGTCGTGCCAACCCGTTGCCCTGCGCTGCCTCGTCCGCAATCTCTGCTTTGACCATTTCGGCCACAGTGGTGTATATGTCGGACGGTCGATCACCAGGCTCAAGGTTCACCTGCTGGGCACCAACGACATCACCTCCAAGCGCTGCATAATGTTGAAGACCATTGCAAGTACCGTCTTGGTGTATTGCAAGATGGCAGACGTAACGGGTGGGGTCGGGCAAGTCCAAAGCAGCTTTCAATTCATTGCAGGCCGCAAGGCACTGCCAAGGATCCTCAGCTTTCAACCACCATCTGTTGCCGTCCAAAGGGTTGTTGACAGAATCATATATTTCAGCCAAATGGTTCTCGGTGAACCGCAGTCTCTCCTCGAAGCTAGCCTTGTCGTATCCATGCACGTTGGCGAGATGTATTTTGAGCCACCAGAGCCCAGAGTCGGTGAGCTCTTTGCCCTTCGCGAAAAGCAGAAGGCCTCGCGCATTATCAGCCCCCATATGATTCAAAAAGGGAGCCATAGGATATGCACGCCCACGGAAGTCACAGTTGTGTGGAAAATAGAACGTTTCGTTCAAGTACGCCCGAGCGACTTCAAGCTGGAAATTTTGAAAACACCTTTGACTCTTGAGCCCTGACCTCTGGTTCTCAGCATCCCGTACGGCCCTCATCCATTTTTGTCGGACCTTAGGCTCAGCTGACGGTGGTGGCTCACGAGGTTTGTCAGTTGGTTGGTTTGCGGGAGGAATCTTAGCAATTGCCTCTCCAGTATTCCATGCATCAAGCATGACCTTGAAAACGAAAGAGTTGACTTTCCACTGTGTTTTCGCCAGTACGTCAAGGCCTGCAAAAACCTGAGACATGTCTCCGTTTTCCGCTGCAGTGATAGCATACCGTTTCGACTGCACGTCATGTGAACCGATGCGCACTACAGGTATCGAATGCTCATAGAAACCTCCTTCGCGGAATCCAATCCATGATTTGGGTTCGGCGACCATTGGTAGGTATTTGGCTATTGCTGAGGTCACAGGAGCCTTCGCCAACGTTTCTAGTACGGCCGTGTTGAGCCGGACGACACCCACGCGCTTCCCACCCACGTATTGAAACGTGTGAAAGAAAACTGGCTGCGTCTCTCGCAGCTCTATACCGGTCTTGGGATCTTTGCGAGACACCTGTACCTTGGCGATGTCCATTAGATGAGAGAGGAGTACTGCACCGACCTTGACCTTTATTGTTTGTGTCCACTCCATACTATCATAGAGGCTTGATGCCCGGCCCCGGAGGATATTCTGTAGCTTTCCATCTGATATTCCCGGGCCTGTGCTATCAAGTTCCCTGATCCCCTCTGCCAGGTTTGACTCACGCCACTTCTTTCTCTTTTTCTTATGCCCATAATGTTCAGCAACGCTTTCGGCCTGAATAGCACTCCCGATGCCTGTAACAACATGGTGGATTCTCATACCTCGTTCATCGACACTTTCCGTACTGAGAATCGTCAGAGTAGCCAAAATGGCGACTGCCGAGAGCTTCTCTGGCGACAGGAATTGCATGAAGGGACCCCAGAGTAGAAGATCCTCATCGGCCTTCTTCTTCGTTTCCCTTCCTTCGGCTTCTTTCGTTTTTTTCACATCCTCCTCGATCAACGGGACCAAAGCCTCGTGCCATTTCCACATCATGGCACCAATCGAAGATGACGCCAGACTGCTATTGATACCTATGCCCTTCCGATGTTTATCTTCTGCACGCCAGCGATCCATGGCAGCCGTGATCGTGTTGTTTTCCAGTAGCCTCTGGCGCTCCTCGGCAGACAATTCACCATCAGTAACCTCTCTGCCACTGAACAAGTCTGCACCTTTGTCTCCGAACAGCTCTAATGATTTCTTGAGCGTTGAAAGACCCGAGCCCTTTTGTTCCGTTGCCTTAACAGCTTGTATTTCACCTGCAGGCTTAGCGAAGGCTCTTCCCCCTGCTCCACGTTCTTGCTGGTCGAGCTTGGTCAGGCCGGTCACTTGTGCGTCCGCATGTTCCTGGAGGCGCGAAGCAGAAACCTAGGTCTGGGATTAGCAACCAAGTTTAGAATAATGCGCATCTGCATACTGGAGAGTAGTCTTCCACATCAAACTCCCAAAGAGCATTGGTTTCGGCACCAAATCCAGCTTCATCAGCCAATTTCTGGTATCTTCTCACCGCACGTTCTCTGCTTGCACCCGACGACTGCCAACTGGCTCTGATCATTTGAGCATAAATTTCTGCATTTGGGATGACCCCAACGCGCTTTAAATCCACTTCGAACCATCTCTGTAGGTCTTTGAGAAGCTGCTGATCCTTTGTCTGTACGACCTTGTTTGTGAGCTCCTTCACATAGTCGGAATGTGCAGCAAGTAGTCCGGCAGCATCTGGACTGTAGATCTGGTTGAGCCTTCGCAAGAGAGCCGCAGCTCGCTCGAGACGGCCCACTTGGAGGCAGGCATGTAGGTTCTGATGGAGCTCATTGAGGTCGCCGGTTATGGCGTCTTTAACACGAAACCTCTTGGGGTGTGTGGTAAGTGTATCTTTGATGATGAGCAGTGAGGTATTCGGATCAAAGTGGCGAAGGGCAGAGATGCCGGTTCCGTCAAACCTAGGCTGGTAGTTGAAATTGGCGACCGAAGGTTCAGCCCAAGGAACATATGAGTCATGTTCAGGTTCATACTGGACGGCGGTGGCAGCTGAGGCGAGCCTTCTACGGTGTGAAGGGGTCCTGGGTATCGGATGTCTGCAACTCCTCGCGTTTGACCGTTCCAGGTGGGGCTTTGAGGAGGCGGCCCGGACGGTTTTCGAATGAATGGGGGCGCCATTTAATTGTCCAAATAAAGCGGGGCATAGGAAAGGGAGATGTAGAAGCTCGAGGCTGGAAGTGGATTGCCTGTACGCATCGCGATACAACGTGCGTTTTGAGGCTCGTGCAAACATGCTCCGGGGGCTCAGATATACGGGTGGATTAGCCAGGCGTGGCACAGCTGCCGCCAAACATAGGAGTGAAGGGATATAGCGAATTTTTTTGAGAAAGAAAGACCTCTTGCGTCTGGCGTGCTGGATAGATATCATCAAAGGAGTTTGGGAAGACTTTTTTCAACAGGGATCCCAGATCTGAGCTAGCTACATCTGAGCTAGGGTAGTTTGGAAACAATCTAAGGTAGCTACAAATAAATTTCCGCCACAATTCTGCATCATGTCTCAGTCTCACATACAATGGCTACAGTGGTGGGCCCACGTTTGCATTACTTTGGCTAATGTATACAACAACAACAAGTCGAAATGACGGAAGACCCAGCGTAGATCGGCTCGATGCCCTTTATTTCTCTCCTCCCCACGCGAAGCGTCGCGGAAAGGTTGCGACAGTGTCGTGGAGTCAGAACAAAAAAAACACATTAGTTATTGACAATGTGATTATGTGAAATAAAGTTCAACTATTGTATTGTCTTCTCCTTTGTTTCTGGTCTTTGAATGTTTTCATGTACTCCCTCATCGCTCTATATCATGCCCTCCTCTCCGAGCAACACACCATCTCCTTACTTCCTCAGGTCCGCCCCCCCACCCCATATCATCACTTACACCCATTCCAATCCGTACTAATCGAGGAGGAGCTACCAAATCTCGAACAGAAGACCATGGCGACTGCATTCACCAACTCAGAGATGAAAGCGAGTCTGCTACAAATCATCAACGAGCGAAACCAGCTCAGAGTGGAGCTCATGCACGCCAAGTCAGCAATCATTGAACTCGAAAACCAAAATTTGGAGTATGACCGTTTACTCTCAAGTGCGCTTTCGCACCTTCAGGCCTACGAACCAAAACCAACAGTGACCGCTACTCCAAAAACCAGCTGGATAGGAACCTGGCAATGCTCCTCGGATTGCCCTCAGCTCGCCCCAATCGAAAAGGCTTGGGCGAATGGCTGGCTCCAGAAAGCTCTCAACCAGATCCCTGCCATGCTAGATCGGGAAGATCTGGGGCCTCATCACCTCATCAATTCCAGGCTTCTATACTCGGCACTGCTTCAATCTACTGGTGCTAATCTACAGCAAGCGCTAGCTAACGCTGAGGAAGCTGTCACTATGGCGGTAGATCTTCGCCTGCAAGAGCTAGCTGCAAAGGGGCAATTTCATCGTGCGCTATGCTATCATTACTTAGGGGAGTTCGCTAACGCCAGGTGGTAAGTTGTAACTGGATTTTGCTTTCTCAAAGAAGCCATGCTGACTCCGAAAAGGTGCTTCGTTTTAAGTTCGTCCGTCAACGAGAGTACCAAGGAATGTCGCCAAAAGGCCGAAGAGAACCTTCGAGGGCTGCCCGAGGGCCATTCGCAGCGATCTGTTTCTGCGGATTTCAAGTTCTATTGCGACTCAAATGTAGATGAATTTGTACGCAGTGTGTAGCAAGCATGAGTCAAGGCAAGCTCTTGCTGCAGTTGGGTTGAAGGGTAGGTTTTGAAGCTTGTCGAAATCACAAGCATTCCAGGCTTTCAATGAACTTGTTTATAGCTAGAGTAAGACTGGTCTGAAAATATGTCATCCCTCAACAGCTTCATTTGCAATTCACCTTGACAGTATCTCTTTTGTCTTCATGATCCTGTTTTGAACTGCTCTAAGCATGAGTCCTGTTTGCGGAAATCTCATGGTCAAGTCTTTCATTGGACTTTGTTCACAATTCTTTGACCGGGCGTGCTACATGTCCCTTCTCCGTCCACCTACATTCTCACACAGAGAGAATCTTCAAAGGTTGCAACATACCAATGAGGCAGGTTAAACAGCGCTTGATCGGATCATTATCTACCTCGAGTCATGGAGAAGGAGGACACCCGATCAAGTGGGGATTGGACACCAGGTGTTCATAAAGTGCGTCTGTATTCTTTCCAGAGATATACCGCATCACACGAAAAGGAAGTACGGAATACCAGTGCTACATGCAAGAAGGGCGAGACAGCTCCTGCCAGAGGAAGGAGCAGCACTATTGCTGCTGAAGCAAGGGGACATTCTGTTGAAAGACGTCATACTGTTTCTGAAGGAGTCGCAGAGGATGCGTTTGCAGAAGGTGACCAACAAGGGGATGTGCCAGAGTCCGACGACGAAGCTGAGGCGATAGTTGCGATGAGAGCGACCAAAGCAATAATACACTCATGGGCTGACAGCAAAACCAAGTGGGACGAGGGGAAGAAGAAGGCGGACTTGTATGATCTTCCGCTAATGTCACCAGCCACACTACCTCCCGCCCGCCAAGTGGCTCGAAAACGCCATAAAAGCCTCATGAAAAGCAGAACGTCCAGCGCTGATTTCACGGCCGATGGAGTCTTGACTGATCGTGGAGCTGGTTCAGAGGTCAAAGATGACCCATATCATGATTCAGAGCTCCATTCGGAGCCTGAACCGACTGAGAGCAGTGAGGATGAGGTTTATCCAAAACCAAGACTTACAAATGTCCCCAATGAGGGAGACAACCGTCAAGGTCATATTGAACAGATGAAGAGATACGCCGAGGACATCCATCAACTGAACTTAGATCCCGAAGACAAAGATCGCGATCATGACTCACGGCTCCAATCTCCAGATTCTGGAGATGCCCTTTCCAATGACAACCAAGTCATCATAAAGGATTTTGGTTCATGGAATCCATCAAACAAACAAGAGAGCGATCATGATCTACTGCCACAATCCCTGGGATCCGACCACAGCATTGATGAGACAAGCGACCGCGAGAATCAGGCTGTGTCAGACATGGGCCAGAAACCTGACCAAACAGGAACATCGTCTAAGACTCTTCATGCTTCCCACAGCAACGAGCGCGATAGTCTTGGTTCGCAAACCCAACCATCTGGATCAGAGCCCACTCTTGTTGACATAAGTTCCATCCACGACGCGGTTGAAAGGCAAATCGACCTAGATATCAACGAAACTAAAGCACCTGATACTACCCATCCTCCTGGTAGTTCGCAACCCAAGTCTTCTGGTTCTATGGAGAATGCAAGTCGTAATTCGCACCTCAAGTCTCCTGGGAGTGACCATACTAAGAGTGCTGGTTCACAACCCACGTCTCCGGTTCGTGGAGGTGCCATCGTTGAGAGAAGTTCCACCCAGGACCAGAGCGGAGAGAATTTCGACCGCGAAATTTGGCTTAACAGCGATGCACCTTTGCAAGGAAACTACAAAGCTATACCCCGCGACGCCCCAAGTCCCGAATCAATCAGTCCCAACTATTCGAGCAATCCAAGTAGTCGCACAGATTCTCTTGTCATCTCCCCGACTATCCCTGTACGTCTCAATTGCTTCAAGTGACTGAGGCATTACCTAACGCAAAAGTCTAGGATGGACAGCAGAGTCTTGGACACGAGGAGAGTCCTAGCGCTTCCACGGCCAACGCAGACATTGTGAATTTCTTGGCTAAATACAAAGCCAATTTCCCACTGATGCCCCCTTCTGGGGAACAAGCAGTCGAAGATGAGCGAGAGTCCAAAGCAGCTACAGACGGACAGAACGGGAGTTCTCAAGCCATGAATCCTCAGCGCTCGGGCACATCGAGTCCTAACACGGAGGATTCTCTTCTCCTGTCTTCTGTAGGTCAATCTCAGCTCCAAACAATCGTGCAGGCCTCTAACGTAGAATCTCAGGGGCCAGGCCATGAATCTCCCGTCAAGTCCGATCTCGAGAAGGCGAAAGAGAAAGAAGCCAGCCAAGCCGCACTCGAAATATTTGAGCTCTACAGTGCCAATTACCAAATGCAAAAAGATCTCGAGGAGAAAGAAGCCAAGTTCAAGCGAGAAATTCAAATAGCCTGGACACACCCGAGGCCTCCACCAACTACCCGAGAGCAGAAATCAGATAAGCTCGCCCTCGAGAGAATTGAATCAAAGGAGATATTTGATGAACTTGGGGAACAGCAACGACCCGTAAGGACGGACCCCCGGTGGGTCCTCCATGAAACAGAAGTCAACATGTTGCTCACCCGTGCACAAATCAATTACATCCTAGAGGATTATCCCAAGATGTATTCCCACGCTAACCACGCTGCCGTCGCTGCCGGCCCACTCAAATTCGCCCCCTTAACGGCGAGATGTTGTTATTACCGCGGAATGGCCTCCTACTATTACCGCGCATTCACCGAGGCAAAGGACGATTTCCTGGAGTCTCGAGGCTGCGCCGGGCGCTATGGAATCCTGAGTGAGAATATCGAGAGATTTATCGACAGTATAGACAAAGCAGATGATCCGGAAACGGCCGTACTCGTGCGAGTCCCAGCTCGAAAGTTCACAGAGGTCCGCACGTTCAAGCAGAGAAGAAGAGCCCGGAGCACAAATGTGGACAACAAGAATGAGCCCTTGCCATCAACCGCAGACGATGCGACGACTCTGGTTGGAGGCTCGCCAAGATCCCCAGAAGACAGAGCCATGGGGCTGGCCCCGTTCAGCTCAGCCAACGAAGAGAAGCACTCTGCTGGACCGTCCCGCGGGGACGCCAATGCCCAAAGCCAAACCTTGCACAGGCCTGATCACCTGGGTGGATTCCCACTCGATGGTGATCCGCAACCCGGTACTGAAGATGTTCCAAATTACAAACCCCAGGAGGAAGCCATCTCAGAAGAGATCCGCAAGGACATCTTCGAGAGCAAAGCCCAGAGCTTGAACCCTGTCAGTGAGGCAGGTCCAACAGAAGCAAATCCCCAAGCGAGGGTAACATTGTCTCCACCGTCTATGGCGAGTACTGAGCGGACTTTGCTCGGAAGCAACACCACTCAGGAAACCACGAGGCGTGTGCCTCGGCCGCACGTTGCTCCCATAACCACGTCATTCGCAACAGCGAGAAACAACACCGCAAGAGAGGCTTCAGCGGAGGCCACCCCTGCTTCAGGTTACACGGATGAGGGGAATTCGGCTGAAATATATGCGGCATTTGGTGGAAAGCCTCGAGAGGACGCTACTCCAAATTCTGCAGAATCATCAAATGTATCAAATTTCGGATGGTGAATGTGGACTCTCGGTAAGCATAGCCAGACAGATGTATGGACAATAACCAAGGCGCTGGCACAAGTGCGGCTAAATCCTTCCCATTAAACCTGAATTTACGTACGGGCTTTTTTTCTTTTCAAAGTCGTACACAAAGTTTACTTCGGTATCATCCTGCACATGAAAAGGCTCAGTGACTTTAACAATGCATTTCGAGATTCTCTAATCATACGCTGGAGACCATGTTGAGATGGTTGCAATGATGGTGTTGAACAAGGAAAGGTAGGACGCTTGGAAGCACGACTTGACAACCTCGATCGTTGACATAGCCCCTCCAAATCACACTCGCATGACTTCTGCCTTTTGTACTCAGACCTGTCTCTATACGAGTACAGTGATCAGCTCCTTTCGAAAAAATCGAACGACACCCGATTTGCAGGACTCGTATTTCTCACCCGGAGCAGCCTTTTTGCCTGTGAGAACCGACCCACCTGGGTCGGCGCTTGGCGAAAATGATCTCTTAGTACCTCTCTTGGTACTTTTAAGAAAATGAACCCCTTTTGGATATTCCTTGCCTTCAAGGAATTGCTCGTAGAGCAAGAGGGCAGCAATGCCCTAGACCCGAGGCTTCGGGTTTCGAAACCCACGTCTCTGGAGACGTTACTGCTTTGCACAGCAAGTTCTGAGATCACAGAACTATCCCAATATCTGGGATGCCCCCACTCCCCTCTGGCTTATCAGCCCTTCCTGCCCTCTTTCAGAGGAAGGAAGATATTTCTCCAAAGATCGCTCGCATCACCAAGGTAATAGGTGAGACTGACGTCTGCCATGCTGGCTTCTGGACCACCAGCCATGGCCTCTAATTGCGAGATGATATTTTCGAGGCCGAAAGCTTTGCCGACTGCTTGTGTGCTTGTGGCTTCGCACATAACGTGAACAACGTGAATGTGGAAATGGTAGTAGGTGGGCTGATCTGTACCTGGTCAGCTGCATGAGGCAAGAAGCTTCAACTAGGACGAGCATACAGTGGATATAAAGCTTCAGCATATCCTTCTCCAGCTCTGGGTACAGCTCGATTGTAGCGTCCAGGATCTTCTCTCTCATGTGCTTTATCCAATCCACATGGCTCTTTTTGAGATCTCGCAAGCTCCAGAAATCTCGTCTCTCCACCAAGACGAGTAGATGCAGGCTCGCGAGAGTTTTCTTGTCCCAGTTCAGATCCGGGGTCAGAAGAAAAGCTTCCTCTCGAGAGGAGCCTTGCCCTGGGTCTCGGAGCAAAATATCTTCTTGCTCTTTCCTCCCTTCGATGATATTGAAGACCCAATTCAAGCGTCCTTCGTCCCTCATTCGCTGCATGTATGGTCGCACATGCTGCTGGTAGATCGTCGGCGTCTCAGTGACCATGCGGACGGTCTGTGGGGAGTACTTCTTTATGTGCTTGTCTGTACATGGATAGATGAGATTGATCTTTAGATCGGCAGGAGCCTCTTTCGTCACACCAGAAGATGCAAGATACCATCGGTAGATATCATTCTCGCCCAAGTTGTCAATACTCGTAATGGCAGCGTGGAATGCTTCGAGCGTATCGATATTGCTGGGAAACGCTGCCCTTTCCGCAGTGAGCAACGCAGGGGAGCCATTGATCGTACCAAGTAGATTCACGCGACGGCCACCTTGATCTAATTAACATGTTGTCAGCCAGAAACGCTGAAGTCAAGGACAAATGTAGAGGACCTTGGTTGAGAAGTTTATCCACCCGAAAATGTCGGACTAAGTCAGCAGCGGTTGGCGCTTCCATATTGTTGATACCGACTGATATTTCTCAATCGCTTTTTGTACCCGGAGCATATATGAGTATCACTTTCTCAACACCCAGGAATTGCTCAAGGAGGGGAACTCCTTACATGAGTGCACCCTCAGAACCTCACCTGCCTCTCGCTTAGAACACCGTAGATTTGGTGCTTATCGATAAGACCTTGTCCGAAACCGCGTCCCTCCCGCGTCGTCGATCCCACATCAGAAGCATCATTCACCCTCTATTTGCTTCTCACTCCATCGCGCTGAATCATCTATAGTCATGGCTAGGACGCTGCCCTGGCTCAAGAGTGGAACGACAACCACCCTCCAGCCCGTCCGTCCAAAGCCTGCCAAGCGGCAGCGAATGCTGGATCCCAACTCTGACTCTGACTCTGCCGACAATGTCAACCCTCGGGCTGTAACAACTCCCAAGAAGCAAGCTGCTCCTGCAACAGGTAAGCCCCGTCAGATCTTCTGTAGCTACACCGATTAACAACACTACCAGAGCGAACGCCATCCACCTCGCCTCCACCGCAACCCCCAACCGAAGAATTCATGCGCCCCGGCCTCTCAGCAGACGACATCTACATCATGGTCGAAGACGAGTTCCACGCGGTCGCCCAAACATTCACCAAGCACCTCCACCATGCGGAGTATATCCGTCTGAGAAATGCTGTCAGGGATCGAAACGCACCTACTATCAATAACATCTCCCGCCCCGTCGACTCGATCACTACCATGCGCGAAGAGACTCGTAGAAAGAAGGAAGCCGAAGCAAGGGAAGCGAAAATGAAGGCCGCGATAGAGAGTATCAAGGTTCCGAAGGGAGCGAAAGGCCCGTTGGACGAAAGTGACATCAGCGATTTTGAGGAGGATAGGCAGGATGATCCGTGGCAAGGGACACAGTTGCAGCATTTCATAACTACGAGTCCAAAAAAGAATCTTACAGGTTTGACTGGTCTGCAAGGAGTCATATCGCACACCCGAGCAGCGGCTGGATATTCAAAGCCAGAGAAGCGGCCTTCGCAACCTACCAAGCTATTCGAACCCGCGCGTCCTAATGCCAGTGCTTCAAAAACAATCCTCGCTCCAGCGGCCGGCAATGCAACATCAGACACAGACGACGATGACCTCGATGCTCCTTCCTGTCTCCCTCCTCGTCCGCCCCCACGTATACCATCCCGGCCTCCAACAACCGCCGCCAAACCCACCCCTTTACCAACAAGCAGAGATCCACCCCACCGACAGCCGAAAAGAAGAGCTCCTACACCACCTCCCGCAAACCCCTTTCAAAGATCTTTCCTCGACTTGACACCGCGCGCCGCCCCCGCTTCAATACCCCTATCCTCAAAGTCTTCAAGGAGACCTATTCCGCCAGATCCATCTCCACCCGTCAGACCCGAACCGTTGCAGGAACCCCGCGCATCTTTATCGGATGTGAGGCAGCGGCTGAAAGCTCGGCGGGAACGCGAGGAAAGGGAGAGGAAGAGGAAGAGGTCCGGCAGTGGAATAGGGGTTGACGACATACCTGTATTTCTTGTATGATTGATGCAGCATTTTGGACAGATTGAGATACCCAATGAAATCACATTCAACTGTATCTTCTTTCCAATACTATGAGTTACCTACGCATCACCCTTAGAAGTCCTTCAGGAAGTATCATCTCAACCGATCATCGCTAGACCGAACGCGAATCATCTGAAAAGTGGTAAGATACAAGAATCGAAAGGAGTACCAAAGAACCGAAAAATCGTAAAAAAAGCCGCATTCCACATCACCCCCACCATTCAAATCAGGCCATCTGCCCGTGAAAACCGCGCCGCAACACCGAAGATGTACCCTACCCTACCCTACCCTACCCTCCTTGCACATCCGTCCAAACGCCTCCAAGCGAGCCAACAGATCTCCAATCCCGCATCGTCCATAAACCCCGCCGTGTATACGATGAAGAAAGGGGAGATCGCCGGGACGATCTGGAAAGACGTGTGGGAAGGTGTGGATCGAAGGGAGGATGCTGCTGCTGCTGCTTATTATTATTATTGCGGCGATGGCTAGGAAAGACCTGTGAGAGTGTGCGAAACCCAGGGGAAAAGTCGTCCGGATCGAAGAAAAGTACGCGGTTACTCGTCGTTCATTCTGGTGACTGTTGGTAAAAAAAAAAAAAGGGGGGGGGGGGGGGGGGCCTTCGGGTTGTGAACCGATGTGAAAAAATAAAATCGTGAATGGATGTGAATATCCCAGTCCTCCGTCTCCGCCAATCTCCCCGAAAAACAGACAGACCTCACAGCCCCCTCTTCACCGCGGCCGCGAAGCTCTTCCCCCCAGCGAACTTTTTGGCGTAGACGTTGACAGCCGCCTTCTCCCTCAGGGCTACCGCCGGCCCACCTTTCGCCCCCGTCTTCACCTTTGCCCCTCGCCGCAGTGTTTTCCACTCGTCTTGCTCAGCGTGGATAGCCAACGTCTTGACGATGGGCGTGGCCGGGATCGTGAGCACCGATTTGACGGGGGGCGGGTCCGCTTTCTGGACCTCTTCGCAGGGGGCGGGGGTTTCGTGGTTGAGCGCTCCGAAGCGGTTGAGGAGGTCCGGGGTGTCTCTGTTCGGGGTTGCTGGTGCCAAGAGGTTTCTGATCGGTTGTGGAGTACGTGGTGTATCCTGGAAAGGCGGCGGGACTTTTCGAATCGCTTTCGCGAAGACGCGGGTGTCTTTGATACCCTGGAAGCCTTTCTCGTGTTTGGGGTTGGAAGTCATGGGTGAGAGAGGACTTCTAGGGGTAGGACTACCAAGGACCTTAGAGCCTTCCTTGGTGTGGTTTCCAGACTCATCACGAAGCGCCTCCCAATCTTCATTGCTGGAAAGTGGTGATAGAACCTTGAAGCTCAGAGTTTGACCGGGAAGGCGTCCAGGACTGAAGGACAATTCGGGGATAGGGGTATTCGTGATGCAGTCTCTGGTTGATTCGTCGATCTCCTGATCCAGCTTCGTGTCGCGGTCTGCATGCGACTGCTTTGTAAGTGTACCGCTCCTGCCCACCTCCCCATTGCTGTTCGATCTGTCAGGGAGAGGAGTCAGAGAAAGCCCCTTCTGTTCAGCAGGGAGCTCGAAATCTGGGTCATCCCAGTTCTCAGGAATCTGTCCTCCCGTCTCTCTAACTAGGTTGCTAGCTTCTTCTGCGTTCTCATCCTCCTCTTCGATAACATCCAGCTCGACTTCTTCCCTGATCTCAGGCAGTTTCTCACCAGTGGCCCAGTCCCAGAGCTGGTTGTTCCGGACCATTTCATTGTAAATGCGCCTGTTGGCGTAACGCCAGTAGCCGGCCATGCGCTGCATAGTCTCCACTTGGTCGTTTTCGAAAGCCACAAGGTCTCCAAGAATTGCAGCGCGAAGTCTGGCATCGAGAGACTTGCGTCCTTTGCTCGCTTTCGAGAGATTGGTATCAATACCGAGGCTGGCAAAGATGGGGCTGAGGATCTCGTTGTCTTGTTGAGGGGTATTGGGCTTTTGCTTGCTGTCATTGCTTTTGGCTATCTTCTTCACGTGTAGACCTAGTTGTAGCTTACTCCATTTAAAGGTGCTTGCGTTGAACCCGATGTTCTCGTCAATCGTGCGGTTGTCCGCTAGTCCTTGACTCTTGGAGACTGCGCTGGCTTCATGCTTGGACTCTGGATGCAAAGCTTTCTCGACTGTAGCCAATTCCTCCTGGGTTGTGACGTCGAAGAGGACTTGATGTTTTGCTGCCTTCCGTTCGGCCTTTGCTGCTTTGCGGGCATCAGCATTTTCCATGATCCCGGACCAGCACTGCTTCCTTTCCTTGGCGTCGTCATCATCATCATTATTGAGAGTGCTTGAGTTGCTATCCCATTCGACATCTCGCTCTGGATCAACTCCACCAACATGCTCACTTCCATCATTTGAATGGTCAAGGTTCGAGTCGTCTCTCTTCTTGCCTTTCCTTTTGTTGTTGTAGAGTGGACTTTCTGTGCTAGGGCTCCCTTCTAGACGGCGAATGGCCTTTATGATTTCAGCAATCTCAAGGTGGCGTTTGCTATGAGCTTCGATGGTATTTAAGCAACTAGATAGATGTTATTGAAGCTCCTCCCAAAATCAGGACTCTCCTAATACATACGCTACACACCGGTGACTCGCACCGACAAAATGAAGCGTCTTGTGATATGCAGGACAAACCTCTTCGTGAATACCGAAACACGTTCTTTTGGCGCGTGGTCTAACGATGTGAGCTTTGCTTTTTGGATAGGCGGAAGAATTAGCTTACGACGACAACACAGTTGCGCAGGTTCCACATTTGTGTTCTGGATGACATCCGTCAGTACAAACCTCGAATTATTATCGGGGTAAAGCCTTGTGATCATACCCAGTCCGTGATTGTGATCCTATAAATCCGCGATGTTAGTAAACGAGATTTTTGATCAACTATCACAACCGTGACATGTTCACGCACCTCCCACTTGTAAAACGTCCCCACAGTCATCTTGATATTGCGAATGAGACTGGACGGTTCCCAGATTCTTATGAAGGTTGCCGAATTTAAAGACCTTATCGAAAGGTATGTGCGCGACGGTGCAGGCGAGGAGATTGTGGTTGGAAAATTTGTTGCGGCAGAAGTCGAAGCAGAGCACTGTTTTAAACGTAGTCCGGTGAGACGGCAAATGTTGAGCAAGGCCAAGATGAGCAGCAGGGCAGCAAGGGTTTCACGGTGTTGACAATGTTCAGGGTTGATGCGGCATGTCTCAGAGGTAAACAAGACAGACAGTTCTAAAACGAACGCCACCAGAAGCTTCCAACAACACCCTGAGGCTCGAATTTAGCTTGTGTTTATCCGCCTTACCACCTATTTACGAGACTTGTTATGAGTTTGGCACCAATAGAAGAGCAGCCGTCATACAGCCAAGGACAACACAGGGTCACGATCCACTATTACATGACTCCCTCTCGCTTCGCCTATTCCCCGGAGCCAGTTCACCTGTATCAAGCATACGGTCCATAAGTGGAGTTCGCCCAAATCATGAATCGTTCAGTCCGGGGAAGAGAATACGGAGAAAGGAAAATCAAGGAGAATGTCATGTTACAAGCTGCATGGGTTCATGATACAGCGAAAGAGCGGACCGTTGAGACATATCACAGTCTCGTTGCATAAGTTCTCATGCATAGAATGTTGAAGTTGATTCAATTGCCTTGTTGTCAAAGGTCTTGAGTGAACCCGACAGGCACAGCTTGTTGAAAGTATGCCTCTTCCTGCAGCTCTAGCTTACTGGACGTCACGAACCAGACGCGCCCCACACCAAGCGTACAGGTAGTTGCGCTGATACCAGTTGACACTATGCGTATGTTAGTGGTAATCCTATTTTGTTCGCGATTTCCAACATACAAGGTTTTACGTCCAGCAATACGGGGATGAGTTGCCCATGATCCGCCCAGAACAACATTGTGCTTCCCGTCGAAGAAGTCATCTAAAATTCATGAGCCGACACAGCCTTTGCACTATGTGGAACGAGCGAGACAAGACCTGTATAAGCTGGGTACAATGTCATGGGTTCAAACCCCTCATGCCTCTCTAGCGCCGAGCTTGTCCATTCCCAAACACCGCCCATGTTCCCCTGCCCAGACAGCTGATTGCCGTTCTGGGTGACAGGCATTGGGTGGAAATGCTTGAAACCCACATTGCAGCCTTCAAGGTCAGCGAATAGTTCATAGGGATCAAGGGACTTCTCAGCGCCAGAGGCGCCATTACGCAAATGGTGTGGTGGAGGAGAAATCTCGACTCCCTCATTGGAAAGATGCCTGTTCAGCCATAAGCACTGTTACACTGATCTGAGAACGAAGGGAAGACCTGCCCGTTGACTGCAGAGATCTTCTTGGTGTTGATACTATCCGTCTTCTTGTTCTTGTTCGGGTCCACATAATTGTAGATGCTTCGGACTTCTTGCACGGATGGAATACGTCCGTTCATCCACGTTGCACATCTGGAAAGCTCATCATAAGATGCAAAGACGGGCCAATCCAGTGCGTATTCCAACGAGATCGGTCCGTAGACAGTCCTGACAGATTTGCCAGTCAAATATGCGTTTGTCAATGGCGGGCTAAGTCCATTCTGGTAGGAGCTATGCCCGTCGACAGGCGCTTCTCGTTGATATACGGGTGGGGAGTGATGGCTCCTCTCAGAGATCCAGGAAACTGGCACCGCATCCTGGCCAGTATGGTAAAGGTAACGGGCGTAGTCTTCGTTGGTCAGGGGCCTCGCCTGGGCCTCGAATGCTGGCACATCAACCAGACGTTGTGGCTTCTCGTTGTCCCAACCAAAATGACGGTCAGGCCCATCATCATTTTCAGGGTCCTCCAAGCCTACGTTGATAGTGCTGGCGGGTATTGGGATCCATTGATTTGGAATCGCAGCCTCCCGGGCTTGTTTCCCCAATGCCACAAAATCTGGAGCCACGCCAGGAGGCGGGAGGGTCCTATCACTTTGCAGAAGCATGTAGAGAAGTGTCTCCAAATGCATGGCTGATCATGACAATCAGACGTCAGTGATAACCGTGGTAAAGGGGGGGGGGTCTCTCACCTTCATGTTCGAACCCTATCCACAAGGCTCGTCCAAGCAATCGGTTCGTCTCCAGGCCTCTATCGGCAAAAAGGGATCTTGTTCGATTTCGGACTCGTTCTTGATAATCAAAAATCTCACCTATTGGAGGCCACTCATCTGGAATCTCGCTATGTGCATGACAGTTCTCTGGGTTGTCAACATCGGGATCGATGCCACGTTCGAACATGTGGTGATAAGAGCTCGGCTTGGTGGCCGCATCGCCGGTCGCTCTTGTCAAATGCATGTCCAAGAAGGCGGGAATATGGCCCAAATAGAAGAGGCAACAGTTTCGAAGCTTGATGGGCTTCGACAAAAGTTCTTTCTCGGGTATCATGTGCCTCGTAACCACGTCCCATGCCGCCCATAGCTGTTCAAATTCGTGTAGGCATGGTACCGGCTGGGCAGCATACTCATTCGCTTTGAGGGGATAGGAAAAAGCCTGCTTCGAGACTAAGTGCAGATCTGCCACCATGTTGATTAGCGGCGTACAGATTGGGTGTTTACATTTGTGAAGCTTCGATGTTGTGGGAAAGTCGCATGTTATGATGTAATACGGCCCGTAATCGCGGTTCCGGCAGTGAATCTCATTGGCCTAGGTGTACTTGGCAGACAAGTATGCACGTGGCGATAGACTCGAGAGTCTGTTGAAGAGGAAGAAGACACAATATCGAGCGTAAGAAAAGTTGCCAACTTACGGTAATTGTTGATTCTGTTACCGAATCTCGCCTGTACCATCAAGCCAGCACGCTGCCAAAGCTCGTCACTTTGAAGCAGTGAGTACTTGTAGCTTTCTTCTACTCGAATCTTCTCCTCAGCCCTGATTAGCGTCCCTTCTACCATGACATCTCTGACAGGTGTGTAGAACGCTTGGTGCCGGCGAGCGACTTCATCGTACTCTCCCATCACTTTCCAATCGTCTTCCCTGAAAACCTCCTTTCCCATGAGCTTATTGGCATGCTTCAGCCCGTTGAGGATGAACTCGTGAGTTGTACCTCGCTTGTCATTGTAAGCACGATAGACCTTGTCACTTTCATGGCAGGCATCAATGCCTATCAGCATAGAATCTTGGCCTTGCAGAACTTCTGAACAGCCGCGCAGGAAATCTACTGCCTCTGTACGCTCGAGATTGCCAATTGAGGATCCCAGCCACAAGATGCACTTTGGGATCCCAAGATTCGCAGTCTCCTTCATCCAAGCGAGCCCATCGTCATATGTGCCAAATAGGCCATGACAACGCACATGCTTATAAACTCCGTTTACAGCAGATAACGTTCGCTTCAACTCTGGCCAGGACAAGTCCAATGCATAGTAGTCAATTTCCTTTTTGACCCTCTCAAAAGCCTGGAGTAGGATGCTGACCTTGCGGAGATTACTGAAGTGTGATCAGTAATGGAGTTTTCCTTTGAGCAAAGCTCGGAAGCCTTATGGGCTCCCCTTCTTACCCACTGCCCAACTCAATGACCTGTGAGCCCGGCTCTATCACTCTTGCAATTGCTTCTGCATGAGTGGTGAGGGTCTCAATCTCAGCATTCGTCAGATAATACTCTTCTAGATATGTGATCTCCTCGAAGAGCTGCAGTCCTTCCTCATCATACAGCAACAGCGTTGGCATTCTTCTCTCCTGCCCTTTGCCCGGATTGAGCTTCTGATGGATTTCATCAACAAGAGAGATGTTTAACCCTCCTTGACGAATGTCCACAATGGACACATCGCGGTGGCCGTTTTGGAAGGCCATGATGAATGGAAAGAAGAGCCAAAGAATTGCAGATGACGAAGCATGAGAAGGTAGCACTGCCTTTATAATTTACGAGATCTCTTTGCGGATCTCGGTTGACATGAATATTGAATGTTGAAGGGAAAACCCTGCGCTTGGCAGGAACAGACGCCATCAGCCGGTGATCCATGTGCCTTAGAGAGCTCAAGCAAGTGGGTCGCCTCCGCGCCCTCCGCGTTGTTGTACGTAGCTTTTCATTGGCGCAGAGTTTTTGTGGGAAGGATGTGCTAGCGCCAAACCTTGGGGATAACCCGCACATCGGCATATGTAAAAGCAGGATGAAGGAGAAGGAGTAAGCTGAGGAGCAGTAAAGTTGCGTCAAGCAGACTGGAACTGAGGGGAAAAATATGATGAGTGATGCTTAGATGACGTTCCCGGAGATTTAGTGGCAGGTCTAAAGCTGCTGATTCTGCCGTAATCCAGTCGAGTCGAGTCGAGTGGAGTCGAGATGAGAACTTCTCCACACTTGAAAACATCTTTAGTAAGTACTTTAATGCTTGTTGTCATCATTCTCAACGTGCAGTCTGACCGAACACAACAGAGTATCCGTCTATGCCGATCTCACCGTGGAGCACAAGGTACCTTCCTTACCTGAATCAAATCTCCTCTTGTGCTTTTAGCCGCTTGCGATTAGTCAGAGTATCCAGGAGGCTTGGCGTTTGCTGCCTCTTAAAAGTACAGCTGCTTTACCTTACTCCTACTGAACGCCCTCGGTGGAAGGAAGTGTTCTTAAGCCGACCATGATTTAGCTTACGGTTCACTAATAGTATACATTACATGTAGTACACTTAGACCAGGTCAATTCGTAGAAACACCACATGCATGCAACGCTCGCTGGAGGGATATCGTCGTGCGAACATGGAAATGACAGATGTCCAGAACACCAAGATTTCAGTCCCACATCGTCTCAAACCATGACTCTCCTTAAGCCATCTGTTCCTGCAAGTACCATTCTCCCGGTGACCGCGCATCTTCCCTTTCCACTCTCCCACCCTCCTTCTCTACTCCCCTCCTTTCCCGCGTCCTTTTCCTCATCCCCTCCCACTTCTTCTTCATCGTATCCCTCGTCCCATCCTTCTTCTGTTTCTCTCCTGCCCTGCATAAATGCAATCTGCCTTTCATGGCTCCCATCCACCCACTTGAAGATACAGGTGTAACAAAATACAAATCCTGTTTGAGCGGAGGTAGGGGTCTGTATTGGGTGCAAGCAGATGGGGCAGAGAGAGCTCGTATGAGGCTTGGGGGCGGGTACGGTGTGGATTGGGAGCAAGGTCGTGGCGCATATCGGAGGGCTGTGCTTGGCTGGTATGTGAGAGACAATTGGTGGAGGCGTCGGCTGATGATTTTCAGAGGGTGGGGAGGAGAGTGAGACCGTATTCGCTGGTGCTGACGTTGGAGAAAGCGACCCCGAAACTTGTGTTGATGCTATTGTAATCCGAGAGATGCTTCTTGGAGGCAAGCCTGAGATGACTGGTGGTGGTAGGTCGAGGCCCTCAGTAGCTTTCTTATTAAGCTGACGTGCAAAGTCTGAGGCGTGCCACCACTCCAGAAACTTGAGAGCAAATATTGACGTTGGTAAAAGGATCTTGAGACTTGAGAGGAGACGAGGATAAATCACCGATGCGAAGGTAAGAGGATTGAATATACTAGATTGCTGGCCGGGGCGAGCGGCAGGATGAGACGGAGATGTTGCGGCAGGCTGAGCAGCCAAAGCTATGGCTCGGTGATCTGCTTCACTAAGACGACGAATGCGGGTGCCAATCAACCAGAGGAACGGCGAAGAGTACTTTGAGTTATCGAAAAGATAGGACAAATTGAAAGCCAGGAGGGAGAAATAATAAGCCGCATTTACACTGGGGTAGATATTCCGCAGAAACCATTTGTAGTAATGTAATATCCTCTGTCGAATGGTTGCATCATGAGGAAGAGCATCCCGGTTGTAAGATGGTCCTATTATTGCGGCCTGCGGTGTGTGGATATCGTAGCTTTCGTCGAGCTTGCGCTTTAGGTATGGCAGGCCAACCATGATTGCTAGATTGTTCCATATATCACGTTCGCGGAGCTGCAGCGTTTCTCTCAGTAGGCCCGGTGCACCAAGACGAGCACGCGGGGCTTCACCACCCTTGATTCGTAATACTCGTTCTCGTTTGAGGCCATAGAAGTTCTCCGTGAAGCCTCCACCATATGTTTTGAGGTAGTGTCGCTCAACAGCGAGCATGAGGAGCGCATATAGCTCATCAAAAGAATTGAGAACGCGGAGAAGATACCGTGGGTGTCGGTGCGTAGCTATGGCAAGCAGGTAGCGTAGAGATGGGGGAATGAGGCCGCATAATTGTTGTTCGGAGAGTAGTTCTGGAAGCCATTAGCAGAGGCTCTCGCGAACTTGGGTTTCAAACTCCAAGGCACCAAATAGAGAGGGTTTATGGTGGTCAAAGCCATTCTGGAGGCTTGACATGAACTCCATTATGACCTTCGCTAAAGCAAACCCTGCGTTAAGTTGAAAGGAAGCTCCAGCAGGTTGTTGTTGATTTGACAACTTTGGGCCGAGGTCCAACTCAGCCCTATCAGAAGAATATCCGAGAGGATCCCTAGGATCTGTGTTCTTCCTTAACTGCGCTCTAGCCTACTACTTTCGTTTACTCGCCGACAAAGGACCCCAAAGATCCAGCAAGATGGTTTCGACATCGACAGGCACAGGAGTAGCTAGCTCTGATGCGTCCAAGGCTCTAAGATTCGTTCCACTCGGCAAGCAGTACTCTCAGATCTACTGATGCTCGAGCTAAACCTGATAAGCTGTGCAGAAAATAACCCCGAGGTTATGTCCTCGCTCGTCCATAAATTGGGCCTCTCTACCGAGTTGTCATGGCACGATGTTTACTCTCTCGATGACCCGTCCTTGCTAGCCTTCGTTCCCCGTCCAGCTCATGCCCTTCTGCTGGTCTTTCCTGTATCTTCCGCGTACGAAAAAGCTCGCCACGAAGAAGATAAGTCTTTGCCAGATTACAGCGGTACCGGATCGAAGGAAGAGGTCCTTTGGTTCAAGCAGACGATCGGAAATGCTTGCGGCCTCATGGGATTGTTACATGCAGCCTGTAACGGAATGACCCGAGATCTTATTGGTGCGCTCTTCAGCCAGTAGTACCTCCATGAATCCCTGTCCAATACTTATATGTAGCACCCTCGACACCTCTCTCCCACCTCATCACCGACGCTCTGCCACTCGATCCCACATCTCGCTCCAAGCTTCTCGAAACATCTGACAGCCTTGCGGCTGCTCATGCCTCTGCAGCTGCCGAGGGTGATACAACAGCTCCAGCTGCTGACGAGCGGATTGATCTGCACTACGTCGCTTTTGTAAAATCAGCGGAGAACAATCTTTGGGAGCTGGATGGAAGGCGCAAGGGTCCACTGAACAGAGGAACGCTTAAGGACGGAGAGGATGTGCTCGGAGCGAAAGCCTTGGAACTAGGACCGAAGAGGTTTTTAAGGCGTGAAGAGGAGGCTGGTGGCGGAGAGCTGCGATTTTCTTTGTTGGCTCTGGGCCCAAGTCTTGAGTAAAATGTAGTTCGAGATCGTCGGTCCAAAGCAAGGGGTTAAAAGTCGGGAATGGAACCGTCCCAAAAGCGAAAACGTCGAAAATACCTCTCCAAGATGTTGGTGGACCTTTACCCATCGCGACTGCCGCTTCTTACAAATCCACGTACAACCATGGCTTTCTATCTCTTGCAGAAGGTGCGACGAATGTCTAAACCAAGCTCAGTGGAGCTGTCCTGCAGACTGCATACTTCTGTTACTCGCCGTCAAGCTGTACGATGAAGTCTTTACCAGGCCGTGGCCTAGGCGGCGATTCCGAAAAGAGTAACAGCTACACGCGTCAGGAGCAGCACATTCAACAGGTTCTAGCCGTGGTCTCGGCATCAATTAGTATGCTCTCGGGGCTCATATCATTCTACTGGTTTGCAACAATGAAGAGGAACTTCCGACATCAGTACGTTGCTGGGACAAGACCTCTGATTTGAAATTTCGAGTCGTTGATCATGCCTAGACTCATCATGCTGCTCATTGGAAGTGGAATGTTCAAGGCTGTTTGGTATTGGGTTCCTCCTATCACCATCCTCGCAGGGCTGGAGCCCATTTCTCATGGTTTCTGTCAAGGTGTCGGTTTCTTACTTGCTGTGGGCATTGAGGCATCAGGTCTGTTGCAATGAATCAAATTTCTGTCTCACTTGTTGACTTTATCGAACCAGATTCCGTTATCATCCTTATCGCAATCCATACGGCCCTCACGATCTTTGCATCGCGTAAGGCGAACTCCCAGACTGGCCTGTACGGCTATCGATGGGCAGCCTACACTTGCTGGGCGTTGTTCTCAACACTCATGGCGGCATTGGCGTTCATCAATCCAAGCAGTCCTTATATGTCTCAGGGTACCTTCTGCTATCTTCCGGCCCGCCCAATATGGTACCGACTAGCACTTAGCTGGATTCCTCGCTATCTTATTCTCTGCACGATTGTAGGCATATATCTAGCCGTATACCTGTACACCAAGTCCAAATTTGGGGACTTCGACGCCAAATTCAGCACCAACAGCGTAGCTTCCGAGGACACGACTCAGCACAGTCGGACAGACAGACAACCGTCCTGGCCATTGCCTGGCTTCGACGGCGCCGATGATCCTAACAGTGCAGAGTCGAGTACGGAAATAAGCTCTCCCATCTTGGGTTCCTTGATCGCTTCTCGAAAAGCAACAGAGGCCGAAGTCTCCCTTCCGAAGTCTTACGAGCCGGTCTCAGGCCCAAGACTTACTAACAGAACGCCAACCCTCCTGGAGGCACTCCGTGACAGGACTCTGATTTCTGACGCCAACAAATTTGTGGAATCTTCGGCGAATGCTGCCTTGCGTCAACGTCATAAAGCCATCAAAAGACAGCTACGGTACTTGTTTGTTTACCCGCTTGTCTATCTTGCAATGTGGATTCCGGCTTTTGTCAGCCATTGCTATCTCTGTTAGTATCTTTTCCGATCACCTTCGTCTGCTCGAATAGAAGTACTGACTGCAAAATCTTCCAGACACCGACCAGCATAATCCGCCATTCGTGTTGAACACCATCTCGATATGCTTCCTTTGTCTACAGTGTGCCGTTGACTGCTTCATCTTCAGCATACGAGAGACGCCGTGGAGACAAATTAAAAAGAACCCCAACCCGATTCAGAGGAAGACGCACTCAAGAGGGGGGAGTGACAATGGCTTGAGGCGAATGATCAGTGGGTTTCAGGAGCAGGCCACTGCAAAGGGGGACATCCAGACCTTGGAAGGCCAGACGGGGCAAGAATCTCGACGCGAGAGGAATTGGTGGGACAGAGACTCTATGTAAAATGCCATGCGCGCGGCAACCGGCAAACAGCTCTCAAGTCATATCGTTTCGAAAAGCAAATCCGCAGGGATTGGCGCGTTTTACGAAACTGAAAATACTGGGATCATCAGGATGTCAAAATCATTCCTCAGGCCTCCAATCCCAATATCTACTATTCACTCATTGCAACAAGTCCTTAGTGATATCCATCCAAACTCCCATAGCCATCCGCCTTGTCACTATTCCAAATTTTTGTAAACAGCACTCTCAATATTGGCCCAAAGTCCAATAACATCGGCATCTGTCTCCAACAACATTAGCATGCATCCCCTATCTCGATCCTTCCCCCTTCTTTTCCCCCTAAACACCAATTTTCAACGTGGGAAACCTTACCACAAAAAGGTAGAATCTGCGTTGCAATGATCCCCGCAACACCATTCTCTCTATCGCACCACCAAAACAAATTCGGCAGTCCTGCATCATCATCAGCATCCCTCCTCACCAACGACCATCCTATAAATCAACACACCAGCCCACCACGCCGTATTCTTCCCTCTCCCCGTAGCCGCCTCGTGAATCGTCAGCATAAACGTCAAACCCCACCCCTGCGGCTGCTCCTCGGGCTGAGGATAGAAATCCGGTATATCGTTCGTATACGTCGGTTTCGCCGTCCGGATCCCCTTTCGGCCAAAATCCGGGAACGCCGGGATCTGGTTCGTGAACATCTCCTCCACGCTCTCCTCCGCCAAGATCCGATTCCCCGTCGCGGGGGAAGTCCCACCGTTGAGCAAGGCGGCGAGGATCTGCGCGTAGTCCGTGGGCCGGCCGAAGCAGCCCGCGCCGGCGGAGTTGTAGATGCCGGGGACTTCGGCCGGGGTGGCGATCAGGGGTCGGCGGTAGAGGTGGTCTCGGGCCCGTACGTGGCCGGGGGTCTTTTGGTGCATGTGGGCCAGGGTGGCTTTCATCTGCGGGGTGGGGAACATGGTGATGTGGTGGAGGTCGAGCGGGGCGAAGATGTGGGTTTGGAAGTATTCGTTCAGGGACATGGATGTTGCGCGCTCGATGAGTGTGCCTGCCCAGTCTATGCCGACCTGACGGGGGGTGGGGTTAGTTGGATGAGGTGAATGGGAAGAGTGGTGGAAGAGGGGAGGGATACTCCGTATGCCCAGTCGGTGCCTGGAAGAGGATTCAGCTATGCAGGCTGCTGAAGTGCAGCAAGTTAGGGGGAAGGAGTGGAGTGGCTACCTGGCTCAAAGGTCAGGGGTTGACCTAGGACGCCACTCGGATGGCAGTCGAATTCGTCAATGCCAGCTGGTTGGCCATAGAGCCGGACAGTGTCGTTGAAGAAGGTGTACCTAGAATTCCAATTAGACAGCAATACCTATGGCGTTCCTGCCTGCCATCGCTGCGTCATACTCAAAGCCAGCTATTGATCCTGTCAGCCAAAGATCAAATACATTGCAAAGGTAATTCAAGGCCATACCAGTATGGTTCAACAACATCCTTAGCGTGATCCGATTCTTCTTCGCCACCGTCTCCGCCTTGCAATTCTCATCGATGCCCTTCAAAATCCGAATAGTCTTGAGCTCCGGACAATATCGCTCCACCAAATCAGCATCATCAAGCGCCAGCCTCCCCTGCTCGACTAATTGCATCGCTGCGATGCCGCCAATCATTTTCGTGCACGATGCGATCCAGAAAACGTCGTCGAGGCTCATGGGCTCATTGGTGTCGATGCCCTTTTTCCCACTGGCGTGCGAAAAGACGGTTTTCCCATCTCTATCGACGACTACCGCGACGCATCCAGGGATTTTGTGAGGGTCGGCGGTGACGTCGTCCATGCTGGTCCGGATGCCATGCTTGGCTGAGTCTGATAGCGTTCTTGTCATGTTGGTGTGAATGCTTCTTGTTCGAATTGCTCATGCAATGAAAGGAATACTGGACATTTGAGAAGGTAAGGTCAATGGAAAGCTCTCGCCCCGCCGTGTGACCGGTCTGGACCTGCAGAGCTCAGCGCAGATCTTTGCGGGGTAGCATCCTTTGAAGGTAGCATTGTGTGGGGTAAAATAGACACAGGAGCCATCATGACGAATACTCATTTTGAAAGAATCTCAAGGAAATTGGTATGCATCGCTTGAATGAATCGCGTCACTCGGGCTTGAGGAATGGCTTCAGGAGGGCACATTTGCAAATCCGAACGAAAACGGTCGGACACCAGGATGCGAGAACAATGTTTCGGTGTTGTTAAGATATTTGCATCACGCAGACAGGCCGGCACGCACGGTGTGCAAAGGAAAACTGGCGCAAGAGTCATGTGATAATTGCTTAACAACGTACTTGATTCGTGAGACTTTCGCTGGGCTCAGCACGGAAGCAGCCAAAGCGAAATGGAATTAGCTTAATATACTTCGCAGTGATACATGCCACACGTAACTACTGATCAACATCCCGCCAATGCTCATGAGAAAAGCCATGAGCACATTGACCGCGTTGTTGTCAAGAAGCCCAAGACCACTCTCGATTCGGCGACTTGGCTCGTCGCTCTTCTTGTTCGCTGGCGTCCGTGAACCCGACACGAGCACCTGTTTCTTGTCAAACAGTCATCCAATACTAAGATAAAGAGACTTACTTTCTTCCCGCCAGAGCCTTCAATCACCTTGCCCGTCCTTCCATCAACCACACTAGCCTGGAACCAACCCCCGAGAGCACTGTCCAGAACACTTCCAAGGCCCCCCCATATTGTGACGGCAATGACCCAAAAGATCTTCTCTTGCCATCCCCATCCATCTCCACCCTCGAATCCAGGTTTATTGCCCAAGAACTTTCCTCGGATCGTAGTATCAGCAGAGCAGAAAGGTATAAGGATCACGGACGTCAAAGCAATTATGAAGGCACCGACAAAACCTGCTAGTGTCCCCGCGAGCGTGACACCACCATTGGTGCCTGGTGGTACCTGGCGAAAGTTCCAAGATGTGAGGAGTCTGGGCTTGCTTTTCGAGAGGATGCCCAATTCCGAGGAGAATGTATCTGCTGCGACGGCAGCATAGTTACTTTTTCAGCTCCCGTCAGAACTGTGGAAGATAACTCAGGAGTGTTCGAGGCCTTACCTCACTATCCCAACCACCAGCAAATCGCTACCGTAAGCCCAGCACTCGCCGCCAGATGCATCGTGTTTCCCCCTTGTGTTCAGCTGCCGATAGTGAAGCAGAATCAAAATAGATGCCACTACCGAGTTCGCCAGAACCTGAATATGAGTTCGCGCTCCTTCTCCTCCCGAAGCCCCTGTTGACGATAGGGTCAACCGGGCTTTCACGTCATATTTGACCTATAAAACCGTAAGCCTCCTCGACTCCACAGATCACATACCGCAACCTTATACCTTGGTGGCAGCAGTACCAGCTAGGAAGAACACAACGAGCAGCGCGAAAAAGATGCTCCAAGGATGTATGGCATGGACAACTGCTGTCAACGCTGCAACAACGATGCCGAAGGGTGTCAGAGATTTCCTAGAATACGCGCGGTAAACCAGGCCCAGAGTCGCAGGGGCCGCGATGTAGGGACTAAATGACTTCGGAGTCAGAACGTCTCTTTTGAGATCAGATTTGAGTAACGAAAGGGTACGATTGCGACAAGTTTCGTAATCCAAAGTGCAGTAAGAATTGGGATGACATGGTCGGAGAGAATGACTCACTGCATGACCCTCAGAGAGGCTGGGAGGTTCCCGTCGTCAATCGTAATAATGGGCGAGGAGAGCTGACTTCAATTTAACATGGCGAGCTCGGCCTAAGGTTTGACCTTATCGATAAGAGCTTCGTATCACGTGATCGATTCCTTTACCGACTTCACCTCATCAGAGTATGGAAGTGACCTTTCGTTTCATTTCTGAAAGTCATATATCGACTTTGACTGTTACTATGCAGCTGCCGATCCGTAATGCGATTGCGGCCAAAGAGCAGCTAGCACGTTCGCTCGCAACTCCCATGACACGCAAAACCTCGGCCTGGGTGTCATATTCAAACGCCCAAAACGACCTTCATCCTCTCATAAACAAAGAAACTCACAGCGACCATCGGCACAACCTTGACATATCCAATCGTCAGTCCCACCCAGAAGCCCTTGAACCCCGCTTCTTTCCATACTTTTACTCCAGTCTCCGCCATGCCCAATCGATGTCCATCCCCTACTGCTCCTCCAACCTGCATCCTCCTTCTAACCACTTCAAGTGGATATGAAGCGGTTTGCGAAACCAACCCAGCGAACCCACCAGCAAGAAGTTCTGCCCAATATTTCAAGACAAGCGGAGCGGTCGCATCTCTGAATGCTGGGGGTGACGTTGTGGTGTAGGGGGCAAGGGCTGGGAGGCGCAACCAGTCCGTAGCAGTATCGTGGGTCAGAAACGACATGCCAGCGTAAGGAAGCATCCCTGCCAGCGTTGGCGTGAAGCCTCGATAGAAATTTATTACGCCGCTGCTGGGAGTCGAGTCGGCAACTGCGGCGACGGACACGGGCGCAGTGGATATTGATGACCGTGCAACGATGGGTGGATGTTCGTTGTAAATATGACGACATATGCTAGAGAGAGAGGAACGGGAATCTTTCCTTGTTTCAAAGGCCAGGCGGACACGGATGACTTCCAGTGGATAGGTAAACAAGACCGAGGTGACGCCGGCAAGGGAGCCTGAAAGAAGCCGACGTATGGGCGTCTCTTGCGCTGGCGAGGTTATCACGAGAGATCGTATCTGCTCGTAAGCGAGGAATTTGATCGCGGCATAGGGAAAGATGCGGAGGAGGGTTGCCGAGTGGCCTCGGAAAAGACCGCGTAGACCATCCTGACGATTGATGTCGCGCAAGGCAGTCACGACGCCGAACCAAGAGCCGGTGTATTTAGCAAATTGAGGGTTGGAAGCCTGGAAGAGGATCTTGACACGATCGAGGGGTCCAACGACTGTTTTGGCCTGCGAGGAAGATTAACATGGGCCTATCTTGCAATCACTGTGTGTGCATACAGCACACCCTGCTAACCCTCCAGCCAAACCTGTCCTCAGCACATAGTCTAAATTCTGTTTGCTCCTGTGTCTCTGATTCCCAACCCCTTTTGATGCTATCGTTCCCTCATCCCGAGACTGATTTGGGGCTCCACGTTGCAGGTTGTGTTCCCCCATCTCCGGCGATCGTAGCTGTGTGGCGCCATGAGCGCGGCTCATACCCACCGGAGATTTACAGTGAGTGCGAGCATCCAAGCACCCTCTGACAGCTATATCTTAGAAAAGCTAGGATGAATTGAGAAGCACGTTGACTATTTGCGAAAGTGAAGTGCGGGCGTTATTCCTCTCGGCAGGGCAGGACAATTATGTAGGTTGATGTTTCCGAAGTTCAACCGGAGTGGCAAAACAAGATGCTACAACTAAACCCCTCATTCTCACGAGACTTTGAACAATGAAAACCCTTTCTCCTATATGAAATACCGTTTCAACTGCCATCGCTAACACGTTGAATTACCAAGAAGATCTGAAACTACACGCGCAGTCCTAGGCCTTTGCTTTAATCGTCAAGCTTATTGCAAAGTGATTGAACGATTGCATTTATACCTGCCTAGCGGCAACACTATATCGAAACCACATATCCTTGCATTATCCCAGTATCGACATTAACCATTGTTTATTGTGTGTCGTAATCTCCAGCCGTTCCTATTGCGTCTTTACCGCGCTGACGGAGTCTTTTAGGCGTAGCATACCTCACAAGTAGGATCGGGCTGTGCTCAGACCTCGAAAGAATCTGTTAACGGCACTGATCACACATGTCACTACGTAGATTTCGGAGTCAGCATTGCTTACTCGAGGCTGAAACTGAAGTTGCAAGACCGGTCCCGGAAGTAGAAAGGTCCTCTTGCTCCCGAAGCATGGCCTATGACTCGATTCCAATACCAAACAGGAAAGATGATCTTAGAAATGTACGTACTCCAAGTCGGTCCACACGACCTGATGGCTCGGTAAATAGTCATCGTCTCTGAAAAGCTCTGCATCCAAGTTCTCCCGGCACATGCCTTCACAAACTTTCTCTGCCTCCATCTTGTGTTTCCATACCGGACCTTGACTACCCATCTGGCCAAGACCTCTCTTCTGATCGTTGAAATAGATGTAGTCGTCACCCTGGTTGCTCCACGCCTGGTAACAAAATTTGTCGTCGTGTTCTTCTCCATGCCAAGTCCTGCATTTCTCATCCATGGTGTAGCCAGCAAGCACGTGCTGCCCGCGAGCTGGAGGGACACAACCAAAGTCATAACCCACATAATCTTGAGGACAGGTCGAATTCAAAATGAAGGTAGTGTCGAGGTGAGTGTTGTAGTATTCAAATTGATAGTAGTGGGTCAGGCCAATGTATTCTTCTATCCTTGGAGGGTATTCGCAGTAGCAGAAGGTCGCGGTGAGGTAGTCGCCGCTTATGAAGATTTAAGAGTCAGCACTGTGTGTCCATGCCGATTAATCCAGCCATGAGATGTTAGAAAAACGTACGTCAATTCTACGTCCGCTGGTCCCGTGAAACCTTTAACCTTTCCCCTCGCGACTTGCTCCGGAGTAGCAAGGGCATAGATGGCCGGGGAGAAGAGCATCAGCCCCACGAGGAGTCTCTGGAGGTAAGGCATGGTGATCTGAGACATGAAAAATGGGAAGGATAGGTTGGGGAGGTAGTTATATACAACGACTGCAACGATGCTATCGAAGCAGCGAGTTGTCAAAGAACTTTTCTTCATCATGTGCTCTGGCCAAGCATCTGCTGGGAGGATTCTGAGAAGCTTTGCGCTTATTTCCTGGGAAACCTGCTCAAGGTGGAATGAGAAGCTCATTCGGTCTTCTACCCCTTTGAAAACAATCTTGCTCACGTTGTCGCGGAAGCCCACTTATTCGACGCCAATGTAAAAGGGAGCGAGGCCAGGATTGCCCGTCCAGATGTTACTGCATCGCGACCTGGTAATCAGCTCACCAACTTCAAGGATGGTCCAGGGTGAAATGTTGACTCTCTAGGAGTCTATCAGCAGAGACTTCATGTGGACATGCTGTCCTAGCAGCGATAAAAATTTCTTTCTTGATGGGGCTCTCGGATAATGCGGTGTGTTCTAGAAAGTACGGGGTCATTGCTTGGGCATACCAATGAAGTGCCGAGGACTTTTTTAGCCAAAATTTAAGGTGAGATATTTGGTTCGATAGAACCGCATCTGCTCTGTATTCGAGATGTGTATTTGTCATCGCTGCTTTGTACGTTTGACATGGTCTTTCGAAAAGGAAATCAAGTTCGCAAGACCAATTACAGAGCAGCGTGAGAATTCTGAAAGCACGGTGAGTTATTTTGATTGAAAATGACGTCCATTGCTACGGTTCGTCAGGAGATTCTGCTTTGGCAGGAGGGCATCTTGAATATCCTCAGAAGGGAATTGAGTATGTAAAAGTCGAAGCGTAGTGTCCAGAAGTCAAAGTGACCCTGGTATGGTTCCCAAAATGTAGAGATCTGACCTTCTGGTCAGAGACTTAGAGAGTCTTATTTAGAAGTGGATGCAAGACTATGTAAGATCAACCCACAAAGACATGCTCGCTCTATGACGTCGAAATTGAAGCAATCTTAATCGTGAGCGGCAACCTTTTCTGGGTATGATAGGTACATTTTACCTGACTTCGAAGGAATTCGTCCCAGCAGACTGCAATCTTCCCTGACCGCTTCCCTTTTGTAGGGAATGAACGATGTGATAAAACCTCCATATCGCTATCTCATCGACTGCCACGATTTTGATGACAGTCTCTTCTAACAGGTTGTGATATGTCCTCGGAGCTGGTAAATTACACGACATAGGTAGCTAAAACATGATGTAGCTGGTTGAAAGTTGCGGCTGTCCTCGGGCAGGACAAAATCGAGACCTTCGCTGCCTTGACGTGTGGCTCTTCACATCTATGCAAGACACTCTCGAAATTGTTTGAAGGTGGATTTGAGTAGCAAGTTGCCGACTGATTCACTCGGCATTTCTATAATAGCCCATATACTAGGCAAGCATCATATTGCAGGTTACTTTATGCATAGTTGCAGATTGTTTGCAGAATGGCAGAACAGATCTCCACGCCAACGCCAATCCTCTACCAGAACCCGACTAAGACTCTGACTCTACTTGACATCCCTACGTCCATCGCCCATGCCCAAGGCACCGTCGACCACCCATGCAACGATCAAATCTGCGCGTCGCCTCCTCTACAAACGCCATACCCATCCACAGAGCCCAAGACTGAAAAGGCGAAAGCCAATGTGCTTCGGACGAAAACCCCGTCTGATACTGATGTAGGGTTTCCAGACGCCTTGCTGCAGCAGGCACTCAGAGAGGTGGCCGAGCATTGGCCTTTAGAAGAAGATTGGTGTCTACCACGGAAGATAACATCTCTCGTATCTGAGAGGCAAAGCAGGAAACGCAAGGCCGATGATGCTATTGACCAAGTGTTTTCAACCCAAAAGAGAGACTCGGTCCACGCTTCCACTGCTGTGTTGCCGGCTTCGAAAATAGAAACCGAGATAGGACTTGACCCCTCTCCTTCGAGAACAGAGCCAGACTTCAAATTTCCAGACTCAGAAATCAGTGTTCGAAGCATCGAAGAGCCGTTGATCTTATCTTCAGAGTCCACACCAAAAGCCTACACCTGCTCTGACATACGGATCTTCACCAACAGGCTCGTCCGTAACCCATATCCGACCCTATTATCCCTGCAGTGTTCAGGAGTCAAATACAAGACACCCCCCAACGCAAATTTCCTGCTGTCTAAGATTGGCGAACCAACGGCCCATGCCTTCAGCATGGCAGCTCTGACACTGTACCCTAAATCTAGCGCCACCGCTGGGCCCGGGCAATTCGACTTCGTTCTGCTGGATCCCCCTTGGGAAAATCGCTCAGTGCGGAGATCAGCTAGGTACGATACCATGCATGACTCGGATCCAATGGTTGTGCTTCAGGCGATGTTGGGCCAGCATATAGCTCCTGGCGCGCTGGTGGGGTGCTGGATAACTAACAAGGCAAGTGTCCGAGATACTGCATTAGATGCCTTCCAGACTTGGGACGTGCAGCTCATCGAAGAGTGGGCGTGGTTGAAGACAACGGTGGGTGGACTTCCAATAACTCAGATTGATGGGCTCTGGCGGAAGCCCTACGAAGTACTGCTGCTTGGCAGGAAGGGTAGCGATGAGGCTCAGAGTTCTGATAGTGACGTTCGAAGGAGAGTCGTTGTGGCAGTCCCGGACTTGCACTCCAGAAAACCGCATCTCAAAACTTTGATAGAGCCATTCATACCAGCATCTTATCGTGCTTTGGAGGTCTTCGCTAGGAACTTGACAGCGGAATGGTGGTCATGGGGCGATGAGGTTCTCAAATACAATTGGGATGGTCACTGGTATACGCACAAAGGAAGCACCCAGATTTATGATTGATTTGCAGCTTTTGACTTGCCAGCAGAAACCAGGGTCTTACGCACACCCCATTCGCAATCGTCGGCGCCTGCCCCTGTAATTATCCTGGCGTTTTGCGCGGGTAAGCCTTCCAGGCGATCGACACGAGTTCGCGAAGCAACTTCACTGAAATGTCCTCGAATTGTACCTTGCTCAACAATGCGGTCATTGAGGAAACCAGACATTGTGTCCTGCCCGCAAGTTTCAATCCTCACTAGAGGCGCCCGTTACGCTTGATTCTAGGTTGGTAAAATCAAGTCAACCGGATTTCAAGCTCTGGAAGATCTGATGATCCCCTGGTGAGTACAGAGAACGGCGATGAAATCCTCTAAATTGATTGAAAGTTGATGGTTGACATTTTCAATCAATTTGAGATTGCAGTAGATGACAAGTCAGAGTAAGAAAGCTCTTCACGCATTGAGCTTTGACCAATCTCCTGATCTGCTGACAACCCGTCTTGAGCCTTAGAGATCCTGTCCTCTTTTCTGTCATGTCTTCGAACCATCTTTCCCCACAGATCCTCTAGATCCAGCTCTTCTCGCTTTTCTTCAGTGAGCATCTGAACGACCAGCTTAGCACCCTCAACCTCACTGCCAAACCCCACATATCCATGCTGCTCTGTGAACTCCTCCGTGGAAGCTCTCCCATCCTCGATGGTGCCAACATTGACACATATCCAACCAGTCCGTAGCCCGTCGTCCGTAGTAGAGGTTTCTGATGATCCAACACTGCTTAAAAGTCTGGCTCGGCGTACTTTTCTTCTCATCTTGAGCTTCAGTTCTCCCCTGCCCATTAGACCGTCCGCGTGCGGAGTAAGTTTGTAGGTTATCTTCAGCCATCTGCAAAATCTGTCTGCCGAGACGTGTAGATGTTTTTCGCTGCGAGCAGTGCCCAGAACCATAATCAAGTTTGCGCCTAACGCAGGCGGTGGATCGATCTTACGCAGATCAAAGATTGTGAGATCATCAAGGCCTAGATCAATGGAAACATGTTCGAGCACTGGCTTGAGAAGTGGTGGAGGATCAGACGGTAGCTCGGGCATTCGTTGACGCTCTAGCAGCGGATTTGAAGCTCGTTGAGGTTTCTCAACTTGAAGGTACCATGGCGTCGCTGACGTCGGGTTTTCGGGTATCTCGTTTGACTCAGCGTATTGCTCCGCCTCAAGGCTCGTCTCTGCGCCTGGGGGCAACTGCTCTTGTCGTTGCTGCTGGACAAGATCTGACGTCCGTACTGGAGAAGTAGAAAAGTATTGCTTCGTAGTGTTGTCTACGGGCTTGATCCTAGTCTTTGTCGCTCGCGTAGCTGGTCGAACAGAGAGACCGGCGTGGGAAGCGACGGCATTTAGGAGAGCAACGCGACAATTGCTACACCTTAGAAGTGACGGAACTGCTTTTCGGATAACCATCACGGACTCCCTCGTCCTTGTAGGGTCGTTTGTCAGCCAGCGCAACCGGATGTTAACATTGCATTTCGAAGTTTCGAAGTTCTATTTTGGAACGATTTTGATAGGGCTGACGAATCCCTGTATGACGCACTGGCCAGACCTGAGATCTCTCTCTCCACACCACGTACTTCCAAAAAGTTCACTACTCCAGCTCTGTGGGTTCTAACCGCATTTTCGAAGGAATAAAATACTGTATCTACATTCTAGGACCTTTGTGTGTCAAGACAGTCCGGCTTCACCATGTCTATGGACATCGATGCGCCAGTGGCGCTGCCTTCCAGACCTTTGATCCCACAAGACAGCGCAACGTAGTGATTTTCTGCTCCACCGGAAGAAAAATATGCTGACAGTCTTCTAGCATCCTCTGCTGCAACTGTGGTGCACCCATAGATGGCACTTCGGCCGCAGGAGCACTCTGCTACGATTGTGTCAAGCTCACCGTTGACATCTCCGAAGGCATACAAAGAGAGGCAACCCTACATATCTGCAGAGAGTGAGTGTCGTCCTAGGTTGCGTATATACATAAAGAAGTTCTGACTCTGTCGGCTATTTTAGTTGTGAGCGATGGCTGCAACCACCTGCACATTGGATCACTGCTTCACCTGAATCAAGGGAATTGCTAGCATTATGTCTTCGGAAATTGAGAGGCCTTTCGAAGGTCAGGATCATCGATGCCAGCTTTATCTGGACGGAGCCCCATTCGAGGCGAATCAAAGTGAAAATCACTATTCAGCAGGAAGCGTTTCAAGGGACCATTCTCCAGCAAACCTTCGAGGTCGAATACGTCGTTGCGTACCACCAGTGTCCAGATTGTGCAAAGAGCTTTACAGCCAACACATGGCGAGCCGTCGTACAAGTGCGCCAAAAGGTCCCTCACAAACGAACTTTCCTCTACCTCGAACAGCTCATCCTGAAACATTCCGCTCATAAAGAAACAATCAACATGTAAGCTCAACCGCCTCGGTCTAAATTGCTTCAAGGTTCATGGCTGATGTGTCTACAGTAAGGAAGTCAAGGACGGTCTAGACTTCTTCTACGCCCAAAGAAATCATGCCGAGAAATTTGTTGACTTCTTGACATCTGTTGCCCCTGTTAGATCCAAGAAGTCTCAAGAGCTTATCTCCGTAGATATCCATACCTCTACGAAATCCTACAAATTTTCATTTTCTGTCGAGCTCGTCCCGATATGTAAGGATGATCTGGTAGCTTTACCCATCAAGCTCGCCAAACAAATCGGAAACATTGCTCCCCTAACCATCTGCTACCGTGTTGGCACATCTGTCAATCTTCTAGATCCAAACACTCTCCAGACAGCCGACGTCTCTACACCCATCTATTGGCGATCTCCATTTACCTCTTTGGCAGATGTTCAAGAACTCGTCGAGTTTGTCGTGATGGATATTGAACCTATTGGTCCTCAGAAGGGCCGCTTTCTTCTTGCCGAAGCCACCGTAGCACGGTCATCAGATCTCGGCAGCAATGACGTTACATACTTCACCCGCACACATCTTGGCGCAGTCCTCCACCCGGGCGACTCGGTCATGGGCTACCACCTTAGCGGTACAAATTTTAACAACCCCAATTTCGAAGCGTTAGAGCAGAGCAATGCCTACTCATCCAGCATACCTGATGTCATACTAGTCAAGAAATCCTACGCCCGCAAGAAGAAGAACAAGTCACGCAACTGGCGACTAAAGCGCATGAACAAAGATGAGGGCGAGATGTTACCGAAGAAGCAGGATCAAGATAGGATTGAACGAGACTTCGAAATGTTTCTGCGAGATGTGGAGGAGGATACCGACTTGCGGAGTACACTTGCACTGTACAAAGCTCAGCAGGAGAAGAAGGAGAAGGACCGCATGGAGGGATTGGAGACGGCGAGCGTTGTTGAGACGGAAGAAACAGAAGACGGGGAAGAAGTGCCGAAGATCGATATGGAGGAGCTGCTTGACGATTTCAACGAGCTGGACGTTCACGATGAGGTTTGAGGTTTACATTTATAGAAGCAAGCCAGCAGCCTGGCCTTTGCGGAGTAGCCGAGCCTGTAGCATGCAGAGCTATGAGAGCCATTACCACTCAACAATCAATGCGCATCTTCTACCCTTCCGCTTTTCTTGTCCTCCAGGATCAGCAATGCAATCGTCCTCTGACCCCACCCGCAACCTCACAGCCGCCTTCCTCTTCCTCCGCACTGCCTCCACCGCCGTTACCAATCTCACCACCCAAACCGAATCCACAAAAGCCTACATCCAGTACAACTCACAGAACGGATATTACAGCGAGCACATGGGTCATGAAGCCCAGCTCGAAACGGAACTGCAAGATCTCAGGATGTGGGAAGCCAGGCTTGCGGAAGCGGGGGTGGGGTTTGTCAACTGGGCTGCGAAGGTGAGGACGGGGAGGTGGCTGCCGGGGGAGGTATTGGGGATGATTGGTGAGAGTTTGCGAGAGAATGACTTGGTACTGTCGGAGATTTGGTAGGATGTCAGATGTCGCTCGCGCTCAGGGAGCTCGAAGGATACGAAAAAAGCCAAAGCTTCTGCATCGTCCGTCTCAAAATATCCTACTCAAGACCCTCCTAGTCTCATCCGACTGCTCCACCCCCTTCTCCTCTCTCCCTTTAACCTCATTCTGCCTGAATCTCCTCTCAAACCCACTCGTCTTCTCCCTTTCCTTCGCTAACCCCGTCTCCTTCCCACCCCCCTCCCTCTTCGCCCTCCTCTCCCTCTTCATCCTCCTCGTATCCTCCACCCTCCCCCTTTCCAAATTCCTCAAAAACTCCGCCCTCTCCCTCCCCTCCCTCCCCACCCCAACTCGAACCCTCTCCTCCCTCTCCCTCTCCTCCCCTCTCACCCCCGCCATCAAATCCCCCCATCCAAACCCCTTCAGATACTTCGCGTTCCACACATCATCCCGATACCAGCCCCCCTTCTTCCCGCCCACAATCTGCCCGTTGATCGCCTCGACGCAGACCTTGGCGTCCCGTTTCCGGGAGAACTCGACCCAGCCGTCGACGTAGCTGTGTTTTTTGTTGCCGCCGGCTTTGCGGCGCGAGAGGTAGTTGGAGGGGGCTTCGGGGGTGAGGAAGAGGCGGGTTATGGTGCCGTGGGCTGAGAGGAGGGTGCGGACGGTGGAGGGTCGCATGAAGGGGGGGATGCGGGAGAGGTAGATGACGCCTGCTTTGTGGGCGCGTTTGTTTGCGGCTGCAACGGCTGAGGTTGTGAGGGGTTTCCGCTTTTCGGCGAACTCGGTAGGAGGGTCCGTGGAGATTGGTTCTGTAGGCTTTGTAGTTGATGCGGCGGAGGATCGTGACGGCTTTTTGGGGAATGCAGGGCTAGTGGTTGGGGCGGCATCGTCTTGAGTATCATTGTCGGTCTCCTCGTCGGAATCGGAGTGCTCGACGGTGAGCTTCTGCCTTTTGGAGTGATGGCTGGCTAATCCTGCTGTCCTGCTGTCTGCGGCAGCTTCAGAAGAACTGCTAACATTCTCGTCGTCCTCGCTCAGATTTGTGTCGAGAAACTCATTGTGCTTGCGAACCGCCATGTCTTTTTCAGACGGTGTTGAAAAACGCTTGTCGTCGAAGATGTAAAGAAGAAATGGGGTTAAAGCAAGCGAACGGAGTTTAGGGCTTCGGAAAGGAAGGCTTGGCGCTACACGCTATGAGGGTTGGTGACAAAAGTCTAGTCTCAGAAAGGCCCCACGCAGTGGGTCTGAGGAGGAAACCCTGCCAAGCCTCATTTTTTTGGTGGTTTGGCTGATATGAGATATTCACCCCTGGGTATATATTAGCATTAGTAAGTTTCGGGGTAGCTTTGCCCCGGAGCGAGCTACCCCGAAACTATTTCAAAGAAACTTAATAATCTATAACTTCGATATATTATTACTTAATAACCGAACCATCATATTTTATAAAAATTTATAAATATATTCTTAATATATATAATAATAATATATCAAATTTTCTAAATTTAAAGTTCGAAGTCTTTAAAGTTATTAAGCTTTTTAATTTTTTTTCTAAAAATCTTAAAATAATATAATAATTGAATAAATTAAAAAAATAATATTAATAAAACTTTATATATCTTTACTTATATCTATAAATTATTAAATAATAATTTAAAATTTAAAATTATTTAATAAATTAGTTAAGATAATAGCTTAGATAAATAAATTTTAAGTAAAAATATAATAAATCTTAATGTGTAAAATCTGGCCCAGAGAATTCTATAGTAATATTCTTAAATAGACTTATAAATATAACGAG